AACCATCTGGGGGGCACCAGCTTGCAGAATGCCGACTCCAAGTATGAAACATAGCCCTGGAGTCGGGCTGCAAGGCTCGGCGGCTGAGCTCCTCGGCTGGAATGTGCCGTCCCGACTTGTTGCACGGTTGGATATCCCAGGAAGCCGATCTCAAAACCGTGCCAACACCTGTCTCCACATTTCACGGGGCTCTTTGCCTTTCCTGAGTCTGCACAAAGGGAGTCTTTCATGGGATTTGGGAAGAGAGAATGAGAGAGAGAGAGAGAGAGAGAGAGAGATTCCCGGGTTAAAATCCCAAGTTGAAATGCAGGAAGCCGCTCTCCTTAGCCGTGACTAAACGGTGGCAGAACAGTCACAACAGGCAGGGCAAAGGAAGAGCAGAAAGGCCACGGGCCCACCTGCTTGCGGGAATTAAAAGTGCACAAAGCCCTTGCGAGCTACAAGGCGTCCCCGACTTGACAAATTGTTCTGAGGTCTGGAATCGGAGAGCAGGGCCGGACCCCCTCCTTCTGGGTCTTCTGCCAATTCAGAACGGGATTCCCTCAGCATGAACCGTGCCCAACAGGTGTCCATCTGACCTGTTGCCTCTGAAGCCCCTCGGGGAGGCCATCTTCCCTGGAGAAGACGTCCCATCGCCTCGATAATTAAGTGAACAGCCCGGCGAAGGGTTGGAGGGTCAGGAGGTTGGAGAACTCCAACGGAAACAGAAATGGGAGCGGAAATGGCTGAGGAAAAGAAAGTCCTTCTTCACACGCCGTGGAACTCGTTCCCACAGGAAACAGGGATGGCCACCAACTTGGATGGCCTTGGAAGAGGATGAGATAAATTCACACAGGGGAGAGGGCTATCGATGGTTGCCAGCCATGATGGCTAAGTTCTGCCTCCGCAGCAAATCAGTCTCTTAAACTTAAGCCAAGAAACGCCAGCACCCTGTCACTACAACTTCATTAACATCTATCTACAACTCAACTGGGACACGGGTGGCGCTGTGGGTTAAACCACAGAGCCTAGGGCTTGCCGATCAGAAGATTGGCGGTTCGAATCCCGACGACGGGGTGAGCTCCCGTTGCTCGGTCCCTGCTCCTGCCAACCTAGGAGTTCGAAAGCACGTCAAAGTGCAAGTAGATAAATAGGTACCACTCCGGTGGGAAGGTAAACGGCATTTCCGTGTGCTGCTCTGGTTCGCCAGAAGCGGCTTAGTCATGCTGGCCACATGACCTGGAAGCTGTATGCCGGCTCCCTCGGCCAATAAAGCGAGATGAGCGCCGCAACCCCAGAGTCGCCCGCGACTGGACCTAATGGTCAGGGGTCCCTTTACCTTTACAACTCCACTAGCATCTCTCAGTATTGTGAATAACACTGAACGTACCTTTCGTTGGTGTCTTCATGAACTTCTCCAAAAGACTGATTTAAGCATTTGAAAAATCTGTTGAAATCAGACATTATAAGGTCAACTTAGGTTGGGTAGTTCGCAACTGTGGCTTTGTTTAATGTTTTGTATTTTTCTCAGAAGGTTGATAAAGAATGTGTAATTATTGTTCTGTGTATATTAATTGCCAACATGTTGCATGAGTCGCACTCCACAGCTGGAGGTGTCACTGCTCCTGGATGCCGGTTGCTGAAAACCACAAGAGGAGAGAGGGCTCTGTGTTCGAATCCTGCTTGCGGCTTTACCAGAAGAGGCCTTTGGTTGGCCACTGTGATAACCTTTGGCCTGACCCAGCAGACTGTCCTTGTGTTCATACTTATCCCATGCTCAGAATGGAAATCAATCCAGTGAATATGGGCGGTTCTTGCCGATTTCAGATTATTACGCTTTCCCCTCACTCCCTTCTGCATTGAAATGAATGGGGTGGAGGAAGTTACAAAGAAAGGAGATTAAGAGCTGTTCGACCGTGGAACGGTCTGCCTCTGAAGGCTGTGGGCTCTCCTTCCTTGGAGGTTCTTAAGCAGAGGTTGGGTGGTCATCTGCCAGGGATGCTTTAGCTGAGATTCCTGCATTGCAGGGGAGGTTGGACTGGATGACCTTTGAGGGTCCGCTTCCAACTCTATAATTCTATGATTCTATGAATAATGTGATGACAACATAATTTAAGTAATAAGAAGAACCTGCTGGGTTAGGCCAATGGCCCATCCATCCTGCTCTCACAGTGGCTGACCAGCTGCCTGTGTGAAACCCACAAGCAGGATTCGAACACAACAGCCCGATCCCCTCTTGCGGTTTCCTTTTTTATATATATACATTTTTATTCGTTTTTTAACATATTAATTCCAACATTCATACAACATAGCTTCTCATCCTATACAATATTTTTGGACTTCCGTCAATGCCTCTGATGATTTCCCATTATTTATCACATATTATGCATTTCTTAATTTCGTATTACCTTTAATTATCTTTAACTAATCATTCTCCTCATTGCCTTTTTTTGCAGTATTTCAAATAGTTCACCTTACAAAACGTCTTGCAAACCTACTAGCATAATCTGTTCATCACAATTACTTTTCAAACAGTCCGTAAATTTACTCCAGTCTTCTGAGAATCTCTGGTCCCGCAGGTTTCAAATCCTTCCTGTTGGTTTATCTAATTCTGCATAGTCCATCAATTTCATCCTCCATTCTTCTTTTGTCGGTAATTCTTCTTGCTTCCATTTTTGTGCCAATACCTCTTGGGGTTTCCAGCAAATGGGAATCAGAAGCATTCGCTGCCTCCAACCATGGGGGCAGAACTCTGGAGATGTTAGGCACTGGACCATGTTGTTTATGTATAGGTTAAAGAGATGTTGTTGTTGTTGTTGTTGTTGTTGAGTCGTTTAGTCGTGTCCGACTCTTCATGACCCCATGGACCAAAGCATGCCAGGCACTCCTGTCTTCCACTGCCTCCCGCAGTTTGGTTCCCTCATTGCGAGGTTACAGGGAACCAGGCAGAGGGACTTCTCAGTGGTGGCGCCCGCCCTGTGGAACACCCTCCCTTCAGATGTGAAGGAAATAAGCAGCTATCCTATCTTTAAAAGACATCTGAAGGCAGCCCTGTTTAGGGAAGTTTTTAATATTTAATGCTGTATTGGTTTTAACACTCGATTGGGAGCCGCCCAGAGTGGCTAGGGAACCTCAGCCAGATGGGCGGGGTATAAATAAATTGTTGTCGTTGTTGTTGTTGAATATACCAAGAAAAAAGCACACCAAGAACTCAGGCCAATGTAAGTTTCAGTAGTGGTAATGGTCCCTACTTGCAAGTCAATAGTCAATTGTAACAAAAACCAATCCATTCAAAAGTATGTATTCTGACAAGGATAACAAACTCAAATAGAGATTACAAACTCTAACAGAGATTACAAACTCAAACTCATAAGAATATGTATAACACAATAATTCGTTACAGAATTAGAAATAAGAGTTTATGAGTAGAGATATTGACTTGGCGTGCTTTTTTCCTGCTATGAACCTAGCAAACTTTGCTGTTATCTTTTTTTTTTTAAAAAAAAATAATATTTATTACTTTTCCAAAAATTTAAACACTAAAAAGACAATACCATGCAATACATTACAGTGCAATGCATTAAAAGAAAAACAATAACATAAATCAAACAATTTCATTAGCCCATCTTTCATTCACTTATTTCCACGACCTCCTCACACCTCCCTTTTGGTATTCCACTTCTGTTAATTATTTCAGCAATTCCTTTCCATCTTCCTCTGTTTTCTATCCTATAATTATCTTAACTCATTCTAACCTTATTTTTTCCGTTAATACTCTATTAATCTATTTATACTTAATTCTTTATAACGTTTCTACTAAAGCCATGTAACTTCATTCCAACATTTTTCTAACATTCATTAATTTTACAGTATTTCTATAAATAATCTTTAAATTTTTTCCAATCTTCTTCCACCGACTCTTCTCCCTGGTCTCGGATTCTGCCAGTCATTTCCACCAGTTCCATATAGTCCATCACCTTCATCTGCCATTCTTCCCCGGTGGGTAAATCTTGTGTCTTCCAATATTTTGCGATGAGTATCCTTGCTGCTGTTGTTGCATACATAAAGAAAGTTCTATCCTTCTTTGACACCAATTGGCCGACCATGCCCAGGAGAAAGGCCTCTGGTTTCGTCCAGAAAGGTATATTTGAATACCTTTTTCATTTCGTTATAAATCATCTCCCAGAATGTCTTAATCCTTGGGCATGTCCACCAAAGGTGAAAGAATGTGCCTTCAGTCTCGTTACATTTCCAACATTTATTGTCGGGCAAATGGTAAATTTTTGCAAGCTTGACTGGTGTCATGTACCACCTATAAATCATTTTCATTAAGTTTTCTCTTAGGGCATTACATGCCGTAAATTTCATACCTGTGGTCCATAACTGTTCCCAGTCAGCCATCATTATGTTATGTCCAAGATCTTGTGCCCATTTAATCATAGCTGATTTCACCGTTTCATCCTGAGTATTCCATTTCAACAGCAAGTTATACATTTTTGACAAATTGACAACCTTTGCTGTTATCTGCTCATTTTGATCTGATAGAAGAAAGGACATTGTGGCAGTGGTTGAGCGCCCTGGGATGGTTAGTACGAGTGGGGTGATGATCTCGTTCCTCAGGTCTTTGTAGAGAGTGCAAGACAGGAGGACGTGTGCTGCTGTTTCGGTGGTGCCATCTCCACAGGGGCAAAGACGTTTCTCAGACAGGATCTTTTGGAATCGACCCTCAAGTACCACAGATGTACTCACAAAGGGAGTCAAGCAAGGATGCATATTACCCCCGCCACTTTTTAAAAAGCGGAGACATCACCTTGCCGACAAAGGTCCGTATAGTTCACGCTATGGTTTTCCCAGTAGTGATGTATGGAAGTGAGAGCTGGACCATAAAGAAGGCTGATTGCCGAAGAATGGATGCTTTTGAATTCTGGCGCTGGAGGAGACTCTTGAGAGTCCCATGGACTGCAAGAAGAGCAAACCTCTCCATTCTGAAGGAAATCAGCGGTGAGTGCTCACTGGAAGGACAGATCCTGAAGCTGAGGCTCCAATTCTTTGGCCACCTCATGAGAAGAGAAGACTCCCTGGAAAAGACCCTGATGTTGGGAAAGATGGAGGGCACAAGGAGAAGGGGACAACAGAGGACGAGATGGTGGGACAGTGTTCTTGAAGCTACCAGCATGAGTTTGACCAAACTGTGGGAGGCAGTGGAAGACAGGAGGGCCTGGCGTGCTCTGGTCCACGGGGACACGAAGAGTCGGACACGACTAAACAACAACTTTTAAAGCCAGTACAGTTTAACTACACTGCCCCGACGATGGGGTCCAGAAGCAGGCCAGACTTGTTGAAGGGTTAACTCCCAAGTAAGAGATGATGTCGAACGCTGGCGGCCTTCGGAGATTTGCTGGGCGAGCAAACTCCTTCGGAGACTTTCTTTCCTGGAAAGTCGATTGTGGGGCAATTGCGCTAGATGGGGGAAGCAAACAGAACTGCTCCTTTCCCGTGGCGCTGTTGCTGTTCTGGAGACACTAGATCACCCTGCGGGGAGACGTCTGTCTGTCTGTTTGTCTGTACGCCACATGTTTCAGGAATAAAGTGGCCCCAGGGAGGGGGTTGGCGGCTTGTCGCTGGGAGCATGTACTCTTTCCAGACTTCAATGCAAAGCCTGCGCCAAATTAACGTGCGGTTCTTTAAGAAGAAAAGCAAAGAACACAGCGCTTTCTAGTTCTTCTGCAAATCGTGGCTCTTCGTTTCTGAGTCTGTAGACATGGCTGCTACCTGCGGGCTGATTTTCCATCACTCATTGGTGCTGATAACACTCAAGGTTGCAGGTTCAATCCCTGTATGGACCAGCTGCATATTCCTGCATTGCAGGGGGTTGGACTAGATGATCCTCAGGGTCCCTTCCAACTCTACAGTTCTATGATTCTATGATTCTATGATTGAATCACCAGCTGGCTACAATGCAGGAATGGCCCTCAATCTCTTGCCGTCTGCTAAAGACAAGCCAGTGCAGTGGTGAGTGCTTCGTAGGATAGCTTGATCCTGCGGAACGCTCCAAGCAGAAGTGTTTTTGAAGTATGACATTGAGATGAGAATATTGCATCTGTGGTGGATTCTTCATAATAATAATAATTAATAAATAAATAAATAAATAAATAAATAAATTTTATTTATACCCCGCTCTCCCCAGCCAAGACCAGGCTCAGGGCGACTAACACCAGGTATAAAAACAATTGATTAAAATACAACTTAAAAACAAGATTAAAATACAACATTAAAATGCAGCCTCATTTCAGTAGAAACTCAAATCAAAAACTTTTTGGGGGTGAAAACATCAAGTCGTCAGCAAGGCCAACTATCCAGACTGGTCCTACGTGGGCCAGAAAAAAGCCAGGGAAGTCCCCAAATAGGAGTTTCATTACAGAAGGAGAAAGGAAACAGGAAAGAGGGGGAGTGGATCATGTTTGTTAAGTTGTGGGTAAACATATCAGACGACACAGCAATTCTTCAAACAGCTCTTGTTTATTCACAGGCCAGAACAGACCTGAACTGAAGGGTTCAGCCAGCCTGCTTATATAGAGCTCCACTACAACGCAACTGTAACAACTTTCTGTAAATATCCAGTCACTGAACGTCACTTTCAATCCCTTATTTGCATATGTGGACCTGAGTGAAAACTATCTACAGTATCCCCCTGCTGGCCCAGGGTGAGAACTTCTGTACATAACAAAGTTGATTCCAAGCCAAAGGCCAGGTGGAACAACTCTGTCTTACAGGCCCTGCAGAAAGAAATCAGATCCCACAGGGCCCTGGTCTCATGAGGCAGAGCGTTCCACCAGTGTTGAAAAGGCCCTGGCTCTGGCTGAGGCTAATCTGACTTCCTTAGGGCCCGGGAACATGAGGGTCTTGCTATTTATGGACCTTAAGGTCCTTCGCGGGGCATACCAGGAGAGGCGGTCCCATAGGTACAATGGTCCATACTGGATTGTCCACACATTGTTCTGCTTTGCTAGTTGTTCGGAGGTGCTTTTTCAAGGATAACGCATTCGTGCCCTCTGGAGGGGGCACCTGTTGGTATCTGTCTGCTGTGCTACAACACAACGAAAGGGCTGGAGGGAAAACCCAGCCCTGGAAACATTTCATAGAATCATATAATTGTGTGGTGAGTTCCCCCCCCCCCAGGTGGAAATAATGACGCATGACACAATTATTAAGGTTAATGGGCTAAAAAAGGCCACAACTTTATTGGTTACAGGTGATGAGCGGTATTGGCTTAGGCACTGGTCCTAACCGACTATATCCGACTCCAGCCTGTCTGCTGGAAGTCCGGGTAGGGTTAACCACCAATAGGGGGCGTCCTGCTGATGCACATCAACTAGGAACTCCCCTGGGGTCACCAATGGGGGGGGGGCCTTAGGCCTTCACCTCCCTAGGCTTCGGACAGGGCCACACCCCCCAGAATCCTTTATCGGACTACCCTTCAATATGCGGGGTAGGTGATGGCGCTTCCTCCCCTCTTCCATCTACAGAACAATACCAATGCCTAACCACCAATACCCAGAAAGTTGTTACGATTTGCTATGAGGCAGGCGGAAACCAAGTAGCTGGTGCCAATTTGTCAAGTGGAAAAATTCCTACCAGGCCCCTCAAAGGCGACCAACCAAGGTCCATAGCAAAGTCAAGGAACGAAAAAGGCCACGCCCCCAGAGCCAGCTGATTGGCTGGCCAGGGGGTGACGCGGCCGGGAATCTCCCCAATCGTGCGGGGGCTGGGCTCCAGCCGCTGCGCACGTGGTGGGGCCGTGAAGCCTGCAAGCCCACCTCCGCTGAAGGGCAGAAGTGGCTTTGCAGAGTTGGAAGGAACACAAAGGGTCATCCAGTCCCAGTGGCGGAGGAAGCCTCTCGGGCACGTGGGGCGGGGTGCCCTGCCCATAGGGACATGGCACGTGCGGCTTCATCTAGGGGCATGATGGCCCATCCTGTCTGCTGTCCGCCCTCTGCCTCCCCCCAGCTGTAGGGCGGCTGAGGCCCCACGGCACAGCGCGTCCCTATAGGTGCTGCACGTTCCGTCGTGTCCCTATCGACATGGCGGCGATCCGCCCAGGGGGGATTTTGTCACCCCCCCCTTCAGGGATGGCACCCGGAGTGCGCTGCCCCCTCCGCCCCTGCCTTTCTCCTCCATTGTCCTGTCCAGCCCCCTGCAATGGGGTAGTGTTAAGTTGTGGGTGAACATATCAGACGACACAGCGATTCTTCAGACAGCTCTTGTTTATTCTCAGGCCAGAACAGAACTGAACTGAAGGGTTCAGCCAGCCTGCTTATATAAGAGCACCACTACAACGCAACAGTAACCATTTTCTGCAACTATCCAATCACTGAACGTCACTTTCAATCCCTTATTTGCATATGTGGACCTGAGTGAAAACTATCTACAGTATCCCCCTGCTGGCCCAGGGTGAGAACCTCAGTACATAACAGGTATAAAAGGTTGCAGGATTTCAGCAGGAAACTATGAGACAAGGGAAATGAAGCCCTGAAATTTCATTGGAGATGGGATTGTGCCGAACTGCCCCAATCCTACCATCAGCAAAAATAATCATAATGCACAATAGAAAAGATGGAGTCCTATATTGGGATCACACAGGAAGTACTAAGATGGCCATTTGTGTTTTGTTCCTATGCAATTTTGTTCCTATGCAGTTATCCCTTTGCCAAAATTTTATTTGTATAGCTTGCTCAAAGAGAGAGGGGGGAGGGAGGGAGAGAAACTAACTACTTTGGGAAGGTGTAACCAAATACCTCCAGCAGTTTTGTAATCCGTTGAACGTGGCTCCTGATTTGACCCAGCTTTGCTGCTCTCTTTGAAAGCACACTCCATTTCGAACGACCTAACCACATCACGTCATCGCCATTGTTTAGCTGGCTGGCTGCGGTTCTGAACTCTGGGGGAGCCTTCTGTGTAAATTGAAAGCGCCGTTCCAAATCCATTGAAACTCGTGGCTGAGGTCCTGCTGTCCTTTTTTGTGTGCCTGCGTTGTATCAATTCAAGAAACAAGAGCTGGGGGTTAAAAACTAGACTGTTTATTTCTCAGTTGGCCTTCTTCCTACCTGATACCTTCCGGACTTCAACTCCCAACCATCCCTACCTAGTGTGGCCATTTTGGACTACAACTTCCATTTTGGATTAACGCCAGCCCCCGACACTGCTAAATTTCGTCAGCAATGTCTAGGCAACACAATGGCCATGTACATATGCAATAGACTTTGTACAACTTTGGACACATAACCACAGACTCTTGAACATATTGTGTTATTTGTGGAAAAGGAGCCTTCTCCTCTGGAGGGTTACAAAACCAACCTGTTTCTGGGATCTCCTGGATTTCCCCCCACCCTATAGCCCTCAAGGGAGGAGAGATGGTTGTGTGAAATGAGGGTCAAACCATCCCACAGGTTGAGGAACATTTTATCACATGTGGTGGGAATGTAAGAAAGGAAAGAACTTCTGGGAAATGATATATAATGAGATGAAAAAGATGTTTAAATATACATTTTTTAAAAAACCAGAAGCATTTCTACTTGGTATTATAGGCCAAGACATTAATAGGCAAGATGTTAAATTGTTCTTATATGCAACAACAGCGGCAAGAGTACAGTGGTACCTCGGGTTACATACACTTCAGGTTACAGACTCCGCTAACCCAGAAATAGTGCTTCAGGTTAAGAACTTTGCTTCAGGATAAGAACAGAAATCGGGCTCCGGCGGCGTGGCGGCAGCAGGAGGCCCCATTAGCTAAAGTGGTGCTTCAGGTTAAGAACAGTTTCAGGTTAAGAGCGGACCTCCGGAACAAATTAAGTACTTAACCAAAGGTACCACTGCACTGTTAGCCCAGAAATGGAAGCAAGAAGAAATTCCGATGTAAGAAGAAAGGCAGACGAAATTAATGGAGTAGGCAGAATTGGACAAAATGACAGGAAGGATTCGAAACCTGTGGGACCAGGGATTTACAGAAGATTGGAAGAAGTATATGAATTATTTGAAGAGCAACTGTAATCAGCAAATTACGCTAGTAGGACTACAAGAAGTTTTGTAAGGGGAAATATACGATGTGTTACAAAGTAGAAAAAGATAGAGATATTGGTTATGAGTTTGAAATGTAATAGGGAAGATAAGAAATGCATACTAAGAGATTAGATTGGAAAATTTTCAGACAGGACTGATGGAAGTCAAAAAAACTGAATAGGATGTAAAAGTATGTTTAATTACTGTTGAAAATGGCATGTTAAAAAACTAATAAAAATTTATATAAAAGTAAAACCATCCGACAGGTTGAAGTGACCCATATCTCCTGGTTTGTTAACGTGCTGATATTATCAGTACGTTCTTCCTAGTCACCCTCCCAGATGCCAGAGAAAACCATTTAGCTAAAATTAGCAGCGCCATTAGGCCCAAAGGTCAGCCGCCTTCTCCAAAATAGCAAGAGGGGCGGCTATGATGTCAGCGTTCAGGATCTGCTGATCGAGGCTTCCTGGATTCCTGGTGTCGTGTGTGACAGACTTGGAATCCAGGTCAACGCTCTCTTTCTCTGCTTCGCTCCAAGAGAAATTCCTCCCTCCATCACTCCCCCAAACCGTCTCGGGTTGACTCAAACAGGAGATAATCCAATTTGCTCCCTGGCATCATTTCAGGGAAGTCTTACTGCCGAGGAAACCTGACCCTGCAGACGGCGTTAGCGTCAGTCTTTTGTGTTTGAGGGAGAGGCCCTTCTCAGAAGTGGCAAGATGGCCGACAGGACGCAGTGGACAAGTGACAAAACGTTCTGTGAAAACCATTTTATTTATTTTTAAAGGAAAGAACAGCATCTTAAAAAGCAGAGACATCACCTTGCCGACAAAGGTCCGTATAGTTCAAGCTCTGGTTTTCCCAGTAGTGATATATGGAAGTGAGAGCTGGACCGAAAAGAAGGCTGATCGCCGAAGAATTGATGCTTTTGAATTCTGGTGCTGGAGAGTCCCATGGACTGCAAGAAGATCAAACCTCTCCATTCTGAAGGAAATCAGCCTTGAGTGCTCACTGGAAGGACAGATCCTGAAACTGAGACTCCAATACTTTGGCCACCTCATGGGAAAAGAAGACTCCCTGGAAAAGACCCTGATGTTGGGAAAGATGGAGGGCACAAGGAGAAGGGGACGACAGAGGACAAGATGGTTGGACAGTGTTCTCGAAGGGACCAGCATGAGTTTGACCAAACTGCGAGAGGCAGTAGAAGATAGGAGTGCTTGGCGTGCTCTGGTCCAGGGGGTCACGAAGAGTCGGACACGACTAAACAACTAAACAACAACAACAAGAAAAGCAAAGGCGCAGAAGTGAATTTCGGGGATCCTGACCAGTTCAGTCGCACTGGGTCTGGAGTCTTGGGGCGTCCCATGTATGTTGGCGGTGGCAGTCAAATTTTGCCACCATACAGAAGAAATTCCGACGAAAGAAGAATGGCAGACAAAATTAATGGGCTATGCAGAATTAGATAAAATGACGGGAAGGATTTGAAACCTGTGGGAACAGAGATTTACAGAAGATTGGAAGAAATATACGAACTATTTGAAGAGCAACTGTAATCAACAAATTACGCTAGTAGGACTACAAGAAGTTTTGTATGAAGCATTGCAAAGTAGAGAAAGAATAGAGATAGTAGTTAGGAATTAAATGTAATTGTGGAAGTAAGAAATGTATATTTAGTGAATAGACTGGAAAATTTTTCAGATGTGATTGATGGAAGTCAAAAAAATGGTATGAGATATGAAAGTATGTTTAATTACTGTTGAAAATGATATGTTGAAAAACTAGTTTTTTATATATATATTGTGTGTGTGTGTGTGTGTGTGTGTGTGTGTGTGTGTATGCCACCATACAGGGTGTTGCTGAAAATTTAGCAATCCAGAATGTCACAGAGAGCTTTGAGAAGAAAATGGGATCCACCAAGCTTTCTGGGCTGCTTTCTGTATGTCCAGGGGCGCCAACTTGAATAAAATATGGGGGGCAGGTAAGCCGCACCCCTTATAATCAACCACAAGGTGAGGCACATGCACACCAATTGAATGGCAGTGATCATAAATTTTGGGGTTCTGGTGCCCTCAAATATTTTATTTGGGGGCTGAAGGGACCTTGGCCCTTAAGAGTTGACTCCTATGTGTACGTCTGTGGCCATCTTGAATCCAGAGGTACGTCCATATGAGTGCTAATGAGGGAATACTTTGTTCCCTCAGTTTTTAGGGGTTGTGTACATGATGTTGTCTTCCTTATCATGGCTCCCCTGCATTTTCTCCATGGTTCTTCCACAGAAAACCCACCTTTTCAAGGAAGGAGCGGAATAGCAGCACTGTCTCCACAAATGTGGACTCTCTCAGCGCTAACATTTCAAACCTTTCCCCAAGGCTCTGGCATTTTGGGTGGACCAAACCTATCGGTTTGGCACACCTTCAGGGGCCTTGTGGCATCCTGGATGAGGCCCTGAGAGACCGGGGTTCAAATTCCCCACGAAGATCACTGGGTGCCCTTGGGCCGGCCGCTGCCTCTCGACCTCGCAGGGTCGTTGTGAGGATAAAATGGGAAGAACTACACAGACCGCTGTGAGCTCCTCAAGAAGGTCTCAGAAAATATATCAGGAGGGACCGTTTGCGCTTCCTGCTCAGGCCTAGTTTGCACTGACTCAGCCTCTCCTGCCTTGAACATGCCCCTTTAAACATGCCCACATTCAACTGGAAATCAGGATTGGATATCCATGCTCCCTACTTGTCTGAGCAGAGGTGCAAAGTGCTTCTCTTCCTGAAACGATGCAGGAGAAGCTACTGTTAAGTGTTTTTATTTTCTGCTGATGGGGTGCAATAGTCCTCTCTCCTGCTGTTGAGCCTGGGTGCAATAGCCCTCTGTCCTGCTGCTGAACATGGATGCAATAGCCCTCTGTCCTGCTGCAGAACAGGGATGCAATAGCCCTCTCTCCTGCTGTTGAGCCTGGATGCAATAGGCCTCTGTCCTGCTGCAGAACATGAAGTGCAATAGTCCTCTCTCCTGCTGTTGAGCCTGGGTGCAATAGCCCTCTGTCCTGCTGCAGAACATGGATGCAATAGCCCTCTGTCCTGCTGCAGAACAGGGATGCAATAGTCCTCTCTCCTGCTGTTGAGCCTGGATGCAATAGCCCTCTGTCCTGCTGCAGAACATGGATGCAATAGACCTCTCTCCTGCTGTTGAGCCTGGATGCAATAGCCCTCTGTCCTGCTGCAGAACATAGATGCAATAGACCTCTCTCCTGCTATTGAGCCTGGGTGCAATAGCCCTCTGCCCTGCTGCAGAACATAGATGCAATAGCCCTCTCTCCTGCTGTTGAGCCTGGATGCAATAGGCCTCTGTCCTGCTGCAGAACATGAAGTGCAATAGTCCTCTCTCCTGCTGTTGAGCCTGGATGCAATAGCCCTCTGTCCTGCTGCAGAACATGGATGCAATAGACCTCTCTCCTGCTATTGAGCCTGGGTGCAATAGCCCTCTGCCCTGCTGCAGAACATGGATGCAATAGACCTCTCTCCTGCTGTTGAGCCTGGATGCAATAGCCCTCTGTCCTGCTGCAGAACATGGATGCAATAGACCTCTCTCCTGCTATTGAGCCTGGATGCAATAGCCCTCTGCCCTGCTGCAGAACATAGATGCAATAGACCTCTCTCCTGCTATTGAGCCTGGGTGCAATAGCCCTCTGCCCTGCTGCAGAACATGGATGCAATAGACCTCTCTCCTGCTATTGAGCCTGGATGCAATAGCCCTCTGCCCTGCTGCAGAACATGGATGCAATAGACCTCTCTCCTGCTATTGAGCCTGGATGCAATAGCCCTCTGCCCTGCTGCAGAACATGGATGCAATAGACCTCTCTCCTGCTGTTGAGCCTGGGTGCAATAGCCCTCTGTCCTGCTGCAGAACATGGATGCAATAGACCTCTCTCCTGCTATTGAGCCTGGGTGCAATAGCCCTCTGTCCTGCTGTTGAACATGTGTGCATAGGCCTCTGTCCTGCTGTTATCCCCCACGAACTGATATTCAGTGTCATTCTGTCTCTGATCCTGAAGGCGGCTTATAGCCATCATCGACTGATCGCCTCCTCCTCTCGCTCCCTGGATTTCTCTAATCCCCTGTTTAGAGACACTTCTGGTTTGGTCCAATGTGTTGTCAGCTCCCATGTTTTTATTAAGTCCTCACTCTCACTCGAACAGTACATCTCATCCCCTAAAATAGAGCCGCCTGGCCGTGCTCTTGTAAATATGCGCTGATACTTTCAAGAAGCCGAGGAGATTCTGTTTTGCTTCAGCCCACCCCTGACGCCTCTGAAAACTCGCGGCTGTTCTCTGCCTCGCAGGATGGCTCCCTTTGCAGAGACACATAAACTACTGATGGCATCAAGGAACGGCATTTTGGTTCGCAAACAACTCACAAAGGGAAAGGTCACGTATTTTTGGCCCTGGGAAGAAACAGCCAATAAACCAGAAACACGGCCTTTCCATTTCTATAATTGGAATTCCCTCGGGATGAGTTTTCTGCCCCTATCCCTGTTTAGGGTTCTCCTGTGCCCTTCTGTATTTTACAAGAGAGCCAGAGTGTTGCTGGGTCACAGTTTGGGGATTTAAGCCACAACGGCACCAGAGCCTTAAAGCACAGTGTTGCCACTTTATCAGCCATGGCTTCCCTCCCAAAGCATTCTGGGAACCATAGTTCTTTAAGGGTGCTGAGAGTTCCCAGGAGGCCCCAGTTCACCTCACAGAGCCACAGTTCCCAGAGTTCCCTCAGAAGAGGGATCGATTGTTAAGCCGCTCTGAAAATTGTAGTTTTGGGTGGCGGACAACTCTCAGCATATTGGAGCATCTCTGTGGGTCCGACTCAGGGGCACCAACTTGGGCCACAGATGATGGGTGCCTAGCGCATGTGACGTGACATCATGACGTCATGTACCACACAGCCTCAGAACCTGATGTCTGGGGCCACGTGATCCGTGTGGGAGGCATGTTCGCAACCCGCAGCGCCATGTCTGCGCACATACGGGTTGCAATTTGGCGCTTCTGCACATGCGCAAAGCGCGATTTAGTGTTTCTGTGCATGCGCGAGCGCCAAAACCCAGAAGTAACCCATTCCGGTACTTCTGGGTTCGGCACGGTGCGCAACCCGAAAACGCGCAACCTGAAACATCTGTAACCTGAGGTATGACTGTAGTTTGAATATTCCACAAACTTTTTTTCAATTTTTCTTGGGGGGGGGGCAGCTTTGGAAAAAACCTGGGGTTTTTTCAGGCCTTCCCATTTTTACCCAAAACACATGTTTTTGGGTGCTGTGCCCCCGAAAAGAACTTTTTCCAGGCCTGCAGTCTTGCGTGTATCACATGACTCGTGCGGGATTCCAGACTTGGAAAGTGGTGTCCCAAATTTGGGGTGTGTTGTGTTGAAGAGTATGTAGCACATGGCTTCTCCCGATGAATCCTGGGAACTGCAATTTAACCCTCACAGAGCCGGAATTGCCATCAGTTTCACGAACCATAGCTTTGAGAATTCTTTGGGCGAGTCTTATGTTTACCAGGATGGTAGGGTGCCTCCGGGCTTGTGCTTTTTGTGTGGTGTATTCTGCAACAAGGACGCGGGTGGCGCTGTGGGTTAAACCACAGAGCTTTGGGCTTGCCGATCAGAAGGTCACCGGTTCGAATCCCCACGACGGGCTGAGCTCCCGTTGCTCGGTCCCTGCTCCTGCCAACCTAGCAGTTCGAAAGCACGTCAAAGTGCAAGTAGATAAATAGGTACCGCTCCGGCGGGAAGGTAAACGGCGTTTCCGTGCTCTGCTCTGGTTCGCCAGAAGCGGCTTAGTCATGCTGGCCACATGACCCGGAAGCTGTATGCTGGCTCCCTCGGCCTATAGAGCGAGATGAGCACCCCAACCCCAGAGTCGGCCACGACTGGACCTAATGGTCAGGGGTCCCTTTACCTTTACCTATTCTGCAACAATAGTCATTAGCGATGGATTTATACTGGACCATCCACACCTTGTTCCATTTTGCAAGTTGTTGTGTGATGTTTCTGCGGCGTTGCCTCATTATTGCCGTCTGGAGGGTCACTCATGCACTATAGCCCAAGAAAAGCGGGCAAAGAAGAACGCTGAGTATTTGTGGTGTGAAAAGTCTGAGAAGGATTTTTTGCAGGTGTGAAACGTACTGAAAGCAGGATGACTTCTAACCACCTTGATGCCGTCATGAGCACAAAGAAGGACATTTGAGGCACCCGGTTTTTTGGGGGGGGACTCTTAAGAAAGTCATGCATTGCAAAAGTATTTCTTGAGCTGAACCAAGTCGGTCTCAAAAAGGGAGGGATTTGAGTGATCCCTGAAAACAGACTATGGATGAGGGAGAGCCAGTGCCACATTTACATATAAGCTAAGCAAGCTATAGCTTAGGGCCCCACTCTCTTGGGGCCCCCCCCAAAAATTGCACTGTTAATATACTTCTTAATTGTATTTCAGTTCAACGATCACTTTGATAAAATACATATTTTTTTATGTGCAAATGGCTTTAAATACCTATTAGGTCCATCAATTACCATATAGCAATGACAAACCTAGACAGCATCTTAAAAAGCAGAGACATCACCTTGCCAACAAAGGTCCGTATAGTTAAAGCTATGGTTTTCCCAGTAGTTATGTATGGAAGTGAGAGCTGGACCATAAAGAAGGCTGATCGCCGAAGAATTGATGCTTTTGAATTCTGGTGCTGGAGGAGACTCTTGAGAGTCCCATGGACTGCATGAAGACCAAACCTATCCATTCTGAAGGAAATCAGCCCTGAGTGCTCATTGGAAGGACAGATCCTGAAGCTGAGGCCCCAAGACTTTGGCCACCTCATGAGAAGAGAAGACTCCCTGGAAAAGACCCTGAAGTTGGGAAAGATGGAGGGCACAAGAAGAAGGGGACGACAGAGGACCAGATGGTTGGACAGTGCTCTCGAAGCTACCAAGTTGAGTTTGACCAAACTGCGGGAGGCTGTGGAAGACAGGAGTGCCTGGTGTGCTCTGGTCCAGGGGGTCACGAAGAGTCGGACACGACTAAACAACAACATATATATCAGCGGCCATTTGTTGTTGACAGCTGGACATATAAAGGGCCCCATTACCTTCAGAAGCTTAGGGCCTCATCAGACCTAAATCTGGCCCTAAGGAGAGTCCTGTGTCTTCATAGCAACCCATCTCCTCTGGGTAAACTCCACTTTTTCAACCGAGCTATATTTCTTGGGATGGGAATGTAAACGGAGAAATTCTCCTGAAGATCAGGGGAGATTATAAAGATGTACTACCTAGGTAACCAAACCTCTGCGGGAAGAAAAATCTATCTGTAAAGGCAGCCGCTCTCCCCCAAGAAAGGGCTAAGGATTTCCACAGTTATAGAAGGCTGAGTCCAAGCTGCTCTAGCAACTGGGTGGCTTTCAGCAGTGCACAAATAACAGTTTACATTTCGCGATGTGCAGTATGTACTGGTTTATTTTTGGGTATTCTTTTGTAAGCTGGCCTGGGGGATGATGATTAAAACATAAAATAGCAGAGTTGTCCAGCCCCATGATAATTTTGGTTGCCATTCCTGGAAACATTTCTAGCTCTGATATTTCCTTTTTGAGCAGAGGCGACCCAAAGCGTCAGCAGATGTGTTCGCGCCGTAGATTTGTATCACGGCATAGGGATATCGGCCTTCTGTAGCTTTGTCGTTGCTCTCGGGAGAACATAAAAAGATCAGAAGAACACTGCTGGATCAGGCCCACGTAGTCCAGCATCCTGTTCACACAGTGGCCAGCCACAGAGGTGGTTTTCAGGTGGCGCAACCGGTTCAGAAATAGCATCCGGGTGGAATTTCCGAAATTGGTGGAACTGTCCAGGAAAACCCGGGTGTGTGGCACAACCCATGTCGGAAGTGTTGATTGCTTGGCTAATTTCTTTTTAATTTTTTAATTTTTGCAAAAGAAGTTCCAACAACTTTTGTGTCCGGATTTTCACTTTTTGAAATATGGCAGCCCTATTTAAACAGGAAGGACGCGGGTGGCGCTGTGGTCTAAACCACAGAGCCTAGGACTTGCCTATCAGAAGGTCAGCGGTTCGTATCCCCGTGACGGGGTGAGCTCCCGTTGCTCGGTCCCTGCTCCTGCCAACCTAGCAGTTCAAAAGGACGTCAAAGTACAAGTAGATAAAAAGGTACCGCTCCGGCGGGAAGGTAAACGGCGTTTCCGTGCACTGCTCTGGTTTGCCAGAAGCAGCTTAGTCCTGCTGGCCACATGACCCGGAAGCTGAACGCCGGCTCCCTCTGACAGTAAAGCGAGATGAGCGCCGCAACCCCAGAGTCAGCCACAACTGGACCTAATGGTCAGGGGTCCCTTTATCTTACTTAAACAGGGCACCAAAACAATGCTGTAGAATGGAGTGCAGGGTGTGTGTGTGTGTGTGTGTGTGTGTGTGTGTGCTGAATGTGAGAGTTGCCCAGGGCGCCACTGGAATTTGAGAGCCCAAAATCTACCACTGCCAACAAGATGCCCATGGAAAACCCGCAAGCAAGATCCAAGCATAAGAATAATAATAATTAATTAATTTATACCCCGCCCATCCGGTTGGGTTTCCCCAGCCATTTTGGTCGGCTTCCAGCGAAATATTAAATTACAATAATTCATCAAATATTAAAAGCTTTCCAAACAGGGCTGCCTTCAGGTGTCTTCTAAAAATCAGTAGTTGTTTATCTCTTTGACATCTGGTGGGAGGGTGTTCCACAGGGCGGACGCCACTAAAGAAAAGGCCCTCCGCCTGGTTCCCTGTAACTTGGCTTCTCGCAGGGAGGGAACCGCCAGAAGACCCTTGGTGCTGGACCTCAGTGTCCGGGCTGAACGATGGGGGTGGAGACGCTCCTTCAGGTATACTGGGCCGAGGCCGTTTAGGGCTTTAAAAGTCAGCACCAACACTTTGAATTGTGCTTGGAAACGTACTGGGAGCCAGTGTAGGTCTTTCAGGACCGGTGTTATGTGGTCTCAGTGGCCGCTCCCAGTCACCATTCTAGCTGCCGCAGTTTCCGAGTCACCTTTAAAGATGGCCCCACATAGAGCGCCTTGCAGTAGTCCAAGGGGGAGATAACCAGAGCATGCACCACTCTGGCGAGACAGTCCGCAGGCAGGGAGGGTATCATCCTGCGTACCAGATGGAGCTGGCAGACAGCCGCCCTGGACACAGAATTGACCAGCGCCTCCATGGACAGCTGTGAGTTCAGAATGACTCCCAGGCTGCATACCTGGTCCTTCAGGGGCACAGTGACCCCATTCAGGACCAGAGAGTCCTCCACACCTGCCCACCCCCTGTCCCCCCAAAAACAGTACTTGTCTTGTCAGGATTCAACCTCAATCTGTTAGCCGCCATCCATCCTCCATGCTCCAAGAAGAGCCCTCTCCTCTCCTGTGGTTTCTAGGGACTGCTATTCATTACTGCTATTCTAGGGACAGCATTACTGTCACCAAATGAGGAGGCAGAGGACAGCCTTTGTGACTGGTAGCCATCGACAGCCCTTTCCTAGGACCAACGTACCTACGGCCTAGGACCCATGTACCTGCGGGACCACCTCTCCTGGTCTGCCCCGCGTAGGTCCTTAAGGTCCACAAATGACAACATTTTTGAGGTCCCAAGCCGCAAGGTGGTCTCAACCAGGGCCAGGGCCTTTTCAGCACTGGCCCCGACTTGGTAGAATGCTCTGTCACAAGAGACCAGGGCCCTGCGGGACTTGACATCTTTCCACAGGGCCTGCAAGACAGAGCTGTTCCGCCTGGCCTTTGGTTTGGACTCAGTCTGACCCTTATGTTTCCCTCCCCTTATGGTTTTGATGAGGCTGCATTTTAAATTGCACTGTAACCTGTATTTTAAATTGGTCCCCCCCCCATTATGTTTTTACTGTAATTTTACTGTTGTTAGCCGCCCTGAGCCTGGCTCTGGCCGGGGAGGGCGGGGTATAAATAAATTTTATTTTTATTTTTATTTTTATTTTTATTATTATTATTATTATTATTATTATTATTATTATTTCCTCAATGAAAGGCTCGCTGCAGCAGTAATAGATTCTCAGTCTGACCCCACTGAACAAAGGGAGTCAGTCTCTCTCCCTCTTTCCCCCACATATATGTGTTCATGCATGTACATTCGTATAAACTTTGTAGTTCAATTTAGCTTGGGGGCTTTGACTTTCGGCCAGCGCGCTGCTTTTCCTTCGAACCGCTTCCAAGAGAGAAAAGCTGGGAGACAGATGTGCTCAGAAACCCCTGGGAAGCAGCTGGATCCCTCTATAAACACCAGCACGGTGGAGACTGGATCGTCCCCAACCTTAACATCTCTAACGTCTCCAAACATCATAAGCAGGATTACATCATGAGGCTCTGAGGCAAGGTTCATGTGGAATCGACTGCTCAGCTGGCCGGATAGATTTTTTCTCCCAAACAACCTGAGCTCCATGCGCTGCTTTTAGGAAGCCGAGGCGTCTAGGCCAGGGGTCTGCAACCTTTAAGACAAAAAGAGCCACTTGGACCCGTTTCCGAAGAAAAAAAAACTGGGAGCCGCAAAACTCGCCATTATAAAAATAACTTTTTTGTCACATTTTTTTAATTATTTCTTTGTTTGACCCCTCAGAATCACTCCTCCTCATAGAAATAAACGTTAAATTAACAAGTTACCTTTTTGTGTGTGTGTGTTCTTCACTCCCCTTCAAAACAGTGACCAGCGTACATGCCCCCTTTCAATGCAGTGACCAGCGTACATGCCCCTTACAATGTAGCGGGCGGGCGGGAAGGTGACGTCGGGACGGTGCGTGACTAACGCACGCACCCCCCCCCATGCGACGTCACAGCCAGTACAGCGCCCGCCACAGTGGGGAGTGTCGGGGCGCACAATGCGCCTCCTCCCCTCACTAGTATCCGCCCCGGGGCCGCGGCAAAGGTGTAAAAGAGCCACATGCGGCTCCGGAGCCGCGGGTTGCAGACCCCTGGTCTAGGATAAGCCAGATGGTCACAGGACTGAGGCTGTTGCATAATGCTGCCTGCTACCTCGGACAATACACATCCGCGTTTGCCTTAGGGCTAGCACTTCTAAGGCAAGCTTGCTTTTCCAAAGTGAGCTGAAAATGGAGTTAAAATAGTGGTCCTGTTGTTGTTTAGTCATTTAGTCATGTCCGACTCTTCGTGACCCCATGGACCAGAGCACGCCAGGCACTCCTGTCTTCCACTGCCTCCCACAGTTTGGTCAAACTCATGTTAGTAGCTTCGAGAACACTGTCCCACCATCTCGTCCTCCACTGTCCCCTTCTCCTTGTGCCCTCCATCTTTCCCAACATCAGGGTCTTTTCCAGGGAGTCTTCTCTTCTCCTGAGGTGGCCAAAGTCTTGGAGCCTCAGCTTCAGGATCTGTCCTTCCAGTGAGCACTCAGGGCTGATTTCCTTCAGAATGGAGAGGTCTGATCTTCTTGCAGTCCATGGGATTCTCAATAGTGGTCCTACACAGTGCTATTTTGCTAGAAAATAGCAAACTCGCCATGGGAAAAAAAATTGAAAAAAGGTATAGGGCCTCTGGACGATTAAGTCCAGTCAACGGCGACTATGGGGTTGCGGCGCTCATCTCGCTTTCAGGCCGAGGGAGCTGGCGTTTGTCCACAGACAGCTTTCCTGGTCGTGTGGCCAGCAGGACTAAACCGCTACTGGCACATGGAGGACCATGACAGAAACCAGAGTGCATGGAAACGCTGTTTACCTTCCCACTAGAGTGGTGCCTATTTATCTACTTGCACTGGCGTGCTTTCGAACTGCTAGGTTGGCAGGAGCAGGGACCGAGCAACGGTAGCTCACCCTGTCACAGGGATTCGAACCACCGACCTTCCAATCAGCAAGCCCAACAGGCTCAGTGGTTTAGACCACAGCACCATCCCCAAACTCGCCATGAGTGTCTGCCAGAGTGCTTTAGCAGTGGTTTGGACCTATAAAGCCTTAAATGGGTCAGGACCGCAATACCTCAAGGATCACCTCTTTCCATATGAGCCTAGCTGGACCCTGAGGTCATCATCTGAGGCCCTTCTTTGTGTGCCTCCTCCTCAAGAGGTCCGGAGGGTGGCAACACGAAAACAGGGCCTTTTCTGAAGTGCCTCCCTGTTTGTGGGACACTCTCCCCAGGGCAGTTTGCCTGACACCTTCATTATACACCAGGCAAAAATGATCCTTTTAAACCAGGCATTTGGTTGATCTGTTTGACATCCAATACCCTTTTAAAATGCAGCTCTTTTCAGGGTGGGTGGGCTATGCTGGTCTATAACCTTAATAAAGTTTTGTATTATTGCATTGTACTGGAGAGGGAGTTATTGGGTTGTTGTCCTTAATGCTGATTATATATGTTGTGATGTCTCTGCTTTTTAAGATCTTGTCAACAAAGGTCTGTATAGTTAAAGCTATAGTTTTCCCAGTAGTGATGTACGGAAGTGAGAGCTGGACCATAAAGAAAGCTGATCGCCGAAGAATGGATGCTTTTGAATTCTGGTGCTGGAGAGTCCCATGGACTGCAAGAAGATCAAACCTCTTCATTCTGAAGGAAATCAGCCCTGAGTGCTCACTGGAAGGACAGATCCTGAAGCTGAGGCTCCAAGACTTTGGCCACCTCAGGAGAAGAGAAGACTCCCTGGAAAAGACCCTGATGTTGGGAAAGATGGAGGGCACAAGGAGAAGGGGACGACAGAGGACGAGATGGTTGGACAGTGTTCTTGAAGCTACCAGCATGAGTTTGACCAAACTGCGGGAGGCAGTGGAAGACAGGAGTGCCTGGCGTGCTCTGGTCCATGGGGTCACCAAGAGTCGGACACGACTAAACGACTAACCAACAACATATATGTTGTGATCTTTTCACTGAACCGCCCTGAGACCTCCGGGTATAGGGTGGTATATAAACTCAAGTAATAATAATATTATTAATAATAATGCACTTTAACTCCAGAAACTGAAATCTCAGGTTTGAGCTGGAATTCCCCTTCAAAACACTGCCCGTCTGGAGGTGACCTAAGACCAGACTTGGCTCTGAAGGAGGATCATTCCCTCTTTCCGGCCAAACTGTTATGTAAGGCACTCTTCCAGGACATAAAACCCAAACCGCCCTCGAAAGTTTGGGATTCCCAGCGCTAAATCTGCCACCTTTTTATAGCAGTTCTGGGTTTGCGTGCCTTTGTGTTAACAAGACAATCCAACTCCACTCTAAATATTTAGAAGTCAAGCTTGCTGAAGCCAGGGCTCCTTTGCCCGATCTGAACTCGGGATTCTACCTCTTTCCCTGTCACCACCCGGCCAAGGAAGGATTACCGGTGGACATCTTGTTTTGCTCCTGACAGAACGCAAGAGCCAAGGGAAAGGACCATATAGATGTCATCGCTTTCAAATTCCCCAACTCCAGCCAAGATTTCCCTTTAGAAACAACCTGCTCCTTGTGAGAAGCAAAACCACATCTCTCTTTCCGTCACCACAGTAGATTGCCGGCGGCGGTGGCTGCAAATGCTCAGAAGAGGGTTGCGAAAGGCCATAATAGGGGCTGTTTGGTTCTTAAATCGTGTGTACTGTTTTTTAAAAAAATAGCCAGGATTTCTAGGGATTTGCAAAGCATGGTTGGTTGTCAATTATAGCAGAAGGTTGCGTGAGGTTGGACTCAGCGGAAGGTATCATGGGCTGGTTGATGCAGAAAAATGGCGGCAGGAACAAGCTGGGGAAACATCAGAAAGTAAGGCTCAGAGACCGGGGAGTGATGGTGGGACAACAATGGGTGGTCAGATGGAGAAGAGGGAGATGACTGGGAAGAGGTGTCGGAAGCTGAGGAGGTTACAGGGCTTAATGAGCCGGGAGATTCTGTGGCAGAGAGCAGTTCAGACTCAGCAGTAGAAGCAGAAGGGGGTCAAGAGGCAGCAATGAGGCAGGCTGGTGAAGAAGCCAGGGTGTTTCAATAATAATAATAATAATAATAATTTATTATTTGTACCCCACCCATCTGGCTGGCTCTCCCCAGCCACTCTGGGCGGCTTCCAACAAAGATTAAAAATACATTAAAATGTCACACATTAAAAACCTCCCTGGGCTGCCTTCTGATGTCTTCTAAATGTCAGGTAGTTGTATATTTCTTTGACATCTGACGGGAGGGCATTCCACAGGGCGGGCGCCACTACCGAGAAGGCCCTCTGTCTGGTTCCCTGCAACCTTACTTCTCGCAGTGAGAGAACCGCCAGAAGGCCCTCGGAGCTGGACCTCAGTGTCTGGGCTGAACGATGGGGGTGGAGACGCTCCTTTGGATATACTGGGCCGTATATTAATGTATTTTTAATCTTCGTTGGAAGCCGCCTAGAGTGGCTGGAGAAACCCAGTCAGATGGGCGGGTACAAATCATAAATGATGATGATGATGATGTATAGTAAAAGGGGTTCAAAGCTGTGTGTGTGTGTGTGTGTGTGAGAGAGAGAGAGAGAGAGAGAGACAGAGACAGAGACAGAGACAGAGACAGAGACAGACAGAGACAGAGACAGAGACAGACAGACAGACAGACAGACAGACAGACAGACAGACAATTTGCAAACAGCCTTGATTCCTGGTCCAGGAAAAAGGTTTCATTGGCATCTGTCTATCTCGAGAGAGAGTGCACCTCCAGGGCATGAAGTCAAACCACTGGAAAATCACAGCGCCTGCTGTGGCTGCAGAATCATAACCGCTGCCTCCCACGTTGTTTTTGCTGCCCTAGCAGCACCCAAGTGACACACCCACCCCACCCCACCCGCCGGCAGTGTGTCTGGAGGTCCTGGGCTGCCCAGATGACTAGACCCCCATCTCTTCCCGGCCTCATGGGCAAAAAGAAAGCAGATGTTTGGCACCAGCTTGGCTGCAGCAGTTGGCAGAAGAAGAAATACAAGTCTCTATCCAACCGTCTTGGGGACTCTGCTCCAGATTTGTGTAGGGTTTACTCCTGAGCCATTTAGGTGGGAAACAAATAAGTACAGCGACAACATAGTGCGAGTTTGCTTTTTAACGCACAGCAGAAGCCCGAAGCAGCTGTGCTACAGCCAGGGGGTGCAAAGCGAGGCCGGTGAGAGGTTTGTGGGCTGCAAATAAATCAAAGGGCCACATAAGCAGGCCTCGAGGGCCACATTTGTGTTTTTTTTAAATGATATTTATTGAAAATTTTTAGAATTACAAAAGAGAACAAAGCAGAAAAAGAGAAAGAAAAAACAAAGAAAAAACAAACCACATCAAACAATACAAATTCAAAAAACAAAAATACACCACAAACACTCAAAAACAAATCCATCATTCTCAAATCCTCAACTGTCATTACCTTCTTTCTTTGACCTCCTCCTCCTCCCTTTTTTTGTATCCTAGTTGTTAATTGTCGCAGCAAATCCTTTCCATATTTCATAATATTCTGTCATTACATTACCTTAATCTCTTTTAATCTTATCTTACTATAAAGAACCTTAAAGCTTAAAGCTTAAATCTTATTTTTACCAACTTCTCATAACCATAATATTCTTACATAATTCTTTAAACATTTTTGCTAAAGCCAAGTAATTTCGTTCCAACGTTTTTCTAACATTCATCAATTTTATAAAACAATCTTAGTAGTAAAAAAAAAGAAATAAAAACAATCCAATCTTCATCCAGCGTCCCTTCCTCCTGGTCCTGGGTTTTGTCAGTCCTTATTATCCCATCGATCTAGCGCATTAACCTGGTAACCTTGTATCCGAGGCTCTTAAGTCTCTTCCATGTCCCTTCCGCAGCTCTTCTTCAAATTTATAACTGTATTTTCCTTTGTCTCCTGCTCCTTTCACTCGTGGGAACTCCAGCTTAACAATGTTTTTGACCCTTCTCGACAAATCAGCCCCTTTTCCATAGTCCACACTAAACTCCATGTGGTATTTAAGAACATGTTTCAAAATCCCTCCAAAATTAAGAGCTCCCACAACCCCAAACATCTCACGGCCCATTGCCAGACTTGAAAGGTCCAAACATCCCTGCATAGGGGGTCTATCCAACCCCCCATTTCCAAACCAAACTTTATCTTTCCAAATCTGGCTTTTCCAAGTTCATTTGTCAAGTCCAAAAGCTCATGTTCCTGCTGGGCCACAGCTCCCTTCATCTCTGGCGCCCAAGATTCAGCAACATCCTCTTCCCTCATCTGTTCTGTCAGGGCACACTCCTGATTTGATTCCTGGGTGGGCTCCCGGGACTTCCGGGGTGGTGCCATCGGCAATGGCGGACTCCCTCTGATCTGGAGGGACTAGCTCCACGCGAAACGGGTCTTTTCCGCTACGGCGAAGCGGGGACCCTTTCAAAAATCACAGGCGGATGAAGCCTGTGACCATGGGACTCAGCGGGCACCTTTAGCGCCCCCCCAACCCGCAAAAGAACCCACTAATGGGCTCCGGAGCGAAGAGGGGGAAGTGGTGCTGAGAGTCAACTGCTTCTTCCGTGGAGCGAAGCCGCACAGCCGTTGCTGGAGAGCGCTGCCTTTTTCCTGGGACAATTTGGCTTCTAAAATAATCACCCGTGAGTACTTAAATTTCGGACAATTGGACTTTAAATAAGGACTTTCGAGCAGAAAGGAAAATTAGACTTAAAAGTTTACTTCAATTTGGCACTGAAACGGGAAGGTCTAAAAAGGAAGTCAGCCTTCCGTTTCTTTGTAGATAGATTAAAGCAAAGACATGGCAAACTAGAGCTCAGAAAATCGCTTGTAAAAGATTAACTTTCATCATTTAAAATTGTTGAACCCCCCTTCGGAAGCAGGAGAAGAGGGGGGATTTTTTCGGACTGTTTAAACCTGCAGAAGTGAGTGTAAAGTAAAGTAACTTTCCACCGTCCTGATCCTGGAGCGGGGTGTCAGGACTGACATTTTTTGAAGCTCATTGACCAGAGACAAACGTTTTTGACAGATAGCTATAAGAAGAGAAACATTGATTCCATTGTTCCCCTTCGCATTATAAAGGAACAAATATTGACAAAATATCTGAAAAAGGAAACTTTGTTGTTAGACTTGTCTTTAAAAGAAAGAACAAATAGAAGTTTTCCCCCTAGAGGGAGACTGTGAAACTGTAACCAACTCCGGGGAACTTGCAGCTGTTACAGATTACATTCGTGGGAATAGACTTCTGACCTTGCAGGACAATGTATTCAGAAGCTCTGTTGCGTGCTTTCTGTAAAACAAATGCCCTACTGGAACAGCTACAAGAGAAGACGGACTTGATGACTGCTGTGATCAGAAATTTTGAACAGGCAGTGGGAAATTATATGGAGCCCACTCGAGGGCCACATTTGACCTCTGGGCCCAAGGTTCCTGAAAAATACTTAGAGTCGAGAGTGGAATTCATGCTCTTTATTCAGCTCATAGTGGTGAGGAGGAATGAAAGTTTCCCCAAAGTATCTGCTTTATATACATTATTTACACAATGGGCTGCACATGATTGGCTAATTCTGGGATTCTCCTGTAGGCCAATCAGGTTGTGGATTCACTTCCATCTGGCGCTGGATTGGGTGGCTCCTGCGGACGAATCAGACTGCTGCATTGTTCTAGGACCAATCAGACTGCTGCATTCTGAATCCTATTGTTCTAGGACCAATCAGACTGCTGCATTCTGAATCCTATTGCTCTAGGACCAATCAGACTGCTGCATTTTGGATCCTATTGTTCTAGGACCAATCAGACTGCTGCATTTTGGATCCTATTCAACTCAGTACATAACAGTTCCCCACCACGAGTTGTGTAAATGCAACAAATGAATGTAAAGCCAGGCCCACAAGGCTGCAGGTCTCTGTCACCAGGAGAGATCTGCTTCCCCGACTCTTCCTGAGCGGAAAAATAAACCCCATGTTTCCTTCTTGAAGAGGTGAGTGTGCACTAAAAACCTGGAAGGCCCCTCCTGAACAAAACACTCCTAGGTTGAGGTTTTATCTTGGCAACCCCACCAAGGCAACTCCTTGTTCCACATGAGATTAGCTCCCTGGCTGGATGCCAGGGGGAGAGGCAAGGCGAGGGTGGTGATTCACGCCTGACTCATCCAGAGGAGCCTGGAGAGTCGCAGCAGAGAGGGGGTCCGAGCCCAAGGAAGGTTGGCAAGGCGTCTTGCTGGTTGTTTTCTAAACAACCTCGCAAGCAAGGATGGGCAAGTCAATCCCTTACTGTTTTTCCTCCCTTTCTCATTTTTCCACTCTTTTAACTTTTTTTTGCACTGGTTTGCAAACTTTTTTTTTACTTTTTAAAAGTCCTCATTGGACAATTCACCAGCATTTCACAGGAAAAGAGATTATGGCTAAACAGTGGAACTGTCTCTCCAACTCGATGACTCTATTATTTTAGGACATATTTTCTTCCAATATTCTTGTATGCAATCTTGCCTAACGTACGCCGTTTTGCAAAGCGATTTCCCCTAACTTAATACATTTTAATACACCGTTTTCACCAATACATGCATTTTGACACGTACTTTATCCCAGGGGTCAGCAAACATTTTCAGCAGGGGGCCGGTCCACTGTCTCTCAGACCTTGTGGGGGGTCGGACTATATTTTTTTTTGGGGGGGGGGGGAAATGAACAAATTCCTATTGCCCACAAATAACCCAGATGCATTTTAAAGAAAAGGACACATTCCACTCATGTAAAATCACGCTGATTCCCAGACCGTCCGGGGGCCGGATTGAGAAAGCGATTGGGCCGGATCCGGCCACTGGGCCTTAGTTTGCCTACCCATGCTTTATCCCAATACAGTGGTACCTCGGGTTAAGAACTTAATTCGTTCTGGAGGTCCAGTCTTAAACTGAAACTGTTCTTAACCTGAAGCACCTGCTGCCGCCGCGCCACTGGTGCACGATTTCTGTTCTCATCCTGAAGCAAAGTTCTTAACCCGAGGTACTATTTCTGGGTTAGCGGAATGTAATAAATATAGGGGTTGCTCGTGCTTAAGTTGCCGCCATTCCTGGCTAGGTTGCCTTGTTAAACCTTTTCTGTCTGGACAGCCCTTCACTTCGTGGCTGTTTCAGTCACTAGCAGAATCCGTCAGTGGGCGTTTCTTAAACCTTTTCCAGCATAAAAGCTGTTTGACGCCAAGTCTCCTCCTACTCTCCCTGCGCGGAAGTCTTCTGCGCAGGGAGGGTGGGGGTAGCGGAGGACCCGTGCTCTCCCCGCTGGTCTCCGGCGAGGAGTCCTGGAGCCCCCTCGCCGATTCCCCCATCTCCCTGGTGTTACGCTGATTTCCTTCCCCAGCTGACGAGCTGCCTCTCTCCCTGCTGGGCCCTTCTCCAGCATCGCTTGGGAGCCTTGCCTCCGTCTCTGGCTCCGATGTCAGTTCCTTGACACGGAATCTGTAACCTGAAGTGCCTGTAACTTGAAGTGTCTGTAACCTGAGGTACCACTGTATATGACTTTTGGGCCACATTGCTTAGCTGAAGAAATGCATTGCAAAATTCAGAGAAGTGTGTTTTGAAGGATTCCGGTTTGTGTAATGTTTTGGAAATGGCGAGCTCAGTTGGTTAGAGTGTGGTGCTGAGAACGCCAAGGTTGCAGGCTTGATCCCCATATGGGACAGCTGCAGATTCCTACATTGCAGGGGCTTGGACTAGATGATCCTTAGAATCCTTTCCAACTCTACACTTCTATTATTTTCTCCGCTTGAGAGTAAACAGCCAAGGAAAACAAGTGCCAGATCTAACTGCATATTTCATCTTTTTTACAGTGGATCGTGAATGCATTGCCGAAAGCCTCGTGTTGACTCACCTTTTCGTTTTTACAACAACCCTGTGATGTAGGCTAGGCTTATGCTCCACAGAGGACCTTAAGGTCCATGAATAACCATAGTTTAGAGGTCCCGGGCCCTAAGGAAGTCAGACTATCCTCCGCCAGGGCCAGGGCCTTCTCAGTGATGGCTCCGAACTGGTGGAATGCTCTGTCCCATGAGACTAGGGCCCTTCAAGATTTAAGCTCCTTTTGCTAGGTCTGTAAGACAGAGCTACTTCACCTGGCCTTTAATTTGAATTCAACCTGATCTTTTATTTCCCTTCTCTTCCCTCCCCCTCCCCTTTTATGAGACCCCACAGCTAATTCTCCCCTGATCTCCTCGCTGGCCCAAATAGGACCAATTCAGCCAGCTAGCCCTGGGGATTATTTAATGCTTATTTCCCCTAAATTGATTTTTGATTTTTGAATTTTATTGTTATTAATGTTTTTATACTGTATTTTATGCTGCTTTTATAATTAAGTGTTTTAAATCTGTTGTTAGCCGCCCTGAGCCCAGTTTTTGAACCGGGAAGGGCGGGGTTTAAATAAAAATTTATTATTAATTTATTATTAGGCTTAGAGGCAGTGACTGCCCCCCCCCCCGATCGCCCAGTGAGCTCCGTGACGGAGTTGGGGGTAGGATTCAAACCCATGTCTCCCAGCTCTTTGACCAGAACTCTAACCACTACACCACCACTGCCTGTTGGTACGACACCTCCGACCATCCCTGGCCATTGGCCAACGAAGCAGGGGCTGAAAGGATTTGGAGTCCGAACATCTGGTGGGAAACAGCCCCCCCCCCCAGCCCCATATAGACTTACTTATCTGAGTGGAAGTGTGGGGTGTACCTGCAGCTTTGATCTGGATTTGGGAGGAAGCAACCTGTGCCCCAGGGAAAAAGCAATTGAGCACGCAATGGTTTGGGTAAGGTTTGAGGTTTGGGTAACTCGGTGGCAGCTGTACACGAGAATTTGGACGGACTGGGTGGGAGAGCAGCTTGGAGCCGCTCTTGCTAAGCCGATACTTGTCTGCCTCCTGGCGGCCGAAATATGAGCTGCCTCCTAGTTTCAAACTCGAGGAACAAAGGCGAGCAACTCTCCTTACCTAACGGATTCAGGAAAGGCACACGATTCTTCATTCGGTGAGGGCTGGGCGGGGGAATGGCCTGTGGAACTCCTTGCCACAGAGTGCCACGATGATGGAAGGGAGTGGGAAGGTGTTTGTGGGCTTCCCCCAGGCATTTGGTTGGCCACTGTGAAAAGGGGATGCTAGCCTAGAAGGGTTACTGGCCTTATCCAGCAGGCACACACATATATATTCTTTATTGGAAAATAATAAATAAATAAATACCCGGTATAAAATTATGAGTGCACAAGGTAAAACAAGGCATGAAAAGGATCACAATACAGTGGTACCTGAAACTGTTCTTAACCTGAAGCACCACTTTAGCTAATGGGGGCCTCCTGCTGCCGCCGCACTGCCAGAGCACGATTTCTGTTCTTATCCTGATGCAAAGTTCTTAACCCGAGGTACTATTTCTGGGTTAGCGGAGTCTGTAACCTGAAGCGTATGTAACCCGAGGTACCACTGTAGTTAAGATACACCTGTGTAAAAAAGGACAACAGAAAGAAAAACAACTGACAAGGTTGTTACAGTGGTACCTCGGATTAAGAACTTAATTCGTTCTGGAGGTCCGTTCTTAACCTGAAGCACCACTTTAGCTAATGGGGCCTCCTGCTGCCGCCGTGCAATTTCTGTTCTCATCCTGAAGCAAAGTTCTTAACCCGAGGTACTACTTCCGGGTTAGTGGAGTCTGTAACCTGAAGCGTCTGTAACCTGAAGCGTCTGTAACCCGAGGTACCACTGTATTGTACGTATCCTAAACTTAACCTAATGCAGTGTTTCTAATAATTATTTCCAAATACTGCAAAATTTGTCCACGGCAAGTCTACATTTATACACAACAGGCTTCCTTACGGTATAATAATAATAATAATAATAATAATAATAATAATAATAATAATTTGTGACTTATACCCTGCCCATCTGGCCGGGTTTCCCCAGCTGCTCTGGGTGGCTCCCAGCAAAATATTAAAAACACGGTAAAACATCAAACATTAAAAACTTCCCTAAACAGGGCTGCCTTCAGATGTCTTCTAAAAGTCAGGTACAGTCATACCTCGGGTTACAGACACTTCAGGTTGCGTTTTTTCGGATTATGGCCCCACCGAAACCCGGAAGTACCGGAACACGCATGTGCAGGAGTGCTAAATCATGCTTTGTGCATGCGCAGAAGCGCCGAATCGGAACCCACGCATGCACAGATGCTGCGCTGTGGGTTGTGAATGCTGCGGGTTACGAACGTGCCTCCTGCATGGATCACGTTCGCAACCCGAGCGTCCACTGTCATTGTTTATTTCCTTGACATCTGGTGGGAGGGAGTTCCACAGGGCCTTATGATCTGGAGGTTTCTCACTTTCCTCCAGATTCCGCAGATTTCCTTTTTTAAAACAACAACAACACCACACAACTCACTTGTCCCTGCTTGCAAGTTGCCTCCTTGATTTTTTTCCACGCAGTGACAACCAGACTGCCAGCGCAACCTCTGTGGCCTCTCTGCTCCATGAAATACACATGTGGTGAAACCTGTTTGACGGAGAGTGTTCAGCCCGAGGCTAGGAAACTGCTGAGATGGCTCCATCAGCTGGAGACATTCTGTATTATGGCTTGATGCAGACAGATAAGGCGGAGGCACGGGCTGCACATCTGCATTCTGGAGAAAGAAGCTATAGAAAAGTTTTAAGTGCCAAAAGCTTGCGCCTTTCCCCCTCCTTCCCAAGGAAACAAAATTAATTTTGGAAAAAGCATAGTTCGCAACCCAGGGTACTCCCAGGTGGCATGTCATTCAAACTTTGTCCTGATTCATTTGCAGGGAGATATGGGGACATTGCCGCGAGATATGGGGACATTGGGACGCGGGTGGCGCTGTGGGTTAAACCACAGAGCCTAGGGTTTGCCAATCAGAAGGTTGGCGGTTCGAATCCCCGTGATGAGGTGAGCTCCCGTTGCTCGGTCCCTGCTCCTGCCAACCTAGCAGTTCGAAAGCACGTCAAAGTACAAGTAGATAAATAGGTACCGCTCTGGTGGGAAGGGAAACGGCGTTTCCGTGCGCTGCTCTGGTTTGCCAGAAGCGGCTTAGTCATGCTGGCCACGTGACCCGGAAGCTGTACACCGGCTCCCTCACCCAGTAAAGCGAGATGAGCGCCGCAACCCCAGAGTCGTCCGCGACTGGACCTAATGGTCAGGGGTCCCTTTACCGTTATGGGGACATTGGCACTCTATACCTCCAAAGCGCATTCAAAGGACGTTGCTTCTCTCAAAGAATTCTGGGTACAAGCAACTCCCCATTTATGTGGGGGTTATGTCCAGGGGCACCACACATTTACGAGAAATCACACGTCTTTAAAGCACCACTGGAAAGCTGGCAAACATCCTCTAAAATGCTTGAAAACCCTTTTAAAAACCAGCGGCATTTGCTAGGAGTCAAACTCCACCACCGTCACTCCCTCCAAATTTCTTTGCTCAAACACCACAGGCCTCAATGTTCAGTGCAAGGCACTGTTTTCGTGATTTTTCACCCTTTCTGTGCTGTTTTAGGATGGTTTTTGACATTTTTAATGCATGTGCGCTCGCAGTTGCACATCAGTTGGATGCACGAGAATTGGTTGCTGCCTGTACCGCTCACTAGGGTTGCCATATTTTTGGCAAGGTTGTTGAGCTTTTTTCAGTTTTGCCCAGAGTTGTTGAGCTTTCTTTTTTTTGAGCTCTTTTTAAGGAAATTCACCAAAATCTGCACATCCAACACGGGTCGCCGTAAGTCCGCATACTGAAGTGATTTCAACCTGGACACATTCCGACGGCCGAATCCTGGAAACGTCTGGAAAACTCTGGACAGCCGCTCACAGAGTTACAACGCCCAGAAACCCTGAACTCACAACATGAGCAAAACCCTTTATGGGTAATGAAAATGCTTTGAAGGTGCTTTGAGGGTACCATACCCTCAAGGTGTCCTGATTTTCCAAGGACAAAGTTCAGAATTATGCAATCCTTCCCAGCTTCTGATTTGATCCCAGAATGTCCCCATTTCCCCTGCCAGTACTCTTGGAATTAAGGGGTTTTCTGAGGACGGTGGAAAGTTTGTGTCCCGTGTCCTGTTGGTATTGTGGTGGTGGAAATGTTCTGCGGCAGGTTTTGTTGGGGATAACTCAGACTGAAATTCCCAGGTGTCAAAAAACGTTATTTATGAATTTGCATTTAGGCAAATCTACTGAATTCACTATGTTTCTAAAGCACTATGGCAGTGATGGTATAGCTGTCAAGCACATTATTTGTATGCAAACCCAGGGAACATTTTAGGTCTTTCAAAGACCATTTGTGGGCTCATGTACCCCTCTATTCTGCCTTGGTTAGACCGCACCTGGTGTCCTGTGTTCAGTTCTAGACGCCACAATTTAAGAAGGATGTTGACAAGCTGGAACGGGTGCAGAGGAGGGCGACAAAGATGACAAAGGGTTTGGAAACCAAGCCTGATGAGGAATGGTTGAAGGAGCTGGGCATGATTAGCCTGGAAAAGATGAGACTGAGAGGAGATATGAGAGCTGTCACATGGAGGATGGAGCAAGCTTGTTTTCTCCTGCTCCGAAAGGTAAGAACCGAACCCGTGGTTTCAAGTTACAAGAAATGGGAACATTCTTTCACATGTGGTGGACCTGTAAAAGGGTAAAAAAGTATTGGGAAATAATCCATAATGAATTGAAAAAAAAATGTTTAAAAGTACTTGCTTAAAAAAACAGAGTCCTTTTCGTTGGGGATAATTCAGACGGAAATTCCCAGGTGTTAAAAAAGGTTATTTATGTATGCCACTACTGCGGCCCGTGTTTTGTTAGCTCCCCAAACGGAAAATGAGCGAGATCTCAACCAAAGAAGAATGGCAACTTAAGCTGACAGAATATGCCCAGCTTGCTGACTTAACATATAGAATAAGAGAACATGAACATGCTTTTAGAGAAGATTGGAAAACGTTTATTGAATATATGGGGGGAAATTGTGCACACCTGAAAACGTTGGCAGCATCGAGATAAATTCAACAGGTTTTGACGAATGCAATAATGGAATACAGTGGGCGCTCGGGTTGCGAACATGATCCATGCGGGATGCACGTTCGCAACCTGCAGTGTTTGCAACCCGCGTCTGCGCACGCACAGGTTGCGACTCGGCGCTTCTGCACATGCGCAAAGTGCGATTTAGCGCTTCTGTGCACGCGTGACCTCCGAAACCCGGAAGTAACCCGTCCTGGTACTTCCGGGTTTTGGCAGTCCGTAACCCGAAAAAACACAACCTGAAGCGGCTGTAACCTGAGGTATGACTGTACTGAATGGTTTAGTTTTTGTAAAATATGCAGGGATATGTGATATGCAAAATGAACCGTGGAAAGAGAAGAAGGGAAGTCACTGATATTTTAAGGATGTTTGTTAAAATGAGTATTTTAAATTGCAAAACATAAAATTTAATAAAAATTATATATATAAAAAGAAAAATAAATGCTCTGTGGCAGGGTGTGTGTGTGTGCGTGCGTGTGCATTTGTATCTCTCGACGCAAGGTCCCTTTCCTTTAAACCCTAGATCTTGCACTTCTACTCTTTCACCCGAGCCAGTATGCAAGCTTTAAACGCAAGCTGTTTCAGGGTGATTGCTGAGGGAGAGTGCGGCAGCCTGTTCATAGCTCCTGAATTTTCTTAAATGCTAACACATGACGTGGGGCCCCATCCAGGAGACTTAAGAACTCTCCGCCCCTACATGAAGATAAAAAATATATGTATTTGGCACGCAAACAGCTCCTTTACTGTAAGGCCTAGCAAAGGGGCTTGGTTACGGCAAGGGAAAAATGTCGAGCCGCACCTCTCTGGGGCTTGGCTCTCTTGTCCCGACAGCGTCCAAGCTAAACAAAGAGTTTAGCTCACAGATGAAACTGGTTAAGGGGAAATTGGGGAGGGGGGCTTGCAGCCTGCCTGCAGGAAGAGGCCAATCTATGGGGCAAGGTGAACAACGTGGAAACAATGAAGCAAGTTCCCCGAAACAGGCAGGTCTGTGGGAAACTGGCAAGCGCACCCCACAAATGTGTCCCCCCCCCAAAAAAGGACGTCCCGTTTTTTATCGCAAGAGAATGGCCGCCATTTTGGTTGCCAGCATCTCGCAAGATTTCGTGGCACGATTTCCCCTCGGGAAAAAGTGCATTTCTGTGGCAGAGGTCTTGCTTTGGGGAACTGCGCCTGGAAAATGTGGCGGGGGGGGTGTTGGGGCGGGGGAGGAAGGAAACCACGGAGTGAGATCACGGCAAACCCAAATGGCCGGCGTGCTCTCATGAGAAAGAACAGGAACACGGCGTCCGGGAAGATGGCGTCCCGAATTTTGACTGCAGGGTCAAACTCTCTGTTATGTACTGAGTTGAATAGGATACAAAATGCAGCAGTCTGATTGGTCCCAGAACAATAGGATTCAGAATGCAGCTGTCTGATTGGTCCTAGAACAATGCAGCAGTATGATTGGTCCGCAGGAGCCACCCAATCCAGCTCCAGATGGAAGTGAATCCACAACCTGATTGGCCTACAGGAGAATTCTGGAATTAGCCAATCACGTGGGGCCCATTGTGTAAATAATGTATATAAAGCAGATACTTTGAGGGGACTTTCATTCCTCCTCACCACTATGAGCTGAATAAAGAGCATGAAATCCACTCTCAACTCTGAGTATATTTCACTCTCTTAAAGTCATCCAAGTTGGTGGCCATCACAGGCTCCTGCAGAACAGAGTTCCATAGATGAACAGCGCTGCACAAAGAATTATTTTCTTCCATCTGCCCTGAATATTGGATCCCTTCCAGTCGGGATTCAGGCCTCATCATGGGACTGAAACTGCCTTGGTTGTGCTGATCGATGATCTCCCGCGGGCTAGGGACAAAGGTGAGAGCTGTTTCCTAGTTCTGCTGGATCACTCAGCGGCTTTTGACATCATCGACCATAACATCCTTCTGGACCGCCTAGTGGGGCTGGGAGCTGGGGGCACTGTCATACAGTGGTTCCGCTCCTTCCTCCTGGGCCATCTCCAGAAAGTGGTGGTAGGGGATGAGTGTTCAGACCCCTGGGCTCTCACTTTTGGGGTGCCTCAGGGCTCCATCCTCTCCCCCATTCTTTTTAACATCTACATGCAGCCTCTGGGAGAGATCATCAGGGGGTTTGGTTGGGTGTTCATCAATATGCGGATGATACCCAGCTCTACCTCTCTTTCAGATCAGAACCAGTGAAGGCGGTGAAGGTCCTTTGTGAGTGTCTGGAGGCGGTTGGAGGATGGATGGCGGCCAACAGATTGAGGTTGAATCCTGACAAGACAAAAGTACTGTTCTTGGGGGACAGGAGGTGGACAGGTGTGGAGGATTCCCTGGTCCTGAATGGGGTAACTGTGCCCCTGAAGGACCAGGTGCGCTGCCTGGGAGTCATTTTGGACTCACAGCTGTCCATGGAGGCACAGGTCAATTCTGTGTCCAGGGCAGCTGTGTACCAGCTCCATCTGGTATGCAGGATGAGACCCTACCTGCCCGCAGACTGTTTCGCCAGAGTGGTGCATGCTCTGGTTATCTCCCGCTTGGACTACTGCAATGCCTACTGACTCTGATATTAGAGGAGGTGCATGCATAGATAGCCAGTGTTGTTCAACTTCCCTATGAAGAGGGATTGACTGTTCACTTGAAGAATTCAAGTTCAAGTTCAAGTTTATTGCGGCCAAAGCCAGTGACACTAAACACCATAAGATCAGACAACAAGAAAACAGCAACAACTTTAGAAAAGAAAAAAGGTTACACAAGAGAACTTCCCAGTGTGCCATTCAACAGAAGAGATTTACGCTTCTTAATTACTAAAGTGCAAAATTTAGCCACCTCATATGATACTGAGCTTGAGGAATCTTCCAGGAGGTATTTTCGAAGAATTTCAGGGGAGGATTCCAAATAATATTGAAGGGGTATAAATTTTGATAGAAGTGGTAAAATAAGTTGAACTCGTTCCTCACTATAGAATTCGCAAGATAGAAGAATGTGTGTGACAGATTCTACCTTATTAGACATACAAGGGCAGAGACGCGCATGCATTGGAACTCGCGTGAATTTGCCGTACAGCACTGCTGAGGGCATTGTCTCAAAGCGGGCTCTAGAGAAAGCCCATCTATAGGTTTCGTTAGTGATGTTAGTTAAGTAAGGGGCAGCTGCAAAATTAGGCCAAGCTTTTAAACATCTATACGTCTCTGGGAGTAGGGCGCCTTCTTGTTGTAATTCGATATCATGAAGTCTCCGAGTGATAGTAGTTTTTGCCTTCACTTGAAGAATTGTAACTCTGGGCCAGGGCCAGCCCAAGACATTTTGCCACCTGAAGCAGACCCCAAAACGGCATCTCCCTTCCCTGTCAGGGAAGAAAGGGTGAGGGAAGACCTATGTCGCAGACAAGGGGAAAAGAATGATCAACATCATTATCTGCTGCCCCATGGATCTTGCCGCCTGAGGCAGTTGCCTCATCTTGCCTCATGGGTGGGCCGGCCCTGCTCTGGACGAGGAATCAACGTCTCCTAACAACTCTTAGCACCCTGAACAAACTACAGCTCCCAGGATCCCTTGGGGGTGGGCAGCCATGAGCATTAAACTGGTCTTAAAAAGATAAAGGGGCCCCTGACCATTAGGTCCAGTCGTGGCCAAATCTGGGGTTGCGGTGCTCATCTCGCTTTACTGGCCAAGGGAGCCGGCGTACAGCCGGTCATGTGGCCAGCATGACTAAGCCGCTTCTGGCAAACCAGAGCAGCGCACGGAAACGCCATTTACCTTCCCACCGGAGTGGTACCTATTTGTCTACTTGCACTTGACGTGCTTTCGAACTGCTAGGTTGGCAGGAGCAGAGACTGAGCAACGGGAGCTCACCCCGTCGCGGGGATTCAAACCGCCAACCTTCTGATTGGCAAGTCCTAGGCTCTGTGGTTTAACCCACAGTGCCGCCCGCGTCCCTACTGGTCTTAACAGTGCTTTAAATCCAAAGTACGGAATTGTTCCAGGTCTCAGCAGTGCAGAATAAAATGGAACAATTATTCGTTACTTGGAAACTATTAACGCAACTTAAAATCCAGACAAGCTTTTAATTTGCCGTTTTAGGGTGTTGTTGTTTTTTAAACACCTGGTTCCGATATTTTACCTGGTTTATAAGTTACCGCAGCTGACTATTTGTTCTGTATGCTTTTGTGATATATTGGTTTTAAACAATCTAAGCCACCCAGCGGTGCTGGGAGGGTGGAGTGCACGTTTTCTAAATTACTAAAGCAATAAATAAAGGGCAGGCTGTGAAGCTGTGTGCGTGAGTGTGTCTTCCTCTCTCGAGTTCCTGAAATCCAGAGGTGGTGCGGAACATTAATGAGAAAACCAGATCCCCCCAGACCAACAGGCGATTAAGGCTTAGCTTGCCCCTCCTGTAAACATTGCTGAGAAGTCTCTCTCCCCCACCCCCACCGTGTGTGTGTGTGTGTGTGTGTGTGTGTGTGTGTGTGTGTGTGTTTGTGGCAACTTCCTGTCTGGAAAATCCCTGCAGCTGTTTCAGCTCAGCTTTCACTGTGATTTCATGTTACCACGAACAATTTTTTTTTGCATTGCTCCACAAGAGTGATGCCCATTTGAGCAGCCTGTCTCGGAGCATCAACTTCCTCCTTCTTTGCCCACCTTTGTGAACAACAACAAAATAAAAATAAAAATAAAAATAAAAATAAAAATAAAAATAAAAATAAAATTTATTTATACCCCACCCTCCTGGCCAGAGCCGGGCTCAGGGCGGCTAACACCAATAAAATTACAGTAAAAACATAATAGGAAAAAACTAATTAAATGCAGGTTAAAATGCAATTTTAAAATGCAACCTCATTTTAAAAATAGCCCATAAATCTTCTTCTTCTTCTCGTCATCATCATCATCATCATCAAACTGCAATGTTCATTCACTGCAGCGTATCTTCGACACCCCAACTTTGATGAGCACTGAACACACAGGGGCTACCTTGAACTGAGCCAGACCTCTGGATCCAACGAGCTTAGTACTGTCAACACAGGCTGGCAGCAGCCAGTGGCGTCAAGTCCGTGGACTAGGGGCTGGCGGCTCCTTCCCCAAAGCCCATGAAGCTTCTGCTCGGATTAGGGACGCAGGCACGATGTTCTAGGGGTCCAAAAGACCTCCCGCAATCTGCCCAAAGTCTGCCCAGCTTTGGAGAGGCAGCAGCAGGGCTCCAAAATCTTGTAAAGGTAAAGGGACCCCTGACCATTAGGTCCAGTTGTGGCCAACTCTGGGATTGCGGCGCTCATCTCGCTTTATTGGCCCTAGGGAGACAGCGTACAACTTCCGGGTCATGTGGCCAGCATGACTAAGCCGCTTCTGGCCAACCAGAGCAGCGCATGGAAACGCCGTTTACCTTCCCGCTGGAGTGGTACCTATTCATCTACTTGCACTGGCGTGCTTTCGAACTGCTTGGTGGGCAGGAGCAGGGACCGAGCAACGGGAGCTCATCCCGTCGCGGGGATTCGAACCGCCGACCTTCTGATCGGCAAGTCCTAGGCTCTGTCGTTTAACCCACAGCGCCACCCGCGTCCCTCCAACATCTTGTAAGAGGCTTCTGCCTCGCTTAGGGAGGGAGGGGCGATGTTGCCATGCGTGTTGCAACACCACACCACCCCCATATCGCCCTGGGAAGCTGCTGCCTCTGGCCCTAACTGTTCCCCTACAAAAAAAATGCACTGCTCGCCACTGGCGGTAGCCAGTGAGATGCCGTGATTTGAACCCAAGGCCTTCTTCATGCAGGTAGATGTTCTGCCACCAATCAAAAATCCTGCTTTGAATGTATTTTGGAAGTGTGAGGAGAAGGAAGGCACTTTCCACCACATGTGGTGGACGTGCGAGAGAACAAAAGCGTTCTGGGAAATGATTGATAACGACTTGAAAAAAAGGTTTAAAATAACGTTTGTGGAAAAACCAGAAGCCTTTTTACTAGGGATTTTCGGTGCAGAGATACCAAAGGAGCAGAAACGACTATATATGTACGCGACGACAGCAGCGCGGATACTACGGGCCCAGAGATGGAAAGAAGATTAAAGTCCCGACCAGAGAGGAATGGCTGATGAAGATGATGGAACTATGCCGAAATGGGGAAAATGACCGGGAAAATCGGAAACCAGGAAGAGAGAAACTTTAATAAGGGATGGGAGAAATTTACAAATTATTTAGGAGAACACTGTAAACAACTAAAAGCTTTGGCAGGATTTGAGTAACGCTTGTAATGTACTACAGTGGTACCTCAGGTTAAGTACTTAATTCGTTTCAGAGGTCCGTACTTAACCTGAAACTGTTCTTAACCTGAAGCACCACTTTAGCTAATGGGGCCTCCTGCTGCTGCTGCACCGCCAGAGCACGATTTCTGTTCTCATCCTGAAGCAAAGTTCTTAACCTGAAGCACTATTTCTGGGTTAGCGGAGTCTGTAACCTGAAGCGTCTGTAACCTGAAGCGTATGTAACCTGAAGCGTATAACTCGAGGTACCGCTGTATAAGGTAAAAATGGATTACAGTCGACGCTCGGGTTGCGAACGTGATCCGTGCGGGAGACACATTCGCAACCCGCAGCGTCCGCAACCTGCAGCGGCGCGTCTGCCCATGCACGGGTTGCGATTCGGTGCTTCTGCACATGCGCAAAGCACAATTTAGCGGTTCTGCGCATGTGTGACTGCCAAACCCCGGAAGTAACCTGTTCCGGTACTTCCAGGTTTCGGCGGTCCGCAACCCGAAAAAATGCAACCTGAAGTGTCTGTAACCCGAGGTATGACTGTATTTTAAGGAAAATGGAGAAAATATATGATGCAGTTGAAAAAGACTGAAAATGGAAACCATGGAAGGGTGGAAGTCTAAGGATTCAGGGAACATTTAGATGTTGATGATTATGTCTAACGTTTGAATTTAAATGTGTAGTGTAAAACTGAATTAAAAAAATATTTTTAAAAAAGAAATAAATCCATATCTGTATGGCATTTTCCTGCTTGACCCTTCCCCTCTGGTTATTTTTTTTGTTTTTGGAGAAGGATTGCTTCCCTGTCTTCCTCTTTGCAGGATGCCTGGGGTACGTGGACTGGGGGAGATCAGCCTGGGCTACACATCCGGACTGCAGATAATGCAGGAGCAAAAACACCTCTTTTGCCCTTCCCCGTTAAATGTGAGCTGTGGAACCAAACGCTTTGCCCCTCTCCGTTTTTTTGAGATTTCCTCTGAGGCGCACAGCACCCAGCCACCGTGTTGTCTTTGGACCACGGTGGCGACTTTGGAACGAAGCCGCAAACCGTGATCCAGTTTCCCTTCCTCCTTGCGGGCCAAAGTCAACAAATTGTTCAGGCAGGAACCGGCAAAATGCAGAATCAGGAGGAATTGTTAGCGCTGTAGGGTCTGTAAGGAGAGACGGGTCAACCCCAAAGCTGCATCTGGTGATGTCTGGATTGCAGAAGTCTTGAGCCAACAGATAGCTCAGCTGGTAGAGCACAAGACTCGTACTCTCAGGGTTGGGGGTTTGAGCCCCATGTTGGGCAAAAGATTCCTGCATTGCGGGGGGTTAAGCTATGGTTTTCCTAGTAGTGATGTACGGAAGTGAAAGCTGGACCATAAAGAAGGCTGATCGCCGAAGAATCAATGCTTTTGAATTCTGGTGCTGGAGGAGACTCTTGAGAGTCCCATGGACTGCAAGAAGATCAAACCTCTCCATTCTGAAGGAAATCAGCCCTGAGTGCTCACTGGAATGACAGATCCTGAAGCTGAGGCTCCAATACTTTGGTCCCCTCATGAGAAGAGAAGACTCCCTGGAAAAGACCCTGATGTTGGGAAAGATGGAGGGCACAAGGAGAAGGGGACGACAGAGGACAAGATGGTGGGAGTGTTCTCGAAGAGACCAGCGTGAGTTTGACCAAACTGCGGGAGGCAGTGGAAGACAGGAGTGCCTGGCGTGCTCTGGTCCAGGGGGTCATGAAGAGTCGGACATGACTAAACAACAACAACAGACTAAATGACCCTTGTGGTTTTTTCTACCTCCATGATTATGCCGTGAGGTGCTCTTGCCTTTTTCTTTCCTTAATACTACTACTACTAATAATAATAATAATAATTTATTAATATCCCGTCCTCCCCAGCCAAAGCCGGGCTTAGAGCGGCTAACAACAGTAAAAATAACACCATCTACATAAAATCACAATCAATTAATTGAAATACATTCTAAAATCAATTCATTCTAAAATCAATTCAGAATCAAACCATTGGGGTGGGGTGCTATGAGGATTACCAAAGGAGGGGGTCAAGACTGTGCCTTGACCAAAGGCCTGGTGGAACAGCTCCGTCTTGCAGGCCCTGCGGAAAGATGTCAAGTCCCGCAGGGCCCTGGTCTCTTGTGACAGAGCGTTCCACCAGATTGGGGCCACGGCCAAAAAAGCCCTGGCTCTGGTTGAGGCCAGCCTAACCTCCATGTGGCCCGGGATCTGCAAGATGTTTTTGTTTGAAGACTGTAAGGTCCTCCGTGGGACATGCCAGGAGAGGCGGTCCCGTAGGTCCTAGTCCGTATAGGGCTTTAAAGGTTAAAACCAGCACCTTGAACCTGATCCTGTACTCCACCGGGAGCCAGTGCTGCTGGTATAGCACCGGGTGAATGTGATCCCGCTGCGAGGACCCCGTAAGGAGTCTCGCCGCGGCATTCTGCACCCGCTGGAGTTTCTGGGTAAGTCTCACGGGCAGCCCTGCGTAGAGTGAGTTACAATAATCTTCTCTCCAGCTCAAGGGTTCTTGGCATAGCTGTCAACTTTCCCCTTTTCTTGCGAGGAATCCTATTTGGAATAAGGGAACTTCCCTTAAAAAAAGGAAAACGTTGACAGCTATGGTTCTCGGTCCTCCTCCATCCAATTTTGGCTTCAGGCGCACATTGCTCCTAGGCCTTCACTCCAGGAAAGGCAAATCCCACTCCTGACACCAATGTTGCATAACTCGGGCACCATCCCCACTCTCTGCTGAGCGGTTGCAAGATCCCAGGGGGGTTCCAGGCACTCACTCCGGTTTTGTGCTCCTTTGGGAGAACTGAAGACGGAGCAGAGACTGTGGTAGTTTTAAGAAATGATTTATTCACCTTCAGTCTGCATGGAGGGAGCTAACATAGCAGAGCAGCCCTGGAGTCCAAGGCATCTCTCCCGATCATAGCTGTCAACGTTTCCCTTTTTTAAAGGGAAATTCCCTTATTCCGAATAGGATTCCTTGCAAGAAAAGGGAAAAGTTGACAGCTATGCTCCCGATCACAAGAGTTGGGAAGGGACAGATAATCCCAGCACCTCCCGCAGGTAAGAAGGGTGTGTGTAGATACTAAGCTATTGTTACAAAGGGAAAATATACTGTATTTTTCCGTCTATAAGACGCCCCCCCCATGTATAAGGTGCCCCCTATTTTGGGGGACTCAGATTTAAGAAAATGGGGGGAGATGTATCCGTGTATAAGACGCCCCCAAATTTTGGACATTATTTTTAAGGGGGGAAAACCTAGTCTTATACATGGGAAAATACGGTATATCCATTGCCCCACCCACTTTTACCTCAAGTCCCACCTGCCTGCGATTGGCGTGTGGCCCTTAGAAGATGGCCCAGCAAGAAACATGGCCCTCAGGCTGAGCGACGGTTCCCCACTCTTGGCTCAATGTATAGATTCAGGTCAGACCAAAGAAAACGTCCACAGGAGGAGAGACATTGCGCAGAGCGAACATAAACCCGAGACGCCGGCTGCATTATTAGAAGAACTGAGGTTTATTTGTGCCTCGTAAGATGGAGGCCATCCACAGAATCCATTGAAGAGGTAGTCGCCAAAGGATAGACTCCTTGTCTCCTACGACTGGGTTGTCTCTGAAGAATGCCCATCTTCAGGGGACAAGTCTGAGACCAGCAGCCATCACACAACAACAAAACAGGGCCTTTTCTGTGGTGGCTCCCCATTTGTGAAATGCTCTCCCCAGGGAGGTCTCACCTGGCTCCATCATTACACACCTTATTTTTAAACCTGGGCTTTGGGGCGTGAACTGGAAAAGTTTCAAGTATTTGTGGCGGTGCAGGATCTGTCAGACCTATATTTTATCTTCACAGTTGTGCTTCTAGGTTTTTACCTGGTTGTTCTACTTGGTTCTAATGTTTTGCCATTTCTGCAAACTATTATTTATTAAATTTATCAGTCGCTTTTTGTTTTTTACCAAGGTAACTCAAAGCAACTCGCAATAGGTAAATGTGTGAATGCAAACATTAAAGCCAGAATGAAAGAAAACAAAAGTCAGTGCCCAGATCACGGGAAATCAGAGTACCAAATAAATCTGCCTTGATCAAACCCTGCCTGCAATACTGTGTCCAGTTCTGGGCACCTTAGTTTAAGGATATTGACAAGCTGGAAGGTGTGCAGAGGGGAAGGTGACCAAGGGTCTGGAAACTGAGCCTGATGAGGAATGGTCAAGGGAGTTGGGTATGTTTGGCCTGGAAAAGAGGAGACTGGGAAGAGATATGATAGCCATCTTCAGATATCAGAAGGGATGTTATACAGAAGATGGAACGAGCTTGTTTTCAGCTTGGACTACTGCAATGCGCTCTATGTGGGGCTATCTTGGAAGGTGACCTGGAAACTGCAACTAATCCAGAATGAGGCAGCTAGACTGGTGACTGGGAGCGGCCGCCGAGACCACATAACACCGGTCCTGAGAGATCTGCATTGGCTCCCAGTACGTTTCGGACCACAATTCAAAGTGATGTTGCTGACCTTTAAAGCCCTAAATGGCCTCAGCCCAGTATACCTGAAGGAGCGTCTCCACCCCCATCGTTCAGCCCGGACACTGAGATCCAGCACTGAGGGCCTTCTGGCAGTTCCCTCCCTGCGAGAAGTGAGGTTCAGGGAACCAGGCAGAGGGCCTTCTCGGTAGTGGCACCCGCCCTGTGGAACGCCCTCCCACCAGATGTCAAGGAAATAAACGACTGACTTTTAGAAGACATCTGAAGGCAGCCCTGCTTACGGAAGCTTTCAATGTTTGATGTTTTATCATGTTTTTAATATTCTGTTGGGAACCGCCCAGAGTGGCTGGGGAAGCCCAGCCAGATGGGCAGGGTATAAATAATAATTTGTTGTTGTTGTTGTTGTTATTCAGCTGCTCCAGAGGGGAGGACCCAAACAAGTGCATGGTGCTGACCTTGGAAGCCCTAAATGGCTTCAGTCCAGTATACCTGAAGGAGTGTCTCCCCCCGCATCAATCAGCCCAGACACTGAGGTCCAGCGCCAAGGGCCTTCTGGCGGTTCCCTCCCCGTGAGAAGCCAAGTTACAGGGAACCAGGAAGAGGGCCTTCTCGGTGGTGGCACCCGCCCTGTGGAATGCCCTACCACCAGATGTCAAGGAAATAAACAACAACCTGACATTTAGAAGACATCTGAAGGCAGCCCTGTTCAGGGAAGTTTTTAATGTGTGGCATTTTAATGTATTTTTAATCTTTGTTGGAAGCCGCCCAGAGTGGCTGGGGAAACCCAGCCAGATGGGCAGGGTACAAATAATAAATTATTATTATTATTATTATTATTATTATTATTGGAAATGATGGTGCCAGGAGAGCCTTCCCTCCGCAACATCCTTGACGCTGGGATTTGAGAGTCCATCAACGTCTGGAGGGTTGCAACAATCCCTGTTTTTGACCCACGAAAATGAACTCTGCTTCAAAATTAGCACCCATTGTGAAGCAAGGATGGCATCCTCTCCACTCGCACCCGCAATTGGAGCCTTGTGATAACAACGCCGGGCAAATTTGCTGCAGGGATGACTGGCGGTTGTGCAAAATATCTTGCGTGCTCAGGAAAAAAAAAAGCAACTCAACACAAACCATTGTTAGGGGAACAGCCGGACAATGCGTCAGACTTTAAACTACAGAAGTCTCATAAATAGTATTTACACCCGTTAAAGCCATTTTCTTTCGTTTTTTTTGTCTGAGATTAGCAGGGCCGCCAGAGCTTCCTCGCGCGAGATTCACTCGGCGCTGTCCTCCAGCGGCTCCTCTGCGCTAATTATCACTGGTAGGAGAGGAATCTGATTAATCTGGCAGGGATGTGAAGCTGGGCGATCTTCTCCAAGGCTGGCTGACCGACGGCGCGTCTCAGGCTGAGTCGGCAGAGCTGGGACAAACTCAGAGGCGTTTCTGGAGAGGGAATGAGGGAAGAAATCGTAATCGTCACTTCTGAGCTCTACAAACCCATTGGGACAAATAAGGACGGAAAGATCAGTCAATTCTAAATTCTCTCCTAATTCTTCCACTCTTAAATTCCACTCTCCATATTTCTGCAGCAATTTGCGATTTTTTTAAAGCAGAAATAAACCTGACGGAAATCATTCCGCATTTTAGTGCAAATCTCTCGCAAGAAACTCATTTTCGACTGCAGCTTTGACTAATGCATAGATTCCTGCAAGCAATTCCTCCTTTTTTGTACTTTTTATGCACTCCCGCCCCCCCACCGAACGCATGCATATTTTGAAAAAGTTGTTTGGCTGGAGAACCGCAAGACAAAATTCAGATACACAGTGGACGCATCGGGTTGCGAACGTGATCCGTGCGGGAGGCATGTTCGCAACCCGCAGCGTCCGCAACCCACAGCGCCGCGTCTGTGCACATGCAGGTTGTGATTCAGCGTTTCTGCGCATGCGCAAAGAGCGATTTAGCGTTTCTGCGCATGCGCAACCACCAAAAACCAGAAGTAACCCGTTCTGGTACTTCTGGGTAACCTGAAAAAATGCAACCTGAAGCGGCTGTAACCTGAGGTATGACTATATTAAAGCACCCCTGACTGTTAGGTCCAGTTGCGGACAACTCATCTTGCGGCGCTCATCTCGCTTTACTGGCCGAGGGAGCTGGCATACAGCTTCCAGGTCATGTGGCCAGCATGACTAAGCCACTTCTGGCGAACCACAGCAGCGCACGGAAACACCGTTTACCTTCCCGCTGGAGCGGTACCTATTTATCTACTTGCACTTTGAGGTGCTTTCGACCTGCTAGGTTGGCAGGAGCAGGGACCGAGCAACGGGAGCTCACCCCGTCGCGGGGATTCGAACCGCTGACCTTCTGATCGGCAAGTCCTAGGCTCTGTGGTTTAACCCACAGCGCCACCCACATCCCTTATGACTGTCTTCAAGAAGCAGCCGCATGGGGCACACAACCTAGGAAGGCATCGTCAATGAAAGATGACAAAGGTGCCGCAACCCGCCAGCAGGGGGCAGCGACCAGACCCCACTCACTGTCGAAAGGCTCACAGCACTTGGCGGCCTGGCTGCTCCTCCAGGCGTAGTCGGAAGGCTTCTTTCCCGGTTGTCCCTGGCGTAAACGTTCCCCCCAAACTCCACCAGCATCTCCACCAGATCGGCGTTCTTCACCTTGGCGGCGTGGTGGAGGGCCGTCTCGTGCAGCTTGGCCGCGTTGACGTTGGCCCCTGGCGACGACAAAGCGGTCAGGTTGGAGGAAGAGTTGCTCGCGGCCTCCGCGCAGAACTCGAACCTTTGCCTAAAGCAGCGGTTCTCTTTTTTTTTTATATAAGATATTTATTAAGATTTTCAAGATATTACAAAATAAAAATAGAAAAAAGAAAAATACAAAATAAAAATAGTTAAAAACAACTCAATCTTTCCATTACTTATTTTTCATTAGTTTGTTTCCCGGACCTCCTCACGCCTCCCTTTTTTGTATTCCAGTTCAGTTTGTTGGTTCAGCAAATCCTTCCCCTCTTTGTTTATCCTAATCTTTAATCTTAAAATATTGTAACATTAAATTTTTACCTGTTAGTAATCCATTTTTCATATTCCCTTATAGTATTGCAGCTAAAAACCACTTAATTTCTATCCAACATCATTCTAACATTCATTAATTTTACAATATTTCTGTAAATAGTCTTTAAATTTCTTCCAATCTTCTTCCACCGACTCTTCTCCCTGGTCCCGGATTCTGCCGGTCATTTCCACCAGTTCCATATAGTCAATCACCTTCATCTGCCATTCTTAAAGCAGCGGTTCTCAACCTGTGGGTCCCCAGATATTTTGGGACTACAACTCCCATCATCCCTAAGCTAGCAGGGCCAGTGGTCAGGGATGATGGGAGTTGTAATCCAAAAACAGCTGGAGACCCAAGTTTGGGAAACTCTGGTCTACAGAGAAAAAAGGGGCACAGGCTTTGGATTGTAAAACATTCAAAAAAGAATGGCGAAGTGAATTACAAGAAATGCCAACAGTGGAGGAATGGCAAATGAAGATGATGGATTTTCTGGAGCTGTCCTACCTAACCGGTAGAATCCACGAACAGGAGAAGGAGGACTACCAAGAAGAATGGAAGAAATTTAAGGACTATTTAGCAAAATATTCTAGGATAACATAAGTAGAGTCATTTGTGAGTACCATATTGGCTTAGGAGTTAAATGTTTTAAATTTAATAATACCATGGATACGAGTGAATAGGGTAAGAAAGATGTTAAATTGATTGGAAATTCGTATTGGAAAACTGCTACAATGAGTTACCGTATTTTTCGCTCTATAAGACGTACCAGACCACAAGACACACCTAGTTTTTGGAGGAGGAAAACAAGAAAGAAAATATTCAGAATCTCAGAAGCCAGAACAGCAAGAGGGATCACTGCGCAGTGAAAGCAGCAATCCCTCTTGCTGTTCTGGCTTCTGGGATAGCTGCGCAGCCTGCATTCGCTCGATAAGACGTACACACATTTCCCCTTACTTTTTAGGAAGGAAAAAGTAAGTCTTATAGAGCAAAAAATACGGTATATGGAAACACAGCCAGAGGGATTCAAGGAAGTCATTTAACAATGGTAATAAAAATATTATAATAGGATAAATCTTTGTATGTTTGTTTTTATATAGTAATGTTTTTTTTCTTTTTGGTTGTTTATGTTTGTAAGAAATTTGGAAAACCAATAAAAAATAAAAAATAAAAAGAATAAAAAGTGAAAGCGTTAAAATCAAGATGTGGAAAATATGGAAACAACGAGAAAAGGCAGGACTGAGATGTGGAGATATGCTTCAGAGGTCCAGACTGTGGGGAGCTCCGAAAAATTAATAATGATAATTTGGTCTTTTTAATTTTAGTTTTTTTATTTTAACTGGATTATTATGATTGGATAGATTAATTGGATGTTCTTATTTGAAAACTAATAAAAATGATTTAAAAAAAACAAGCAAAAAGAATGGTGAAGTGGGGGCTGGCCCACATCCCCCCCCCACACCTGCGTTGAGCAGTATCTTCACGCAGTCCAGATGCTCTCTAGCGCACGCCACGTGCAAAGGGGTCCCGAAGTGACAATCGTGAGCTTCCAGGTTGGCACCGACATCAATAAGGAGACGCACGCACTCAGCGCTGCCTTTAAAGAAAAGAACAGAGGACGGCAACTCAATGGAGAACTTCGAAGGTTGTCAGGAACAAGGTGGAGAATCATAGAAGTCTAGTCCACACACAGCTTCCGGGTCATGTGGCCAGCATGACTTCTGGCGAACCAGACCAGTGCACGGAAACGCCGTTTACCTTCCCGCTGGAGTGGTACCTATTTATCTACTTGCACTTTGACATGCTTTCGAACTGCTAGGTGGGCAGGAGCAGGGACCGAGCAACAAGAGCTCACCCCGTCGCAGGGATTCGAACCGCCGACCTTCCGATCAGCAAGCCCTAGGCTCTGTGGTTTAACCCACAGCGCCACCCGCGTCCTTACACTGTGTTTAAAACCAAAATCGCATTTGGATAGAAACTGTTTCTCAGGCGGCTAGTCCTAGTCTTTATAACCTTGTACCTTCTTCCAGAAGGCAGAAGCTGAACGAGATCATTTCCGGGGTGAGCACTATCCTGCGCTATCTCTGCCGCTTTCTTATGGCACCTGGAAGCATAGATTTGATCCAAGGTGGGAAGAGTGCACCCAGTTATTCTCTCTGCAGTCTTTGCAACCCTGGACAGTATTGGTTTTTTCCCTAACCGTGCAACTCCCAAACCACACACACAGACCATAAGTCAATACACTCTGTCCAGACCTGCTTACCATTCATGCAGGCCTCGTGGAGCGGGGAGGCCGTGTAGAGCGGAGGGTTGACTTTGGCCCCATGCGAGAGCAACACTTTCACGCAGTCGATGCTCCCAGAGGCGCAGGCATCGCACAGAGGGGTGCTGCCGTCTATGTTCCGGGCGTCCACCTGTGAGATTGTAGCAAAAATCACAGAATGGTCGAGTTGGAAGGGGAACCCCAATGGTCATCTAGCCCAACCCCCTGCGATGCAGGAATCTTTTTGGCCCAACGCGAGGCTCGAACCCACAACCAGGGTGGATAAAAATCAATGATTTATGTTTTTAAAAAATCGGATATTCAGGCCAATACAGTACAGTCATACCTCATGTTAGGTTCACTTCATGCTACGTTCTTTCAGGTTACGTCCCGTGGCGACACGGAAGTACCGTGGTTTCGCCGCTCACGCATGCGTAGAAGTGCAAAATGACATCACGCTCATGCGCAGAAGCGGCGAATCGCAACCTGTGCATGTGCAGATGCGCCGCTGCAGGTTGCGCTCTTTTCATGTTGCGAACGGGCCTCCGGAACGGATCCTGTTCGCAACCAGAGGTACCACTGTGTTATGATGATGATGATTTTAAAAATTTATATTGCCCTACATCCGTAGTTCCCAGGATGGTTCTAAATATAAAATTACAATATGAAAAGCTAATAATAAAAAATAAGAACAAATATGACCCAATAACCCCCCATTTTTGCCTGATGCCCAAAGGTGTACAGTGGTACTTTGGTTCTCAAACACCTTGGTTCTCAAACGCCGAAAACCTGGAAGTAAGGTTTTCGAACATTTCAGAAGTCAAACGGACTTCTGGAACGGATTAAGATTGGCGCTTTTGTTTTTGCTATTTATTTTGCATTGTTTTTGAGGCTTTTTTGGTGAATTTGTTTTTGTGACCGTGTGGAACCCAGTTCAGCTACTGATTGATTGATTGTGTAACTGCGGAAATGGATAAAAGCCCCCCATCCAAACAATGACTATCATCAGTGCAGGTAAGAAAAAATAATAATTTTAATTTTTATCATCTACAATGCTGTCTTATTTATTTTATAGTACGGCACATGGATTATTGCTTTCATTTTATGGATCAATGGTCTTGTTAGATAGTAAAATTTGTGTTATATTGCTGCTTTAGGGGTTGTTTATTAAAAGTCTGGAATGGATTAATCCGCTTTGCATGACTTTCTATGGGAAAGAGGGCCTTGGTTTTGGAACGCTTTGGTTTTGGAATAGACTCCCGGAATGGATTAAATTTTAGAACCAAGGTAAAAAAGGTAAAGAGACCCCTGACCATTAGGTCCAGTCGTGACCGACTCTGGGGTTGTGGTGCTCATCTCGCTTTACTGGCCGAGGGAGCCAGCGTACAGCTTCTGGGTCATGTGGCCAGCATGACTAAGCCGCTTCTGGCGAACCAGAGCAGTGCACGGAAACGCCGTTTACCTTCCCGCCAGAGCGGTACCTATTTATCTACTTGCTCTTTGACGTGCTTTCGAACTGCTAGGTTGGCAGGAGCTGGGACCGAGCAACGGGAGCTCACCCCGTCGCGGGGATTCGAACCGCCGACCTTCTGATCAGCAAGTCCTAGGCTCTTTGGTTTAACCCACAGCGCCACCCGCGTCCCACTGGGTAATGAAAGCATCTGGTGGGGTTCTCTGAGCTACAAACCTGGGCTCCCGCAGCTAGGAGCATTTGCACGCACTGCGTCTGTCCGCGCAAGCTGGCTTCGTGCAACGGCGTGATGGAATCGTACGTGACGAGGTTGACGCAGGCGCCGTTGGCAATGAGTTCCTGCAGCTGGAGGATCTCCCCTCTCCTGGCCGCCTCGTGAACCGGCGTCCTGTCCACCCAAAACCCTGCAGAGGCAAGGTTGTGGAAAGAAAGAATAAAATGTACAGCCTGTAATGCTTTGAAAGGGAATATGATGAAAATGATGTATAGATGGTATATTACAGGCAGTGAAGGTCCTGTGTGAGTGTCTGGAGGCGGTTGGAGGATGGATGGCGGCTAACAGATTGAGGTTGTATCCTGACAAGACAGGAGTCCTGTTTTGGGGGGACAGGAGGCGGGCAGGTGTGGAGGACTCCCTGGTCCTGAATGGGGAAACTCTGCCCCTGAAGGACCAGGTGTGCAGCCTGGGAGTCATTCTGAACTCACAGCTGTCCATGGAGGCGCAGGTCAATTCTGTGTCCAGGGCAGCTGTCTACCAGCTCCATCTGGTACGCAGGATGAGACCCTCCCTGCCCGCAGACTGTCTCGCCAGAGTGGTGCATGCTCTGGTTATCTCCCACTTGGACTACTGCAATGTGCTTTATGTGGGGCTACCTTTGAAGGTGACCTGGAAACTACAACTAATCCAGAATGTGGCAGCTAGACTGGTGACTGGGAGCGGCTGCCAAGACCACATAACACTGGTCCTGAGAGATCTGCATTGGCTCCCAGTCCATTTCCGAGCACAATTCAAAGTGTTGGTGCTGACCTTTATAGCCCTAAATGGCCTCAGTCCTGTATACCTGAAGGAGCGTCTCCACTCCCATCGTTCTACGCGGACACTGAGGTCCAGCGCTGAGGGCCTTCTGGTGGTTCCCTCACTGCGAGAAGCCAAGTTACAGGGAACCAGGCAGAGGGCCTTCTCGGTGGTGGCGCCTGCCCTGTGGAACGCCCTCCCGCCAGATGTCAAGGCAATAAGCAAGTATTTTACTTTTAAAAGACAAGTGAAGGCGGCCCTGTTTAGGGAAGTTTTTAATGTATGACGCTGTATTGTTTTTAATATTCGATTGGAAGCTGCCCAGAGTGGCTGGGGAAACCCAGCCAGATGGGTGGGGTATTAATAATAAATTATTATTATATTATTATTATTTCCTGGGAACGGGGTGTTGAAACAGCAAGGGAGCAGAGAAGAAGTGTTGCAAGAAAAAGCAGAAGCTCAAGGCTGCCCAGATTCTAGGAAACCTATTTTGGTCCTTTGAAATCACGAGAGGGTCACATTCAAGGCATGATCCAGCAGTCCATACCTTGCAAACGTCTGGATTTTCCAGGAACGGTCCCAGAATGACAGAATCCATCCCGGTTTCTGATTTGATCCCGCAATCTCCTGCCTTTCCTTTTTTTCCTCCCCTCTACCTCTTGGAGAACAATTAAAATTGGCAGGTGCAAAAACAGAATCCTGTTTCTACTGAAAATAAAATCCGTGCACCAAATGAAGGAAATGGCAAAACTGACAGACTAAGAAGGCCTTCCTGTAATTTTGAAGGAAAATGTCACCTAAAAAAAATGAATTGCAATGCTTCCACAGCGGGCCATTTCCTAGGAAACGCAGGGAATGTTTATTCCTTTATTGTAAATGGAGCCTTACACTGTCTACTCAGAAGTAATCCCCACAGTATTCAGTGGAGCTTACTCCCAGGTAACTGGGTAAAGGCTGGACAGCCTTACACTGCAATCAGGAACATTTTTACTCAGAATTATGTCCCACTGAGTTTAATAGGATTTACTCTCTGCTATGTTCCTGATTATTCTCACTTTCCATCATCATTATTATATTCTGCTTTTTTCTCTGTAGTTTACAGCTACAATTTTCTTTCCTTCCGTTTATCTGTTGAAGGTACAGTATTGTACATCATCCCTTCCTTTGCACATTTTAAAAATATATATGTTGGAAGCCACACAGAGTGACTGGGGCAACCCAGTCAGATGGGCAGGGTATAAATAATAAATTATTATTATTATTATTATTATTATTATTATTATTATTATTGAATAGGGTGTTCCCTATTTTCACTGGAGAATTTTTGGTGGGTATGTAAATGATGATTTAGTATATTTCTTAATTTCTCATATATGGACGTTGATACATGGCGGAAATGTTTTTTAAAAAGGAATCGTAGGAAAACTCTTGAAAATGTGTTAAAATAATGACCATTTAACACTTGGGCATATTGCCCATAGACTTAAAAGGTGATTCCTTCCTGTGTCAGTGAACCCAAATACCCAAATAAACAGGCTTACACTGGAGCTATTGGGTGAGTTATATATAACGTGCTATTGCAAAACTAATGTTTAACACGCAAAAAAGCAAAAAATCAGTAAATGATTACGGTAACAACGGATTCCTCTAGATTTTGCCTAGAAGTGAAGTGTGATTTAAGGATGCAGCGTACGAATCTTTGACCCTAACAGCACCCACTGGACTCACCCCATGAGGATTCTTGCGGTGCCCTTAACTCTAGGAAGGGCAAAGGGCATGAGAAAGTTAAACAGGGAAATTCAATGTTTCCCAACTTTGGTCGCCTATCTGGCATGGGAGAAACCGAGGCCTCGATCCCACCCAAGTTAAGCACTTGAGCAACCACACCTATGCACGTTTACTCAGAAGTAAGGACGCGGGTGGAGCTGTGAGTTAAACAACAGAGCCTAGGACTTGCTGATCAGAAGGTCGGCGGTTCGAATCCCCGTGACGGGGTGAGCTCCTGTTGTTCAGTCCCTGCTCCTGCCAACCTAGCAGTTCGAAAGCACACCAGTGCAAGTAGATAAGTAGGTACCGCTCCAGCGGGAAGGTAAACAGCGTTTCCGTGCGCTGCTCTGGTTCGCCAGAAGCGGCTTAGTCCTGCTGGCCACATGACCCTGTGGCTGTACGCCGGCTCCCTCGGCCAGTAAAGCGAGATGAGCGCCGCAACCCCAGAGTCGTCCACGACTGGACCTAATGGTCAGGGGTCCCTTTACCCTTAAGCTCCACTATGCTCAATAGGCTTAATTCGCCCAAGTGCTTACGAAACTATTTTATTCTCTTGTGCATTTCATATTTGGCTTCCTTTAGTGACGTTTTCTTTCAAGGCAATTTTCGGGGGTGAATTTTGCTGCGTTAAATGCCCCTTCTGCAGCCTGACTACCTTTGAAAACGTTTTGAAATCTTTAACCTGTGACTCCCCTGTCAATTACCGTATTTTTCGCTCTATATGATGCACCAGACCACAAGACGCACCTATTTTTTGGAGGAAAACAAGGAAAAAAATATTCTGAATCTCAGAAGCCAGAACAGCAAGAGGGATCGCTGCGCAGTGAAAGCAGCAATCCCTCTTGCTGTTCTGGCTTCTGGGATAGCTGCGCAGCCTGCATTCACTCCATAAGACGCACAAACATTTTCCCTTACTTCTTAGGAGGGAAAAAGTGAGTCTTATAGAGCAAAAAATACGGTACATTGTTTCGAAGGCAGACTATACCTGACTTTCTTCTGCAATGTTTTATTCTGGGTCGTTTTACTTTTTTTAGTTTTCGTGCGCTGCAAACCTCTTTGACGGTTTTCCTTGAAAATATAAATACAGGAATAAAATGAATCATTAGAAGCCCCAGCGATTTCTGCAGAGCTGGACAGCTCTTCCCAACAACAGCGGACAGTATTGACCAAAGGGCAGCATACGTCTATTAAATGGGAAAAGAAATTGCACACACACACACAAATATACATAAAAATATATGTACATACACACACAGACATATTTCTATTCCTTCCTGTCCCCCATCACTGGTTTCCGGAGCTTAAAAATCAAGGACTGTTTGATTTCTCGAATACCCTTCACCTAGATCTATGCTTGTGTTACTTTAAGCAACTAAGATTTTCCATTGTAGCTTCTTAGAACCTGAGTCCGGAACTTAACAACAGTTGTTGGGCATAGATTTCTCTGCTTGTGGGACACCTAATGTCTCATAAGCTTGTTGCAATGGTCAGCTGGGAAAATATTTAACTCATTGGATCTAAGCCGGTGAGAAATGAAATCTCAGCTAATTCACCGGTTCAGTGACAACTGGGCTGCAAACATAGGCGTCCCTTCGGAGCTGTATTTAAGCCAGGCTCCTTGGAGTGCAGCAAAACCAGTCACAGAAATTTGACTGCTGGTTAGCTCCTGTATTGCTTTGCATTTGTGGACTTAAAATTTTGTGTGTGTGATACTGAATTTCTTCTGCGTTTCCCGAATCGTTGCTTTTTGCCATCTTTTAAATTTACTGGCGTGTTCCACATTTCTGGTATGCCCCGCAGAGGACCTTAAGGTCCACGAATGACAACATTTTGGAGGTCCCAAATCGCAAGGTGGTCTCAACTAGGGCCATGGCCTTTTTAGTACTGGCCCCGACTTGGTGGAACGCTCTGTCACAAGAGACCAGGGCCCTGCGGGACTTGACATCTTTCCGCAGGGCCTGCAAGACAGAGCTGTTCCGCCTGGCCTTTAGTTTGGACTCAGTCTGACCCTTATGTTTCCCTCCCCTTACGGTTTCGATCTATGGGCTACTTTTAAAATGAGGCTGCGTTTTAAATTGCATTTTAACCTGTATTTTAAATTGGTCTCCCCCCCCCCATTATGTTTTTTACTGTAATTTTACTGGTGTTAGCCGCCCTGAGCCTAACTCTGGCCGGGGAGGGTGGGGTATAAATAAAATTATTTATTATTATTATTATTATTTCACATATTGGACGCTGGTGGCGCTGTGGGCTTGCCGATCAGAAGGTCGGCAGTTCGAATCCCCGCAATGGGGTGAGCTCCCATTGCTCGGTCCCTGCTCCTGCCAATCTAGCAGTTCAAAAGCACACCAGCGCAAGTAGATAAGTAGGTACCACTCCGGCGGGAAGGTAAACGGTGTTTCCGTGCGCTGCTCTGGTTCACCAGAAGCGGCTTAGTCCTGCTGGCCACATGACTGTACGCCGGCTCCCTCGGCCAGTAAAGCGAGATGAGCGCCGCAACCCCAGAGTCGGCCACAACTGGACCTAATGGTCAGGGGTCCCTTGACCTTTTTATCGGCCACTTGTGACCAAGTGAAGATGCCTAGGTGCCAGGATGGTGCCTGAATTCTCCACCATCTGGAGGTGCAACGCCTGGGGATCCGTGGACCTTGCCTGTTTCCACACACTAGCAAGACATCCTGTCGAATTTTATCCGTTACATTTTACCTGCACAATCCGAGTGAATTTCAGGAACCTAGCCCAACACTCGAACCACGACACCACCCTGGCTTCCTAGAGTATTTCTGCTATGGGGCAGCTTGATAAATTAAGTAGGCCAAAAATATGGGGAAGCAAAAGGTCGTTTAGAGAAGGACCTGAAATATTCCCCTCGAAGCTTGTTTTATTCTGGATTGTGTTATTTGATGATTTGCTGTGTTGCAAACCGCTCTAAGATTCCCCCCCCCCCACCGCCTTTAAAATATAAAGAAATGAAATGAATTAATAGTAATTAAAATAGCAAGCTCATTTTTTTAAAAAAATAGCACCTAGACCAGGGGTCAGCAAACTTTTTCAGTAGGGGGCTGGTCCACTGTCCCTCTGACCTTGTGGGGGGCCGGACTATATTTTTTTGGGGGGGGAAGAATGAACTCCTATGCCCCACAAATAACCCAGAGATGCATTTTAAATAAAAGGACACATTCTACTCATGTAAAAACACGCTGATTCCCACACCGTCCGCAGCCCAGATTTAGAAGGCAATTGGGCCGGATTCGGGCCCTGGGCCTTAGTTTGCCTACCCATGACCTAGATATTCGGCTTTGGCGACTGTAGGCTAGGTTTAAAATGCCATTTAGTTTCCATATTCGAGTTTCTAATACTGGGCTACTAAACCACAATACTGAAAGTGAAAACACAATATTAAATGAACTCCTATGCCCCACAAATAACCCAGGGATGAATTTTAAATTCATCGGCCACGACTGGACCTAATGGTCAGGGGTCCCTTGACCTTATTTCACATATTTCACACTTTCTAAGGCTCTGAATTGTGATGTTTGTTATTAAGCCTTGTTGGGCGCAGCCCCCTGTGGGAAGGAGGCAGATGATATGAGCAAACTCAAGCCTTCGATCAAATCACCCAAGTTGCACATCCAGACAGTTCAGACTTGATGCAGCTGCCCCGCCATAGCTGTCAAGCGTCCCTTATTTGGCGGGACAGTCCCTTATCCCAGCGCCATGTCCCGCTGCTGTCCCTTATTGATGATGTCCCTTAAATTTCCCGGGTTTCAAAGGAAGCAGCTCCTCTCCCTCCCTCCCTGCCGGCCAGGGAGGAGGGAGGCTCCAACTGGGTTGCTTGGCTGCCCGGTCGGCCCCCACCCCGGCTTCCTCTCACCAGCCTCGGCCCCCGGGAACCCCTCCCCGCCAGGACTGGTGGGAGCCTCGGGCCCTTCCGCCGCCATCCTCCTCGTGGCTGCCGAACTGAGCGTCTCTGCCTGGGGCCTCCCCTCTGCCCATTGCCGCTGTTCCCGCTAGGCCGTACTGTGGCTGCGCCGCCGAAGGACCCGGATGAGATGGGCAGCCTGGCATGGTCTATGAATTGCTGAGGAGCCTTGAGAGGAGAGCGAGGGCAACCATAGAGAAAGCAGTTCAGAGAGAGGAGGAGGAGGCGGAGGCGCGGGCAGGTGTTCCAAGGGCTAACCATAGCGGGGGAAAGCAGAGGAAGGACCGCAAGCGCTTCTCCCATAGATTTGGAGTGGTAGACTAGCATAGATGGTCTGATCTGCGGGTTTACTTCGGGCGCTATTCCCCCCCCCTTCCTCCTGCCCCACCTGATGGAACTGAGAGCTGCAGATGGAGCACATGAGAAAAGATACAGAACTGCAGCAGCATCTTCGTAGCTTGGACTTCGTTTTGCGCGAAAAGTGGTTGCTGCTTGTAGTTATTTAATTGCAGGGTTTCATCGGCTGGTGTCTTGAGCAGCAGCCTCTGGAAACGAGGGGCTAAAAACCGGCGCTGCTCTCCCAAATTATCTGGTCCCTTTTAACTGGTTGACTAAAACCCCTTATTTTGGCTGCTGGTCCCTTATTTTCAAGGCTGCTGTTCCCTTATTTTTAAATCTGTAAGTTGACAGCTATGTGCCCAGCTCGCAAAGGACCAGCAACATGAGAAGGCGAAGTCCCAGTGGTACCCAGCTGCTTCTGATGGAGAGGGGATGGGGGGGCACCAGCTTCCCCCCTCCCCATCCAGGCTCCCCAAAAACATGCCCCCCTCCCTCCCAACATTTCCAGCCCCCCACCCCTTCCTCCTTCAGCCCCCACCCCGCTCCCCAACTCCCACTCACCAATCTCGCCCAACACCGAGCTGCTAGCCATGGTCCTCTCCATAGTTGCTCAGCCCAAACTACAACTCCCAGCAGCACCCAGAAAGGAGGAGGAGGAGGAGGGAGGCGGGAGAAGGAGGAGGAGCTCCCCGGCACTCCTGGGTCCCTCTTTTCTGTTGTTTATGATGGTGCTCCAGCGACATGGGGGAGGAGATCTAACGTCAGCCGGGAGAGGTGTCGCAAAGGATGCTGGGAGTTGTAGTTCGGCGCGCAGCTCCCGGGAAGCCGGTCCTTATGTAATACTGCAGGGGGTGGGGGAATCGGATTTTGCAAGCGCGCGCCCGCGGCTCTGGCTGCCTCTGGTCGAATAATCCGATTTCCCCCCTTTTTGTTTGTTTCTTACACGCATTTTTTTAATTTCTTCCCCAAATGCATTGCTCTGCCTTCCAACGGGCACGTTTTGCTGCATGGATACATGGCAGGAACGATGTTGTTGTTGTTTAGTCGTGTCCGACTCTTCGTGACCCCCTGGATCCCCTCCATCTTCCCCAGCATCAGGGTCTTTCCCAGGGCGTCTTCTCTTCTCATGAGGTGGCCAAAGTCTTGGAGCCTCAGCTTCAGGATCTATCCTTCCTGGGAGCACTCAGGGCTGATTTCCTTCAGAATGGAGAGGTTGGATCTTCTTGCAGTCCATGGGACTCTCAAGAGTCTCCTCCAGCACCAGAATTCAAAAGCATCCATTCTTCCGCGATCAGCCTTCTTTATGGTCCAGCTCTCACTTCCATACATCACTACTGGGAAAACTATGGCTTTAACTATACGGACCTTTGTTGGCAAGGTGATGTCTCTGCTTTTTAAGATGCTGTCTAGGTTTGTCATCGCTTTTCTCCCAAGAAACAGGCGCCTTTTAATTTTGTGGCTGCTGTCACCATCTGCAGTGATCATGGAGCCCAAGAAAGTAAAATCTCTCACTGCCTCCATTTCTTCCCCTTCTATTTGCCAGGAGGTGGTGGGACCAGTGGCCCTGATCTTCGTTTTTTTTGATGTTGAGCTTCAGACCATATTTTGTGCTCTCTTCTTTCACCCTCATTAAAAGGTTCTTTAATTCCTCCTCACTTTCTGCGGGAACGATATATCCCGATAATAATGCTCGGTGCAATGAATTCAGAATATCGTGATCTCTCTTTGGCTGTTGACATCCTAGGGTCCAGAACTGAAGAAGGAAGATTCTTCTCTGAACCATAACTGTCAACGTTTCCCTTTTTTAAAAGGGAAATTCCCTTATTCCAAATAGGATTCCTTTCAAGAAAAGGGAAAAGTGGACAGCTATGCTCTGAACTGGGATCTTCCGATGAAGGGCGGCATACAAATTTTAATCAATCATCATCATCATCTTTATTGAATTAAAATACATACATATATATATATATACACATACATTAAGATAAAAAAAGATTAAGACAAAAAAAAACGTACAAAAAAAGAATTTGCACTATTATACAATCATTAATTGAATTTCTAATAATAATTTAAAAAGGAAGAGCGATACAGTAAATATAATAAATGCAAATACAGTAAATGCAATGCTGTGGTTAATTAGATCCAACAGGCAAGCTGTTGTTCGTTTCTCTATCTTTCAAACATTTGCATTGTTAAACGCAAAAAAGAATTAAGGAATGTGTGTGTGTGTGTGTAGAGCATGAGTCAATCCCAGGGTGGTGAGTTTGAGCCCCATGTTGTGTGAAAGATTCCTGCATTGCGGGAGGTCAGATTAAATGGCTCTTATAACTCTCTTAATTCTATGATTCTAGTATTTCTACAGTCACACAATCAATCAATCAATCAGCAGTTGAACTGGGTTCCACACGGTCACAAAAACAAATGAACCGAAAAAGCCTCAAAAACAGAAACGCAAAATAGCTAGCAAAAACAAAAGTGCCAAACTTAATCTGTTCCGAAAGTCCGTTTGACTTCTGAAATGTTCGAAAACCAGAGCTTCTGATTGGTGCAGGCACCCCAGAAAAAATAGCCGACAGCCGCATCGGACGTTCGGCTTCTGGAACGCTTATTTCCGGGTTTCCGGCGTTTGGGAACTAAGGAATTTGAGAACCAAGGTACCACTGCATAAGGAAAGTGGATTAGCAGCCAAATAATGTTCAAATGTAGACATTTGTATTTGTGTCTCTCTGTGTGTGTGTGTGTGTGTGTGTGTGGGGGGGCTGCTATTATAAAGACACCTGTAGCAAATAAACCATCTATTTCCAAACAGGCTGCTGTTTATTGGTGCAGTTCTTTCGGGCTGCATGTGAGCCAGTTAACCAAACCAGGTGCAGCCCCTAAAAGCCATTAAGGAAGTGCTAATGAGGTCTGTAAAAAAAAAAGATACCTTAGAATCACTTGGAGACCGAAAGGAAATTGACTCTAACCCTGCAATGTCCTCCAGCCTGTGGATCCAGTTCCAAGGTGGGTGTGGGGGGAGAGCATGTCAAAAGTGCATTTTATGACAACCAGGTAAATATCCAATTTAGGGTTATTATCCCTCTATCATATGGGGCAGGGAAGGGATAGTGGTACCCAGAGTAACTTGAGGACTGGAGCTTTCGCACCCCGTCAATGTGATTCAGTTTTAACAATCCCATTTTGTTGATTTTGGGGTGGGTGTAGATTACAACCACCCTTTACGGTGGGCCAGTATAACTATTCTTTCTTTGGCAAAGTTGTGGGGCGGCAGGCCCCAAAGAAATACACGATTGCAAATTTGGGAGGCAAGGTTGCATGTCTTCTCTGCTGCGCTTTTGGATCGGCTGGTTGTTGTTACCCTTGCTCATGAGTAGGCAAGCTAAGGCCCGGATCTGGCCCAATCGCCTTCTCAATCCGGCCCACAGACGGTCTGGGAATCAGCGTGTTTTAACATGAGTAGAATGTGTGCTTTTATTTAAAATGTATCTCTGGGTTATTTGTAGGGCCTGCCTGGTGTTTGTACATGAGTAGAATGTGTGTGTGTGTGCTTTTATTTAAAATGCACCTCTGGGTTATTTGTGGGGCATAGGAATTTGTTCATTCCCCCCCCCCAATATAGTCCGGCCCCCCACAAGGTCTGAGGGACAGCGGACCGGCCCCCTGCTGAAAAAGTTTGCTGACCCCTCTGTTTCAACTTTCCACTGTTGCTTTAAGAGGACACCTTGCCTAATTTTCCTATGCTCCTGTAAAATGTGGGGTTCTTATTGCGCATTTGTGATTTTTTAGGATGTTGCGAACTACTTGGGAGATTATTTTTTGAAATATATGAATGACAGGCTATATATGTAATATTCCATTTACATGTGAGTGTGTATATAACTGCCATTTATATATTCTAAAGATTTTATTATAGTTTCAGCTGCTTGCTTACATACACCTTGACCACCTGTGATAGGAACCTTAGGACTCTTTCAGCATCACTTCAGGGAAAATGCAAAAAACATTAACAGGAGGCAGATCTGCGTCGCAGGATTTGGTCCTTGCAGTGCAGCCTTCTTTGCCAACCGGGTGCCCACCAGATGTTTCGCCCTGCAACTGCCATCATCATTTGATGGAGGGCACCAGGTTTGGCGAAGCCTGAGGACACTGGGCTTCTTTTTCAGTCTCCCAATTGCTCTCGATTTTTATTATTCTGGCGTGCGCTTATTTCCGCCCCCCCAGTTTTTTTATTAAGTTTTCCACAATTATAACAAACATAAAGAAAATGAAAAACACACAAAAGAAAACACAATACAGTATTAAACAAGAAAAACAAAAACAAGATGTAATCTTAAAAACCCAATTTCTTTTACATTGTTAATTGACTTCCTCAGATCCCTCCCTTCTGAAATTCATTCTATCTGCATGTAACAGCACTCCAAGAACATTCTTAGTTAATTCCAGCAATTAACTATCTGATTCTCATTTCTTACTATTCTCCCTCTAATTTGCTTACAATCAAATCCCAATCCTAGGCCTATTTGGTACTTTCAGGTGATTTCTAATTATTTACATGAGAATATTTATTCAAGTAATCCTGAAATTTCTTTCAATATTCTGGCGTGCGCTTAAAAGCCAGCCACCGCCGCTGATCCCGGTTGCACAGCAACCTTTCTCCTCCTTGCAAATCCGGGCTCTGCAAGGCGCTAGTCCCCATTTTCCCCAGCGATGCTTGCTTTGCTTTGCTTGCTTGCTTGCACTTTTCTTTTTTATTTCTCCTTGCAATCGGGGCTCTGCAAGGCGCTAGTCCCCACTTTTCCCAAGCGGCGCTTACTTGCACTGCTTTTCTTGCATTTTTTTATTTTTATTTTTTGCAAAGATTTGACACGTGTGGCGTGGTGCGGGGAGGAAAAGCAAAGCCAGTCCCCAGTTTTTCCAAGCGATGCTTGCTTTGCTTTGCTTTGCTTGCTTGTTTGCACTTTTATTTCTCCTTGCAATCGGGGCTCAGCAAGGCGCTAGTAATAGTAATAATAATAATAATAATAATAATAATAATTTATTATTTATACCCCGCCCATCTGGCTGAGTTTCCCCAGCCACTCTGGGTGGCTTCCAATCAAATGTTAAAAACAATACAGCATTAAATATTTAAAACTTCCCTAAACAGGGCTGCCTTCAGATGTCTTTTAAAAAGAAGATAGCTGCTTATTTCCTTCACATCTGAAGGGAGGGCGTTCCACAGGGTGGGAGCCACTACTGAGAAGGCCCTCTGTCTGGTTCCCTGTAACCTCATATCTCGCAGGGAGGGAACTGCCAGAAGGCCCTCGGTGCTGGACCTCAGCGTCCGGGCTGGACGATGGGGGTGGAGACGCTCCTTCAGGTATACAGGACCGAGGCCGTTTAGGGCTTGAAAGGTCAGGACCAACACTTTGAATTGTGCTTGGAAACGTACTGGGAGCCAATGTAGGTCTTTCAAGACCGGTGATATATGGTCTCGGCTGCTGCTCCCAGTCACCAGTCTAGCTGCCGCATTCTGGATTAATTGCAGTTTCCGGGTCACCTTCAAAGGTAGCCCCACATAGTGCGCATTGCAGTAGTCCAAGCAGGAGATAACCAGAGCATGCACCACTCTGGTGAGGCAGTCTGTGCGCAAACAGGGGCTCAACCTGCATACCAGATGGAGCTGGTAGACAGCTGCCCTGGACACAGAATTGACCTGCGCCTCCATGGACAGCTGTGAGTCCAGAATGACTCCCAGGCTGCACACCTGGTCCTTCAGGGGCACAGTTACCCCATTCAGGACCAGGGAGTCCTCCACACCCGCCCACCCCCGGTCCCCCCAAAACAGTACTTCTGTCTTGTCAGGATTCAACCTCAATCTGTTAGCCGCCATCCATCCTGCAATCGCCTCCAGACACTCACACAGGACCTTCACCGCCTTCACTGGTTCTGATTTAAAAGAGAGGTAAAGCTAGTCCCCACTTTTCCCCAGCGGCGCTTGCTTGCATTGCTTTTCTTGCATTTCTTATTTTTATTTTTTGCAAAGATTTGACGCGCGTGGCGCGGCGTGGGGAGGAAAAGCAAAGCTAGTCCCCCGTTTTCCCGAGCGATGCTTGCTTTGCTTTCCTTTGCTTGCACTTTTCTTTTTCATTTCTCCTTGCAATCGGGGCTCTGCAAGGCGCTAGTCCCCACTTTTCCCGAGCGGCACTTGCTTGCATTCCTTTCCTTGCATTTTTTATTTTTATCCTTTGCAAAGATCTGACGCGCGTGTGGCGTGGCGCGGGGAGGATATGCAAAACAAGCAGGAAGTTCAAAGCCTGCTGGAGGCATCCGACTCTTTCCGGGTCAGTTTTCACTTTCTTTCTGTCGCCCTCCCTCGCCACCTTCCTTCCCTCCCCTCCCTTCCCTCGCTTGCAAAACGAGGAATTTTTTTTCACTTCCTGGGGTCGGCGGATGAGCTGCTCCAGCCTCCCACCTCCTCCGAAGGAGCCTGGAGTCGGACATGTTTCTCTTTTTCTTCCACGAAAGCGCTTTTTCCTCCTTTTTCCAAGGGGGGCTTTGCAGATCGGGCTCCCCCCGCTCGTCTTAAGACAATAGGAGGAGGCGGCGGCGAGGCCATCTTTACGCGCGATCGTGCGCTTTTGCAACTGGCGTTTCCAAACGCCCAGACGGGAAAAGAGCGCAGCTGCTATTCCATATATTATTATTTTTTTGGCAAGTTACTTTCTCCCTGTCATTTTTTCCCCTGCAAAGTGCGCGGCCTGCGATTGGGGATCGAGACTTGCATCTCCCGTCTTGCAATTTTCGCATCCCAAATAAATCGTCGGGGATCCTTTTTGGGAAAGCAGATCGCGCTGGAGGACACCCCCGTCTGCCTCCCTTTTTAATCATAATGATGATGATGATGATGATTCAAAGCGACGCCCGCAAAGGGAAAGGGGGTCGTTGACGCGGGTTTGCTCCGTTCTCACGTGAAGGAATGCACGGAAGGCCCGGCGCTTTAGCGAAAAGGAAAGAAGGGTGAAAGTGATCGCGGAGGTGTAAACGAGCAAGAATCCGAAAAGGGGGGAAAGGAAGGAGAGGGGCCGGATCCTGCTGGCTCGTTGACCATGGGAGAGCCTCGGAGCAACCGGCAGAGGATTTTGACACCTGTTGCGGGTGAGTGAGGATGCGCAATCGGGACGACGCGTGTCGGTCGTTGCGGGGATGTCTTTATCTCCCTTTCTTTGTGATTTGCTCCGAAACAATCCCCGTTTATGGTTCCCTCTGGGGTCAGTTGCGCGCGATCCTACCTCCAGCAATGCGTCTTCGCGTGGGTTGCGGGGACCCTTTTAAAAGGCGCAAAAATGAAAGATGAGCCAGCCGGGGGAAGCGCTCTTGCGCAAGCCTCTTTCCCCCCTTCCGCGGTCGATCGGAAGGCAGGATAGGAACCCAGGATTGGGGAAGAGCTCCTGCGCGCGGAAATGGCAAAAAGCTCCCTGCGATCGGCGCTTTCACCCGCGGAGTGAAAGCGAAAAGCGAGGCTCACATGCCGGCGTGGAAAGCGCTCCGGCGCAATATCCGGCGTCGGAACGGATGGGAGCTGCGCAGGAGCTCTTCTGCCTCTTGTGGGGATCTTCCAGCGTGCGATCGCGGTGGGGTTTTTATCGTTTCCATTTCTTCCAAGCGCCGTTTAGACAAAAAGGTCCGGAGCTGGCAGTGTGGGGCCTTCTAAAGGATCCGGACCACTGAATCCGGATTTCCCTGATTGCGCCACACGTTTTTGTTGACCGGCAGGAAGCTTTCAACAACCTGATTTCCTCCTTGTGAAGTAAGCCCTACTGAGCCATGTGTTTTACTCCCAGGTAAAGCCTGGAAGAGAGAGGAGCGGCGGCTGCCTTAGGGCACTTTTGCAAAATCTGAGATTTTTCTCCAAATGCCCCTACCCGCTTAAACCGCGATCCCGTGAATATTTACTCTGACGTAAGGCCCTCACTCTATCCAATGGGCCTTCTTCCCTAGGAAGTGCGCTTAGGACCTGAGTGTGTGAAGACACGCTTCTTGTTACAGAACAAGCCATTCCAGCCACACCCCTGGGTTGCACCGCTTTGGGTCTTTACGTACGAGTAAACCCAGTGCAATTTGCTGGGACTTGCTTCCTTCTGCCTGCCTGCATTTTATCAATTCACATATTTATATCCCACCTTTTTCTCCCAGGAGCCCAAAGCGGCCCAATTTCTCCCCCTCCCCATTTAATGCCACAACAACTCTGCGAAGTAGGCTGAGGGGCAGTGGCTGGGCCAAAGTTGCCCGGCGAGTGGGGATTCGAACCCAGGTCTCTCGGGTTCTATTCTGACACTCCAGGCGTTCTGCTGTGCTGGCTCAGCAGGAGATATGACTTTGAGCATCCGTGAATTTTTAAATCTGAAGTTTGTCTTGTGCATTGTGCTTGGAAATAAGTGCTTGCTCCCAGGGTCGTGTGTGCAGGATCGGAGCCCTAATCCTCGGGGTTACAATCCTGCGCGCGTTGGGAGGGCCGTTCAAAGTGATCCAATGCATTTGGACTGCGGAAGGGAGTTCCGCTGGTATTCGCAGGGATCACGAGGCTCATCAAATTCAACCCTTTGCAATGCAGAAATCTCAGCCAAAGCGTCTATGGCAGATGGCTACTCAAAGAGCAAAAATTGCCATTAGAAAGCTTTATGTGAAGTTCTTTGCTTGTTTTTTAGATGCATGAGCTAGTGAGTTTTTCGGTGCTTCTCTTTGCCGCTCCTTCAACCTCCCCCCCCCTCCACTTTTAAAGAAAACCTATCTGTAAGAGAACAAGCTGTTCTTTGCAGACTGCAAAACGACAGCTTTTAGTTTGTTTTCTTAAGGAAAGAAGAAACGGAAATACAAGTGGCCTTTGTGAAAAGTGTTTAATTTCAGGACAAAAATCTAGTGAAAATCAAGGACGATCTGAACTGTAACTTTGTAAATCAGTGTTTGCTGCAGTGATGATTAAACAGACATTTTCGGGTGCTAAGATTGGCAGCGGGAGGAACTCTTGCTTCTTCCACCGAACTCAGAAGCTTGGGATCGGACGGTGGAACAAGACAGTGTCTTCTCTGTGGTAGCTCCTGAGTTGTGGAATTCCTTTCCAACAGAGGTTTGCTTGGCACCTTCATCAGCCAGCTTTCTGCAAACGCTGAAGGCTCGCTTCTTGTTTCAAACTATTTTTAAATATTGTGTTTTCACTTTCAGTATTGTGTTTTAGTAGCCCGGTATTAGAAACTCGGATATGGAAGCTAAATGGCATTTTAAACCTAGCCTACGGTCGCCAAAGCCGAATGTCTAGGTCATGAGTAGGCAAACTAAGGCCCGTGGGCTGGATCTGGCCCAATTGCCTTCTAAATCTGGCCCTCGGATGGTCCAGGAATCAGTGTGTTTTTACATGAGTAGAATGTGTCCTTTTATTTAAAATGCATCTCTGGGTTATTTGTGGGGCATAGGAATTTGTTCATTTCCCCCCCAAAAATATAGTCCAGCCCCCCACAAGGTCTGAGGGACAGTGGACCGGCCTCCTGCTGAAAAAGTTTGCTGACCCCTGGTCTAGGTGCTATTTTTTGAAAAAAGTTGAGCTTGTTATTTTTATTACTGTTAATTCATTTCATTTCTTTATATTTTAAGGGGGGGGTATCACCAATCAGAAGCCACGCCTTGGTTTTGAACCAAGATAGTTTTTTACTATCTAGTTAGATAGTAAAATTCATATTACATTGCTGTTTTAGGAGTTGTTTTTAAAAGTCTGGAACAGATTAATCCGTTTTGCATGACTTTCTATGGGAAAGTGTGCCTTGGTTTTGGAACGCTTTGGTTTTGGAACGGATTTCCGGAATGGATTAAGTTTGAGAACCACGGTACCACTGTACATTGTTTCTGTGCTTGAGAAATACAATAAAACTCAGAAAAGACGTTCTTACAGTGGAATGTTATGCATGTTGTCTACTAGCAAGTAAGTCCTGTTGAGTTCAGTGGGGCTTGTTGTTGTTTAGTCGTTTAGTCGTGTCCGACTCTTCGTGACCCCCTTAACCAGAGCACTCCAGTCACTCCTGTCTTCCACTGCCTCCCGCAGTTGAGTCAAACTCATGTTGTTAGCTTCGAGAACACTGTCCCACCATCTCGTCCTCTGTCGTCCCCTTCTCCTTGTGCCCTCCATCTTTCCCAACATCAGGGTCTTTTCCAGGGAGTCTTCACTTCTCATGAGGTGGCCAAAGTCTTGGAGCCTCAGCTTCAGGATCTGTCCTTCCAGTGAGCACTCAGGGCTGATTTCCTTCAGAATGGAGAGGTTGGATCTTCTTGCAGTCCATGGGACTCTCTAGAGTCTCCTCCAGCACCAGAATTCAAAAGCATCCATTCTTCAGCGATCAGCCTTCTTTATGGTCCAGCTCTCACTTCCATACATCACTACTGGAAAAACCATGGCTTTAACTATACAGACCTTTGTTGGCAAGGTGATGTCTCTGCTTTTTAAGATGCTGTCTAGGTTTGCCATCGCCTTTCTCCCAAGGAGCAGGCGTCTTTTAATTTCGGGACTGCTGTCACCATCTGCCGTGATCATGGAGCCCAAGGAAGTAAAATCTCTCACTGCCTCCATTTCTTCCCCTTCTGTTTGCCAGGAGGTGATGGGACCAGTGGCCATGATCATCGTTTTTTTGACGTTGAGCTTCAGACCATATTTTGCGCTTTCCTCTTTCACCCTCATTAAAAGGTTCTTTAATTTCTCCTCATTTTCTAACATCAATGTTGTGTCATCTGCATATCTGAGGTTGTTGATATTTCTTCCGGCGATCTTCTTTCCAATGGGGCTTACTCCTAGGTAAATATGCATGGGATCACAGCCTTCTGAGTCTCTGCTGGTGACTGCTAAACCTCTGGCTTTGGAAACAGCAGGGCTCTCTCTATTGTTTATTTTCTCTCTCTCCCCCCACCCTGGTCTATTTTAGTGTTTTATAGCTGTTTTAAAGATTACATTCCATTTTTACATTTTTGTTGCCGTATACATTGCTCTGAGCATTCTGCATGGGGTTGGAATTCCGGCTCAGAACATTTTAGGAGGGACAAAAAGAAATGAACAAACCTCGAAACTTGTTAGCCTTATTTTTCTCTTTTAACCGATAACTGAGCTGATTATTTGTGCTGAGTCGTTAGAAATTCAAAATGGGGTGTGTGTTTCAAGCCCATAAAAGGCTCATTGCATTATTAGCAATGTTGCAAATAAATTGTATACTTTGTTAGATTCAGGTGGTGTGCGCTAAGTTGACTTTTGCAACAGTAATTGAATTCCGTGCAAAGGAAAACTCAAATGTTCTTTTACATAGCTTCAAAGTATTACTTGCACAGAAAAATTGTGGGAGGGGGAAGAAGGTCAATTTACTAAATTTGCAATAGAAAATGGTTGATCCAGTTTCTTCAGGCAGGTGTGTTAGAGACAGGAAAAGTGCTACAAAGAAGTTGCAAGGAAGTTTCCAGAACCTCCTAGAACTTTCAAGATGATACATATTCAACTGCTGATTTTTGTGTCAACCGCGAGCAGTTTGGAATCCTTTGGACGTCGTGCAAAACCATGGTTTATTGTGACAATAATGATCCTCGCCTCCTCCAGAACTTATATTTTCTTTCCTCCTCTGGCACGCTCAGGAGGAGATTGGAAGCTTTCACTTCCGATTCCAGTTAACCACGGTTTAGCGTTACATCTGCTTAGTCTTAGCTATGATTTGTGGCTTGTTTCGCACAGAAAAATAATAAAACAGAGAGGTTTCCAGACCGGCCTCATTTATCTCCATGTCCGAAAAACTACCAGCTGTTAGATTTCTGTATCAGGCTGCTGAAAAGTTCCAGGAATGCTCGCTTTCTCTCCTTTCGGTGCAGCGTTTAGGGAGATCGCAGAGCAAGTTTGCTGCAACCTTGAGTCTGCACAGGGCGACCTTCCTGGTATTTGCAGCATCCGAGTGCGAGGTCCTTGAGCTGTGCCCCGTGGGATGTTTAGCACAGCACAAGAACTTGACGTGCCAGTTTAACAGGGAAGTTAGTGTCTGTTCGTGGGAAAAACGGGCGCTTTTCGGTGAGGTCCACCCCTCTTGCATTCTTTTCCTCTTCCCTCCCATCCCGTTTAATTCTTTTAGAAAACACAGCCCTTTAAAACAGCACGTTATTTATTTATTTATTTTAAAAGATTTTTTATTGATACAACAAGAAAAAAGAAAAAAAACACACACAAATACCAAATTACACACAAGAATAACCATAGACACATAATTTTCTTAGCAAACAATAAAACATATATTGGTCTTAACACTAAAGACCCAACCTCCCGTCTATTCCATATTTCAGTTTCATATTACTTATTGCCAATACACACTTTTATCATACAGTGGTACCTCACAAGACGGAAAACTCGCAAAACGAAAGGGTTTTTGGTTTTTTGAGTTGCTTCGCAAGACAATTTTCCCTATGGGCTTGCTTCGCAAGACGGAAACGTCTTGCAAGTTTGTTTCCTTTTTCTTAAAACCGTTAATACAGTTGCGACTTGACTTCGAGGAGCAACTCATAGCACGCGGTGTGGTAGCCTTTTTGAGGTTTTTGAAGACTTTGGTGATTTTTGAAGCTTTTCCAAAACTGTTCCGACACCGTGCTTCGCAAGACGAAAAAACCCGCAAGACGAAAAAACTTGCGGAATGAATTAATTTCGTCTTGCGAGGCACCACTGTAATTAAACTTATTCTTAATAAATCTAATTTCTTAGATCTACCTTGCAACAATTGCTGAAGTTCCTTGAATGCTGCGACAGAATTTATTTATTTTTCAGATATTCTTTGAAAACCTCCCATTTTGAAGCAAATTCCTGTTTCGATTTATTCTTTATTTTTTCTGATAGACCATCTAATTCGGCATATTCTGTCAGCTTTTGGATCCAATCTTGTATAGAAGGAATTTCATTACTCTTCCATTTTGCTGCGATCAAAACTCTTGCTGCCGCCATCACATATAAAAAGATACCCTTCCCCTTTTGTGGAATATCCAAATCTGTTATTCCCAGGAGGTCGGCCTCTGTTTTTTTTATTGAAAGAGATCTTTAGCATTTTTTGCAGTTCTGCATGGATACTCTCCCAGAATACCTGTATTTTCCTACATATCCACCACATATGGTAGAAAGTTCCTGAGTCTCCGCATTTCCAACAATTACTTGACACATTTTTATACATTTTTGAAAGTTTCCATGGTGTTAGATACCATTGATGTAAAACAGCACGTTATTTAACCGCAGTTAACGTAACGGCACTCTGGTCTCTCTTCCAAATATGTACCACCTAAAAATCATTTTCTATCTAATTGCATTGATAAAAAATAGCAAGAGGAAATTTTACTGGGGAACAGAGGGGGTGAATGCAGAAACAAGTGAGACGAAGGAATATATCAAAAAAGTACAGTCAAAATTTGGCTCCCGGACGTCTCAATTTTGGAACGTTTTGGCTCCTGGACACCAAAAACTGGGAAGTAACTGCTCCGGTTTTTGAACGATTTTCAGAAGCCAAACAGCTTCCGGGGAGTTTTTTTCTTTTTCCTTCATTGACTTTGCAATCCTTGGTTGTCGAACATTTCGTAAGTCGAGGGGTCTTCCGGAACAGGTTACGTTTGACAACTGAGGTTTGACTGTACAGTGGTACCTTGGTTCTCGAACTTAATCCAGTTGACTCCCGAAAGCGTTCGAAAACCAAGGCGCCGCTTCGGATTGGCTGCAGGATCTTCCTGCGCTCAAGCGGAAGTTGCGTCGGACGTTCGGCTTCCGAAAAACGTTCGCAAACCAGAACACTTACTTCCGGGTTTGCGATGCTTGTGAGCCGATTTGTTCGACAACAGAGCCGTTCGAGAACCAAGGTACCACTGTATGTTGAAAATCATATCAAAAATATAACTAAGTCTAAAAAAGTTATTCTCGGAAGGGGTCGTTTAACAAGGATCCGATCAGTTTATTCAAAGTTACTTCTAAAGAGGAAGTCTTGGTGATTTTTTCATTATCAACGCATCTGAATGGAGTGGGGAATGCAAATTTCATACAGTGACCCGTTGCTGGAAACCACAGGAGGAGAGTGGACCGTTGTGCTTGAATCCTGGCCACTGTGAGAACAGGATGTGGACTAGATGGGCATTGACTTGATCCAGCAGGAGCCTTTTGTGTTCTGAGGAGTGATGAATTTTGATTCCAGAATCACCATGGTCTTGTTTGGTCAATGGAATATTCATTATCATCATCACACATTCTCTGTAATTTTTTCACTTCCCCGTCACTGATACTGACGAATCGTGGAACTCCCATGGGAATATGCCAGCATGAGTTCTGTCACCCATCTCTTCCACTTTTCAAACACTGTCAGTGTAAATCTGCTTTCTTAATAATAATAATAATAATAATAATAATAATAATTTATTATTTATACCCCACCCATCTGGCTGGGCTTCCCCAGCCACTCCGGGCGGCTTCCAACAAAATATTAAAATACAGTACAGTGGTACCTCAGATTAAGAACTTAATTCGTTCTGGAGGTCTGTTCTTAACCTGAAACTGTTCTTAACCTGAAGCACCACTTTAGCTAATGGGGCCTCCCGCTGCCGCTGCTCTGCCGGAGCACGATTTCTGTTCTCATCCTGAAGCAAAGTTCTTAACCTGAGGTAATATTTCTGAGTTAGCGGAGTCTGTAACCTGAAGCGTATGTAACCTGAAGCGTATGTAACCGGAGGTACCACTGTAATGCATCAGACATTAAAAGCTTCCCTAAACAGGGCTGCCTTCAGATGTCTTCTAAAAGTCTGGTAGTTGTTGTTCTCTTTGACATCTGGTGGGAGGGCGTTCCACAGGGCGGGTGCCACCACCGAGAAGGCCCTCTGCCTGGTTCCCTGTAACTTGGCTTCTTGCAGTGAGGGAACCGCTGGAAGGCCCTCGGCGATGGACCTCAGTGTCCGGCCTGAACGATGGGGGTGGAGACGCTCCTTCAGATATACTGGACCGAGGCCGTTTAGGGCTTTCAAGGTCAGCACCAACACTTTGAATTGTGCTTGGAAACGTACTGGGAGCCAACGTAGATCTTTCAGGACCAGTGTTATGTGGTCTCGGCAGCTGCTCCCAGTCACCAGTCTAGCTGCCGCATTCTGGATTACCGTATTTTTTGCTCTATAAGACTCACTTTTTTCCTCCTAAAAAGAAAGGGGGAATGTGTGTACGTCTTATCGAGCGAATGCAGGCTGCACAGCTATCACAGAAGCCAGAACAGCAAGCCCTCTTGCTGTTCTGGCTTCTGAGATTCAGAATATTTTTTTCCTTGTTTTCCTCCTCCAAAAACTAGGTGCGTCTTGTGGTCTGGTGCGTCTTATAGAGCGAAAAATACGGTGATTAAGACTTTGTGGCCCCATTTGGTGCCCTTCAGAGGATGGAAACAGGGCAGCGAGCGAAGTTCTTCTGTTTGTTGATTCCTTCCTAATGGGCGGAGCGCGGCCTGTAAGCAACAGTTCTAATTGGCATCAGGCGATGGAAATTAATTTGTGGAATCATTATAAGCACAGTGTGTTCGTGGGTGTAATAACATGGCTGGTGAAGTTGTGGTCCTGGGAGATGTAAAACAGAATGGAGCTGCCCCTTGGGTTTTTGGTTGGTTTTTTTTCACATTGAGACATCACTATAGCTCCCTTGGTTACTTATTTACATCCTGCTTTTAAATTCCACTGAAATGTGTGGACTGCAACTAGCTCCCTGCCTTAAGGACCTCTGGCTTAAGTTGCTGTTGTTGAAACCCAAAATCCACAATATTTTCTGTGCTCCAGCTACGATTTCGAAGACATTGGCACAATGCGAGTCCCCAACACAACACATCCCATAATCCCCCGCCCCTTAATTCTTTTTTTATTTTATTTTTTAAATTTTTAAATTTTAATTTTTTGCACTTTATTATTAATGTTGCAATACATATATGAACTCTTTACATATTGATACATATACATTATATTCATAAATTCACATTTTCACGTTTCATTATGTACCAACGTTTATCCATTTCTTATTTCTTGCCCTGTGCGTGACTTCCTTGTTATTATTTCGTAACTTTATTATTGAGATTGTAATTTTGTATCTTAATAATTAAACATTCCATCTTACATATCTGCTTAGCATAGCTTAATTTAACTTAATTTAACTGAAATCAGTCTATACATATCAATAAATTCTTGTTGGAGCATCTTTTGGTCATGTATTATTTTATACCTTTCCATTCCTGTTTGAGATTTTGATTAGATTGCATTCTTATCGTTGCCGTCATTTTTGCTAATTCAAGCATTTCAAAAAAAATATTTTGCCAATCTTTCAATGTTGGTACTTAATTCTTTTTTTTAATGAGTTTATTTTATTGTTGCTTGGTTGGTGGGTGAAGCCTGGTTTTTGAGGGGAGATGGCCTTTTTGTCTGTTTTTGTATATGTGTGTGTGTGTAGATAGGTTAATTGTTGTTGTTTAGTCATTTAGTCGTGTCCGCCTCTTCGTGACCCCCTGGACCAGAGCACGCCAGGCCCTCCTGTCTTCCACTGCCTCCCGCAGTTTGGTCAAACTCATGCTGGTAGCTTGGAGAACACTGTCCCACCATCTCGTCCTCTATTGTCCCCTTCTCCTTGTGTCCTCCATCTTTCCCAACATCAGGGTCTTTTCCAGGGAGTCTTCTCTTCTCATGAGGTGCCCAAAGTCTTGGAGCCTCAGCTTCAGGATCTGTCCTTCCAGTGAGCACTCAGGGCTGATTTTCTTCAGAAAGGATTCCTGCAGTCCATGGGACTCTCAAGAGTCTCCTCCAGCACCAGAATTCAAAAGCATCAATTCTTTGGCGATCGGCCTTCTTTATGGTCCAGCTCTCACTTCCATACATCACTAAACTGGGTTAATAGGTAGGTGCATTTTTCGACGGGACGGACTACCCTGAACACCACAAGATTTTCTTCAGTGAAATGGGTATTTTGTGGTGCCGACCTGGTGCCAAATGTCCTGTTCTGCTTTCCTTTGGACCACATCAGCAAGGCTGAGATTGGGGTCTTGTTGTCTGGGCAGCCCAGGACCTCCAAGACACACAGCTTGCGCCACAAGGAGGTCAATTTGGTGTGCTAATAAAGAGGTTTGACTTCACCCGCAGAGGCGCACTCCATTGTCTCTTGAGACAGATGGGTGTCCACAACAAGAAGGTTCCTGTGATCTCTATATGGGTGCAAGGAACTTTGAGGGCTCCTACTTTTATCTTCTATATTGCTAATCAGGATTATAGCATCCGCTTCTATTTCTAGGCTAGCATAGGAATGCAGGAAGCAGTGTTAGAAACTCAGGTATATAAGCTAGGTGCCAGATGGCTCCTTAAACCAAGATTACAATCTATGTAGAATTTTTATTATTATTATTAATTTTTATTAATTTTTTCAAAAAATAGAAATTAAACAAAGAAAGACAAAGAACAATACATAACACTGTAAACACACTTATATACATATTTTCCAAAATGAAAACTAATGACAATAAAAAGAAAGAAAAGGAAAAATATATAGAAAAAAGACAAAAGAAAAAACACTTTTCATATCCTGGAATATTACCATCTATGTAGAATTATGCATGTATGGAAACTCCGGTTAAACTATAATAAACAATAAAATTGGGGGGGGGGGGGGGAAACAAGGTTACAGTCGCCAAAATGGAATGTCCAGTTGCCATTTTCTGGCAAGATGGCTCTAATGTCTTATTTTTCAAATGATGCACTGAGTCTGATTGATTCTCAGTTAAACATCTGGCTAGTTCAGACGAGAACCTTGAGCTAGGTTAAGAACTCTTGAGAACTTAGAGAAGAAAAGTCCCTTGATACAGGGACAGTCCACATATATATATGTTGACCTAATCCAACCTTTTTTTCTCAATGTTGACACAGACCATTCATTACTTAGTGATATTCTTCACAACTGTGAGCAGGACAATGGGGTGGTTCACTGTTCTTGCTTAGGCTGCACAGAAAAAAACACACATTTTGGTTCCTGAAATTCTTTCTGATTGTGCAGGTGAAATGTTGTTGTTGTTGTTTTGTCGTTTAGTCGTGTCCGACTCTTTGTGACCCCATGGACCAGAGCACGCCAGGCACTCCTGTCTTCCACTGCCTCCCGCAGTTTGGTCGAACTCATGTTGGTAGCTTCTAGAACACTGTCCCACCATCTCGTCCTCTGTCGTCCCCTTCTCCTTGTGCCCTCCATCTTTCCCAACATCAGGGTCTTTTCCAGGGAGTCTTCTCTTCTCATGAGGTGGCCAAAGTCTTGGAGCCTCAGCTTCAGGATCTGTCCTTCCAGTGAGCACTCAGGGCTGACTTCCTTCAGAATGGATCAGTTTGATCTTCTTGCAGTCCATGGGACTCTCAAGAGTCTCCTCCAACACCATAAGGTGAAATATAACTGGTAAAACTCTATAGGATGCGTTGCTAGTATGTGAAAACAGCCCAGATCCAATGATCTCCAGATGGTGGAGATGTCAGGCACCATCCTGGTACCCAGACATCTTCACTTGGTCACAAGTGGCTGATAGCCAGGTGCAAAATGCACCTGGCACCTGGCTAATTTCAAACAGTGGTCTGTTAGGATCGTCCTACTCTCGTGTAGGACCCTGGCAGAGACACATGCCCGACTGGCATGTGTCTGTCCCTCCTGGTCGGTCGTTCCGGGGCTTCAAAAGCTTTCTCCAGCCCGAACATCACAGCGACTGATACCAAGAGTATTTTGCAGAGAATCCTGCAGAGTATTTGCAGTTTGCGTAACGGAACTCAGTAGCTCAGTATTTGGGCTAATCTACATGGCCACTGGTCCCATCACCTCCTGGCAAATAGAAGGGGAAGAAATGGAGGCAGTGAGAGATTTTACTTTCTTGGGCTCCATGATCACTGCAGATGGTGACAGCAGTCACGAAATTAAAAGACGCCTGCTTCTTGGGAGAAAAGCAATGACAAACCTAGACAGCATCTTAAAAAGCAGAGACATCACCTTGCCAACAAAGGCCCGTATAGTTAAAGCTATGGTTTTTCCAGTAGTGATGTATGGAAGTGAGAGCTGGACCATAAAGAAGGCTGATCACCGAAGAATTGATGTTTTTGAATTCTGGTGCTGGAGGAGACTCTTGAGAGTCCCATAGACTGCAAGAAGACCCAACCTCTCCATTCTTAAGGAAATCAGCCCTGAGTGTTTACTGGAAGAACATATCCTGAAGCTGAGGCTCCAAGACTCTGGCCACCTCATGAGAAGAGAAGACTCCCTGGAAGAGACCCTGATGTTGGGAAAGATGGAAGGCACAAGGAGAAGATGGTTGGACAGTGTTCTAGAAGCTACCAGCATGAGTCTGACCAAACTGCGGGAGGCAGTGGAAGACAGGAGTGCCTGGCGTGCTCTGGTCCAGGGGGTCACGAAGAGTCGGACATGAGTAAACAACTAAACAACAACAACTTTATTTACATATAATACACGCGGAGCATTCTGACTTAACTCCTTCCTCTTTCTCATCAAAGAAACAAAGGACAATCGTCCTACATTCCGGAACACAGTAACACAAACATCCTGTCTCCGTCACTTCCCACACTGGGGAGTCAAAACATACACCGTCATGTGATAGACAACTATCCCATGACTGCAAACACGGAGCGAGGATCCTAACATGGTCTACCCTGACTGCTGGTGGCTCTCGAGAGTTTCCAGCAGAAGTCTTCCTTCCACCCTACTGGGAGATGTCAGCAATTGAAGCTGGGAACCTTCTGCAAGGTAGACATGATCTTATCAGTTAATGTAGACCAGGCACCCCCAACCTGTGGCCCTCCAGATGTATTGGCCTACAACTCCCATGATCCCTAGCTAGTAGGACCAGTGGTCAGGGATGATGGGAATTGTAGTCCAAAACATCTGGAGGGCCAAAGGTTGGGGATGCGTGACGTAGACAATATTGATTGATGGACCCCGTTTTTTTGACATTGTCTGAAACAGGTTCTGGAACAAGGCTCTTCGTGTTTTCACCCGCAGCAGTAAAAGACCTTGCCAGTTCCTTACTGTTGTGTGTCATCTACTTAGCTGCTGCTAGGAAGGTTTCTTGAAACTGATTTTCTGCGAAATCAGATAACTCTTTGGCAAGCACGTGCTCCCTAACCGAAGTCCCTTGTTATCTGAAGCCGTCGGATAATATCAAGAGATACCGGCAGATGCTAATCTACTATATTATTGCTGTTACAGTCGTACCTTGGAAGTCGAACCATTCTGGAAGCCCATTCGACTTCCAAAATGTTCGGAAACAAAATCACGGCTTCTGATTGGCTGCAGGAAGCTCCTCCAGCCAATAAGAAGCTGTGGAAGCCCCATCGGACGTTCAGGTTCCAAAAGAATGTTTGCAAACCGGAACAATCACTTTTGGGAGCCAAAATGTCATTAGTTCCAGGGTGTTTGACAACCAAGGTACGACTGTATTATTATTTATTAGATTTATACCCATAGATCTTCGGTAAAAATACCATAAGTGCCTAGCCCCCAATAATACACACATTTCTTTAAAGGTAAAGGGGACCCCTGACCATTAGGTCCAGTCGTGGCCGACTCTGGGGTTGCGGCGCTCATCTCGCTTTACTGGCCGAGGGAGCCAGCGTACAGCTTCCGGGTCATGTGGCCAGCATGACTAAGCCACTTCTGGCGAACCAGAGCAGCGCACGGAAACACCGTTTACCTTCCCGCTGGAGCAGTACCTATTTATCTACTTGCACTTGACGTGCTTTCAAACTGCTAGGTGGACAGGAGCAGGGACCGAGCAATGGGAGCTCACCCCATGGCGGGGATTCGAACCGCCGACCTTCTGATCGGCAAGCCCTAGGCTCTGTGGTTTAACCCACAGCACCACCCGCGTCCCAACATATTTCTTTACTTACTATTAAATTTCATAGAATTATTGTAGAGTTGGAAGGGACCCCGTGGGTCATCTATTCCAACCCCTTGCAACATAAGAATCTCAACTAAAGCATCCATGACAGAGGGCCGTCCAACCTCTGCTTAAAAACCTCCAAGGAAGGAGCGTCTGCCATCTTCCGAGGGAGACCGTTCCACTGTCAAACAGCACTTACCGTCAGAAAGTTCTTCCTGATGTTGAGTCGGAATCTCCTTTCTTGTAACCTGAAGCCATGGGTTCGAGTCTTCCCCTCTGGAGCAGGAGAAAACGAGCTTGCTCCATTGAGATATCTGAAGATGGGTATCTCCCTCTTCTCCAGGCTAAACATACCCAGCGCTCTCAACCATTTTTCATCTAAGGAGGTAAAGGTAGCATGCCGAGGTCCTTTATTCCTCACGACGACCCTGTGAGGTTGGTCAGGCTGGGAGGCAGTGTCGGACCCAAGACCACTCAGTGAGCTTAACGGCCGAGTGGGGATTTGAACCCTGATCTCCCAGGTCCTAGTCTTTCACTCTAACCACAACACCTCATTGACTCACAATGGAGGCATTGAAGATAAGTGTGGTTTTGCACATGTCTTTTAAAGCTTAACCCAGAGTTTCATGAAAGTTTGGCTCTCTGGCAGCTTGGTATGTTTGCAGAATTATACCAACAGAGCAAAATGGGCAGCATCTAAAACATTAGATGCTTTATAACTGCATACATATCAATCAAGCAGTCAATCTTTATTACGGTCCAGAGACCCAACAAATCGTTACAAAGCAATGCACAATTCAGACAGCCTACCTCCAGGTTAAACAAGCATACGATATACTATACGCTATATGATAACTTTATTGTCATTGTCCCATACAGAACAAGGAAATTGAAAACATTCAACAAAACAAAACAAAAACATTCAAAAACCCCTAAAAACTCTGAAACCCCATTTAAAAATACAATATACTATAGAGACTCCTTATGCTGCGTTTAGAACCAGAATTGCATTTGTGTAGAAGCTGTTTCTCAGGCGGCTAGTCCTGGCCTTTATAACTCGATACCTTCTTCCAGAAGGCAGAAGCTGAAAGAGATCATTTCCGGGGTGCGCGCTATCCTGCGCTATCTCTGCCGCTTTCTCATGGCACCTGGAAGCATAGATTTGATCCAAGGTGGGAAGAGTGCACCCAGTTATTCTCTTTGCAGTCTTTACAACCGTGGACAGCACTGTTTTTCTCCTGACCGTGCAGCTCCCAAACCACACACACAGACCATACGTTAATACACTCTCCACAGTACAATGTTAAAATGCCATCAACAGGTCCTTTGAGAGGTTGTTTTTCCGGAGGATTCTCAGAAAATACAACCTCTGCTGTCCTCTCTTCATCAGGTCTTTGCTGTTTTCTCCCCAGGTTAGGTCATCTCTCAACTCCATTCCCAGAAATCAAAACACCAAGACCTGTTCCACGCACTTCCACTCAATAATAAGTGGGTGAATATTCAATTTACATTTCCTAAAGTCCACAGTAATCTCTTCTTTTTCTTTAAGTTAAGGAGTAAGTTGTTTTTGCTGCACTAACTGCTCAACTTCCTTCCTATAGACCGCCTCCCCCTCTCCAGCCGTGATTAAACCAACCACCGTTGTATCATCTGCAAACTTAATAATCTCATTACTGGGGTATTTTGTTCAGACTTAAAAGATAGGGATCATTGGTCCTTGCAACCACCGATAAAAACTTCACCACTGCTAATGTTCTGGCGTTTGTCCGGTCTTCCAATAGGAACCTGACATAGTGAGCCTCTGATTTTCCCGGGAAAGGTATCAGCAAGGGTAATATCAGTTCAGCCCTGGCTTGCTCGTATTTCGCACAGTGCAGCAAAATATGTTTTATGGAATCGATGTCTTGAGCACACGAGCAAAGTCTGTCCTGGTAGGGAACTCCTCTCAACCTGCCATCCGACACTGCAGAAGGAAAGACGTTTAGTCTGGCTTTGGTGAAAAACCTTCGATAATTTGGTACTGTCAGGTTTTTAATGTAAGGTGTTAACTTAAAGACATGCCCATATTGTACTCCTGCTGCCAGAGGACTACAGGCTGCGTGTGATCGAGATCGCAAGTCACTGTGTGCATTATCCCATAATCTTTGCTTTAACGTCTTTAGGACGCCTTCATAACCCAGGTAATAAAGTTGGGGGGGGGGGTGACAGACCAATAGAGGTGGCTTTTCTAGCCATGGTTTTCTGCCATTTGCGGACAAACTCCTCATTGGTCTGGTGTTGGTACAAACCCTTCCCTAGATCAAACACCGAAATCCTGAGCCAATGTTTTAGGGCAGAACACCATGCTTTAGTTGGAATTGGGCATTCACCAGCTTCTAACAGCAGTATGGAGTTGGGGACACAGTTGGGTACCTGCAGCAGAGATCGTAGAAATTTTGCCTGAAAGCCATCTAGCTTAGGCAGGTCCCCATTACGCCAGACATTTGCAGCGTACAGGAGTTGGGAAATGGATATATATATATATGCAAAGTAGGGAGCTACTAGTAAACTTTGAATTTAAGGTTAAAAATCCTGAGATGGTTGCTTTAAAAAGCAAATTGTTCTGCCTACAATTAATATGCTTCTTTCTCTGGTACGGAGCTTGCGTGGTTGCTGGAACAGAATAGTTTCACTTTTATTTCTGTTTAAATCAGTTTCGCTTTTCACTGAAATCAACGGCTGCCGTACAGAAGCACCGAACACATTTCCCTCTCATTTGTTAACACTGAATGTTTATTTGGTTGTGGTTTTTCTTTTGTGTAAAACCTGAATACAGTGTGCCGCTTTCAATCTAGCCCTCTGACAACGCTTGTGGCACGTAGCTGTCAACTTTTCCCTTTTCTTGCGAGGAATCCTATTCGGAATAAGGGAATTTCCCTTTAAAAAAGAGAAAGAACAGCTATGTCGTGGCATTTAACACTGGTTTTTCTCCCCTTCCTTTCAAATCTGCAAAGGGCAGATTGATAAATTGATAATCCCAAAGCATATAAACTGATCGTCATTTTGGAATTAAAATTAATTTAACATGGAGTCACTTTTAGCTCAAGTTTTTTGCCTCCTTGATAATGCACTTGTGGTTTTTAAAGAGTCAGGGGCGAGGAGGAAGGTTGCTAAGTATGCTGATGATACTAAAATATAAACACAAAATTAATAATGTGTGCAGACAATGTTGGCAATTGGCCTGCTATCAGGGCACTCAGTATTTTAATGCTGGCTCTAAATGTGTTTTTTTTTTTGTATTTTTAAACTGTTGCTTTTAACTAAGGTGTTGGTGTTTTAAAATGATGTTTTTAAAATACTGCAAGCCGCCTTGAATCCCAATTTTGGGAGAAAGGTGGGATAGAAAAACATTAAATGAATGAATAAATCAATTTCTGTACTTTTCATGTGGAACACGCTAAAGGTTTGTTTAGGGATTGCGCAGATTCATGAAGGATTGTCCTATATGCATTAAAATGGCCAAAAAAACCCGATATCAAAAGCAAGTTGACCTAATTTGCCACACCTTCAAAACGTATATATTTGTAAAATCAGCAGTTTACAAAACATGTATTGCAAAGTAAAATTACATATTACTGAAATGCACGTCAGATTTAGATGTCTGGGCAGGCTTGCCTGAGCATAAAACTTGCCAAAAGCAGTATAGTGAAGTTGAATACCCTAATATCAAGTGGCAGGGAGTTCCAAAGTTCAGGCACTACCACACTGAAGGAGCGATTCCTTGCAAGTGTGGAACAGACATTGTGTGGTGCTTTCACTTCCTGCTTTTTGTTACTCTTTTGCTCTCCCGAGAAATCCTGCAATAGAGTCCTTCCTGGACAATAGCGCCTTTGACTTGAACTTTTCTTTTTTTGAAATGCTTCCCCGCTTCCTGCTTGCAGAAAATTAGTATATCGGAGAACTGGGTCTGTGAAGATATTAACTCCCAGTGTGCAGATCTGCAAACAAGGGCTTTCTGTTTTTTCCAAACTGAAGTCTAAATTTATAACGTCCTGGAAGCAGGGCTGTGCGATAAGTTAATATACCGGTGAACAAAAGGTGGAGATTTAACAGCTTCCCAGCTGAACATACTTTGCAGATAATTTGCAGGCACCTGTTTCCAACTTTGTGCTCTCCCGATAAGAAATAAATGATGATAAACCCTCCCACAAACCAGCAAGCTATTTCGGATTCACCGGTACCCTCCCACTTAGAGCTCAGCTAATTATGCAGAGCCTGCTAACGACCCAGGAGGAACCTCCCACGGCTAGATAATCAAAGAGGCAAGGTAAACGAAGAACTGGAAAGCTCTTCTTTCTTCCCCCACAAGTGGGGGGGAAAAAAGAGGGGGAAGAGTTTTTGTTTTTATTTCCTGGTGGCGTTTATGTGGTTAAAGGTAAAGGGACCCCTGACCATTAGGTCCATTCGTGACGGACTCTGGGGTTGCGGCGCTCATCTCGCTTTATTGGCCGAGGGAACCGGCGTACAGCTTCCGGGTCGGGTGGCCAGCATGACCAAGCCGCTTCTGGCGAACCAGAGCAGCGCATGGAAACGCCGTTTACCTTCCCGCCGGAGTGGTACCTATTTATCTATTTGCACTGGCGTGCTTTTGAACTGCTAGGTTGGCAGGAGCAGGGACTGAGCAACGGGAGCTCACCCTGTCGTGGGGATTCGAACCGCCGACCTTCTGATCGGCAAGCCCTAGGCTCTGTGGTTTAACCCACGGCGCCACCCACGTCCCTGTTTATGTGGTTGGTTCCCCCTAAATAGCTTTCCTCCGTATTAAAAAGGAAGAGTGCATTTTTAATTTAAAGAAGACAATATTTTTGTTCCTTGCTCTCCCTCCCTCCCTCCCACCCAGAGATTGGTGGGATGAGGGCATTTGGGGACCCCCCTTCTGTTGGGGTGGGCGATGGAGGGGAGAAGATTTAGCTGGCTGCCTTATGCTGAAATGGGAGGTTGGGTACTGTGTGCGAATGATGGGAAGGGCGTTTTTCTGTAAAACAGTGCAAGCAAATGCGTGTCTACTCACAAGCAAACCTTACTGAATTCAATGGGCCTTACTCTTAGGATAGTAGAAGTTTTTTTTTTGTTTTTTTTTTGACAATTCAACTCTTTATTGATATGTGTGCGAGTAACTGAGAGAATAAACACACATTCTCCTATACATTTCTGTCTCCATGTGGCCCCAAACAAGTTTAACCCTTTGGGGTGGAAAATAACTTTCAAACAACTTTTTTTTTTTTGTATTCTAGTTGTTAATTATCTCAGCAAATCCTTTCCATCTTTCACAATGACAGAATATTCTGAAAGATGGAAAGGATTTGCTGAGATAATTAACAACTAGAATACAAGAAAGGGAGGTGTGAGGAGGTCGATGAAATAAGTTAATGACAGTTAAGGATCTGGGAATATTGGATTTGTTTTTAAATTTTTTGTTTATTTTTGCTTTTTGCTTTTGATGTATTGTGTGTTTTGTTTTTTCTTTTTGACTTTGGTTTTTACTGATTTGTATTGTTTAATTGTTACTTTTATCTACCTTCTTCTTTCTTTTTCTCTTTCTCTTGTTTTTTCCTTCTTTTTTCTTTGTAACCTTAAAATTCTCAATAAATATCTTTAAAAAAAGAAAAGAAAAAGAAAATAACTTTCAAACATTCTGGCTGTCCTTCAGTCCCTTTTGATAAATGAGATAATACTCACACTTGACAATATTATGAATTTAGTTTCTAACCGTGCAGTCTTATCTCCTCAACCCTTGAGATACCATACAAGTAAATTTGTGCAATTATATAAATGGATGCAAAATACATTCAGATATCTTGAAAGGGAAACATTCCTATTTAATATGAAGTTGAGATAAATTATGGCCAAGAAGTACAAATCATGAACTACAAACCAATTCATATTACAATGATTACTCAAAAATAATGTCTTCAGAATCTGATTTAACTTGAGTTTTTGGGTAATAGTAAAATAAACTGGGTAAAAGTTAGAATTATAGGGGCGAGTAGAAGTTTAGTTGAACTCAGTGGGGCTTATGTGTGCAGAGGCAACTTGGCTAGTAAATCACTTAAACTTCTCATAAATTAGTTGAAAATATATTAAATAGTATACTATATGGAAGCTTATTTAATTTTACTAAATCTACCACTTCTGCCACCGCCCGGAAGCCTGGCAAGCCCCTTTGCCACCGCAGATAGATATTGTGATACAGTGGTACCTTAGATTAAGTACTTAATTCGTTCCGGAGGTCTGTTCTTAACCTGAAACTGTTCTTAACCTGAAGCACCGCTTTAGCTAATGGCGCCTCCCGCTGCTGCCGGAGCACGATTTCTGTTCTCATCCTGAAACAAAGTTCTTAACCTGAAGCACTATTTGTGGGTTAGCGGAGTCTGTAACCTGAAGCGTATGTAACCTGAGGTACCACTATATATCGAGAGATCTAGCTGGTGATATATTGTGATGTTGCAAGCCAGATATTGCACAACCCTATCAGGAAGGGACTGTACTGTGTAATTTTCCTGAACATGCAGCTGTTCTTCCAAGGGGGAAGAACAGGCTTTCTTGTGAAATTATTCCCTCGTTCTTCATTGCTCTACCCAGCAGTCAAGGTCCTTGGCGTTGCCTCTCCCTGTGACTCACAAGTTTTTTATAGGGTTCTTCCTGTGCGTTGCTTTGTTAATAATGCTTTTAAGAGCCAGCGTGTGCGCCTACCAGTGGCCGCACCTCGGGGCGTGGGGCTCTCTGGTCCTTTAGCAACCCCACACTTTGACCCTCAAGATGCTCACAGCCCCCAGCCCCATCTGCCCCAGTTTTGTTGTGCTGGCATCGCATCACTACGGCTGCCTTAAGTCTGTTGGGCAGGATTTGACCAAGTGCTGCTACTAGCACAAGGGCTTCTGGATGGGCAGAGGAACTCCCCACCACCTGAAACGCGCCCCCCAAATCTGTTATGGGGGTACTCCCAAAGCTCTGGAGCAGTTTGGGGAAGGGCAGAAGGGTGTGTAAGGAGAGGGAGGAGGTTTTTGTTGCCCAAGTAGTACAATGGCGTTGGAGACAACCTGTAGCAACTCAGCAACTTGGCCCCGGGATGTAAAAATAAATAAATGTAACCCCGTTGTCCTTAGGTTTCTGCCCCAGATTCCTAATTGCCAAAGGGCCCTGGTCTTCTCGTGGTCTTAAAATTGCCAGGGAAAACCATTATTATATTCATTACCATATTTATTTTCATCCCGCCTTTTCACTAGGCCGGGACTCAAGGCGGTTTTTGCAAAAAACAACAACACAATTGCACACAAAATAAAGGTAAAGGTAAAAGGTGCAATGGGTGCAGAATGTCGCTGTGAGGCTCCTACGGGGTCCTTGCCACGGGATCACATTCATCCAGTGCTTTACCAACTGCACTGCCTCCCGGTGGAGTACAGGGTCAGGTTTAAAGTGCTGGTTTTGACCTTTAAAGCCCTATGCGGCCTAGGACCCTCGTACCTACGGGACCGCCTCTCCTGGTATGCCCCGCGGAGGACCTTAAGGTCCACAAATGACAACATTTTCGAGGTCACAAGGTGGTTAGATTGGTCTCAACTAGGGTCAGGGCCTTTTCAGTACTGGCCCCGACTTGGTGGAACACTCTGTCCCAAGAGACTAGGGCCCTTCGGGACTTGACATCTTCCCGCAGGGCCTGCAAGACAGAGCTGTTCCACCTGGCCTTTGGTTTGGACTCAGTCTGACCCTTATGTTTCCCTCCCCTTATGGTTTTGATTTATGGGCTACTTTTAAAATGAGAGTGCATTTTAAATTGCATTTTAACCTATATTTTAAATTCGTCGTCGTCGTCCCCCCCCCCCCATTGTGTTTTAACTGTAATTTTACTGTTGTTAGCTGCCCTGAGCTGGGCCCTGGCCAGGGAGGGTGGGGTATAAATAAAATTTATTATTATATTATTAAAGGTACCCCTGACTGTTAGGTCCAGTCGCGGACGACTCTGGGGTTGCGCGCACATCTCGCTCTATAGGCCGAGGGAGCTGGCGTTTGTCCGCAGACAGCTTCCGGGTCATGTGGCCAGCGTGACTAAGCCGTTTACCTTCCTGCCGGAGTGGTGCCTATTTATCTACTTGCACTTGACGTGCTTTTGAACTGCTAGGTTGGCAGGAGCAGGGACCGAGCAACGGGAGCTCAGCCCGTCACGGGGATTCGAACCGCTGACCTTCTGATCGGCAAGCCCTAGGCTCTGTGGTTTACACCGCAGCGCCACCCGCAGACAAAATATAGAAGGCTAAAAACATGCAACATATAAGAGATAAAAAGCAATAAAGCTGTAATAGAATTAAAGCCATGGAAAATCCAATCTATTAGGATTGCCTAATAGCTCAGTTGGTAAAGCTTGAGGCTTGTGATCTCAGGGCTGTGTGTTCGAACCCCACGTTGGGCAAAATATTCCGGCATTGCAGGGGGTTGGACTAGATGACCCTTGTGGTCCCTTCCAGCTCTGTGATACCCTCTGTGAAGATATAGATAGTAAAAACTGCACAGTGCTATTTTGAAAGCCTCGTGGTGGCCTGTGTCTAAATGGCCTAGGTGGGGAGTTCAGGAAATAGCTGGTTAGCTGGATCTAGGATCCCCGCCCCCAATTCCTGACTCAAGGTAGCATGGTAAATTCTTAGATGGAATATATTTTTAGATATAAGGATCCTGCGATTCTGTAGGATCACAGACTGCGCTATTAGGCACACAGTCCTCCTCTCTGAGAATCTGAAGTTTGTAGTCCTCAATGCTGGTGAAAATTAGGCTTGAAATGCATAGGCCGTGTCTGTAGCAATCGCAGAAGTCAAAGAAGGGCTAAATAAACTAGTGATCTCCATTTCTCTTATTCTTTCCTCATGTGTTGCCAAACCAGAATCAGTTGTGCAAAATGGCAGACTAAGTTACTGGGCTTGTAAGGGGAGGAAATTATGCATCAGTTTGCAGCGTTTATGCAGGCTGTAGAATTTCCTGGTAATGCCTAGTTGAGAAGCTTGCTTCCTCTTTTCAAAGCTCTGCGTACACGCGGCCGGTCTTAAGATCTGTCACCGCATGGGCGAAAAAACCGGGTGGATCTGATTCATTACCCTCTGTCTTAACGCAGGACGAACTTTTCTCCAAACAAAAGATCAGCTTTGCCAAGGCAGAACTTGAGGAGACCTGCATTTTACTCCTGCTCTGATCCGAAACAGAGGTAAAACTTAACGTTTGCTGAACTCCCAACAATCTCTTTCCCCATTCCACGTGGCTCCTCTCTAGAGGAAGCCTTTCGACGGTCGCCGCCCTTTTAGTTTCAGTTTGTGTTTGCTGCTAGGACTTTGATCGTTGCTGCAGCGCAGAAGGGAGGATTCATCCGGATTGAGAACAGCCCTTTGCTTAGCTCTCCAGCAGTGCCGGATTTATGTATAAGCTAAACAAGCTATAGCTTAGGGCCCAGAGTGGGGCCCCACCCCCAGTTTCACTGTTAATATACTACTTCTTAATTGTATTTCAGTTCAACAATTACTTTGACAAAATACCGTATTTTTTGCTCTATAGGACTCACTTTTTCCCTCCTAAAAAGTAAGGAGAAATGTGTGTGTGTGTTACGGAGCGAATGCAGGCTGCGCAGCTATCCCAGGAGCCAGAACAGCAAGAGGGATTGCTGCTTTCACTGCACAACGATTCCTCTTGCTGTTCTGGCTTCTGAGATTCAGAATATTTTTTTTCTTGTTTTCCTCCTCCAAAAACTAGGTGCGTCTTGTGGTCTGGTGCGTCTTATGGAGCGAAAAATACGGTACATATTTTGTTACGTGCAAATGGCTTTAGATACCTATTAGGTCCATAAATTACCATATAGCATAAAAGGTAAGGGACCCCTGACCATTAGGTCCACATGTGGCCGACTCTCGCTTTACTGGCCGAGGGAGCTGATGTACAGCTTCCGGGTCATGTGGCCAGCATGACTAAGCCGCTTTTGGCGAACCAGAGCAGCACATGGAAACACCGTTTACCTTCCCACTGGAGCGGAACCTATTTATCTACTTGCACTTTGATGGGCTTTCAAACTGCTAGGTTGGCAGGAGCAGGGACCGAGCAACAGGAGCTCACCCCATTGCAGGGATTCGAACCGCCAACCTTCTGATTGGCAAGTCCTAGGCTCTGTGGTTTAACCCACAGCGCCACCTGCGTCCCACCATATAGCATATTCAGCACAAAAAACAGTGACAGAGGTCAGCACCAACACTTTGAATTGTGCTCGGAAACGTACTGGGAGCCAATGTGGGTCTTTCAGGACCAGTGTTATGTGGTCTCGACATTCGCTCCCAGTCACCAGTCTAGCTGCCGCATTCTGGATTAGTTGTAGTTTCCGGGTCACCTTCAAAGGTAGCCCCACGTAGAGCGCATTGCAGTAGTCCAAGCAGGAGATAACTAGAGCATGCACCACTCTGGTGAGACTGTGGGCAGGGAGGGTCTCATCCTGTGCACCAGATGGAGCTGGTAGACAGCTGCCCTGGACACAGAATTGACCTGCGCCTCCATGGACAGCTGTGAGTCCAAAATGACTCCCAGGCTGCGCACCTGGTCCATCAGGGGCACAGTTACCCCATTCAGGACCAGGGAGTCCTCCACACCCGCCTGCCTCCTGTCCCCCCAAAACAGTACTTCTGTCTTGTCAGGATTCAACCTCAATCTGTTAGCCGCCATCCATCCTCCAACCGCCTCCAGACACGCGCACAGGACCTTCACCGCCTTCACTGGTTCTGATTTAAAAGAGAGGTAGAGCTGGGTATCATCCCCATACTGATGGACACCCAGCCCAAACCCCCTGATGATCTCTCCCAGCGGCTGCATGTAGATGTTGAAAAGCATGAGGGAGAGGACAGAACCCCACAAGTGAGGGCCCAGGGGTCCGAACACTCACCCCCCCCACCACTTTCTGAAAAAAATCTGGTGCAACATGAGCAAATGTTTACACTGGGCGCTTGGGTTGCAAACGTGATCCGTGTGGGATGCACATTTGCAACCCGCAGCGGAGCATCTGTGCATGTGCAGGTCGCAATTCATAGCTTCTGCGCATGTGCAAAGCGCAATTTAGCGCTTCTGCGCATGCACGGCTGCCGAAACCCGGAAGTAACCTGTTCCGGAAAAAACGCAACCTGAAGCGTCTGTAACCCGAGGTATGACTATTCTGAAAGTGTGGCCCAGAGGCAAAAGCTTGAGGACCCCTGGAATTCTGGGACATGGTCTACGAGGAGATGAAAAAAATATCAAAGTTTACATTTAATAAAAACCCAGAAGCATTCCTATTAGGGATTCTTTTTTGTTGCTTTTTAATTTTTTTAAAAAATTTAACATAATTGTTACAAAATATAAGCAAAACACTGCAAATACATACACACATATACACTTCAAATAAACACATATACATGAAAAAAGGAACAAAAGAGAAAAATGCTGCAACAGAATTCCTGTTTTGATTTATTCTTTATTTTTTCTGATAGACTGTCTAATTCTGCATATTCTGTCAGCTTTTGGATGCAATCTTGTATAGAGGGGATTTTGTTACTCTTCCATTTTGCCACGATCAGAACTTTTGCTGTTGCCATCGCGTATAAAAAGATACCCTGCCTCTTTTGCGGAATATCCAAATCTGTTATTCCCAGGAGGTAGACCTTTGGTTTTTTATTGAAAGAGATCTCTTTCAATAAAAAACCAGATCTGGTCAGAATAAATCAAAACAGGAATTTGTTTCAAAAGGGGAGGTTTTCAAAGAATATTTGAAAAATAAATACAGTAGTTTAAATTCTGTCGCAGCATTCGAGGACCTTCAGTAATAGTTGCAAGGTAGATATAAGAAATTAGATATATTAAGAAAAAATTTAATTATGATAAAAATGTGTATTGACAATAAGTAATATGAAATCAAAATATGGAATAGACGGGAGGTTGGGTCTTTAGTGTTAAGACCAATATATGTTCTATTGTTTGTTAAGAAAATTATGTCTCTGTGGTTATTCCTGTGTGTAATTTGGTATTTGTGTGGGGTTTTTTTCTTGCTGTATCAATAAAAAAAGAAAGAAAGAGATCCGCATTTCTTTGCAGTTCTGCATGGATTTAGCATTTTTTTGCAGTTCTGCATGGATACTCTCCCAGAATAGCTGTATTTTCCTACATATCCACCACATATGGTAGAAAGTTCCTGAGTTATCTCTGCATCTCCGACAATAACTTGACACATTTTTATACCAAAAAAGTAAATTAAAAAAATGAGGCCTTTAATCAAAATAATTTTATTATTTCTTTCCTGAAGAGGGGAGGAGCCGGGCTGCCTTTAGGCTCCTCCTTCCCTGGAAACGCCTCTGCGGCTGACTGGCTTATTCGCGGATCAATCACCCTGTCAATCAATCGGACCTGTGGGCTGCTTTCTGCCGCCTGAGGCGACGCAAAACGCCTCACAGCCAAGCCGGCCCAGAGGAGGCTCCAAGTCTCTTTGCAGGCCCTCCTCACCCTCAGCCTGTCCATTACGGACAGGGCTACTCGTGAGCAAGTCTCCCCCCATTGGGGTTGTGAGGAATTGCCGCCCCATAGATCCGAGGGGCCAAAGGTTCTTGCAGGTGGGCCCCTCGCGCCCAACCCACAATATTCTTTTTTTTTTTTAATATATTTTTTATTAGTTTTTTTAAAAACATATCATTTCCAACAGTAATTAAACCTACTTTGACATCTTATTCAAATTTTTGACTTCCATCCATCCTGTCTGAAAATTTTCCAGTCTAATCTCTCAGTATGCATTTCTTATCTTCCCTATTGCATTTCAAACTCATAACCAATATCTCTATCTTTTCCCACTTTGTAGCAGGTCGTATATTTCTCCTTACAAAACTTCTAGCGTAATTTGTTGATTACAGTTGCTCTTCAAATAATTCATAGACTTCTTCCAATCTTCTGCAAATCTCTGGTCCCGCAGGTTTTGAATCCTTCCTGTCCTTTTGTCCAATTCTGCATAGTCCGTTAATTTCGTCTGTCATTCTTCTTTTTTTAAATATATTTTTTTTATTAGTTTTTTTTTAACATACCATTTCCAACAGTAATTAAACCTACTTTGACATCTTATTCAAATTTTTGACTTCCATCCATCCTGTCTGGAAATTTTTCAGTCTAATCTCTCAGTATGCATTTCTTATCTTCCCTATTACATTTCAAACTCATAACCAATATCTCTATCTTTTTCTACTTTGTAACACTTCGTATATTTCTCCTTGTAGTCCTACTAGCGTAATTCGTTGATTACAGTTGATCTTCAAATAATTCATAGACTTCTTCCAATCTTCTGCAAATCTCTGGTCCCACAGGTTTCGAATCCTTCCTGTCATTTTGTCCAATTCTGCATAGTCCATTAATTTCGTCTGTCATTCTTCTTCTTTTTAATATATTTTTTTTATTAGTTTTTTTTTAACATACCATTTCCAACAGTAATTAAACCTACTTTTACATCTTATTCAAATTTTTGACTTCCATCCATCCTGTCTGGAAATTTTCCAATCTAATCTCTCAGTATGCATTTCTTATCTTCCCTATTACATTTCAAACTCATAACCAATATCTCTATCTTTTTCTACTTTGTAACACTTCGTATATTTCTCCTTGTCCTACTAGCGTAATTTGTTGATTACAGTTGATCATCAAATAATTCATAGACTTCTTCCAATCTTCTGCAAATCTCTGGTCCCGCAGGTTTCGAATCCTTCCTGACATTTTGTCCAATTCTGCAGAGTCCGTTAATTTCATCCGCCGTTCTTCTTTCGTCAGAATTTCTTCTTGTTCCCGTTTCTGGGCTAATAATACTCTTGCCTCAGTTGTTGCATATAAGAACAATTTAACATCTTGCCTATTCATGTCCTGACCTATAATACCAAGTAAAAATCTTTCTGGTTTTTTTAAAAAATGTATATTTCGACATCTTTCTCATCTCATTATATATCATATCCCAGAAGGTCTTCTGTAGATACAACATAAATGGTTCCCAATCTTTTTTGAAGTCTCTATTGTCTTAGTCTCTTAATCTTTCAGTTAGTCTTGCCATTTCTTTTTTTTTTTAATAATTTTTTATTAAAGTTTAAAACAACAAAACAAAAAAACAACACACACAAAAAACAATACAAAACTTAACAATAAAAATACAAAACACAACAATTAAAAACAAACTCTCTTTTCCATTTCCAATTTTACATTACTTATTTTCTAGACTTCCTCAAACCTCCCTCTTTTGTATTCCAGTCCACATTATTTGTCCAGCAGTTTCTTTTCCACTTTTTTAATCCCAATCTTTAATTTAATAAAATGTTAAAATATATAACTTCAACTTTTTTTAAACCTAATCCTTGATCTTAATATCATATAGCTTTAAAATTTTCCCTTTTAATATCAAATTTCCATTTCTTTAAACATCTTTACTCTTGATCTTTAATCTTAATCTATCCTTAACTTTAACCTGTGCAGCTGGAAACCACTTATTTTCAATCCAACATCACTCTAACATTCCTTAATTTTGCAGTGTTTCTGAAGATAGTCTTTGAATTTCTTCCAGTCTTCCTCCATCGACTCTTCTCCCTGGTCACGGATTCTACCAGTCATTTCCGCCAATTCCATATAGTCCAACAGTTAGTCTTGCCATTTCAGCACAATCCATTAGTTTTCTTTCCATTCTTCATTAGCTGGTATCTCGTCACTTTTCCATTTTTGTGTTGTTGTTTTTAAATAGTATTTATTAAGGTTTTAAATTTACAAAAAGGCAAAAGAAAAAACACCAAATTAAACAATAGCAAAACAACACATCACAATAAAAAAACAGAAAAATAGAAACAATTAAAAACAAAGCAAAATCGAGCCTTCCCATAACTTATCTTTCATTTGCTTGTTTCCCTGACCTCCTCACACCTCCCTTTTTTGTATTCTAAATTATCCATTTCAGCAAATCCTTTCCCTCTCTTCAAAATTTGTATCCTGCAAATTTATCTTGATCTTAATATAAGTTTACTTTCCCTCTTTTCACCAATTAACAGTCTATTTTTCTTAAATCTTTGATACATTTTTGCTAAAATCACATAGATGCATTCCAACATCATTCTAACATTCATTAATTTTACAATGTTTCTGTAAATAGTCTTTGAACTTCTTCCAATCTTCTTCCACCGACTCTTCTCCCTGGTCTCGGATTCTGCCAGTCATTTCCGCCAATTCCATATAGTCTATCACCTTCATCTGCCATCAGGTCAGGTCACTTTTCCATTTTTGAGCCAACCGACAAGATTCTAGAAGGTTCTCTTGCCCAGGGATTGGCGGCAACCATCTTGGCCTCCCTCCTCAGGGCCAGGAAGATGCGTTGGGCGTCATGGCGTCCGGCTTCTCCGGGCCTCCGCCGCCTGTTTCGCTGAATTTCGGGGGAAGCAGCCAGGCGGCGCCGGAAATGCGCCGTTTCCGCCGCCGCCTGACGCCGGAAAGGCGAAGTAAAAGCTCCGCCGCGGCCTAAATGGTCTCCGCAACTCTCCTTTCCCACGTTCTTTGTTTTTTTTAAAATGATATTTATTAAAATTTCAAAAGGAAAAGATTACATTAAAAAAGAAATTTAACAGTAAAAAGAAAAAATACAAAATACAAAAAAGAAAAACAATTTTAAAACAATTCCATCTTTTCATCACTTCTTTTACATTTACTTGTTTCCCAGACCTCCTCATACCTCCCTCTTTTGTATTCCAATTCAGTTTATTAGTCCAGCGATTCCTTTCCCTCCTTTTTAATCCTGATCTTTAATCCTGATATATTATAACATTAAATTTTTAATTCCCACGTTCTTTGAGGTTCATTCGGCCTTTACTAGGAGCAGGGTGGATAAAAAAACCAATGATTTAATTTAAAAAGTAATAATTGGATTTTTTAAAAAATTAAATCAGATTTTTAAAATGAAACGCTTTCGGAGGAAAAACCTTTCTAAAGATACTTTTTTATTTATACTTTTTTATTTAAGTTACAATTTGATTCCCTCCCCCTCTTTCTTTTTTCTTTTTCCTTTCTCCTGTGATGAGGCTGCATTTTAATATTTTAATGTTTCAATATTTTAATGTTGTATTTTAATCTTGTTTTTAAGTTGTATTCATTCAGCTTGTTTTTATTATTGCTTGTTAGCCGCCCTGAGCCCGGCCTTGGCTGGGGAGGGCGGGGTATAAATAAAAATTATTATTATTATTTAGTCCAAAGGCTACTCTCCTTCCCCACATTCTTTGAGGTTCATTCAGCCTTTACTAGGAGCAGGGTGGATAAAAAAAATCAATGATTTAATGTTAAAAATAATAATTGGATTTTAAAAAAATTTAAGTCAGATTTATAAAATAAAACGCTTTCGGAGGAAAAACCTTTCTAAATATACTTTTCTATTTAAGTTACATTATGGTCCAAAGGCTATTCATGAGGAAATAAGGATTTGTTTTAAGTTTTTCATGTGTGCTAAAACTCAGTCTAAGTTGTTGGGGTGGGTGGGTTTGGGGGGACGTTTAACCACGTCAGTTAACAAACATGGATACATGTGCTATAATGTTATTGCTTTAGTTAAATAGTTTAAATTGTTACTAAGGAAATGATTGTTTTTCTCCCTCCAATCAAGTACAGCAGAAAGTTGTCCAAATATAAACAGTTAACTTATTGAACCTCGCAATAATTTCATAATTATCTGTCTATGTATTCCTAATAGTATAACCAAATCAGTAATTTTTGGTATAACTGTCAAAACTACTCTGAAAATTTATTATTCCAAAAATGTAACCTTCCTCTGGTTGTAAATATTAAGATTATACCAGCAAGAATGAGTCTTTATGTAAAAAAATGATTTAAATGAAGTCTTACTGACTAGTGATTTAAATCAAGTCTTACTGATTAGTGATTTAAATCGATTTGATTTAAATCAAATTCACCCTGACTAGGAGCCAAGCCATTTCGGGTGGGAGGCTCTGCCCTGTGGAACTCCCTGCCACTAGAAGTTCGGCAGGAATCATCCCTGCCTCCTTTTAGACGTTTTCAGGCAGGCCTTTGCAATGCTGTTTTCTCCTTGCGAACCAGCATTTATTGGACTTCTTACAATTTATGTTGCGTACACCACCCCCGCTATGTTTTATTTTATAGAAATGCAGTTTATAAATATGTAAAATGAGGCTAAGCTGTTGTGTTTTTGGACGTGTCCTAAAATTAAGGTGTACTAGAAGAGATAAACAAAAGTAAGGAGGTAAATTATTCCCCTCGGCAGAAGGTAGCAAATAACTCTGGCGCAGGCCTGGAAAAAAGCCAGAAACACCAAAAATAGAGGACTGGTTCAATGAAATCTGAGGGATTGTACAAATGGCTAACCTTACAAATACAGTAAAACTTGGATTGAAAAGTTCAGCCTCTCTATTTCTGATGGGAATGAGAGAACGCAGAATGAAGTAAAATCTGGAAGAAATGCAAACGGAACAATTTTGGGGAAGTTATGTTATAGCTACATTGTTTGTTCTTAATTTTGTAAATTTACAATTTATACTTTTATCGGAGACTTACTTTCACATATGAAATTGTTTTGCTGTACTTGGGACACACACACCTTGCAGGATCCTGCCAGAATTTGGGGATGGATTTTGGTGAGTTCTAATATATTGTGTGGGACGCGGGTGGCGCTGTGGGTAAAACCTCAGCGCCTAGGACTTGCCGATTGTATGGTCGGCGGTTCGAATCCCCGCAGCGAGGTGAGCTCCCGTCGTTCGGTCCCAGCTCCTGCCCACCTAGCAGTTCGAAAGCACCCTTAAGTGCAAGTAGATAAACATGTACTGCTTTATAGCGGGAAGGTAAATGGCGTTTCCGTGTGCTGCGCTGGTGCAGGCTCTCCAGAGCAGCTTCATCACGCTGGCCATGTGACCCGGAAGTGTCTCCGGACAGCGCTGGCCCCCGGCCTCTTAAGCGAGATGGGCGCGCAACCCCAGAGTCGGTCACGACTGGCCCGTACGGGCAGGGGTACCTTTACCTTTTTAATATATTGTGAGCTGGGAAGTCTCCAATTTGAAAATTGGCATTATTATTATTTATTATATTTATAGCCCCACCCATCTGGTTTCCCCAGCCACTCTGGGAGGCTTCCAACAAAATATTAAAAATACCTTGGACTTATGGGCCATAAGCAAGTCCTTGTATCTTCCCAGCTGCAAGGCCAGGATCATAACTCCGGCCTACCTTGCTGGGTTACTGAGATAAATGCCTATAACACATATTGGACACAAGGAAAGGCCGCCATCCTATATGATTTACTTTATCTTATTTTTTCCAGCATTACTCGTATGAATTTTCTGGTTGTGAAGCTGCTGAAGACCCTTGGCAGACCTGCCCCTATGTAACTGTTAAATCCTCAGCACTGTGAACTGCAGAGAATGTCGCCATCAAACCACAAGAGCTCGTAAGCACCTTTAAATAAATATACGAAAATAAGTCATTTGTTCTTTAATTCCCCCAGTGGTTCTAAAACAGCTTTTACTTTCCATTCTTTCCCTTTTTCCTGTCTGTAGAGCTGAACGTAAGACAAAAGGTAAGAGCACTTTGTATTGGTTTGGTAAACATATTCATTTTTGACGGATTTTTCTCTTTTCGTATTGCAATTTTAATATCTCCCCCCCCCGGTTTTGGAAACTTTTAGCACTGTATTGTTCCTGGAAAGGTCAGCTCTTCATTCAGCAACAGCGACTGTGTGACATTGTTCTTCGTTCACCATTTAGCGGCTCCATCCCAGCAGAGTTGTAAGTGCGATGATTCATTTCTCTTTGCTCTGATGTCTCTAGAGGAATAGCAGGGAAAAGCAGGTGCATTCTTTAAAAAAAAATGTAATATTTATATACCACTTCCCTGGCCGTAAAGTTGAGTAGAAAGCAGTTTATAACAATTACAGAGTGTATTTTTTTAAAAAAAAAAACACTGGATGGCTTTTCCAGTTTCAAAACCAAAACATAGTAGCATCTGTGCTCGATAAAAATTACCCAAATATACTTTTTTACATGGTGGGTGTTCTAACTTCTCTCTTTTGTGTGTGTGAGACAGTCAGAAGGCTTCTGATTTTTGGAAGCAGATCATACTCTATAAAGGAAGCGGTAGGTTGCACACTGAGGCTTTTTCAATGGCTTTTGTTGTCTAATGTGATTCACAGAATCACAAAATAGTAGAGTTGGAAGGGACCCCATGGGTCATCTAGTCCAACCCCCTGCAATGCAGGGATCCCAGCTAGAGCATCCCTGATGGATGGCCACCCAACCTCTGCTTAAAAACCTCCAAAGAAGGAGAGTCCACCACCTCCTGAGGTCATCTGATCCACAGTCAAACAGCTTTTACTGTCCTACAGTATTATTATTATTATTATTATTATTATTAACTTTTATGTACCATCCTACAGTAGCTTTCTGCTTCCCCAGGTGGAAAGTGTCCAGTAGTTCGATCATAAATAATTAAGAATTAAAATCATGCACCCCACCACCGAGACTGTTCCATTGTAACTATCCAACCTGCCAATATCTCAGCACCTCTTGCGATGCTTTCCGTTTTAACAGTACAAATTCTACAAACACCCTCTGTATCTCCTCAACATCATTTCTCCTGCATATTCCCCGTCTTACCTTAATGGCACATGTTAGTTTATCATTGATAGCTATATCCCACACCTCTTTATACCATTCTTCCATTTTATTTGTGCAGCTGTCAGTAAATTTGTGAACAAGTCCTTCATAGCCTGTGAACCTTCCACCCCATCGTAAATTGATAATAATGCTACCTCTGGACTTTTGGTCAGCTACAACCCAGTGATTTCTATCCCTTGTGCCCCCAAAATTGTACATATTTACACCCACACCACATGTGAACATAATTCCATTTCCTGGCATCCCCTCCGACATAACACCGGATATTCCTTGTTTATTTGATTTAATCTGACTGGTGTTAAATACCATCTCCAAACTAATTTATAATAATTTTATTTTATTCTTATAGACAACATTTTCAGCGGATGATTCTCCAATATTTTCCTCCAGCTTTGACTATCTATCTGCCCTGTTGTCTTCTTTTCCTTCCCACACCTCTTTTAATTTGATCAATCTTCATAGAATCATAGAACTGTAGAGTTGGAAGGGGTCATCTCCAAACTTCTGCAATGCACCAGTCATCCCAAACTGCTGCCCTCTAGCTCTAGCTGGTCAGCAATCTTCCACCCTCCGCCTTTATGCAGCCCAGGCAACTGGGCCACCGCGCATTTTGGGTTTTTGCTCGATGGCTCTCCAAAACATGGGCAACTCCAAAACACCTGGTTAGGACGGAACGGTAGAAATGCGCCCATAGATTGTAAGGAAGTAAAGCAGGAGTTGGGAAAACAGGACATTCTCAGCAACTTGAAATCCGTACTAGTAATCGCATTTAACAGCAGCAACAATAGTATGGAGGCATAAATGGAAAAATCCACGAGGGAGTGGTTCCTGGCATGTCTAGAGACAGCAGGAAACTGACAGATTTAATTATTTAGTTTGGGGGAGAAATGGAAACCTTCAGAACGATAGGTTTGTAGAGAGATGGGCTTGCAGTATCGATTTCTAGAATGCAAATTGCAGAAAGGTCAGCCTTGGAGAACATTTTCCAAGTAACGGTTTATGTTGTTTGATTTTTCTGGCTACTTCAGTAAAATAAAAGGAACCGTGAAGCAGCACAGTAGCATGCCATAAAGCCAAAAGCCCAGTTTCACAAACAGTCAATGCAGTTTGATACAAACTCCCATGGTAACTCGGAAATAATTTATCAGAAATGAGTGCCAAGCACCAGCCTACTGCTAGTGGACACGATCTGGTAGCACGTATAGGAAGGACCTTAGTTTAGTGGTAGGGCATCTGCTTGCATACTGCAGGTCCAGCGTTCAATTTCTGGCAGTTGTCTCCAAGGCAGGGCAGGGAGAGATCCCTGGCTGAAATGCTGGACAGCTGATGCCAATCAATGTAGTAGATGATATTGAACTAGTTCAGGATTGGATTATTATTGGATTATGGCAGCCCTGACATTTGCGGTGCTAATTCTAGCTCTCACTTTCAGTCCCAGGTTTAGTCCCAGAAATAGGCAGTATTTCTCAGTCGCAAAGGAAGAATGGCTTCTGAAAATGACGGACTATAAGGAGCTGGCAAAGTTAACAGCAACAATTAGAGTTCAAAATGACGAAACATTCTTTAAGGATTGGAAACCTTTTGTAGAATATCTGAAGAACTATTATAATTGCATGGAAACATGAGCAGGATTCGAAATATGAGCAAGAGTAGAAAGACATTAAGACTAATAATTTAGGGTGTATATTTGTTGTTGTTGTTTAGTCGTTTAGTCGTGTCCGCCTCTTCGTGACCCCCTGGACCAGAGCACGCCAGGCACTTCTGTCTTCCACTGCCTCCCGCAGTTTCGTCAAACTCATGCTGGTAGCTTGGAGAACACTGTCCCACCATCTCGTCCTCAGTCGTCCCCTTCTCCTTGGGCCCTCCATCTTTCCCAACATCAGGGTCTTTTACAGGGAGTCTTCTCTTCTCATGAGGTGGCCAAGGTCTTGGAGCCTCAGCTTCAGGATCTGTCCTTCCAGTGAGCACTCAGGGCTGATTTCCTTAAGAATGGATAGGTCTGATCTTCTTGCAGTCCATGGGACTCTCAAGAGTCTCCTCCAGCACCATAATTCAAAAGCATCCATTCTTCGGCGATCAGCCTTCTTTATGGTCCAGCTCTCACTTCCATACATCACTACTGGGAAAACCATAGCTTTTACTATACGGACCATTGTTGGCAAGGTGATGTCTCTGCTTTTTAAGATATTACGGTATAATAATTTAGGATGTACATATGGAATGTTAAAAGTTAAACTATTCTGCATTAAAGGGTAAACACAGAACATCATGGCGGGGGGATGGGAAGACAGTGGATAAATTAAACATATTGTTGATAGTAAAGTATGTAGACTTTTGAAAACTAAAGAAACAATTTTTTAAAAGAGACTGACAGGTTGTTGACCTGTCTTCAGTTATGTTTTCCAATGAGCCAAGTACTGTATTTACGCAAACCTAATGTGCCACCAAATCTAATGCGCCCCCTAATTTTTGCGACGTAATTTGGCCACCAAGGGTGCACATTACATTCGATTAAATACGGTAATTCTTCTCTTACAACGCAGGGGTCTGAGTGCCCGTAGTAACAGAGGGCTTCATTTGTGTTGCGATGTCTTGGATTGTCACTGGACAGGAAAGTTTCCAGGCATTCCTTGAATCTATAACCCCCTTTCCCCCTTTTTCTTTTGCTAGGCCAGCCAGACTAGAGATCAGGTATGTTGTGGGCATATCTGAGCTGAGAAAAAAGTTGCCCGAAGCTGTATTTGGGGAAAACAATTACACAAATCATGAAGGTACCGTTTTAAAATTATGTAAGCTGTGCAAAGAATTATTTCCTTTTTTTATTAAAAGTGGTTAGTAGTTTCCTTTCAGGGGTCATGTTTGCTGTCTGTGTCAGATGGTTATTGCTTTCAAACTTCTTCTGGAACTTTCCTAATTTTTCCATAACTGATTTCCCCCCCCCCAATCCCTCATTTTTTGAATTACGGTAAAATTGGAGGCATGCTTTATATAGCCAAGGAAAGCTTACTTACCTAATAAGGATCTTGAACTGTTTTTAAAATGATCTGTGACGGTGAAATTGGATTGGGATTTTTCAGTTTTTAAAAATAAGTTTTAAGTTAAGCTATCGTGAGTCCAGCTTTCTCCCTATAGAAACGAAAGGGGAAGCGAAACTACCAAACAGCCAATCTAGCAACCGTATTTTAAGCAACCTCTCAAAATATGGTTGTGAAAGTAACTTAGAATTTTGCCAGAATCAGATTGCATTTTGTTACGGTTATACTACTTGGAAGAAGAGTATTGACACAGATTTTTGTTCCTGGCTGCCTACCCCACCCTCAAACATACACCTGTGTTTACAGAAAGGCAAGTCCATACACAGTACTGCAAGGGGAGGGGGGGAGCAATCTGTTGAACTCAAGGAGTACATTTTACTGCAGAGGGTTAATTCTGCTCCAAGTTGGCTTTATCTTAACACCCGAGTTAGCACTCTGTTGTGCAAACATGCAGCATTGATTTCTTATTTGTTAGGTACTTTTGCATTAGGCTATCAGGGTTCATTTAGTGTTGCCAAAAAAGAGAGACCGCCCCACATTATCTTGGACTGGACAGCTCTTGAAATGGATGTTTGTTTATGTTACTTTCCATATCCCAAAAAGTCTGAGCCACTTACAAATGCACATAGCTTGCCCAACATTTGAAAACAATGCAGCAGGAAATAAAAAATTAAAAAAACACAAATTTTTTAAATCTAAAAAGTGCTCACCGAGTAAAATTTTATGAAAAGGGCAGATCTTTCCCCACCCAGCTAAAAGGTGAATGCCATAAACAGGCCGTGGGTCATAGCTACAGTATGAAGAGAGTTAGCAACCAAAAAGCTTTGGCAATCAGGAATGTCTTATCTTGGCAGCTGAAAGCTGACAGTGATGAGGCCAAGCAGATTTCCCTGGTGAAAACATTCAACAAATGGGGGAGTAGAGGACTGTCTGCTGTAAAGAAGGACACATGTCCATTATTTACCATGAGTCCAGTATTTCACCTAGGATTTTTACTTACTTTGAGTGGTGGTGGTTCTGTTTTGCTTTCTCTTTTGTTATAAGCCTTGCATTCCTCTACCACATTTAAGTTTCACCCTTTTGTAATGTTTTAGAACAATTTTAAAAAGTTAGGATATGCATATAGGGTTAACATATTTTAAAGAGATGCTCAATGTGAATTATCAGGGTTTCGGCTGAGTGACCCAGTCTTCTCCCCCTTCTGCATTACTGTTCATTTGGTTTCTTTATTTTGTCATTGTTGTGGCTTTATTTTAATTGTGACATTTGTAGAACCCACCCTGGGATTCTCAGGCAAAGGGTTAGCAATAAGTTCAAATAAATGAATACATAAATTCTGGGACAGTTACTGCATTCAGAAGTTAGGTACTGAATAATTTTAAAAACAATTAAGAGTTTTTGCAAAAATACTGAAATAAAAATGTGCTTGTTTTCTCTGCAGTCTGCCATCAAGGCATTTTGTTCCGATTATACGAAGTGGAAATGTTAAATCAAAATGAACAAAAAGTGAATCAGTTAACAGAGAGCTTGAAGGAGAAAGATCTGGTAAGTACATCATGCTTTGGAGACCAGTTTTCTGTCCTGACTTTTGTGGAGTGATTTCTGCCAGTCCTTACCTACTGATCATTCCTAGCAAAGTAAGAATTTGCATCCCTTCATTTTGACAACCTTTGTGGCCTAGGACTTCACGGAGCCTCTTAATATTCTGATGTAACAGCAGAGACAGTTTGCATAGGGAGCGCCGCGGAGAAGGGATTAACAAATCAGAAAACTGGGGATCTATAAATAGAAAAAGGGCAGTTTCCAATATTCTGTTGCAGCAGGACTCTAGGAATTTGCTGATTTATCTATTTGTAAAAGTATTTTTGTACTGCCAGATCATTTTCTGTTCCTCGAAAACTTGCATGGTGTCTCCTCTATTCTCTGCCTCAGACCCCCACCCCACTTTGCCACCCCCAGTTTGCATCTTCAGGTTTCATTTTCCCTTATCTGCCTTATTCCTGGACTGAGCTTCCAAGCCATTTTCAAACTGTAGTTTCTGAAGCTGGCTTGTTAAACATTTTGTTCTAAGCCGCTCTCCCTGGTCTGGATGACACAACAGGCTATGGGTCAGTGGAAGTGAAACTGCACACTGCTAGAGTCCTTCTTCCAGCCAGTGGGAGGAGGGGAGAGCATGTGAACCCCAAAGATCCTTCCAGCTCCTGCAGGTCATGCTAAACTATGGTTTAGGGCAGGAGTCCCCAGCATGTCAAACATGGATGCAGTGGGCCCTTGAGGTCTTTCCTGGGCCCCCACAAAGCCTCTGAACTCCCCAGCACCACAACACACGCACCTATACACGGTGCCCCCCTGGGCACGAGATAGCAAGGGTAGCAATCTTTCTCTCTCTCTAGGGAGGAAGTTGAATGCGTAGTGCTCTTTCCCACTTCCTCTTTCAGCTCTGGGCTTTTTAAAGCTCAGATTAATTCTCCCGGCTCGGACTTTTGCCCAGATCCCCTGAAAAAAGCGACGTGCGTTTGTGTATCTTTCTGCCTCAGGACGACTCTCTTTTCACCGGAGCACAGCTCAAAGTGAAAGTAAAATGAAAGTAAAGGTCTGCTGTCAAAGCGCAGCTGTCAGTACTGAAAGTGAAACAAGGCTGCACCAGGAGAGCCTGAGGTTTCTACCTCCTTTTAAAATAGTTATGAAACAAGAGCAGCAGTCGTACGAAGAGCTGGCTGTAGGTGTGCCTCTATTCAGGGCCCAGCTGCCCTTGCAACACAGCTGGTCTTGTGGAGCTGAGACCTTGAGCTAGCCAGGCCCCGATTGAAATGTCAGCTCCCACATAAGCTCAGAACAGCAGGGCTGTTGTAGCAATTACAAGTTCCTAGAATTGGCAGGGACTCCCAAGGCTCATCTTGTCCAGCCCCTGCCATCAATGTGTGTTAAGTTTTTGGAACACTGAGCAGCATTTTAAGGATGCTAGATTAATAAGAACAAGTAGTCTTGGGCTGCTGTTGCTTTTACTGTATTCCATCCTACTTTTGTGATTGTAATTTGTTTTAAACTGTTTTTAACGTTGATTTTGAAATTGTTGTAACCCAAGATTTCTAATAGAATAAGAGCACACCCACCAGCAGTAAGAAAAAGTGCTGTTGTGGAACAGTGTTGGCTCAGGGAGACCTTGGTTTGAATGTAAAAGAGCTCTGCGGGATCTGACTGAAGATCCCATCCAGTCCAACATCTGGTTTTCTGCAGCGGCCAACCAGCTTGGAATTCCCACTTTGCTGTTAAACTCACTGTTCTCTGCTACTCTTCACCAGCCACACACCATACTTTAACCAGCTGTTGCAAGAATTAAAAACCAACCAACAAACAACCCTTTGGAGATAACAAAATGCACAAATTTGAACTGTATGCAATGTACCTTATGGACATTTAAAACAATCGAGAGCTTGTATATTGCTTTGATGGATCAAACCAAGGCTCATGCAATCCAATATTCTGTTTTCACCTAAAAAGGGGTGTTAAACTGATCATAGCTTGAGAAGGGGAAGGATCTTGGCTCAGTCGCTGAGCGCCTGTTTTGCATGCAGACAGGGTCAGGTTCAATCCTTGGGTACAGCTGTGAATGTCTGCAGTCTGAAACCTTGGACAGGTGCTGCCAGTTGGTGTAGACATTACTGAACTAGATGTACCAAAGGGTTTGACTCCGTAAAGGGTGGCTTCCTGTGTTCCTATGGTGACCTTTTCCCTATTCTTTGTAGGCACTTGTCAAATATTTAAATGACCGGGCGATTCTCATCCTGCTTTCCTCATCTGCCTTGGTAAAGGAAAAAGGTAAGAATAAAAGATCTGAAGTTTGCTGTGGTTTTAAAAAATATATTCGTATGTGATCTTAATGGAAGAGTCAGATTTGTATCTCTTACCAGTCTCCCTCTCTCTCCTCTCTGCAGATTCTGGCCCGGGTGAATCTACATGTCTTCAGGCCTTGTTTTTAATCTCTTCCCCGAGGCCTAAGTGTTTAACAGGTACTATCACTTTGCTTGGCCTCGACAGGCTGAATTCAGGCAGCACAGTGGAACCTCGGTTGTCAAACGTAATCCGTTCCCGTTTGATTTCCGAAACGTTCGACAACCGAGGTGCAATTGCCGGTTGGCAAATTCCTTTTTAAAAATGCAGAAAAGTGCCTTGGAAGCCGTTCGACTTCCGAGGTGTGTTTGAAAATGGAAGCATTCACTTCCGGGTTGTCGGTGTTTGGGTTATGAATTGTTCGACTTCCAAAGCATTCAACAACCAAGGTTCCACTGTATTTGATAGACTCCGCCCCATGTCACACACAGCCTTGCATCTCCAGGGACGTCCAAAGATGCAAACTCTGATTTCCGCTTCCTTCCAAGCCAGAATTGAAAAAAGAGAGTTTGGAACGGGTTTCTGATTCTGGCCTAGGGAGGAAGGGAATGCAAGCCGTAATTTGCCAGTTTGGAGGCCCTAGCAAACCATGGTTAGCACCTAATAGGAGGCAGAAGGAAACCGTGGGTGGGATGGGAAGTGGCAGCCCACAGCTTGTCTCCCAAACCATGGTTTGGAGGACCATCCAAATTGGGCGGTAGAATCTTCTTTCTCCGCCTTTGCAATGTTTTCAATTGCACTATAACTGCAAAGCCATTGGATGTCTGCTTGGCCATGTGGCCAGGGATAGGGAACCCCAGACCTGGAGGCCAAATGTGGCCCTCCATACCTCTTTGATTGGCCCTCGTGAGTCTTTCATCCCTAGCCGCACACCCTCTTGAGAGACATCATACAGCAGGCCTGCTCTGCACATTTTCTAAGTACTGGCATGGCTGGAATGCCGCCCTGAACTCTGATATAATGCTTCTTGCTTGCCTAGGCTAGAGAGGGGTGTGCGCAAGTGTCTGTGTGTGTGGGGGGGGGAAATACAAAGATAAAATTCACATTTATTCTCATTGCTTTTGTCCCTGCCCCTCTGCCCCCCAGGCATGTGGCTCTCAGAAGGTTGCAAAGGTCACGCGCATGCTTGTTTTTCTTGTGATGGGTGCACGTTGCATTAATAGTGTGTTTCTTCTTGGCAGCAAAAGATTTGAAATGCGAACACGGGGCAAACAAGAGATATTCACAAGTCGCTCTGGTTCTGCCAGGGCTCCGCCATGCATTGTTGGAAGCGGCCAAGCACCCCGTCGACAGCGGAGACCCACTCAGCACTTTGGTGAAGCTGCACCTCCAGGAGTTTGCAAAGCTCGATAAGAAGAATTTGCGGCCGTCCACCAGCAGCCTCGATAGCCCGCCCCTCTCCTCTTTCGATGTGTTCTCGAAGAAGCCTGAGCTTGAATCTCTTTCCGAAAAGTGTCCCCAAAGCTCTCTCTTCCGCCTGCAGTTTTACCTGTCTCATCCCCAAAACTATGCGCTGGAAATGTCAACGGTTACCGCTTTCCTACATGGCAAAACTCGGTCTCCCAGAGGCAGCAGCAACTTGCAGGAGGCCGACACTTCTTCAGGTTTGAATTTGGACTCTTTGGCATGCGACGAGCCCATTGGCACGGTTGAAATGGCCAGGACTCGGCGTGCAGGGCAGCCGGCCCCACATAGCAAAGAGGCTGATGTGGAACCCAGTGAGATGGGAGAGCGGACTTTGGAGCAGCACAAGAGGAAATCCAGTAGGCTCCTTGTGGCAAATGCAAGGAAGAAATTGTCTCCTCCGAAGGAGGTTTCCAGCAAGGAGGACAAAGGAAAGCAGAAAAAAGCCAGAAAGGAAAGTTCGAATCTCTCCTTGCCAGCTTCCAAAAATTCAGAATCGCCTGGCGGTTCTAACGAACCCACCCTTAAATTAAAAATTCTTCAGAACCCGCTAAGAAGGAAGAGAGGTGAGTGCACTGTCTTAACCCTAATACAGATTTTCTTGCCGGTGAGCACTTTTAAATGCCAGTACAGTGCTTGGGGTGGCGGTGCAGTTCAAAGCAATGTGCCTGCCCACAGAGCTACTCTGCTAGAGCCATTCAGCACCAGAAGTCACGTTATCCATGCTGCAAAAACATGCTGCCTCGATTCCTGGAATGTTCTGTCTCCACATGGCTCCGAATACTTTTGGAGAGAGAGGTTTGAAAGAGATTCTTAGCCTCCCATAGCAGAGTTAGTGCAGTGGTTGATTGCCTCAATTAAGCACATCAAACTCTGTTAGATTTGGTCTCATCCACCTTTAAACAAAATGCTGAGGCTAGAATAAATCCCAGACTCTTGGCTTTTCAAATTGGAAATCTAAGATAAGCAGTTGTATGAATTTTACCTTTTTATTATTTATTTATTTCGTATGCAGTCTTTCCTTTACCTGCAGGCTGTAAAAATCTGTTTTACCATGTGGCGGCTAGCTTCTTCCAAAGAGGGAGGGAGAGGGAGAGAGAGAGAGAGAGAGAGGTTGAGGGAGAAGCAAAGGCTGGTGGGAGCACTGGCGGAGGAAGAGGCGTGCGGGGAGAGCGCACCACCCCCAGCTGCGCGATCCCGGCGTGGTGCCATCGCGACTGCCCCCTGACCTGCGCTGGGTGCCACGCCCCTTTGGGCAGCACACCATGCCCCGAAGACGCGCTCCACGCCCCTACAGACACGCGCCAACTGCACCCCGCCTGCTCTCTGCCCCCCCCTTCCAGAGCATGAAGCTCCATCACTGGGTGGGAGCCTGCTGAGTCCCACCTATGGTAACTTGAGCTCGGGGCTCAGGTTAACCCTTTCATGCACACAAGTGTGAGCCAGTAACTGTATAATACAGCAAATACCAGTTGCTGGAAATCAGAAGTTTGGAGAGCCTTGTGCCGTGGGTTGCATCAGCTCTTGGGCAACTCTCCAGAGGTTGCATAGCAGCAGTGGGTGTGGCCACTCCACACACACACACCCCTTGATATACACAGGCACACGGTTCCCTCCTCCCCATTCAGCTTACTGGTGCAGATCAGCGCTGAGTCCTGTTTATGTATTTATTGTTTCCTGCTGCTGCAACAATTAATTGGGTGTTGTTGTTTTTTTGCCGGGGTGCAGAAAGAATTGCTTGGAGGGCTCTTTCAGGCCTCCAGACTAGGGGTGCACTGTCACTGCTCTAAACACTCTTGAGACCCAGGGCACTGGAAGGATGGCCCGTTTTTTCCATGAAGCTGCTCAGCAACTGAGATCCTCCGTTTGCATCATGAATGCATGCATGCATTTATTTCAAGGGTTTATGTAACACTTAACACGGTAGTCTCTTAACTGGTGTACAGTAATGGTCAAAAGATAAAGCAAAGGTAAATCAGTTAAAATTAATCCCCTACACCCCCCCCCCCCAAAAAAAATCAGAAAACATACTTAAAATGCCTGCTGGAGTACATTCATACCTTGGGATAAACGTGCTTCAAGTTAAGTATTTCCGGGTTGCGCTCCGCGGTGACCCGGAAGTAACGGAGCGGGTTACTTCCGGGTTCCGCCGCGCGCGCATGCGCAGACAGTCAAGATGATGTCACGTGCATGCGCAGAAGTGGCGACACGCGGATGCGGGTTGCGTTCGCTTCAGGATGCGAACGGGGCTCCGGAACGAATCCCGTTCGCATCCTGAGGTACCACTGTATTTAAAAATGTCTTCAGTAGGTGCTGGAATTTCAAGAGGGAGGGGGCCTTTCTGCTCTCAGCTGGGAGGGACTTCCATAGGATAAAGCCAGTGATGTTTAATCCCCCACCCCGGCTCCTGGTGGGTGCAAGCTATGTGACCGAGCCACATGGGGCCTGGGAGGCCCTTCTGTGGGTGCCCCTGACACTGGAGGTTAGATGAGTGGCTGAGCCTCACTGATGCACCTCCCTCCCATGGCAGATCTGCCTGGCACCTTCCTGGGCATGTTGGGGTCTGAACTGGGCATCGCCCACATGCAAAGCAGTTAGGGCTCTTCATCGATCTGAGCATGGGGCAAGTAATGTTTGAATTGGGCCAGCATTCGTGTGGATCATATTGGGCTCTCTGCAAGGATTTTATCGCTTCCTTACGCCTTATTCCTTCTTGACGCTAGAGACCTTTCTTTTCTCGTAGGCGCTGAGGTTTTGTCTGCGGAATTCGTTCAGCAAATGCCGTGCGAGTCTGCTGTGAAGGCCGCCCCGTCTTCTGAGAGCCTTGGAGTGGAAGAGAAGAAGTCCCGGGTCTCGAAACAAAAAAAAGACTCCACCGCAGAAAAAGTTTCGAGCGAGAAGATGAGCACGAGGAACCAAAGTAAGAGGACGGTGCTTGAAACGCAAAATCGGAATTAGGATTAAGATGACGCTTTGGCTTGGCTTCCCCTTGAAAGGATGAGCAGCTGGAGGCTGGTGTTTTCCCTCCCGCCCCAAGGACGTTTTTTTCCCTTTGCGTCACCCTCCCCATGGCATGGGCAAAGGGCTTTCTAATGCCTTTGCTTTCTAATGCCCCCCCCCCCCCCGCATCCTGGTGGCATCTTATGCTCCTGCGCTTGCATGGACCAAGGCACAAGAGCGGTCCTGCCACACAGGTGAAAGATGAAGCTGAAGGGCCTTTGCCTTTTAGTTGAGTGTAGCCCAAGATGACTGACGCTTTTAGTCCTTCCTGGGTTGACAGTTGTAGACCCTACTTCAAAACAGTGAACAAAGGGACCTGGGTCAGGCAGCGACCAAGACGCTGAGTCAGATGTTGTAAAGTCAATGGGGCTGATGACTCTGAGCCTGATACTAGTCACCGGAGGGCCACTAAACCCCAAGCTGGTGGGCACGAGTCCCATGGACCACATCCCAGAGCGCCAGGTCCCATAGAGACAGAGACAGGACCCCCATGGGTGTCTCTCTCTGAACCTGTGGAACTGAGTGCCTCCCAACGTGCCAACAGTGCAGGGAGTGCAGGAGAAGGTACCTGCCTGCGGGCCAGAAAGTTGGCCCTTTTAGTTCCTAGAAAGGGAGGTGGGTTTCTTGAAGCACGTGGTTCGTAGTGCTTCCTGGGGGTTCATCATCAGGAAAGTGAAGGTGCTCAGGAAACTATGGCTACCGGAGTTTGATGGGATTTCTCTATAACTACCATGTTGGCCTGAATATAAGCCGCACTTTCCCCCCAAATTCCAACCATGAAAAGTTTAAGTGTGGCTTATATTTACGGCCTTAGCTAGGAGTGCAGTGAAGCAGCCTCCTCCCCGTGCATATTCCCCCGTCCTCTCCCGCCAAGGCTGGGAAGGGAGAGAGAGCGAGGAAGGGAAAAGGCTGCTGGTAACACAGCCCCCCCATCCCAAGTATGGAGCCAGGAGCAGTGAGGAAGGGAGCGGCTTATATTAGGGTATTTATTTATTTATTTCCTCCCCCCCTCCAATTTTAAAGGTGCAGCTTGTCTTTGGGTGTGGCTTATTTGGGCCAATACGGTAGCTACAGTCATGGGGAAAAGAAAGTACATCTTTTTTGATTTCTGTGGTTTTACATATGGCATAATAAAAATAATCTGTTTCTTAGGAGTTCCAAGGTTGTATTTACCTGATTTAAAGACGTGCTAAGAAACAGATCATTGTTAAGATGTCCTCATATGTAAGACCACAGAACTTAAAGAGGGTGTACTTTCTTTTTCCCATAACTGTATAACTTTATCTGTAACTAATTGAATTGGTCTGTAACTAACTATAACAACAGCTAGAGAGAGAGCCTTTTAAAATCCTACCTTTCCTCCTAAGAGCAACATACAAGGCTCTCTTCTCCCTCTCTGGCCACTTTGTCCTTACAATGACCCTGCGAGGAAGGTTCATGACTGAACAGGGATTGGGAATGTTAGCACGAAACCACAAGTGCTGCACCATATTGGCTCTCAAAAAACCAGTAGCCTTTAATGGTGCTTTTTCGTAAGGGTGGAACTGTCTTAGCAGCCCGCTCTGAAACTTGCTCCTTTTCTTACGCAGTGAAGAGGAAAAGTTCCCATCAGCGGGAGGACGAATTCCCTCCGGCTAGCGATGAGAACGATCCTTCGAGCGAGAGAAGCCCGGCCCAGGATGCTTGCCCATCTCCCAAAGTGCTCAACTGCGACTCCCACGCCTTGAACCTGTTGGCCGACCTGGCACTAAGCTCCAACTCCCCGCTGCTCAGCAACAGCAGTGGAGCCTCCTTGCCCCCCAGCCCCTCCCGGGAGCGCCGCCGCTTGCACAAAGGGAAACATTCGGACAAGTCTTCGGATCACGAATATCACAGAGTGACGAAGAAGCTGAAAACAGCTTCCTTCTCTGGCAAGATGGGCCCAGAGTCTGATTTGTCTCCTGAGCAAAGTGGTGAGGGCAGAGAGTCTCCTTCCAGCTCTCATGAAAACAACCCCGCGAGTTCCAGCAAAAGGCGGGCTGCGAAACCCAGTTTGGCGACACCTCCAAGGGAGACGGGTTATCTTTCGGATTCGAGCATTCACTCCTTGATTTCTTCTGAGCACTCGTACGCCTCCCCGGTGTCTGAGTCTTGCAAGAAGGGGGCCCCGGGCACCAAGAACGGTGTGAAGAATGCCAGGCTGGGGCCTTTAGTTGGAAAAGTCATGCCTTTCCGGCACCAGCAGAGGATCTGCCACCCTCACAAGCAGTTGAGGGGCTACATACCATTCACGCGCTCTGCCGTCATGGCCGCGAGGTTGAAGGAAGACTTCTCCAAGTCCCATAAAGTGACCTTTTGCGACAAAACTGTCAAAGTGACTTTCCAGTGGGAGGCAGACTACCCGCCCAACTTAGATAGCAAATACACTAATAATATCTTAGAGAGAACAGTAGTTCGAGCTGTACACGGGTAAGTAATTCCCAGCTTTGGAAAGATACTCATTGTATGAAATGCATTCAAGCCACAAGTAAGATAAATAAAATCATAACTAAAAAGGTAAAGGACCCATGACAGCAAAGTCCAGTCACAGATGACTCTGGGGTTGCGATGCTCATCTCGCTTTTCAGGCCGAGGGAGCCGGCATTTGTCTGCAGACAGTTTTTCCTGGTCACGTGGCCAACATGACTAAGCCGCTTCTGGTGCAACCAGAGCAGCACACGGAAATGCTATTTACCTTCCCGCCGGAGTGGTACCTATTTATCTACTTGCACTTTGGGGGGGCATGCTTTCAAACTGCTAGGTTGGCAGGAGCTGGGACCAAGCAACGGGAGCTCACCCCATCGTGGGGATTCGAACTGCCGACCTTCTGATCGGCAAGCCCAAGAGGCTCAGTGGTTTAGACCACAGCGCCACCCGTGTCCCTTCATAACTAGGTAGAATTAAAAGCCTGGCAATAGTGGTGAGAATGCAGATAGGAGCTGGGTGATCTCTCCAGGATCATGAACCGTGGCCCAGAGAACAAGGGCATTTGGAGGCTGGCCTTTCAATGCCTTGGGCAGATCGTAGGGGCCTTCTGGCAGGTTCTTGGGGCCAACGAGCCATTATATAGCTATATAGGCAACTCTCCACTCATGTGGTGGTTATGGTCCAGGGATAGTGTGTAAGGCCAAAATCACATATAGTCAAAACATATATATTTGCCAAGTATGTAAAGCTGAATGTGCACAGGTTAAATGAGCATAAGTTGTGAGTTACATCTGTGTGTGTACAACCTCTTCTTGAGAAGCGCAGAGCCTTAAATGGACAGGAATCTGGTCATTTGGTTGCCTCTCTGCTGAGTTGAGAAGGGCACAGTCCACAGTACACCAGGGTACACAGTACACTTGCGACATCATCTGATGGGCAGGAAGTTGGGGTTAAATCCTCAGTTTGGCTGTGTACCCGTTCCCTGCTTGGAACAGACACGAACAGCCAACACAGGATATAACCCCTGCTAATCAGCTGATAAACAGGGGGTCCTGTTCTGATTCAGGAAGGGATTTGGGTCAAAAGCCCTGGCAAAGTGGCCCAAGGCAGTGCCTTGCAAGGTGATTTGAAGTCTCCCCACTTAGGGACTTAAAAGCACCTTGCTCCTGAAGTCAGGTGGTTGATGGGAGGATAGCCTTGCCCACCTGTCAAATTTTGCCTACAAGCTTGATCCTGATAAGGAGCTGACCTGTGGAGCCAAAATGGGTTGCCACCTGTACACTGCATTGATAGGGTCTGTGCGTCCCAGCCAAGCTCATGGGCTGCTTTCAGGATCTTCCCTAGCAGGACATTGAGAGCAACAGGAATAGATGGAGAGTGTCTGTCAGGAGACATTGCCCCAGAGAACACCTTGCTCCAGGCAGCCTCTCTAGTAGGAGAAGATGACAGTCTCTGGGATCATAGAATCATAGAACTGTGGAGTGGGATCCCAAGGGTCATCTAGTCCAACCCCCTGCCATATAGGGAAACTCAACTAAAGCATCCATGACAGATGACCATCTGACCTCTGCTTAAAAACCTCCAAGGAAGGAGAGTCTACCACCTCCTGAGGTTGTCTGATCCACAGTCAAACAGCTTTTACTGCCCTATAGTATCATAATAATAATAAATTAACATTTCTGTACCATCCTACAGTAGCTTTATGCATCCCCAGGTGAAAAGTGTCCAGTAGTTTGATCATTTTTTTTGGACAAAGTAATAACCATAAATAAATAAGAATTAAAATGTGCACCCCACCACCGAGACCATTCCATTGTAACTATCCAACCTCCCAGAATTTCAGCACCTCTTGCGATGGTTTGACCCCTTTCCGTTTTAACAGTACAAATTTTACAAATAGCCCTTTAGATATTTGAAGATGGCTCTCATGTCTCCTCTCAGCCTCTCTTTTCCAGGCTAAGCATACCCAGCTCCTTCAACCATTCCTCATAAGGCTTGGCTTCTAGACCCTTGATCATCTTTGTTGCCCTCTGCACACATTGCAGCCTGTCAACATCCTTCTTCAATTGTTTATGCAGGATATGCAGGACCCAAGCCGTGTAAAGACAAAAATGATGTGATTTCACCCAGTCAGGTAGAGAGCCTTAAAATAAAAGTTCTCAAGAATTAAGTCTGCATTTCCTTTTTCTGTAGGCCCTGGGACACCCGCTTGTTGGATGATTCAGATGAAATGATGCGCATCCTGCATATGTGGGTGGCGCTGTTTTATAACAAGCCGTTCAGATCCCCTACAATAAGGAACGTGGTCGAACACCGCAACCCTCCCAAATTCGTCTCACTGAGAAGCATCGTGGATGCCTTTGAAGTCATCGACGACGATTGCGAGGGGTCGTACAGTTTGGAGAAATGCCCCGCGGACTCTCTATCCGATGATAACCGGACGCCCAGAGAAGCAGACGAGAGGGCGGTTTCTTCCTCGGAGAAGCCCCTCTCCTGTAATGAACTGTCCTCTACGAATTGCATTGATGAGGCTCCCATCGTTATCCCTGATGACCCCAGTGATCTGCCTTTGGAGGAGGAGGAGGAAGAGTCCCATGTTGCTGCCAGCAAACCTAAAGAGAAGGTTAATCCTTCTGACAAAGTAAGAAAGACTTCGGTAGATCAGCTCAGGCCAGATGTCAGTGTTGGGCACGAGGCAGACGCTGAGTGCCAGGAGCCTGGCTGGTACACTTGGCACCATTTAGCAGTGAGGGGCTCAGAGCTACAGCTGGGCATAGCTACATCTATAAAACCATATGGGTAATTTAACTTCAAAGCCTGGAACCTCTTGCAGTTTTTGAGAACTGCCTTATAGCGACTCGGACCACTGGTCCATTTGACTCAGTATTACGCCGAGTTAACTACACTGACTGGCAATGATTCTCAAGCGTTTCAGACATGAGCCTCTATGCCCTGTCTGCAGATGCCAGGGATTCAAGCTGGGTTCTGTTTGCCTAGTGAGTGTTCTGCTACTGAGTTACAGCCCTGATTTACCCAATTTTCACTCATGAATGAGACTTGAGGTTGAGTCGAGAACCTGGAAGTTCCTCACCCATGATTGATTGGATTGATTTGATTTATATACCGCCCTCGATCATAAGATCTCAGGGCGGTTCACAGAATAAAATGTACAGAGGTTCCTAATAGACATTTTTATTGATAGCCACGTGTCAACATGTCCTCCATGATACCTTGGAAACTATCTACAGTGGTACCTTGGGTCTCAAACTTAATCCGTTCCAGAAGTCTGTTCGACTCCCAAAACCGTTCGAAAACCAGTGCTCGACTTCCGATTGGCTGCAGGAGCTTCATGCACTCAAACAGTAGCTGCGTTGGATGTTCGGCTTCCGAAAAACGTTCACAAACTGGAACACTTACTTCCGGGTTTGCGGCATTTGGGAGCGGAATTGTTCGACAGCTAAGCCGTTCGAGAACCAACGTACCACTGTACGGAAATTAAAGGGAATTCGGCTTCAAATGTAAGAAAAGCCCTGCCAATTTCCCTTTAATTTCCATAGACAGCTCCCATCAATTTTTTCTCTTGTTGCTGTTAGTAGTATGACAGTAGCCTCTACGGCAAATTGTGTTGTAAAGCCCATAGAGCATGATGTCCTTCCCCAGTGAACTTGGAACAACCAGCGGAGATAGAAAGCCAACATAATACTTACTTATTAAATAACTGGGATTAAAGAACCGTCTTGGTTCAGGGAGGAGGTCTGGAGAACAACCTGGGAAATGGAAAAACCTCATTTTTTGGGGCCCTATTTAGCTGTTGGACAGTGTTATAGAGCCGGCTGCCATAACCTGTGACAAACACAGTGATTCGAACTCTGCCCTTTGTGCTAACCAGATTGAATGGTGAAAACAAGGGAAGATTGATGCCTAGGCCACGAGGCATGGCTAGCAGAGACTGTGCTTTGATTTGTGACAAGTTGTGGCAGCTTATTCTTGAAGCAGCACAGTGGGGTAAACCTTGAAGGAGCTCGAAAGGTAGGAGGGCCGAGGCTTTCTCAACTCCAGGCAGCGTGTGTTGGTAAACGTTTGCACCATGCTGTGATTTTGTTTTTTACTGCTCTAGGATAGTTTGCAGATTTAAAAAGCTATGGAGATTAATTTTTTACTTTTTGCCTTTCTGTCTCTCTGAATTTTTGAAACTTGGAATTTTTATTTCAGGTGGCTGTGGAGAAACCTGATGAAGAACTCCCACCGGATCCTGCCCTCTCCGCAGAGAGCCAGAGCAGAAACTTGACAGATGAGCATACCGAAGGGCGTTCGAGGCCTCAGGAGCGTGGAACTGATGCGGAGGCAACTGCGAGTGTCGACTTAGCTGAGGTTTCCCAAAGCGATGCTGCTTCCAAAGATGCGGAAGTCCTGGATAATTCAGCCAACAAACAGCCTAGTGCAAACACGATGGCCGGTGGCGTTTCTGCAGAGAAGATTTCTGAATTAAAGGCTTCCTCTCCTTCTGCAGGGGAGAAGGAGGACAGCCCACAGAGCGGGGGCGCCGTGTTGCTACGTCCTGCTGAAATAGGCTGGTTAGAAGCAGACAGTGATTGTGGGGAAGTCAACAAACTGTGTAGAGAGGGGAGGGGGTCACAGGATCTCCCCGTAGATGAGGAAGATATAGAAGGAGAGAGCACAGGGTGGGAATCAATTGAACTTGCTCTTTCGGACAGCAACGATACTGACTCAGAGCCCCGAGATATGGACTTGGACCAAGAGAACAAAGAAGAGGAAGGCTGTGCAATAGAAGACAGAGAAGCTGCCAGGGCCTCTACATCCCCAGTCACTTTTCCACCATCACCAGCCACAGTTTCCGAGCATCAGGCAGAATCACCTGGTACCCAAGAAGACTTTGTACTATCAACCCCTAATTCTGCATCTCTAGACCCAACAGATGCGGTTAAGGGTTTCTGCCTTTCAGAGGAAGATAGAGAGGACAATCTGTTTGATTCCCTTCCATTAAGGACTAGCCCTGTAAATCAAATAACCCACGATGAAGTAGCCCAGTCTCCAGAGACAGAAGACGCCGTTGAATTAGCCAAACATCCCATGTCTCCAAACCAAATGGATGTGGCTGAAAGCACCCGTAGGTCCCAGGAAGATAACAAAACCAACCTAGAAGATTCAGCTTCTGCACAAGCTGCTGGATTAAAGGATATGGCAACTCGAGAATCTGTAGAGAGCCGAGATTCTATTGTACTGGCAAACAGCCCCAAATTTCAAAACCCAGTCGGTTCGGATGATACTTCCTTTGGTTCCACGGAAGAGAAAGGAATGAATCTGGCTGATTCAGTTTCACCGGAGGCGATTCCTATCCATCAAACAAGTCCTGATGATGTAATGGAATTGCCAACTACCCAGGAAGACTCTGCGGAATCAACCAAACATCACATATCCCTAAATCAAATGGATTTGATTGAAGACATTTCCCAGGAAGAGGGTAACCTGACTGACCCAAGTCCGCTGCAAACTTGTGGACCGTGCCAAGTGCATAGCAGCCCATCAGTTCAAGGGGAATCCACAGGGAAACAAGAAAATTCTGCTTTATCAGCTCCAAATCTTGCACCTGAAAAAGAAACAGACTTGGTCGCGGGTTCCTGTGTTTCGCCGGAAGAGGATGGAATCCACATGGCTGATGTGGTTAAGTTGCAGGTTAGTCCTGTCTATCAAGTAATATCTGATGAAGAGGAAGACTTGCCGGGGAACCAAGAGCACTCAGCTGAAAATAGCACACTCACAAAGCAAACGTGTTCAGCTGAGGATTCCTGCATCCCTGAGGAAAAGAAAGCCCTCCACCTGGTAGGTGTGGCTCCATTGCAAGTGAATGAACTGCGGTGCAACATAGCAACTCAAGAGGAACGGAAGGCCAGGCAGACAACAGAACAACTTGGCAATTCTCAGGGCCAGAGCTGGCATTTGGATAATAAAGAATTGGACACCAGTACTGACAATCAAAAGTGTGGCATTAACAGTGAGGACATTGAAGTCTCTCCTGTGCCCCGAGAATCGGCATCTGATGATGATAAGCTAAGCCAAGCTGTAGTTACTGTGCCTGAAGACATCAGGTCCTTTCTCTATGAGTTGATAGACACTGTGAGTGGCATGACGGCCGTGAGCAAAGAAACCGCCTTTGCGAAAGAGAATCCAGCCTTAAACTGGATTAGTTCCGTCACCCTTGAGTGTGTGACCCCTCCTGAGAGTGATGAAGAGAGTTATGCCACTGACAAGCTTGCCCATTATGACCCCAAATGGGCGATGACAGGTGACTCTTTAGCGCAGCCTAGTAACAAGAGAGACTCTCACATGGCTGTACAAAGATACGGGTGGTATCATTCAGCACTGCAGGGAAGCATAAGTTCCGGTCAGGTGGATGTGGCTGAAAGGAAGTCTCATCAAGAGACAGGAGCTGCTACGGACACCCTTGAAAGTTCTTGCTGTCCAGAGTGGGAAGACACGGGCACAAGAAGTCCAGAACGCCAGTTCCCCTTGATCCAAGCAGCTGCGTTGTGTGGGGTTGACCCAGGACAAGTTAGTTCGGAAGCATCCATGTTTGAGGACCAGCTCAGGAAGGCAGGCAGAGAAATGCTGCCCTTTGTGCCGTCAGTGCGTCCTACGGAATGTTTATCCGAAGAATCTGGGTCATCTGCACATAAAGACACACATGATCTGTATGAAAACCCGGTGGAGAATCTGGAGGACCCTGAAGATGCTCCGGCCGGTGAAAGACCCATGCCATTTGTCGGAGCTACGGGCGTGAATATAAATTGGGAAAATAAATGTGTTTCTGCGGACGGTGTCCCAGAACTTTGCGGAGATGTCCATCACAGAGGTCAGCCTGAGATACCGTCTACAAGATCTGCTGCCTCGCCAGATGCCATGGAAATGAGTTGCGCCAGTGATTTGAGCTGTGAGAACGAGCTTCACAAGGGTGAAGGCTGGATGTATCTGGAAAACAAGGTGACGGTGCCTGATGTTGAGGCTGAGACTATCCAGTATGACTGGCTGTCCTCATTCCGGGAAGGCGATAGGCCCGTGCTGCCTTCTCCCGAAGAGTCGGGACCTCTAAAGGACTATTTAAACTTTACTATAACCAAGAAGCACCAAGAAAAAAACAGAAGCTTTCAGTCTTCCAAGAGGCGTAGCCCTTTTTTCGGAGAGCAGGAATGGAAAAACTTCTCCGATAGGGCTTGGAGGGTTCTGAACGACCCCATTCAGAGCACTTTAGATATGGAGTGTTTGCGTTTCCACGATAAGCTAAAACATACCCTAAAGAAACCACAACCTCCTACCTCTGGCGAAGGTACTCCGGAGCGCTTGCTTCAGGTAACGGCAGAGACGTTGCCATCGAGAAAGGTCCCTGAAGCTCCTGAGCTCAGTGTGCCACCCAGGAGCCGAAGCCCGCTTCTGATAACTATTTTGAATCGGGGCCCGAGGCACGGTGCCCCACACAGCACCCCCAGGAGCAGACACAGCGACCCTTTTGAACCTCCTCCCCCGTTTGCTTCTGCCCAGGAATCAGTGAGCAATGCTGCTAGAACGAAAGGTCAAGGACAAGGGCCAGCCGCTCCTTTCCACCTCAATAAGTTAACGTACAATAATGAGCTAAAGGATTCCCGTGGAGACATATCGGTCATCATGGACGAGTTTGCCGAATTGAGCAGGTTGATGACGCAGGGCGACAGGCAGGCGAGTTTCGCGGCCAGAGAGCCAAATCCTACCTCAGAAGATGCTCTGGAGAAAAGGGGTCCCTCCTTGCCTCAGAGGACGACATCCTACGAGCACCTCTTCACTGAACTCTGCAGCACACTACATTTCAAGCTGAAAACGGTTGCCCAGGAAGCTTGCAAAAAGCCTTATGCATTCTACCTGGTGGAAACGGGCGACAGTCCTTTCTTTGGGAGACTAAAGGTAAGATGTTTCACATTTCGTTTTATTAATTTTTTTAATTATTGGTTTCCCACAAATTTTTGCACACACCAACAAACAAACAAACAAACAAAAATACTAACCTTATTAAGACTAATCTAATTAACATTGTTAAGCGACTTCCTCGTGTCCCCTTGGTTGAATTTCAGTGTATATCATTGTAAAGGTTTTCCAAAACCTATATTCTCATAAAGTTAACTTAATCACTTAACATCTTTCTTACTTTCCTGATCTAAATTTCAACATATTAATTTATCACATTACATATTAAAATCCTAAGCCTATCTGGTATTTGCAAGCTTTTCCAGTCAATTTAACTTAACAAAGATGTTTCACATTTTAAATATTGCACCAGGTTTTAGGCGTTGGAGAAATCGGCAACGGGCGACGACTGCCCAGTGTGGATGGAACGCTTGCTCTCGGCTACACTGTAGTTTGCAAATCGGGAACCGGGCCCCTGTCTTGCACATCCCTTATCTCAGCCTGGGTTTCCAGCTCCCTTCCCTTAACATAGGGAGCTCCCTTGCACTGAGTCAGATGGTTGGTTCATTTAGCCCACTGTTGTTGACTTGCAGTGGCTTTTCAGGGGTTCTGAAACCCGGGGGCTTCCTCATGTAAAGCAAATACCCTGACCCTGGCCTTTCCAGCGTTGTTGGTGTGGAATGATTCTAACCGGGGTTCCCCTCTGAACCGGGGTATGCAAACCAGCTTCCATCCCTGCTCAGGAGGGGAACCTTGGTTAGTGTTTGCGCATGCTGAACAGTAATACATGATTACACTGGGTGGCAGGGTGTGGGTGTGTGTGGCAGGAGGGAAAGAGGGAGGATCACAGATTCCAGAGGCAGGCCCAGGTTTCCACACCACAATGTCCAGGGTGCCAGCACTGGAGTTTAATGTTGAAAATGGCAGCACCAGTGAGGGTGCCCCGGTATCCCCTACTGAGGACCAGCCTCTAAAGGGCACCATGTTGACAAAGGCTGGTCTGCTTCATGGTGCATCTCCTCTTTGCTGATGGAGGTTTGGGCTAGGTGGCTTTTGAGGTCCCTTCTGGCTCTGATTCTCTGGGTGTTCAGTCATTCTGGGGCTCTAGCATTAAAAAAACAAAAAACCCAAACCTACTCTCGGCTGTCCATGTCCCCCTCCTCCCTTTGCTTTCGTTTAAAAAAGGAACATCATATTTAATGTGCAGGACTTGATTGTATGGAAAGTGCTTTTGGGTGGGATTCTGCTGCAGTTAACAGCCTTGGGCGAATCTCCCATTTCAAGAGAGGAGAACAGGACAACAGAAGTGTGATATTAGCAGAATAGTGTTGGACTCTGACCTGGGAGACCAGGATTCAAATCCCCACTTCAGCCATGAAGCTCGCTGGGTGACCTTGAGTTGCTCCCTGTCTCTCAGCCTATCCTACCTCACAGGGTGGTTGTGAGAATAAATGGGGGAGGGGAGAGAAAACCATGCAGACCACCTTGAGCTCCTTGGAGGAAAAGCTGACATATAAATGGAACAAACAAATAGCAATGAACACGATGGATTTTGTTTGTACTGGATTAGAGGACTCGTCTCTGTCCCTTACCTGCAGAATTATCCTGAATTTCTGTTGCTGCTTGAAGACGCAGAAAAACTCTGGTTTTGTTTTCATTTTTGCTTTTAACTGTGAAAGCAGCCATTCTGGTTTTGGTGATGGGTTTTTTTAAACGTTATGTTTCAGAACTCGCTGAAAAAAGGGAGTCATGTGGAAATGAAGCCTCTGCATTTTTGTAAGACAAGCCACCCCGAGGGAGACAGACTGATGGTCATCATTAGGAACGAGGACATATACCCACACATATATAAAGTAGGTTCAAAAGTGCCTTTCCTGTGTGGCACAGGAAAAACAGCTTCCGGATATTAAAACCTGGTTCTCTTCCCTCGCACTGCCAAATGCTTCTAACGTTCCCCCTCCCTGGTGATTCAGTGCTTTACAAAACATGGGAAGCTGCCTTTGTATAGGCAGACTTTCGGTTCATCAAGCACAGTTTGTCTACACTGACTGGCAGCACCTTTCCAGGGTTTTGCACAGAGGACCCTCTGGGCTGTATCTGGAGAGGCCAGGAATTGGACCTGGGTTCAGTTCTGCATGCAGAGCAGACCCTCCGCCACCAGTATGACGTTCGGTTCACGATACCGGTTCCCAGCCGTCGCCAGCACTGGGCGTAGCATTCGACTTCCTGCTAATTTTGAACCGCAGCCTTCACTGAGGCAAGTTTCCAGTCCCTGTGAGGTTGTGAAAGAGAAGCTTGCTTACAGTGCAGTAAGCATTCTGCAACTTTGCTCGATCATACAGGTGGCAGGATTCCCCTCTGCGTCACCCTAAATTTGGAAGGCTGAACAAGTTTTAGCAGGGAATACACAGGCCTGATTGCTATATGTTGTGGGTAGGAGTTCCTGTTTCTGTGTGTGCCTTCCTCCCAAAGTCTGAGAAGGGTCAGATCCAGTGGCGGAGAGCAGGCGGGGGCGTGGCTGGCGCACGTCCTGGGGGTGTGGCGTGGCGTGCCGCCTGCGGGGGTGGGGGGAAGCCGTGATGGCACCCACTGAGATTGCGCTGCCAGGGGTGGTGTGCTCCCCCCGCACCCCTCGTCCTCTGCCAGTGGTCAGATCTCCTGCTTGTGCACCCGGTGCCACCCTCTGCCCACCCGAGGGAAATGTAACCGATGGACCAGTGCTGAACCCGAAAAAACATTTGTCTCCTGGGCAGATCCCGTCCTTGCTGAGGCTAAAGCGCTTTCCCAGCGTGACCTTTGTGGGAGTGGACAGCCCTGAGGACATCTTTGACCACACGTATCAGGAGCTGTTCCACAACGGGGGCTTCGTGGTGTCTGACGACAAAGTGCTCGAGGCGATGACAGTAGGTGAGATGTTGCGCCCAGTGTGCCAGTTCCGGAAAAGCACAGCTTTCTGGAGGTGGTGTGTCTTTGGAAATGGTGCACAGGGATTGTTTCCTGTGATTGAATGTTGTGGCAGTATAAATAGAAGCAAACCTCCCTGCGAGCATGTCAGGGAGAATATGTCTCCTCGTATTAAATATTTGTCTTCCGCTCGTATCTCCCTTAGATGTGGCCTGGTGCATCTCCCAGTAGTATGGTGCTTTGCAGTGCTATGTATGAAGTCCTAAACAGTTTGGTACCAAATACCTGAAAGAGCATCTCACCCGATACCAGCCACCTTGGGCCCTGCAATCAGGATGGAAGCCCCGATGCTGGCCGTGCTGCTGTGCATCGCCCTCCCGGGGTTGACCCACGACAGGGCCTTCTCAGTGGTAGTTCCCTGCTTGTGGAACACCTTCCCTGCCGAGGTGTCTCGCTCATTATTAACATTTTGGAGGGACCTTAAAACGTTCACCCCGATATTTAATGGCTGAAATACTGTTCCTTGGCACCTTTGAAATTATTAACCTTTAAGGATACGTGACTTATTCCCCCCCCCCATTTATTAATTTCTTCAGGGGGGTTTTTTCCTTCAAGGGATGGGATGGCTTTGCTGTTTTGTGGGCTCCTTTGAGAGGAAGGGTGGGGTAAAAATCCAATAATACGGAGGATGATTCAGTGAACGGCGACAGTGGCAATATTGATGGCTTAGGACCGGCAGCCTTAATAACCGGGGCTCCCCAGCTGTTACCATGTGACAGCGGAGACGGAACTCTAGGCAGCCAAACTTCGTAGTTTTCACTGTCCTGTTGTGCTGATGCTCTTCCTGCAGGGGAGCTTAAGGACGCTGTCAAAACCTTGGAGAAGCTCAACTGCAGCCACGGGAGATGGAGCTGGCTCCTTCACTACAAAGAGACCAAGAGACTCCGAGAGGACGCCAGGTGAGGACGACTCTGGCACTGACTAAATCCCTTCTCCCTGCTAAATCCCTGCAGAGTCCTCGTTCCCCCGCCTGCCGGGATGCCTTTGCTACCCCCCCCCCTTGCCCATGCAAGCATGTATTCATTTCCTTACTCCCTATATTTACAGACTGCCCAGTTTCAAGCTCTCAGGTAACAACAAAGACCGTTTAAAACCGCAGTTTACTGAAATGATCAAATAAATTGATTGAGGCCTTGGATGCAGACACTGGGGATATCCTTCCTCCCCTATGCACGCAGCCAGGCCCTGATCCGTCAGTGCTTCCATGTGCCTTCCCTCCTCCTGAGTAGCTTCCGTGGACAGTTCAGCAGCTGCCTTGAAGTTCCTGCCTGGCTCTCTGTCTCCTCTGCTGCTGTGGCTCCGTACATCTGAGGTCCAGCCAGGAACCCAGGCAGTGGCCATGGGGGCCTCTAGTCTGGGGTCAGGGGTGTCTGGCTCTGCTGCACTGGAGATCCACTTGAGGATCCTGCTTTCTTTTGTTGCTCCTTAGGAGGAGGTCTGAACCTGGACAGAACTGGTCTCTGGTTTGAGGACATTACCTAACCACGTTTCCCCTGAACGCTGCTTCCAATCACATGCCTGCAGTGGGCTTCTTGGCCTGAGAAAGAGATCCACTGGGTCCCAAAAGCCTGCAAGCCCAACTCTCTCTGCAGTGTAACACTCCCTTGCATGTGCCCTGCTTCGCCCTGCTGCTGGCTAAATGAAAAGTATTCGGTTCCTCTGAATTTCAGCACATGGAACTCCCATAGGATATGCCTGCATTCTTATTCATTTATATAATGTCGTTAGCTCAAGAAGCAACTCTCTGGGCAGCATCCTGCATTGCAGGGGCTTGGACTGGATGACCCTTGGTGTCTGTTCCCATTCTACAATTCTACAATTCTGTGAATAAGAGGTGTGCTTTTGGGGCACAGTCCCAAACTCAAAGCTGTTTGGGACCAAACTCCCTTGACGTTTTGTTCTCCTGCAGGAAGGACCCTGCAGCTCACGCCAAGGAGATGCTCCTGAAATCCTGCCAGGGTTCCAACATCGCCGAAGTTCTCCACTACCATCAGTGCGATTCCAAGTCTTCCCCGAGATCTGAGCATCTGAATTGCTTGCTGAACTTGCAGGTTCAGCACATCAGCAGGAGATTTGCCGTGTTCCTCACAGGTAGGGAGATCTTGCCATATCCTGGCTGTGGGGGCACTTCTCATGTGGATATCTTCTTCTCTCCCCCACCCCCGCAAAAAAACCCCCCACATTTTCAGGGCAGTGTGAAAAAGGATGTGCAGACAAGCAGCCTTTGTGGGTCCTGGCCCTGCTGAGAGGGGCTTTCCACTGCCTTGAGCTTTTCCAGAATTTCCAGAGGTTTAGAGTATTTCTGAATGGCAGAGCAGCCAATGAGACCATAATGGGATCGTTAGGAAATGGGATCGTTAGGAAAGGGGTTGAAAACAAAAGTGTCGGTATCATAATGGGATTGTGCAAATCTGGGAGTTGTAGTCCAAAAGCAGCTGGAGAGCACTATGTTTGCTTTCCTGATAGAGATCTGGTCTTAAGGCACACATGGGCATTTTGGGTTCCTGCTTCCCAGCTGGGACGCACCCCTTCTCTGTTACTGCCGATTGACCAGAGATATTGCTTTAAGACAGGGGTGTCAAACTCAAATTCATCGGGGGCCGCATCAGCAGTTTGGTCACCCTCAAAGGGCCAGTTGTATCTGTAGGACTTTATCAAAGTTATTTTTCCTTAGGCACTGGTGTGTGTTGTCTTGAACCTATACACTATTTAATACACCTATTCCAGTACGATTTTCAATAAGAATAGAAGAAGAAATAATAATGATTTTTTAAAAAGATGACGAGATGGGCTTCCAGGCAGACTGGAGCTCCAATGGGGAGGAGACAGGAGCCTGTCCCAACAGAGCAGAGCAGAAGCAAATGTTGCCTCCCCCCGCCCTGCCGCCGCACTCAGGAGTCGGAGGATACGGAGCTGCAGTTTGGACAGCAGCAGTTTCTTCCTTGCAAGGGAGCCCCAGCGGCACTGCAGGCGCGGGTGGCCAGGATGTCCTGCTGGGGCCCCGAGCTGCTGCAGTTGTTCACGGGGAGGGGGCTATCCGCCAAGTCCTCCAGCCCGGAGAAAGCCGATGTGTTGGCGTGGGGAGGGGGGCGGTGTTTCGTAGCCAGGCTCCCGCAGCCAAGTTGCTGGCAGGCTCCCACTTTGCTCCAGCTGCCCAGATGCCGGCGCGGTCCTCTTCGGGGTGGGAGGTGCCCCTGCTTTGCAGTGTGGCACACCGCCCGCCCGCCCGGCTCCCTCCACCCCACTCAGCGCAGCTGAACCGGCAGCAGCTTCGCCTCTCCCAGCCCAGCCGGGGCGCGCCGCCTGCGGCAAGACATGCGCCGGGTCCCCGTTCTTCACTCGCCTCCGCCGTTCCCTTCCCCGCCTGCCGGCCCCACTACTTACCCACCAGGGCGACCCCCAGCCAGCCCCGCCGCCCGCGCCCCGGGCCATCTCCTCGCCAGCTGCAGCGCCACAGTGGCCTCTTCTTGCGGCCCGAGCGAGTGGCGTCCCAAGCGTGGCTCTCGCTCCCTGCCCTCGCTGCCAGCCTCCGCGGCTCTCAGGCTCCAAAAGTTGCCGCGCGCGCGACCCGCCACCTCGAGCAGCTGCGCCTGGGAGGCTCCGAGGGGCGGAGGCAGCCAGTTCCAAGCTCTGCTTCGCGGGACCGCCTCCTCCGCAGCGAGCCCCGGCCTGGACCGAGCGAGCAGAAAGCCTCTTTGCCCTGCCCGCAAGGCAGGCGAAAGTTGCAGGACCGGCCGGTAGGCAGTGCCGACGGGGCGCGTCTGTTGGAGCCCTGTCTGCAAGCAGGCAGGGAAGGCTGTTCGCGTGGGTCACTTTTTAGAAAGGCAGAGAGCCTCCGCCGGAGTGCAGACCCTAAAATCTGGGTCGGGACCAGTAAAAAGGACGAGAAGCTCGCTTCCTCGCCCTTGATGCCACGGGCCACATGACGAGGGCTGGCGGGCCAGATTCGGCCCACGGACCTTGTGTTTGACACCCATGCTTTAAGAGGAGTTTCACAAGGCCAAAACTGATCAAGCATTTCCCCCAACCAACTCCATCCCCACATACCCAGAGTTGACCGAGCTCCCTGGAATTATCTTGTTGGGAAGCCATCTCACGGCGTTGTATATTTTGCAGAGGTAGCAGCAGTAACATCTTTTTTCATTTGCTCCTTATAGAGAAACCCAGCGCCAGCCGAGAGGCCATGGAGAATAAGGGGATCCTGGTGCTGGATGTAAATACTTTCGTTGCGACGGCTGAAAGTTTGGCAGCACCGTTTAGAAGTGGCTGTTGGTAAGCGGGAAGCCCCGGGGTCGTTTTTTGTACTGGGGAGCAGCGCAAATGGAGAAAACTGGAAGGCTTGCTAGCACCAGCCTTAGAAGGCGGGCGGATTTCAAGAGTGGCAGGCGTTGTGAGCGCTCCCTATTCTGCCCCTCTCCTCGCTTTTTTTTTAGACCGGGGGGTTGGAACTGCTTTCAACCAAAGTCCACAGTCCCTTCTGGGCACTGAATGGGGTGGGCGGGGCCAAATGCAAAAGTGGGAGGAGCAAGAGGGATGATCACTTTAGGGACACTTTGCAGCCAGACCAAAATGCTTTGGGATGTGCAAAGCGTGGGCTGGGGATAAAGAGCCTGTATTGGGGATGAGTCATAGGATCACAGAGCTGGAAGGAGTTCTGAGGGCCAGATGAAGAAGTTTGAAGAGTCCGCATTTGACCCCTGGGTCTGAGCACAGGGTTTTAGAGCAATATTGCTTACATGAGTTGGTACAATGCCCCAGAGTGATGAATCAGGAAGGCCCCGGTTCAAACCCCACCTCTGCCTTGAACTCCAAAGGGGGCCCTGAAAGCACCCCCCTCCCTCTGCTCCTCCCCATAGTTGCAATTTGAGGTTGATAAAATACTGAGTTCCCTTACATTGGAAGGATTATAGGGGAGGGGGCAACCTTAGGAGTCAGCAGATATCGTTGCTCTCACAGCATCCTTATTGAACATGAAGAAGAAGTTTGGATTTGATATCCCACTTTATCACTACCCAAAGGAGTCTCAAAGCGGCTAACATTCTCCTTTCCCTTCCTCCCCCACAACAAACACTCTGTGGGGTGAGTGGGGCTGAGAGACTTCAAAGAAGTGGGACTAGCCCAAGGTCACCCAGCAGCTGCATGTGGAGGAGTGGAGACTCGAACCCGGTTCACCAGGTTACGAGTCTACCACTCTTAACCACTACACCACACTGGCTCTGGGAACTAGAATCTCAGCATCTGGTTGCTCACCCCACCTCAAGAAAGTGCATGCATGTGAAATGCTTTGAGCACTAAAGCACCATAAAAATACTAAAAATATCGTCCTTGTTTCTGATGCCGCACTGCGAACAGAACGGTTGAAGGGCTCCACCTGGTGGTCTGTGAAAGACCTGCACCCACAGCCCAGTTTTTTTCTGCCTCTCTTGTGTCTCCAGCCCAGGTGCATCTTCATTACTTTTTCCATTCTGTGGGGCCTCCTCCAAAGAGCTCAGTTCAGCATACATGATTAGCCCCTGCTGTTTTATTCTTGCAGCAGCTATGGGAGAGAAGGGGGCTGGCCGAATGTCAGCCAGTGATCTCCTGGATTGACGGATATTTGAACCTGGATCTGACATCCACTTCATCTGCTTGTGGATGTTTTGATGATTAGAACACCTGCAGTATACGCATATGAATTACCGTGTTTTTCGCTCTATAGGACGCACCAGACCATAGGACGCGCCTTGTTTTAGAGGGGGAGAACAAGAAAAAAAACCTCCCCCTCTCTGCTCAGCGCCCCTTCAGCGTAGCGGCAGGAGAAACGGAGCCCCTTCTATTTCTCCTCCCGCTTGGCTGAAGAGGCGCTGCGCAGCTCTCCCTCTCTGCTGAAGCCGGGAGAGTCTTGCTCTCCCAGCTTCAGCAAAAGGAACCCAAAGCCTTCGGAGCGTAGCGTGAGTTCCTGCTGCACTCCGCAGGCTTCAGATTCCTTTCACTGAAGCCAGGAGAGTCTATCCCTGAAGCCTGGAGAGCGAGGGGTCGGTGCGCACTGACCCCTCTCGCTCTCCAGGCTTCAGCGAAAGCAATGCAAAGCCTCCGGAGCACGGAGGGAGAGCTCCCTCTGCGCTTTGGAAGCTTCGCATTGCTATCGCTGAAGCCAAGGAGCCTGCATTTGCTCCATAAGATGCACACACATTTCCCCTTAATTTTTGGAGGGGGAAAAGTGCATCCTATAGAGCAAAAAATACAGTAGGTTTCAACCAAGGTTTCCCAAACTTGGGTCTCCAGCTGTTTTTGGACTATAGTTCCCTTCATCCCTGCTAGTTAGGGATGATGGGAACTGTAGTCCAAAAACAGCACAAGTTTGGGAAACCCTGATTTAAAATAAGGCAGTGGGCTGGTTGTGATGGAAACTTTCGTCTGGAGGGCCAGTTTCCCCATCCCTGCTGGAGATGTTGAGTTGAAAGGGGAAATGTCTGTGCAACAGGAGACACCTCAAGGACACCAGCAAGCAAGACTCTGACCATTGAGATGCTGCTGGAAACAAAAATACTGTTTGAACTCAGACCAAAAGTATACTGTATTATTCTCCCCCTAATTCAAGAGGATGTTGAATTATGGCAGACTGTGCCTTTTGTGTAATAACATCTCCTCCCTGCTCCGTATCAGTTTGCCATTTTGAAATACACAGCAGCATCAAGAGTGGTCCTTACTGTGATGTGTGTCCCTTTATTTTAGGTAACCGATACAGATGCCTTCCTGACCCTCCACGGTCCTGGCGCAGAACGCTGAACAAACCTGTTCAGTCCCAGGAGAGAAATTATTTTTTTTCTGCTTCCTGACTTGCACAATAAAAATTGTGCCTCATGCATAGGATGTTTTCTTTCCTTGTTCTTCCCCACTCCATCCTTGAATAGAACGGTAGCTGTTTTATTTAAGGGCTGCTGTTTTATTTAAGGGCTGTAGAGAAAAGTCGTCTTTATTTAACCACAATGTGGAAAAACCTTGTAAGAAAATTATTTGTGTTACTATTGATAGGAATTGTCTTGCATAGGAAGAAGCGTTATAATGACTGGGTTGTGCAGCTAATTATAATTATCATTGTGGGGTGGGGCAGGGGAGGGTTACCTGTGTTACTTGAAGGTTTAGGAATCAGTCTGTTGGAGACAGTTTTTCCAGACATACGGTACCTAACAGGCTCCATCCACCTGGAGCTTCACTGCTATGCTTTCGGACACTGGCTCAGATTCATTTAAGCAGTGCAACGGCAAAGCGGAATTGAGTCGCAGGTGGATCGTGATCGGTGTACTTAAATCACAAGCAACTTGGGGTCTGGTTTCCCCTTTTTAAAATCACATTAAAACAAGTTACTGTGCAATGAACGTTACCTTTCAAGGTTTCTTTTATTCATCTTTTGCTGATGGGTATTATTAACCAGTAACAAGCAGAACTCCACCCCCCACCCCCCCTTGTAGATAGCAGAGTTTGAATTCTTGAATTAAAAACCTCCTTTCCTCTCTGAACTATTTATGGTGTTGCAATAAAGGGCCTCCCCGGATTACAGCACCGATGAGAGGCGGAAATGTATCTCTTTGCAGATTTTTTTTTGTAACTAACATTTATAAATAAAGCTGGATAAAAAGTTGTTGGCCTGACTCAATGCAACGTCAAATGACTGGGAGGGTGACAACCGCCGCAGACTCCACAAGTGCGGTTCATTGTTAAGTGTAAAGTGGTTTTTGCGCTGCGGCAAAGAGCTGCAAACTTGCCAAAGCAGAGTGTGGTTGGCAGCAAGTAGACAGACAGCAATTTTGAGCCAGAGGTTGTTGATGAATGAAGGGGTCTAGCCAATATATGGCAGCTGTGAAAAAGGCGAGTCCCAAGGGATAAAAAATGCTGGAGTCACAATGTCCTCTGGGGCAGCTACGGTTGGAATTTATATTTGACTACCATAAAATGTGATAATGGCATGGGCAGTCTTTTCTGCTATCAACATCGTTTGGTTTGAGCATTGCATTGGTTTGAGCATCTGTTTGGTTTGAGCATTGCATTGCAGCAAGGCTGAAATTCTCACTTCAAATCTGTCCTTAAGACCCGGTTCTTCCAGAAGATTGATCGTCAGCTGTCCTCAAGTGCTAATCATTCCCCCAGATTCACCACTGTAAGCTTTCTGCAGAGCAGGGATGGGGAAACCAGTCTCACTCACATTGGGACTCCAGTTCCCATCAGCCCCAGGCAGCAGAGCCAGTGGTCAAGGGCGATGGGTGCTGTAGTCTAGCGACATCTCTGCTGTAATAGTCCTGTCAGAATTTATCAGTGTTGTGTTGTGTTTACCTAGGGCAAATCCTTAGACTTTGAATCCTTAGACTTTGAAACAGGAATATTGATGGGCACTGGGGAATGTTCATAAGCCTATGACCTAGACTTACCAGGATCTCCTCCATTCACCCTCCCACCAGGACACCCCCCCCCTCGTGTCTGCATACTAGGCAAAACGTCTGCAAGCATCATTGCATCCACAGAGTCTTCTCCAAATTCCAAGAGAGGGACTAGCTAAAATTTCTGAAGCACTGGGTGACATATATGCCACCGCAAACTGGTTTAGTGGTTACTGCTTCTTGGCAGGCGGCAAGGAGAGGTGTTCTTCAAAATTCTCAACTGCATTGAGCACCATTTGGTGGAAAGGGAGAAATCCAAACAACGAAAACTAAGCTCCGACCTTACGCTAGTGTTTGTGAGAGCAAGATGGACCTTGCAAAACGTTCAAGCAGAAAGTAAAGCCGACAGAAGCCCCCCAAACATCAGAAAGAATGCTGCCAGCTCTCGGTGCAGAGTATCTCCCTGGCAGTCTTAAGAACTAGGAAGTTTGTGTTAGGATATAGTTCCGTTCCACCATAAAAGGGTACAGGCAGGACTGTTGTGTGTCACATATCTGTTTACTTCCAGCACTTGCTGGGAAGTTCCGTTTGTATATTGCTTTTGCTTTTAGCTGTTTTACTGGAGACGAAGAAGAGGAGTTTGGATTTGATATCCCGCCTTTCACTCCCTTTAAGGAGTCTCAAAGCGACTAACGTTCTCCTTTCCCTTCCTCCCCCACAACAAACACTCTGTGAGGTGAGTGGGGCTGAGAGACTTCAGAGAAGTGTGACTGGCCCAAGGTCACCCAGCAGCTGCATGTGGAGGAGCGGGGAAGCGAACCCAGTTCCCCAGATAACGACTACCGCTCTTAACCACTGCACCACACTTCGAAGGGAAGCAGACATGTTTTTTCCTTTGTTCCTGCTGTTGAATAAAATGCTGTCTCCCCAGCAGTATCCCAACAGTTTTCAGGATCCACAGCTGAGCTCCCAACTGTGTACCATATTTTTCGCACCATAGGACGCTCCAGACAATAGGACGCACTTTGTTTTAGAGGGGGGAGAACAAGAAAAAAAAATTTTCCCCCTCTCTGCCCAGCGCCCCTTCAGTGCAGCAGCAGGAGGCGCTGCACAGAGAGGGGGAGAACTTTCCCCCTCTTGTTTTCCCGCTCTAAAACAAGGTGCCGTTTAAGGTGCGTTCAGGCGGCTACCTTGGAAGCCTGGAGAGCAAGAGGGGTCGGTGTGCACTGACCCCTCTCGCTCTCCAGACTTCAGGTTCCTTTCGACCTGCTCTTTGGGGCTGGCGGGGGGAAGCCCACCACCAGCCCCAAAGAGCAGGTCAGGGAGCAGCGGAAAGGCGCAGCGGAGAGGCTCCTGCCATAGCCGCACGTCACCTCTCCAGCCGGGAGAGGGTCGCGGGGTGCTTCTTTAGCCCCGCGCACGCACTCTCCCGGCTGGAGAGGTGACACGGGGCTGTAGAGGTTCCTGCCATAGCCGTGCGTCACCTCTCCAGCCGGGAGAGGGTCGCGGGGCTATGGCATCTTCGCTCCATAGGACGCACACACATTTCCCCTTCATTTTTGAAGGGGGAAAAGTGCGTCCTATAGAGCGAAAAATACGGTATATGCCTAGTAGACCATTTTGTTTTTCAGTGCTTCATCCAGACACCAAGAACAAAGGTGATGCAGCTAGGAGGTGGTTCTTAACAGGTTTGCCTATTCTGAGACTATCTGGAAATGATCTGCTAAGGGCCAAGAGGCAGCAGGACACACCCTCCCCTTTGGGAGAGCTCAAAGCCCCCTTCCTGCCTCCACCCTAGACCACTTCCCCCAACCCATTTGAGAGCGAACTAGGAGCCTTGCCCTCAAGTCTTACCAGGGCCATGTGCATGCCATCTACAGAACCCCGTGGGGCAAAGGGGTAGGGCGACTGAGAGGTGAAATCAGACCACAGCACGGAACTCGTTTCCAGAAGTTGGCTTTACTTGGCAGTACAGAAGTCATCTAGAGCCTTCCCCACCAGACAGAAGCAGCCCCACAGGCTCCATCAAATCAATACTGCAGCGCAGTTTGGTCCACTTGAGAAGCCAGACGTGGTACAGAAGAGAGGGAGAGGGGGGAAGAAAAATACTTGCACAAACACAGACACAACCTTGCCTGCTTTGGAGTTTCATTCTTGCACCAAGTTTTGTTTTTATTAGTTTTATCGCCTTGAAAACACAAAAAGCCTTGCGGCACAGTTGTGTCCCGACAGATGTAAACGTTTTGAGAAGCTTTTAAGGAGAGGGGCGGAGGTGGGAAGAGAGGGGCTGGAGGGGAGGGAGGAAGAGGAGGAGGACACCGGGTGAAAATCCTGCCACGTGGCTGCAGTTGCTGTGGGCTTTGGCCATAATGCAGCTTTGCGATGAAGTTTAAGACTGGATGGGATGAGTCTCCTGGGCAGAGAGGGAGCATGGCAGAAAGACGAGGAAATGGTCAGCAGGGCACCTCTTGCTTTCACTGGAGCACAGATCAAAAAGGAAAGGGTGGGGGGGTGGAGAAGGCAGGGTGGGAGAGGACTACAAAGGGGTCAGGAGAAAGAGAGGCGGGTGTTAGGGGTTTGGGCTTGTGCACCCCACAATCTAGGTCAGCAAGGGAACTTTTAGCATCTGCTCATCCTTTAGTCAAGTTAGCAACAGTTAAAAAGTCAAGGGCGTCAGTATCTGCCAATTTTGACACAGCAACCTCGTTTAAAGAATAATTAACACATGATTATATCCAAAGAGGGGAGGAGCGTTTTCACCAGTGCAGGACTTTTTTTTTTTCTTTTCAATCTCAGGAGATATGATTACAAAAAGCAGGCTTTTACAATATTGAACTTCTTACGGTGCTCGCTTAAGTCCCTCTGTGTATACATAACACACACCCCCAACACCAGCCAATTTAGATCTCTAAGTTAAGACTTAAAAAAGCACCGTTACTGCTGGTCCTCCTCTCCGTAGATATCGTTCTTCTTCCGCTTCATCTCTTCGAAGTCGAACTCTGATCCCATCATCCTCTTGTAAATGTCTTTGATGTCATCACACGTCGTCTCAAAGTGGGTGGTTGCGTCGTAGGTGCGAGAAATAAAGATCTAGAAGAAGTAACAAGCAAGGGGGTTTACTGCCAAAGCTTCCCCCTTCCAATCCCACCCACCAAGGCGCATGGTCTTTTGCTTCCCAATTCATACAAACCTGGCTCTCTCTGCCCAGGTCAGTTGGTGCAAACAGGTCACAGACGCTAACAAACCTAGGGGAGATGAGAAAAGAAAAATCACTTTTAATGGCGATTCTGAAAAAAACTTTTAAGCATGTTTCTAAAGGGCTATCTCAGGGAGGTTGGAGCAAACTTATTTTCTCCTCCTCTAGAAGCTAGGACCTGAACCAATGGCTCCAAGTTACAAGAAAGGAGATTAAACAACAGAAATAACTTTGATGGTAAGAGCTGTTTGACAGTGAAATTGACTCTTTCACACACACAGAACCCCTCCACAAGTGGCCTCAAAACAAGCAGTTCCTAGAATAAAAGGTAAAGGGACCCCTGACCATTAGGTCCAGTCGTGACCGACTTTGGGGTTGCGGCGTTAATCTCGCTTTATTGGCTGAGGGAGCCGGTGTACAGCTTCCAGGTCATGTGGCCAGCATGACTAAGCCGCTTCTGGTGAAACAGAGCAGCGCTCGGAAATGCCCTTTACCTTCCCGCCGGAGTGGTACCTATTTATCTACTTGCACTTTGACGTACTTTCAAACTGCTAGGTTGGCAGGATCTGGGACCGTGCAACGGGAGCTCACCCCGTCGCGGGGATTCGAACCGCCGACCTTTGATTGGCAAGTCCTAGGCTCTGTGGTTTAACCCACAGCGCCACCCGCGTCCCACAGTTCCTAGAATACGTATTCTCAAATAACCCATAATGCATGGCAGGTGTGGGGGTGGCTTTCCTCTGCCAAGGAACCCCTCTTCCGGAGCTCAACAGGCCCTGTGGCTCCAAGCGAAGATGGCGAGTGTGGAGCAGGGGAACCTTACTTCTGCTCAATAGGCTCAAGGAGCTCCAAGGCAGGCTTGATCTCCTTCTCTGGGTCGTTCGTCTCCACGGTAGTGCTCACAATGGCGATGTACTTCCCTTGCGCTGCCACGTTGTGCGCGGACGAGATCATGCAGACATAGATGTCTAAGAGAGACAAAAGGGGCAGGAGTCAGGGGACCCCGTTTCTGGCTTGAGCTGCTTCGCTATCCCCGTTGCAACACGCGGCTGAATTAAGACTTGCAGCAGAAACACAGCAGCTCAGGCGCTGTAGAGTGTGCCCAGCCCACCAGAACAGGAAGTCATCCCAGGAGTATCTGTTAGGAGAGCTCTATAAGTTAGCAAGAGCACTGATGCCGCGGGAAGGATCCAGACACAAGCATGTAAAGAGCTCCACTTGGACCCTCAAATCTAGACCGAGGTGTCAAGTATTAGGGATTTTATCCAGTTATAAGTCAGTCTCATTCATTAGCACCAAGAGATCTATTAAAACTCTTCCATTCCCGCTGGTCATTACAAGAATTCCCTTACCAAGAAACAGCGCCAGAGTTTGCTTTTCCTCCTCCCTCCCAATCTCTCTCTTTTTTTGGTCACAAACAGGAAGTCTAAACTGTCTTATTGCTGACATCTGCAAGCAGCCCTGGAAGCCTTTTTTCAACCGAAGGGTGTGTCAAAAATGCTTCACGCAAACACAAAATATAGATAACATGAGCATTCTCTGAAACAATACAGTAAGGAGAAAAGAACTTGGAAAAAGAGGCTGCGCAGTGCAGAGGCAGAAGCCTGAGAAATCTGTTAACAAGAAACCGAACCACTGCTCCTACTCCATCATTTTCTACAAAATCCAATTATCCCAAAAACAGCTTCAAAAGGATAACAATACAAAGCTTTGCTCCTCTACAGAATTACCGTATTTTTTGCTCCATGAGATGCACCTGACCATAAGACGCACCTAGTTTTTAGAGGGGGAATGCAAGGGAAAAAAATTCTTTAAAGGGAGTGCTGAGCTGAGCCTGTATGCATCCCAGGCTCTGCTCAGCGCTCCCTTTCACAAGCAGCGTGGAACGTGTGAGCGGCGCTTGCAGGCTTTTCCCCAGGAGTGAGAAGGGCAGCCCGTTACTGATGGTCTGCCCTTCTGCCTCCTCAGGGAAAAGCCCCCAAGAGCCGCACACGCTCCATGCGGCTCGTGAAAGGGAGCGCAGCTCTTGGGGGCTTTTCTGGGAGGTGGGGGAAGGGACTGAGGGGCTAAGCCTGACGCTAGAACAGCAAGAGGGATCGCTGCGCAGTGATCCCTCTCACTGTTCTGGCTTCTGGGATAGCCGCGCGAAGCCTCCCTCAGGGCAGCGGGATGAAGGCTCCCACTGCCCTGAGGAGGCTTTGCACGGCTAAGCTAAAACAGCGAGAGGGAGCACTGCGCAGTGATCCTGCTTGCTGTTCCGGCTTCCGGGATGGCTGTGCAGCCTACATTCACTCCATAAGACGCACACACATTTCCCCTTACTTTTTAGGAGGGAAAAGGTGTGTCTTATAGAGCGAAAAATACGGTAGGTGTGTCTGGTCAATGAAAATGGCTGCGGTCTTCCAGGAAATGTCTAATCCCAGAAGGAATCTGCTGGTTTATGCCACCTGTCAATCTCACCTCAGTGTAGTCTAAATAAGAAGAAAGCCATCAACACACCACTCATTTTTTAGCAGTTCCTACTGGGGTTTGTCTTGGGTCACTCGCTCATGACACGACACATCAACAAGAGAGGCTGCAGGTGCCGTATGCCTCAAGCAAACCAACCTCATCTTCCAAGCTTACCCGATTTCCTGTTAACCTGGTTCTGGGGAATGATTATCTGGCACGAGTTGGCATCGTTGGTGTTCTTGATTGGGTGGCTCAAGATACAGATGACCCGGATGACTTTGCCGGCCTTTTTCACTCTCTCCGGGACATAGCTGGGGTCGCAGATGAGCTGCTTGCAGCGGGCAATCTGCAGGGGAGGAGGCACCGGTTTAGGGGGCATTTTGTTTTCAAATGGACTGGATGTCAAGGTTCATCAACAAGAATACTGCAAGAGTGGCTCAGCCAGCGCCTGTCTGATACAGCTGCCACACCCCATTTGAACCAGGCAGAGGGCCTTCTCGGTAGTGGTACCCGCCCTGTGGAACACCCTCCCATCAGAGGTCAAGGAAGCAAACAACTATCTGACTTTTAGAAGACATCTGAAGGCAGCCCTGTTTAGGGAAGCTTTTAATGTTTGAAGTTTTACTCTGTTTTTAGTCCTCTGCTGGGAGCTGCCCAGAGTGGCTGGGAAAACCAAGACAGATGGGCGGGATATAAGTTTGCTCCAATTCTGCTCTGCTGGGAAGGGCAGTGAAGGGTCAGCGACACAACCAGCCTCCTCCTGGGCCCTGCTGCTTCTAAATCTGCACGCAGGAATGCTACTTTCTAGTAAGCAGAGTAGGAAAGAATTAAGAAATGCTTTGGCAAGGACAAAGAGTGCCTTGGATAGTATTTGTGCCCATCCTTTGCCCACACTGAGACTCTAACCAGGGGTAGGCAACCTAAGAACTGTGGGCCAGATGCGGCCCAATCGCCTTCTCAATCTGGCCCGCGGACAGTCCGGGAATCAGTGTGTTTTTACATGAGTAGACGGTGTCCTTTTATTTAAAATGTAGCTCTGGGTTATTTGTGGGATCTGCCTGGTGTTTTTACCTGAGTAGAATGTGTGTTTTTACTTAAAATGCATCTCTGGGTTATTTGTGGGGCATAGGAATTTAGTCTGGCCCCCCACAAGGTCTGAGGGATGGTGGACTGGCCCCCTGCTGGAAAAGGTTGCTGACCCCTGCAACATCCACCTGCCACAGCAGTTGTTAGGCATTGACATCCCGTAGTCAACCCTCCCTCACCACCCAACTGAACATGTCCTGGGGCCTTTTCAATGCTGTGTGTGTGTGTGTGTGTGTGCGCGTGCGCATGCGCGCGCATGCGCCTGCTTTCTATCAATAGTTATGCCCTCAGCAGTTTCAACCCAGAGCAGCCTTCTTCTCAGCTTTAGGTCCCTGGATGTTCTTGAACTACAATTCCAGTCATCCCTGAGCACAGGCCCTGCTGGCTAAGGAACGATGGAAGTTGGAGTCCAACCACATCTCGGGACCCAAGGTCAAGGAAGGCTGCCCTAAAGACTCAACTTAGCTGGGAATGCTGCAACAAGATTACTCGGAGGGAAGCATTAGCAGGGCAATACATCAACACCAGCATCTATAGATGCCAACAAGCACCTTCCCCAACTTGGTGTGGGGAGAAAGGAGAAGAGGAACACAAAGGATGACCCCAAACTTCTATCAGTTATGCTTCGTGAAGTTCGCAGATGACGTTTCAGGGAAGCAGCCATGTTAACCTGTGGAAGCTTGAAATCCCATGGCATAAGTTTCTGTGGGGCACAGCCCACTTGTCGAAGCTGCTATAAAGAAGGGGGAGGCAGGGGCACCCAGAGAAGTGAGACCTGAATGACTCCATTTGTGTTAATTCTGCCACCAGTTTGGCCAAGGGTGATAACTGCATTCAAGCACAAACCCAACCGGGACCTGCAGATCTATCACTTGGAGCTTTTCAGCCCTGTTTTCACATCCCAGCAGAGGAGCCAGCGAATGGCAAAGAAGTTTTGAGCGGAAGAGAAAAACAAAGCCGCATTACTGTACCTCCCCTTCTGATTTCACTCCAACCACTTTGCCGTTTTCTATGACGATCTCTTCAATCGGTTTGTTCAGCATGTAGGTGCCTCCGTAGATAGCGCTTAACCTGCCAATGAAGTAACACAGCTCAGCGCGGTGCCGGAGTTGCAGGTTTGAACCCTGTATGGGACAGCTGCCTATTCCTGCATTGCAGGGGGTTGGGTTAGAATTCAGCCTTTCTCAACCTGTGGGTCCCCAGATGTTGTTGAACTACAACTCCCATCACCCCTAGCTAGCAAGGCTCAGGGATGATGGGAGTTGTAGTCCAACAACATCTGAGGACCCACAGGTTGAGAACCACTGGATCAGATGATCCTCGGGGTCCCTTCCAAGCCTGCAATTCTATGATTCTATGTCCAGCTGGTAAACTGAACTGAACACAAGTTCAGGCAGCTGAGACCCACAGGCCCACAGCCCTGCCAACAGCTGGGGGGCGGGCTATGGAAGGAGCATGCCGCCCCCTAGACAGCATCTTAAAAAGCAGAGACATCACATTGCCAACAAAGGTCCCCCCATAAAGAAGGCCGATTGCCGAAGAATGGATGCTTTTGAATTCTGGTGCTGGAGGAGACTCTTGAGAGTCCCATGGACTGCAAGAAGATCAAACCCATCCATTCTGAAGGAAATCAGCCCTGAGTGCTCACTGGAAGGACAGATCCTGAAGCTGAGGCTCCAAGACTTTGGCCACCTCATGAGAAGAGAAGACTCCCTGGAAAAGACCCTGATGTTGGGAAAGATGGAGGGCACAAGGAGAAGGGGATGATGGAGGATGAGATGGTTGGACAGTGTTCTCGAAGAGACCAACATGAGTTTGACAGTGGAAGACAGGAGGGCCTGGCGTGCTCTGGTCCAGGGGGTCACGAAGAGTCGGACACGAGTAAACGACAAAACAGCAACAAAAGTGTATCCAAAGTATGGAAAATTGTACGCAAAAGGCAATGGAGAAGCTCTTTCCTAGATTGGCTTATTGGAACTGGAAGGATTTGACTCTGCGATAAGTTTGGAAGCCCCGTGTTTGCCAGGAAAAGGAATCTGAGCCAGACAAGGGGAATAATGCCTTTACTCGCAGGCAGGGGTGTAGCTAGCTGCTCCAGCACCCAGAGCGGTGAAGGCCGGGTGAGCCGCACAGGGGGGCGCCACACGGGGCCGGTATGGTGATTGGCGCACAGGAGCGGCACGCCGAGTCGCCCACGGAGACTGCCTGGCAAGCCCCACGCTGCCGTTTCAGGCAGAGGGGGGCCCCAAGCCACCACATCACTCCCAGGAGAGATGCGTGATTCGGGCGTGCTGCAGGTCAGGCCCCACGCTAAGTGCCGACCCCCCTCAAAGATGACACCCCCCTTCCTACGCCCCTGCTTGCAGGCAACTCTGCTGGGAGGGTATTATACCATGCCTTGATCTTTAGAAAAAAAGGCCTAGATTGCACCCATTTGTCTATGCCCAAAGTGGCTGTACTGAGGACTAAAGGTAAAGGGACCCCTGACCATTAGGTGCAGTCATGGCCGACTCTGGGGTTGCGGCACTCATCTTGCTTTATTGGCCGAGGGAGCCGGCGTACAGCTTCCGGGTCATGTGGCCAGCATGACTAAGCCGCTTCTGGCGAACCAGAGCAGCGCACGGAAACGCCGTTTACCTTCCCGCCGGAGCGGTACCTATTTATCTACTTGCACTTTGACGTGCTTTCGAACTGCTAGGTTGGCAGGAGCAGGGACCGAGCAACGGGAGCTCACTCTGTTGCAGGGATTCGAACCGCTGACCTTTTGATCGGCAAGTCCTAGGCTCTGTGGTTTAACCCACAGCGCCACCCGCGTCCTTGTACTGAGGACTAGCAGCAACTCATTCCCTTTCTCTCCATTTTCACCGCGCAGGTGGCTGTGTGCTCCAGCCACACAACTCACTGAGAAGGCTGTCCCCCCCAAGCCTCTTATGGGTCCGGCAATTGGCTTTGCACATGGGTCCCACGCAGCCCAGCCTCTCGCTGAGGAGGCCCATGGTAAAGGCAGCAGCTGCCCATTGATTTCCCAAGGGAAAATCCTCCCAGTGGCAGACAATTCCTCTGCCAGCTGGATGTCAGTTCCATAGAAAAATTAAGAGGGGCCTGGAAGCAGAAAGGAAGGGAGCCCCAAAGCCTGCGAGTGCAGAGAATGGATAGGCAATTCAGTGGAACCACTTGCCGAAAAGGAAAAAGGAAAGAAAGGTTCTCTCACCTTGCAAATCCTTGGGGCAGCTCTCCCAGGCCATAAAGGGGATACAGGTAGGGGCTTTTGCCGTATCTAGCCAGAGACTCGCTGTACAGTTTAATCCTGTTGATTGTTTCTTGGCAGGGTTGGTCTAGGTAGCTGAGGGGAAGAGGAGAGTTTATATAATGAGGATCAGCTTTTCAGACACCTGGCTTGATCACAGCCTTTGTGCGTTTCTCTGCACTTCTATGTCTAAACATCTAAAGAGGTTTAGTGATGAGAGTCTTAATGTTTTTGGTCTACCATTATTTTAACTTAAGTCTTATTGTTAAGTTTTCTTAATAACCACTTTGGTTTATGGTTTTTTGTAAACTGCTTGAGGGTTTTATAAATTTTGTGTAATAAAATAAATGAATCAGTTCCACTCTTCCTTTAGATGTTTCTCCACCAACTCAAACTTCAGTTATGCGCTGCACTAGAACACAAAAGCCTCTCTTAAATCTTAGCACACAAGATATTTCTCATGAGCACTTTTTAAAAGTTACACATTTCTATACCACTAGATTGGGGGGGGGCATTGTAAAATGCAGATCATCAGAAGAATATAGAATTGGGTCAGTGCGAGCTTGTGTAAATAAAAATGTTTGAAGCTGGCACCAAAACACAGAAAAGAAACCTGCCCCGTTAATTCCACAATATAAGCCCTACCACGCTAAATGGTCCCTTTCTTGTGACCAAGCAGCTGTCATGCTTCCCCAGATCTCAAAAACAGGCAGGAATGTATGGAGAAAGACAGTCCTTCAGGTAGGTTTTTTGGCTTTACATTACTACTGCTACTAATTAAATTTGTATATTGTTCTTCATTAGAAGATTGCAGGACGGTTCACAACATAATACAAAATACAGGATAAAACAAATATAAACCAATGACCACGTCACCCCAAAATACATTTAAAAGACTGTAGAATGTTAACCAGCCAAAGGCCTGAAACAAGACCTTAAATTTGGTCCAGTAACAGTACAGTGAGATTAACTAGAAGTCAGTTTTAAATTTCTTTTCTATAAATTTTATAATTGTTTTCAATACCAGGAGTATATATGATGATAATTATATTCTTATATCTTATAGTGTGGTGGTTTGTTTGATTTTTCTGTAATTTGTTTGTTTGATTGTATGTTTGTATACTTGTATGTATGTCTGTTTTTCATAAATGTATTTATTTTAAATTAATAAAGATATATTTAAAAAAACAATTTGGTCTAGTAGCGTACAGACAGGCAGGGCAGATTCTTCAGCAGTAATGTCCCATGTTGTCAACAACCAGCTCCTATCAACAGCCAGACGGCAATATCTTACACCAGCTGCAGCCTCTGGATGAGCCTTAGGGGCAGCCCCACATAAAGCACATTGCAACAGTCCAGTTGGGCCATTGTGGCTGAGCGGTCTCAATCCTGTAGCTCACAGCTGCTGAACCGGCCAAAGCTGGCAAAAGGGGCTTCCAGACATGGAGGCCGCTTGAGCCGTAAGCCATGGAACAAGAAGCACCCTCGCACTACTGCACACCTGTCTCTTGAGGAAGAGTGAAACCCCACCCAGAACAGGCATCTCTCTCTCTCTCTCTCTCTGCCACTTACTCATCAGTTCTGTACAGTGCAAGGGCGTGGCCTGTGAAATCTATGACATCCTGGCCCAGGTCAAACTTCTTGTAGACATCCCGCATCGTGTTCTTCTTGGGATCAACACCTTCGAAAGTGCGGGCATCGTTCTCATCAAAGTTGGCAACGTACACCAAGAATTTCCTGAAGCGCCTTTTTTCAAACAAGCCCATCAGACCTACAAAACAAGGAGACAGGTCAGAAAACAGAGCCTTGTCTGAAAGTTAGGCTGCAAACTTCTTCTGGATCCACAAGGGGGGGCAGGTTCAGCACCAACCTGGGATAAGTTACTGGACTTGCATTTCAGGAACACCGCCGCTACAGTTTAGGTAAGCATCGAAACTGAGGCACTGTCAGGCCGTACTCAAAAAAGGCAAGGCTTTTTTTGAGTGCTGTAGCCACAAAAAGCTGAAGGTCCAACAATGGCTGGGAGAAGCGAAAGATGCTTGGGACAAGTCAGCCAGCCAATAAAATACGGCACCGTATTTTTCGTCCCATAGGACGCACCTAGTTTTTTGGGGGGGAAAATAAAGGAAATTTTTTTCCCCTTTATTTCCCCCCCCAAAACCAGGTCGGGGAAACCAAACCAGGTCAGGGAACAGCGGTATGGCGGCACTGTGCCTCCCCGCTGTCCCCCGAGCTTGGGGACAATGTCTGCCCGAAGCGCGGGGCGCTCTGCTTCAGCGCGCCCCACGCTCCGTGCAGCAGGCTGCTATCCGCAGCCTAGGGAGCCCTGCGGGAACTCCCGCAGGGCTCCCCAGGCTGCGGATATCTGCCCGGCGCGAGGGGCGCTCTGCTTCAGGGCGCCCCGCGCGCCGGGCGGCAGGCTCCAAGCTTCAGCGAAAGCCTGCATTCGCCCTATAGGACACACACAGATTTCCCCTTCATTTTTGGAGGGGAAAAAGTGTGTCCGATAGGGCGAAAAATACGGTAACTCCTGCAAGGACTACTCACCAAATTCCAGCAAGTACCAATTTATTGCAAGCTCTTCCAGTGAAGAGAAAAAATGGTCGGAACAAGGCTGGAAGCTGGGGCCTTCTCCAGTTTGGTTTCCCCAACTACCTCTCCTCAGAAGACACCCAGCTAAATTTGGCACATGGTTTTCTCCCTTGCCCACCAGCAAACACGCAGAAGCTTAAGAGCAGCTATCTGCAAAGATACTGCATCTGCACCTTTTTTGGCCATTACAGTCTGTTCTCACAAAAACTGCCAGGCCTGATCTGGGAATGTAAGTAGTGTGTTTCAGACCAGGAGCATTGCTCTGCTATTGGCAAGCTCCAGAGCAGCGATTCCTTCTACCAGGGCAAAAATAAACCTCGTTTGAAGGCGGGCTGATTCACCTCACAAATCTGAGCATGTGGCCGTAAACCAAGTGAGACCATTAGCTTTCCTAGTTTATACCAATGAGGAAAAGCGACCCAAGAGCTGAGGCAGTACTCCCTAGCTCTGCTACTAGAGAGCCTTCAAGTTACTAATTTCCAGGGACTGGCCCTGGGGCCTTATGCAAACAAAAGCAAGTGATTTACCACCAATTCATAGGCCCCAAACCTCAGAATTATTTGAAGGTGTGAACAGGCATGTAATAGGAGTGACCCATGGCAAGTGCTATTAGACTGCAAAAAGCTTTTTGAAATTTATTATGGGACCATTAATATGCAAGATAGTGATCGTTTTAGCATAGATATCTCATTATAAGCCTCACTATAAGCTAAGTCTATGAATGGCATTAAGGAGTGCAGATTGGACCATCTGACTAATAGTTGCTGGGAAAGTGAATGAGCACCAGACCTTTGAACTCATCCCTGTTTTATATGTTGTAAGAAGTGAAAAACGTTATTCTTAAAAATGGCACGCTAGGAATACTTCCGCTAGCCTGTATAGACATAAGTTCTCATATATTCAGTTGGTATACTCTTATGGTACAGAAGCATATAAATATTTTTTATAAATAAATAAGAATCTGTCACACAGATCCATCCATTTATGGTGAAGCTGTACCAGGGAATTCAAACACTGCAAAGTCAGTTTAGTGCTTATATGTTAAAACCAGACTCGGTCTTTTGTACTAATCTGTTCTACACTTTTGAACAAAGCTCCGGTGAATATCCCTCAAGCATTTCCCAGGAGTGCAAGAAGTTTGAACGCAATAATTTTGGACTCCGGATCTTAGAACTCTGGTGGGGAAAGCCAGAAGAGTACTGTGAAAGCTCCATCTCCTTACTGGACGCCAGGGCTTCTGCCTCAGTCGAAGGGACTTTGTAAATCTTTCCTCCCTTGTAGACGAAGCTTCCTTCAATCACTTTGAAGTCCAGGTAACGAGTGACTTCTGTGTACAGCAACATCTTGACCAGCTGGCCTGAAACCAAAGCAAGTTTAATGAATACGAGTCAGCTGGAGGCGACACAGGTGAAGAAGATACATTGAAAGACCCTGGATGACCAGTCAAACCACGTATTCACTTGTTTAAGAAAATGGCTGCCTGAAAATACTTCTGAGTATACGGTTGTTGGCACTGCTTACAAAATTACATGTGCTAAGAGTTGCACAGGATTCTGGAACTTCAGCTACAGTACACTTGACAGTTATAGGACTAAGAGAACTGAAGGTCTCAGCATGCTCTTTTTTGTAAAAACAAAACAAAACCCAGCCCTGCAGATTAAGCCCTGCACTTGGCTTAATTCAGAGATGGGGGACCAGTAGCCCCCAAAATCATCATTCCTGACCTTTAGCTTCCTGGCTCAGTCTGATGGGAGCTGGAGAGCCACGGCTATTTCCTGCTCCCGCTTTAATCGAACAGTTACGGCCAGTTAAAAAAATCATTGGGGCCGCAGACCACCTAGCAATCAAGGTGGTTGCAGTGCACTCAAGGCCAGGTTAGTCTCCACAGCAGCTAGGAGCCTAACTTGGCTTGTAGTGGGCAGTGGCAGGCTTAGGCTCATTACTGGAGGGGAAGGCTATCTGTGCTTTCGGCCAGGACCAAACTTCTCTGAGGATGGATGACACAGCGAGGCACTCTGCCTGCGGCAGCCCACCCAAATAAGCAACTCTGTACCCCTTTGGAAAAGGCCATAAGGCGGCGGCTCTGCTTATATGAGGGTATATACTACCCATTGTAACACAGACGCTATGCAAATATGCAAGCTACGGCAGTGGATCCCTAGGACAGCCAACTTGGAAACAGGGGTGCGCAATAGCTGGTCTTCAGTATCACAATATATTACCAGCTAAACATCGCGCTATATTGATATATCACAATGTCTGAAATAAGGGTGGAACTATGTACAGGTGAACAGTAATGCTGAGCAATATATGGTTGTCAACATCATGTTATGTCACCAGCTAAACATTGCAATATATGAATATATCACGATATCTGAAATAAGGATGGAGCTATGTAGATGCACTGGTTGGCTTCACGGTTTTTCCTGCGTCATTTTTGCTGGTTCCTGCTTGTGATTCGCTACCGGGGAGGGGAGAGCTGAACTGGCTGAGTTAACAGGGGCTGCAGAAATCAAGAGAAACATTGGCTGGCTTCATGGTTTTTCCCACTTTGTGATTTTTGTAAAGCACACGTACACACACACTGATTTGCGATATATTGCCAAGTCAAAAATCATGAAACCAGTATCACGATATGGACTTCAAACTGGTTTGGGACAATTTACTGATATATCACCCAGCCCTACTTGAAAGTAGTGCCTATAAGTTAACTGTGTCCCAGTACTGTCTGAAAAGGGATATACCTAAAGGGAGGCACTAATATCTAACTCTGGGGAGGGGCGCTGGAAGACTAGCATGCAGAGGAGAGCAACCTATTCAGGTATTTGTGGCATTAAAATAAAGGGAAGAAACCTGACGTTTTAGAGAAGGCCACCAAGGAAGATGCCAGCCACTCACCATTCGCCATAAGGAACTTGGGGATCAGGTCCACATTCCAGTCTCTTCCTCGGCCCATGGACTCCGGTGGAGTTCCCGGCAGGCTAAACCTTTTGTACAGCTTTGAAGACAAGAAGTTGTGCGGTTAGGACTGTGGTTATGCCTGCAGGAAGGTCTGTTAACTGAGAAAGTCAGGGCTATTCAAACTGAGTGCTTAAGAGCATGTAGAGGGTCCCCAGGCAAAGACTTCTAGCTCAGCTGAGTCCACCCAATTGTCCTACATATCAGCTCTCCATCCCTAGTCCCAGATGCCATCCTGGGAATCTTGGGGGCACTTCTGGATGCATTGCTGCTGTAGGAATACGTACCTTTTACCAGCTTCATCTGCACACCAGCTACAATCGGATCAGGACCACTTGGCTCCTGCATAGGTAACATCAAGCCTGTGCTCTATGTGAGTGGTCCCTACATATCTTTGGTCCAGAAGTTCCAGCTGGTGCAGAATGCATCAGCTTGGCCGCTGATGGGGTAAGCAGCTGACAGGATGGGGCACCTCTGCGAAAATCTGCACTGGCTACCCAGGCACCACCAGGCTAGCTTCGAGGTTCTTGTATTAATATACAGTGGTACCTCGCAAGACGAATGCCTCGCAAGACGAAAGAGTTTTCCGTTTTTTGAGTCGTTCCGCAAGACGAATTTCCCTATGGGCTTGCTTCGCAAGACGAAACGTCTTGCGAGTTTGTTTCCTTTTTCTTAAAGCCGCTAAGCCGTTAATAGCCGCTAATAGCCGTGCTTCGCAAGACGAAAAAACAGCAAGACGAAGAGACTCGCGGAACGGATTAATTTCGTCTTGCGAGGCACCACTGTACAAAGCCCTGAACAGCCTGGGTCAGGACACCTTAAAGATTGCTCCATCGCCAAGACCACCCAGAGGACCACTGGGAAGTCATCCATGTTTCAGAAGCACAACAGGCTTCACACTGGCTCCCAGTACGTTTCCGAGCACAATTCAAAGTGTCGGTGCTGACCTTTAAAGCCCTAAACGGCCTTGGTCAAGTATACCTGAAGGAGCATCTCCACCCCCATCGTTCTACCTGGACACTGAGGTCCAGCGCCGAGAGCCTTCTGGCGGTTCCCTCACTGCAAGAAGCCAAGTTACAGGGAACCAGGCAGAGGGCCTTCTCGGTAGTGGTGCCCGCCCTGTGGAACGCCCTCTCACCAGATGTCAAAGAGAAAAACAACTGCCAGACTTTTAGAAGATATCTGAAGGCAGCCCTGTTTAGGGAAGCTTTTAATGTTTAATAGACTATTGTATTTTAATATTCTGTTGGAAGCCACCCAGAGTGGCTGGGGAAACCCAGCCAGATGGGCAGGGTATAAATACTAAATTATTATTATTATTCACCTAGAAGTCAGGTATTTAGTGCTACCTATCCCAAGCTGTGGGAGTCCCTTTCAGAAGAGCTTCAACAGATGTCCTCACTGCCTGAACACCTTTTTATGCTAACGGGCCAATTCAGTTATTGATGTGTCAGCCGTTTGTGTGATTATTCTTTGTTGTTTCTATGACATTTCATATTCTGTTGTATGGCTTGGCATTTTATATGAGTGGGGTGGTTTATTGTCACAAATAAATCTAGGGAAGGACATGGCTTAGCCTTAGAGCCCTTCAATATGATGAAAATAAACATTCTGCAAATGAAAGCTGCTGCAAAGACAAGATGGGAAACCTATGCAAGTTTCATATTTATGCAAGTTAATTCCAGAATTTGGATTTGACAGGCTCCTTGCTGCTCTGCCTATACGGGAGTGCAGTGCTTGGCAGTACCAAGCCAGGAGCGGCTGGTATGACAGTCCTCCGGTTTAGAAGCTTTGTCCACCCCACCCCTGAGCCTTTCACATTAGAGAAAAGCCTATCAGATGATCTGCAGACTAATGCAACCAGAAGCCATTTTATGCCAATTAAGCCAGATTTGCTCAGAGGAAAATCTGCCTATTTAGGATACTGAAGGCAAAAACGAACTTTTTCAGCAGCCTTGCTGCAGAATTACATACACAGATTGATAATAAATCCACTGTAGCAACTTGAGAATCTAGCATTAGCTGCAAATATAAGGGGCCCGACGTTCCAAGAGGGCTACATAAATCCTGTGTGTAAGCTAACTAAGTAATCAAGCTACCTACTACTTTGCGGTTCCGCAACACCTACTCAAATCCTGCCCCAGAGTGCTAGATGCAAAAACCAGACTGCTACTGAGTGAGCGGATCAGGGCTTGCAAAGTGCCATGCACAGAACACCACGAGGGCCCACCAATTAGTTGATTGTTTCTGCTTCTAAAGCACTGTGAGTCTAGGGCTTTACAGGTGCTGCCAATCAACTGATCAGTGGGGCCTGCAAACTCTCATTGGCCCAGCTGTACAGTTACCTGCCCTGCCCCTGATGTCATCAGATGTAGAGCAGGTGGGCGTGGCCTGACCAGAACAGCCTCACAGGGGAAGTGTGTAAGTTCTGGTGGGCCCAATTCCAAACAGCCACCCACCCCCTTTCAATTCCCTCCTCAAAAACCTACCTTCTTCCATGAAGCCTCTGGAACCACCCCTTAGGCTTCATGTTCAAGCATGACGAGGTTCGATACATGAAGCTGAAATAACACATGCCTTTCTAATTTACGCCATCTCTCCCCCACAACTTCCTGTTGTCTCCTGCACTGATTTATAGCCTGCAAGCCCCCTAGGCCCTCTTGAACTCTGCAGAGCCCTGCACAATGATGGAGGTCTATTACTTGTGAAGGATGCTCTCTCTTCACAAGGATGAAGCACCAGGCAGATGGGTCTGCAAGTGGACCAAATTTATATGAATCCCCCCGACTCCCTAGCCATGCCTCAGTTGCATCCTGTGTTTTAAATCGGGGTGGATAGCCCGTGTTTCTCCCGACTCCCGCTTGCCTCAGCTAGCAGGGTCTGGGATGAAGAACTGTAGTCCCAACAATGTCTGGAGGAATCCAAGCTCCCTACCCGTTTTAACTGGTAAGCTTGGTGGGGCAGGGACAGAGTAAAGCAACACCATGCAAATTAATGCTGCTTTAGTTTTGTCTAATTTCGGCAGAGAAATTCAGCAGAATCCGAGTATTCACAACATAAAGCTGCCTGGCGATACTCACATCTTCCAGGGGTGTAATAGATGCACTTTCACCTCCATAGTAAGCATTGCGATCCATGTGCAGAACCTTCTTCCCATTCACCGACATGATGCCAGACAGAATGCATTCCTGTGTAAGAGAGAAACAACCGGCAACATTAAACCAAGGGAGCCCTCGGGTTTTGCTCTTTCATTCACGATCTACCAGCGCTTCCAATGGAGGTGGTGGTGATGGGAGAACCACTACCCTGTGCTAAGTGAAACTAAGAAGGTGGCCGTTGGAAGAGGCAACTTGTTCAATTACTGCAACAGAAAATGTGGACGTAGGAACAGAAGACTAGCACTGGAAGCAACTGGGGAAAATTGCCAGCTGTTATTTATTAACTAATGTCTTGAAGCAAACCTGTATCAAGGTGGTATCCTGTCAGCAGGTACTCCTCTATAAACTGGCACACAAAGCAATCTGAAAGCCTGAAAGCTCTGCACTCCCGGATCTGCAAACAAAAAACCGACCGGTGCATTAAAGCCACAATGCTGGGGAAATTTGCAGAAGAGTGCAGAATATGTTTACTTGGGCAGGTCCTTTTCAGAGCTGACTTCCGTGCTGCAAGTGAAAGCTACTGCCAACCGGTTAAGGCGTGACAACTATACCATCCGTCTGCTAAGCTGGGAGAACAGCTTTTGCTTTACAATCGACACTGAGTGGTAGACTGCACTGTTTTGGACGAACATTTCCACCAAGTAAAGCACAGCCAAGCCAGACTTGCTCAAATATTCCAAAACATATTTCAGTAGCTTGACACATCAGCCTGCCAACGCTGCACAGCTACCCAGCCCAAAGCAAGGGAGGATTCCAGAGGCGTGGCTCTGTGGGCAGGCGAGGAGAAATCGGCCACATGCCCAGTCACTTCCACTTTCTTTAGCAACCGACATCTTCAAGTTTAGCTCGGGCTTTTCCCTGCCTCCACACGGAACCTAAAGCAGGAAGCCTGGTGGTCATGCTTGGGGAGAAAAGCAGAGAAAGCGCAAAGCCAGATTTGCATGTGCTGCTGCAAGGCAGTCCCCACATGACTCCTCTGCCTTAGAATACTCCAACAGCACCCAGATAATGAGTAAGACTGTGCTGTCAGGAGCCAAAAGAGAATGCAGAGAAATGGGGAGGGCTATACGTCTCTATTGCCAGCCACGTCTGCCTGGAACCACTCTTCCCTTTCTCTGGAGAAGGGACAGCCCCCCTCTGAATTTGCACCCTTAATTATAGTGTATGTTCTGGGTGTTCAATGTAAGCTGCTTTGGGAGCCAACTTGATTGAAAAGCTGTGTCCCTGAAGCCCAGTGTCTTCTAGTTTCTTTGAAAGTATCTAAGCCTTTGCACAGAAGTCCTGCCCTGAAGCTACTACTTTTATTGCCAACCAAAGAATTTTAAGCCTTTGAGAAATTTGGATCCATTATCCCCTCTTCACCACCAACAGATTTTCGAGAGGGCACAGCAAGGGTTAAACATGGCAGAGTCAGTCAGTGCTGTTAAGTTAGCATTAGGCAAGCAAGATCCTGCCTACACGTTCTTGGTTGGTTCAGTGCCCGGTCTCAAACTTGAAAATCTAGATTTACTCCAGGATAAGATGCCCCAAACTTAACTGCTGCAGTTTAACCTATTGTAGTGCCTCAATTTTTTCCACAAGAGTCCATTTCTCCTACTTGGTTCAGGGCAGCTAGAATAAGTAGAGATACTATTCCTGGTGGTACTAAGAAAGGCATCCCCAACCTGCAGCCCTCCAGATGTTTTGGCCTACAACTTCCCAGGACCAGTGGTCAGGGTTGATGGGAACTGTAGTCCAAAACATCTGGAGGGCCGAAGGTTGGGGGTGCCTGTGCTAAGAGGATGCCAGGAAGCAAAATGGCTTCAACAGCTCCGTTACTAGACTAAGTACTTTGAAGTAGATTTGCTGAGCCAAAAGCAACTTGCAAACAGGCTAAAATGTTTTCAGTTAAAAAGTGGAGCTAGGCTTGTAATTAGGACTGATCCTAGGGCAGTCTATATTCTAACTTTACAGCACATGCTACAGGTTAGATATTTTAATCCTTGCTTATATTCATCCAATGCCTTCCACAATTACAAGCAAACACAGAGCTTGGTCCTAAGAACAGAGTATTATTAGGAGAGCAGCAAAATTCACTGGAAGAAGCTGCTGGAGGAAAATTCAGCAAACAAAAAAAATCACTCCGCAAGACATGATAGCAGCTCTCAGGCAGCTCTCTCTTGTGAAAGAAGTCAGAGTTCCTGTTCTATTTGTTTGCCAACAGCATCGTGGCTAGTGGGTTTTACAGGTAAAGATGGATGGATATACCAGTTTTAGATAGAGCTTCCTTTACACCAAGGGCATGAGATAAAACGGTTATTGAGGTTAGCCGCACAAGCAGGAAGTTTCCAGGCAAGTGGGCTGCTTGTATGACAAAGGTCCGCGGAAGAAACAATGGGACTGGTACATTCCTCAACCCAAAGCCACAGCACTGGATTAATGTTACTACTGTGAGAGGGATTAAGGCTGCAATCCTAATCCTATTTCCCTAGATGTAAGCCCCACTGAGTTCAACAACACTTGCCTCCCACTAGACGTTGTTAGGATTGCACTATAGATCAGTTGACTCCCAATTGGTGGTCCACGGACCCCACTCAGGGGGTCTGTGGCATCATTCACATAACAGAAACTACACAAGAGGTATCAACATTTTCAAAAGGGTCCATGGTTTGGCTTTTGAAAAGGAGGAGGTTCACAGTACTTAGCTACTTGGGATCCACGGCTGTAGATTATTAGCTAACCTATGGGCCTCCAGGTATTGTTGAACTACAACTCCCATCAGCCATGCTGATAGAAGTTAGCCCCTCCCCCATTATACACAGTTGCATTGGGATCCCTTCTCACAAACAAGGAAAAGTAGTTGGTTTTCTGCTAATTCAGCTAAGGAGCAACAGTCAGGACAGGATCCTGCCATATGCTTCTATTGACTTATCTATAAGTACTAGCAAAATAGGAAATCACTTCAACAACCTACTATACACCCAAATGCAGAGGGGGAGCAAAATGTAAACTACTAACATTTATATTTTGAACACATCTTGTATCTGACAAGCTGTGGGATCAACAGCACGTACACTGCTAATCCCATTTAAAAATTATCTGCAAGCCCGCATCACAGTTTAAGTTCTGACCGGATTTCTTCCTTTGTAGCTGACAGGGCCAGTTATATGAGGTTCTCAGCTCTTTAGCAAATACTCCAAATGCCACAAGTTCCCCATAAAGGAGAAGCACAAGATAGTTGGGAAGGGGAAAACATATAGATAGTCCGGTGAATACTACACACACGGTTGCATCATGTTGTAGCTACAATTACAGTCATACCTCTTGTTACGTTTGCTTCAGGTTAAATCTTTTCAGGTTTCGTCTTGAGGTGACCCAGAAGTACCGGAAAGGGTTAGTTCCGGGTTTCGCCGAAGCAGTGAATTGTGACCTGCGCACGCGCGGGTTGCATTCTGCTCATGTTGTGAGCAGGGCTCCAGAACGGATCCCGTTCGCAACCAGAGGTACCACTGTACACTGTGAAATCTTTGACATATGCCAACGTCACAGGTAGGACTTTGGTGGAAATGTGGGCACCACAATACCAGCCATCATGGAGCTGCTGGCATCCAACAAAAACTCCAAGACCATCTGCATGACATGGTAACATGGCACTACACTGCCAGGTGAAATAATGACTGCTTTTGGTGCAAAACTGTTGCAGCAGCAGTTGCAGTTTTTACTAGGAGGTCCCTCTCTACAACTCAGAAGGGTTCTATTTGGTCTACTGCTGAGTTGGAACCAAATACTCAGAATGCATTTTGCAATCTGTTGAATGAAACATGTGCACGTACGACTTTGGGTAGGTGTGCATAAGCACAGGGTTCCCTCACAGACCAGCCAGAATGGGAGCTTGAAAGGCAGGCTATATAGACATTTTGCCCAGAATCAAGATAAGCACTGTAGCTATTTGTTGCAGCTCTGTATTTTGTAGAGTGATTTCTAAGTTTGCATCAGGGACTTCTAGTCGAGAGTTTATATGCTTAAATGGGCTTTCAGCTTTTTGATCGCCACAGTGTGTGTGACAATGCTGAGATCTCCAAAGTTGAGAAGAAGGCTGGGGGACTGCTTGACTGTTGTGGACCTGGAGTAGCCCAGTCATGCAAGGCCAAAACGGCAACCTCACCAGGAACCAGGGAGCCACACATGGACACGCTAGAATGTTCTGCCTCCTTTGGCTACACAGTGGCCCATGCCTGCGGCAAAGAGACAGGAACCTGGCAAGCTCAAATCGTGTGGATCTCTGTACTTCACACACAACTGTTTATGTAAGCTGGCTCTCTTCTTCCTGTTGGAGACAGATGTGTTGGCTACAAAACTCATTCCCTGACCAACAATGTGTTTATAAAGTTTATTATGTTTCACTGGGCTGCCGGTCTAGCTGCAGTGACGTCCTCCACTTCCAAGTAATGCCACCAAACCAATGAACCTGCAAGTCAGTAATCTGTACTACTGCGTATCATTTATGCAAGAATGCTACTGCTGAAGTCTCTCTCTCTACCCATCAAATGTAGCAAGTGTTGTTTGACGGACACGGTGGTCAGATTCTTGCTACTGAAGTGGCAATAAGCTTCCTGAGGCACAACAAGCATTCCAGCCTAGATCTGCAGCCCATGATCAAACATCATGATTTCAGTCCTGAAGACCACAACAAAGCATGATGCCTAGAGATGTAGAACTTAAGTAGCCTTTGTCAAGAGTTGCCTTAGGGAGGTTTGAATACTCACGATGGCCTCTCTTGCCAGTGTGGCTGAAATCCCACTCTTATTTTCTTCAGTTGTTTTCAAGGTAAGCCTCTATAAAAACTAGTGAGAACTCTGAGCAGCACTTTGAACTAGTAACACCACATAGAGACGTGCAGTTTTTAAAACTGGTAATCGTCACCCTAAGCAGCACTGCTCCTGGGGTGTAGCAAGAACATGAAGACACATCAAAAGTTTGAGGCTCAAATCAAATACAGAACTGGTGAGCGAATGGAGGTCAAATTGCCAAGGAGGAACTACGCACAGATTGCAGAACAGTATTGCACCATTCCCAAGGTTTGCAGTTGAGGCTTACAGCCCAGTTACATCTCCCCATTTCCTCTTAAAGAAGCTGCACAGAGTTCAGGCTTCCTCCCAATTGTGGTGAGTTTCACCCCTTTGAAATATTTCCTACTTCAGATATCTGAAAGTTGACTGCTGATGGACTTTAATCTAGATTCAAGTTTCAGATCTGCAAGGAACTAACTGGGTAGGCCTGGCAAATTATCTACCCCCTCCCTCCCATTCCTGTTCAACCACTCTTAAGAACTAAAAGTCATATATAAATGTTTTAAACGCAACAAAGAACAGGCTCAGGGGCAAGAAAGATTTAAGAGCTTTTTGCACCTTCATAAAAGGCTTTAAATGAAGTGCAAGGAATAGGGTTATGTTACTGCACAATCCGATTCCTTGGCCCATTTGAAATACTGTATGCTGTAGTAGAACTAAGCTTTGCTAATGCAAAAACTTCTTAGTTAAGATTGACTGGTTCAGTTCTTTATAAAGATGCCCAGTTCACTGACAAAGCCAACAAAATAGGGTATTTCAAAGCTTGAAGAGTGTTGGCTGAAAGCTCCAATGTGTACCTGTTTTCAGTTCCAAGATAAGGAGTTTAAGAGTTGACTGACAGCCCAGATTTCAGAAATGCAAGCTTCATTATGCAGAACAACTAATTATTTTAAGTGTATATATCCTGTTTAAACACAAGGCTTTTTCATTTATAATAAATGAAGTGAAGTGTCAGATACTTTACTTAGCTGCAATTTTTGGTCAAGGAAAGCCGTTTTGTCTAAAGTGTTCATACCCAACAAAACCCTTAAGTCTTTCAAAGTCAAGCTCTGCTAGACAAGGGACAATGAGGTTACAGCAATTAAATCTTGTAAACAGATAAGTGAATGCAAGGGTTCTACCTGCTAGAATTATGCTGAAACATTTTTGTTTGTCTCATTCAGCATTTCCTTAGAAAACAGAGGAAACCACAAGCAAGCTATGTCCCAAGAGGTCAAAATTCAGTCCAACATGCACCCAAGCATGAGAAAGGGCTTTCCTGCCACATACATAGACAGAAGCTCATAGTGCAGCTTCAACAGCAGTCTCTGAGCTTTCTCCATGTGTTGTTCACTTGTTTCTGGATGGCAGGCCTGTACTAATGCACATGGCAAAATGAATGCCACTGGGTAACTAACCTGAGCCCAAGCAGACTCCATTTATTACCCACGCCCTTCTTTCGGCAGTCTGCAATCATGACACACAGCTGGTAACCACAGAAGCACTAAAGCACTGGAAACACACACAGCTCTTAGCAGAATTACACCCAGGGGCCTTCAAAGTCAGAGAGGAATGCAAAGCATGTTTCACAGCCAAAACGCAAAAATCTCTTGTTCTATCCCTCCAAACCAGCAAAGCTTTGGAAAACAAAAGCAGGAAAAAGCTGGCTTCAACAATCACAGGAAGCACACATTCATTCAGAGCCATATTTAATTTCTCCCCTGAACAGAACAATGCCTTCTCTCATCTTATGTCTTGCCATCCATCATTTGTTCAGAACTGATATCTACTACAAGAACTGAAATTGGTAAGCCATCAGTGGAAGAGGGGGAGAAAAGCCATTTTATTAGAAGAACACACACAGGGTTGTTGAAAGATCAGGTGACTGGTCTACATTGTGACTGCCACCATTTAGATACGAGGCTGCCACCATTTAGATACGATGCCCTATACAGCAACTTTCAGGTAGCTCTCCTTGCAGGCAGCTCCCCATTTCAGATCATAAAAGGCTACAAAAAGTCATCTTCTCAAAACTCACCCACCTGCAGATTATGGTGAACAGTAGCAGGGTTGTTTTAAATGCCAGCTAAAATCCAGCTTCCCAGAACCCAAGTTAACCCACCAGTGACAATTAGAAAATTGGTTTGCTACAAAACAATAGAGGCTAAAGCCTCCTATACCACGTCAAATTCATATTCCAGCATCAAGCCACCTCAAACATGGAAGACAGCATTACTGCCAAATTAAGGCAAACATGCTTTTTTGGGGAGGTGCTGACCATCGATTCCCTTTCACAGAAAGGGTGTCCAAGCGAGAAGATGGTGTCAATTTGAGATTGTAATCCCCAAAGGCAATGACAATTTAAAAGGGTAGCGGTAATCAGCAAGGCAAGAATCAATAGTTGAGAAGCACGATTTACTCCTCCCCCAAATTTAAACAAGCTCCTCCTCTTGTCATATTAGCTGATGTAAATAGTTGAGTTTGTGGCAAGAGCTCAGTTTATGACAAGCACCAAGTGAATAAGGATTAAGATGTTACCTGGCTATTTGGAAGGAAGACCCTTCTTTCAAAGAGACTAGCCACAGGAAAGAGTGAAGCCAAGGGGCTGGGCTGGGCAGGGGAGAGCAAGGACACCACTGAAAGTGAAGTTTCAAGGGGATTCTAGACAGTAGGAAAGGAGGACAGGGCCATAGCTCAATGGCAAAGCCTCTGCTTAGCATGAAGAAGGTCCCAGATTCAATCCCAGGTATCTCCAGATGCCTCAAACCCTGGAGAGCCATTGACAATATTATGCTACATGGACCTGACAGGGCAAAGAGGAAAGCACCATAAAAGCAAACCAGAGAAGTAAGAGGATGAAGGAGCTAACAATCAGGTAAGGGTCAGGAGATAGATGTGATCTGGGAAGAAGAGAGAAGCTACAAACATTCTGAATGGGAAAAGGAGTCAAGGCATGTAAGAAAAAGCTAGGCCTGGGGAAAACATAACAGAGCCAGGCCTAAAGGAAAGAGTCAAACAAGAACTAGAGGAGATGTCATGTGACTCAGGCAGGAAGGTAGGGCTGTAAAGCAAGAGCCAATGGTTAAATTCTTGGACATGTGAGATCAGGGTTTGAAATACATGTTCAAATCTCTACATAGTCTTGAATCAAACCAGGAAGTCTTGGGTCATTCAAAAAAATCTGTAACCCACTTTTATCCTACATATGTAGCACAAAGTGGTCTATCAGTTCCTCTCAGGGTGACTGAGTAGGATTTAAGACAGGCTTCCTCAACCTCGGTCCTCCAGATGTTTTTGGCCTACAACTCCCATGATCCCTAGCTAGCAGGACAAGTGGTCAGGGATGCTGGGAATTGTAGTCTCAAAACATCTGGAGGGCCGAGGTTGAGGAAGCCTGATTTAAGGTCATGTATGCTGCCCTGAAGGAAAAGCAGATGCATGTTATGAAAATGGAACAGAGATGTAAAGAAATGTTAAAAGAAAAGGACAAATTAACATGGTTAGAAGACGTGGTGAGCACTGTGAAACCACAGAGATGTGCGTCAAGTATGGAATTAAAACAGTGGTATCCGAGGGGATGACCTTGATCTTTCTGGAGCAGTAACAAAGAGGATTTGGTATGAAGAGAACAGAGGATGAGAACAGAGGCAAAGAGGGGGGTCATGAGAGAGAAGGAGTAAAAAGGAGGATGAAAAGAGAATAGCAGTGCCATGACTGGGAGAATTAAGTAGTAAGACAGTGGTAAGCAAGAAAAGCATGTGCAATAAAGGGAAATATAGGGGAAATAATTAACATGACATTTAGAGGCAGTCAAAAATAATAATAAAACAAAGCCCAAAGGCTAAAAGAAAATGGTAGGGGGATGAAACAAAGGGGAGGAAAGGACATAAGGGAAGAGACAAGGGCAAGAAATTAAGAATGCCACTTGGAGGGCAAGAGGGCGCCAAGTAAGAATGTGACAAGATATAATCAGTGCCCTGAAGAAAGGGTCATGGGATAGGTGAGTGGGAAGGGAGACATGCACAAGGTAAGTGAGAGGTGACAGGGGGCTGAATTTAGAGATTTCATTTCAGGGAAGCACTGTTACCAAAGATACCTGGGAAAAGGGATGGGGACAGAACTGGCAAGAGCAATATGGGGTGGCGAATCAGAGGAGCAGTGGAGTGACACCTGCAGAACATGGCACCGCTGACAAATAAAGGGGATGTCACTACTACTAAGACTGGTAGGGGAAGAATGCCAGGTAGAAAGGAGTACAATGGCTAGGCGCTCTTCGCTAAATAAAGATGCACAGCAGGTGAGCTCACATAGCACATAGTTAACTTATGGAATTCACTGCCACAAAATGGGATAGCAGGCTTGTTGGTTTTGGATATCTGATGTAGATTTCAATTTCGTTGTTCAGTATGGGACAATGACAAAAAAGATTATCGTATCGTATGTGGTTAATGGTCATCACCTTAAATGGCATTAGACATGGAGGCCTATCAAGAGCTACAGATCAGGAAGATTATGTGGAGCTTCCATGCTCAGAGGCAGCAGGTTTCTGCCGAAAGAAACACCAGGAAAGGATTATTGCACTCAGATCCTGATTGAGGGCTTCCCAAGATGCATCTGGTTGGCTATCGTGAGAAACAGGATGCTGGACTAGATGGGCCTTTAGTTGAAGAGCAATACTTCATGGGTGGCTACAGCCAAGGATAAAGGTAAAGGTAAAGGGACCCCTGACCATTAGGTCCAGTCGTGGCCAACTCTGGGGTTGCGGCGCTCATATCGCTTTACTGGCCGAGGGAGCCGGCATACAGCTTCTGGGCCATGTGGCCAGCATGACTAAGTCGTTTCTGGCAAATCAGAGCAGAGCACGGAAACGCCGTTTACCTTCCCGCCGGAGTGATACCTATTTATCTACTTGCACTCTGACGTGCTTTCAAACTGCTAGGTTGGCAGGAGGAGGGACCAAGCAACAGGAGCTCACCCCGTCGCGGGGATTCGAACCGCCGACCTTCTAGTCCTAGGCTCTGTGGTTTAACCCACAGCGCCAAAAACCAAGGGTGCCTGGTGCCCATGGGGGACTGGCAGAGTGGAAGGGAGGGAGGCCAACAGTAGGTGGAGCCAGAGATAATGAAGAGGCGGAGCCTAGTGATTCTGGTTTGGTCCCTTCTGTTTCCTACTGAATTCTACAAAGGCAACACTGAGACTAAAGAGGAGGAAGCTAACAGTCAGTGAGTGGGCTGGATGCCAGTAAGACTACGAGCAGGAAGGGGCTGGCTGTGGGCAGAATGAGGTCTGTGGGGCAGGCAGCGTCCCATTTGTGCTAATGGGCCAGCCCTGGGGGGGGGGGGCAGGAGCAAAGGTAAGTGCCCCCAGAAGGGGAGAAGAGGGACACGCATGCAAAATGGGCAATGGGAGATTGGAAGCAGCACTGAGACGTGTAAGCTGAGTTATGATAGGACAAAAAAAATCAATACACCTAGAGAAAAGGAGGCCAGCGTGGAATTGTCAGGAGAGGAAAAAATGCATTAGGTTAAGGCAAAGGCAGCAGCGACCCCTAAGGAGAAACATGGGGGGGGGGAGAGAAAGAAGAAAAAGGAAGAGGGGCACAACAGTTAAGGTGGGGAGATTGAAGCTCTGAACAAAGATGGCACAGATTCAGCGAGAGGAGCAAATTAAGGCTTGGGGTTTCCTTTTTTAAAAAAAGAAAAATAAGGAGCAAAGCCTGTAATGGAGGGAAATGAACTGAGACAGGGAAACCGCTGGAGGCGACCCCCACCCCCCCCAAAAATAAAGCGCCCCCAAAGATGGACAAGCGGCTCTTTCTCCCCCCAGCGACCCAAAAATGCAAATGCCAAACGACCCAGAGAAGGCAGCCCTGTGCAGGGAAGCTTTTTTAAAGTGTAACGTTTTATTCTGGTTTTTTTTTATACGTGCTGTAAGCTGCCCAGAGTGGCTGGGGCAACCCAGTTGGATGGGCGGGGTAGAAATAATAAAAGTATCGCGAGGAGAAAGAAGTTAAAAGGCGTGGAAGGAAATAGAAGGCGGGGGGGGGGGGGACCTTTGGATCCAGTGACATTTGGCGGGCAGTACCAAAAAATAAAAATCCTCAGGCATATTTCGTATGCAAAACCATTACATTATTATTATTATTATTAATTATGTTTTAGTATATTTTTTACGTGCTGTAAGCCACCCAGGGTGGCTGGGGGAACCCAGCCAGAAATAATAAAAATTATTACGATACGATAATCTTTATTGTCATTGTCCCATACAGAACAACGAAATTTTAAAAATCCACATCAGACATTCAAAACCCCTGCTATCCCAGCCTGGTTAACCCCCTGGAAACTCTGATACCCCATAATTAAATACAATATACTCCCATAAAGACCTTACACTGCGTTTAAATCCAAAAATCGCATTTGGATAGAAACTGTTTCTCAGGCGGCTGGTCCTTGCCTCCTATTGTCGTTATTATATTATTATTATTATTATTATTATTATTATTTTGTTTTTTCCTGATGGGGGGGGGGAGAGAAGGAGACACGTCATAGGCCGTCTGTGTGAGGAATATATAAAATAAATGAGGGAGCAACCCGACCAAAAAGCTGAGGTGAGTCGGGAGGCGGGGAGGCCGCGAGGGGCGAGGAAGGGCGGAAGAAGGCGGCGAGGAGGGCGGCCTGTCGAGGAGGCCTCTCCCCGGCCCCGCTCACCGTCAGGCCGGTTCCCAGCACGATCACGTCGTACTCCTCGTTCATGGCTGCGGCGAAGAGGAGGAGGCGGCTGCGGCTGGAGGTGCTGAGGAGGCAGAAGGAGGGCGTCGTCGTCGTCGCGCCCGCGGAGGCCTCGGCTCCTCTCTCCCCGCGGAGGCGGCGCTGCTGCAGCAGGAGCGGCGGCGGCGGCAGCGGCTGCTGAGGGGCCTGAGGGCGGCAGCAGTTTGCGGACGTCCAGGAGGAGGAGGAGCAGAAAATGGAGGCGCCGCCGCCGCCGCCGCCGGGAAGAGAGCGCGCCAGAGGGGCGGGGCCTGCGTCGTGGCGCGAGCCGGGTTGGCGGCGGCGCCGAGGGGAGGGCGGGGCCGGGGCGGGGCCTCCGCGGCCGCCCGAGGGGGAGGAGCCCCCCGGAGCCCCAATCTCCTCCATCGGAGAGGCGAGGGCGGGAAGGGAGGGGAGGGGGGCGCTGGCCGGAGAGGGAGCCCGGATTGGTCCGCCGACGCGAGGGAGGCGTCAGTCATCCGGATAGGCCCGCCCCCCGCGCGTCCCCATTCGCTGTCGGGGGAAAGGGTGCGCCCCCTGCCGGGGGGATCGGTGGTGATCGCGCAGGCGCAGAGGCGCGGGAGAGGCCGCTTGCCCTTCGCCGGGCTTCCGCAGCAGAAAAGCGTGGCGGTTTTTTTTTGTTTTGCAGTATTATTGTTATCGTTGTTGTTGTGATCCTTGAGTGAAGGAAGGTGGTTGTTGTTGTTTTTATTATTTTATTATTTTTATTTTTTATTTATTTTATTTTTATTTATTGTTATTATTTTATTATTAAAACAGTAGTGATGTATGGAAGTGAAAGCTGGACCATAAAGAAGGCTGATCGCCGAAGAATGGATGCTTTTGAATTCTGGTGCTGGAGGAGACTCTTGAGAGTCCCATGGACTGCAAGAAGATCAAACCTCTTCATTCTTAAGGAAATCAGCCCTGAGTGCTCACTGGAAGGACAGATCCTGAAGCTGAGGCTCCAAGACTTTGGCCACCTCATGAGAAGAGAAGACTCCCTGGAAAAGACCCAGATGTTGGGAAAGATGGAGGGCACAAGGAGAAGGGGACGACAAAGGACGAGATGGTGGGACAGTGTTCTCGAAGAGACCAACATGAGTTTGACAGTGGAAGACAGGAGTGCCTGGCGTGCTCAGATCCAGGGGGTCACGAAGAGGCGGACATGACTAAACGACCAAACAATAACAACAACAAATGTGCATAGGATTCTACCCTAAGGCACGTTGTGATTTTAACAGTCTTAGGCACATCTGCATCTCCACAGGGTCCTGCAATAAAAGCCTTGCTCACAATCTTGACCAGGCTTCCTCAACCTCGGCCCTTAGTAAAAACCTTAGCAACCAGTAAAAACCTTAGTAATAATAATAATAAATGAAGTAACTGAAAAGCTTGGTGCCTTTTCACGACGACGCCTCTAACCAGCTGCCCGCTGGTGGAGCTCCGCTGCCCCCTTTCCACAAGTGCCCCATGCTTTGGGGCCTCCTGCAAACCAGTTGCTTCAGACTTCTTGCACAGAAACTACGCAGCGGAAAAATATGAATAGCCAATTGAGGGATGAAACACACCAGCTGGCCTCAATGCAAAAAAGAGAGAGAGAGAGAAAAGAGAGGGGGAAAGAGGTTTGGGTGGAGCTCTCAAGGGAACTTTGCTGATTGATGCACGATTCTCACCCAGAGCACCTCTTTCTTCCTTCTCAAGCTCCCCTCCTCCCCGCCCCATTCAGATTTCCTGTGTGCAGCTGGAAAGAAAAGAAAAAAAAAAACACTTGAGCACTGCTAACGTAACTGCCAAACATTTCTGAGCATCGCCAGCAGGGAGTCGGGTTGTAATGCAGTTTGCAAAGACCCGGACCAAGAGGCAGGCAGGAAAATGCACGGCCTACATTTTTGGGTGGTTTTTTGCTCTTTTGCTGGGGCTGCGTGATTAAAAACCAAAAACCAGTTGGGTTGTAAAAGCAGATCACTAAGGCCCCATCTGCAGTATACAGTGGTACCTCGGGTTACATACGCTTCAGGTTACATACGCTTCAGGTTACATACGCTTCAGGTTACAGACTCCGCTGACCCAGAAATAGTGCTTCAGGTTAAGAACTTTGCTTCAGAATGAGAACAGAAATCGTGCTCCGGTGGCATGGCAGCAGCAGGAGGCCCCATTAGCTAAAGTGGTGCTTCAGGTTAAGAACAGTTTCAGGTTAAGAATTAAGTACTTAACCCGAGGTACCACTGTACAGCAATATGATGATGCCATAGTTACGGCTTTCCCCAAAGAATCCTGGGGGTTGTAGTTTGTTCAGGGTTCTGGGAGTTATTAAGAGATTCTCTACTCCAGGGGTCAGCAAACTTTTTCAGCAGGGGGCCGGTCCACAGTCCCTCAGACCTTGTTGGGGGCTGGACTATATTTTTTTTAGGACGAATTCCTATGCCCCACAAATAACTTTAGCTGTCAACTTTTCCATTTCTTGTGAGGAATCCTATTCGGAATAAGGGAATTTCCCTTAAAAAAAGGGAAACGTTGACAGCTATGCAAATAACCCAAGAGATGCATTTTAAATAAAAGCACACATTCTGCTCTTGTAAAAACACCAGGCAGGCCCCACAAATAACCCAGAGATGCATTTTCAATAAAAGGCCACATTCTACTCATGTAAAAACACGCTGATTCTCGGACTGTCCAGGGGCTGGATTTAGAAGGCGATTGGGCCGGATCTGGCCCCCGGGCCTTAGTTTGCCTACCCATGCTCTATTCCCTTCACAGAGCCTCTATTGCCAGAGCTTCCTGAGAAAATGAATTGAGTGTAAAGCCACTCTGGGAGGGAGGAAAGCTAGCAGCTATTTAAAAAAATAAAAAATTAAGAGAATTACAGTGAACTTTCTAGCAGCTTGTTGGTGGACTGACCTGTTGTCTGACTCGATGATTACGATGATGCTTATAATACAACGGTACCTTGGTTCTCTAGTGATGTATGGAAGTGAGAGCTGGACCATAAAGAAGGCTGATCGCTGAAGAATGGATGCTTTTGAATTCTGGTGCTGGAGGAGACTCTGGAGAGTCCCATGGACTGCAAGAAGATCCAACCTCTCCATTCTGAAGGAAATCAGCCCTGAGTGCTCACTGGAAGGACAGATCCTGAAGCTGAGACTCCAACACTTTGGCCACCTCATGAGAAGAGAAGACTCCCTGGAAAAGACCCTGATGTTGGGAAAGATGGAGGGCGCAAGGAGAAGGGGACGACAGAGGACAAGATGGTTAGACAGTGTTCTCGAAGCTACCAGCATGAGTTTGACCAAACTGCGGGAGGCAGTGGAAGACAGGAGTGCCTGGCATGCTCTGGTCCATGGGGTCATGAAGAGTCGGACACGACTAAACGACTAAACAACAACACCTTGGTTCTCGAACTTAATCCGTTCCGGGAGCCCGTTCGACTCCCGCAACCGTTCAAAAAGCAAGGCGCAGCTTCCGATTGGCTGCAGGAACTTCCTGCACTCAATCAGAAGCAGCATCAGGTTTTTTGGCTTCCGGAAAACGTTCACAAACCGGAACACTTACTTCCGGGTTTGCGGCGTTCGGGAGCCGAAACGTACGAGTACCAAGGCGTTTGAGAACCGAGGTACGACTGCAATAATATTAAAATTCATATGCTGCCTTTCATCTAGGGATCTCAGGGTGGTTCACGACAGAAAAATGCAATCTATAGAACACAAAATACATACTAAAATAAGAGCAAAAAGAAACCAGTAAGTCCCCCCCTCCCACAACACATTTAAAAGGGTATTGGATGTTGGAAGTTACAGGAATTACCAATAATCGAGGATGGCAGATGAAGATGATGGACTATGCGGAGATGGCCAAGCTGACTGGTAGAATCCTGAACCGAAGCGACCAAAAATTTCAAAGAGACTGGAGTAAATGTATTTGTTATATGAATAATTATTGCAAAAATGTGAAGACGTTAGCAGGACTGAAATAAATCCTGCAATGATCAACTGAGGAACTTTTCATGATCAGAGAAAAAGAGACGATGCTACATTTATTAAGATCAGAAAACTATAAAGTGCGAGTGTAATTACTGTACAGTGGTACCTCGGGTTAAGTACTTAATTTGTTCTGGAGGTCTGTTCTTAGCCTGAAACTGTTCTTAACCTGAAGCACCACTTTAGCTAATGGGGCCTCCCGCTGCTGCTACACCACCGGAGCACGATTTCTGTTCTCATCCTGAAGCAAAGTTCTTAACCTGAAGCACTATTTCTGGGTTAGCGGAGTCTGTAACCTGAAGCGTATGTAACCTGAGGTACCACTGTATTTGATAATAGAAAACCAGATGGATCGTGGGACGTCCTACGCTCAGCAGAGCAAAGACTATATTGTTGGTTTGTCAATGTAATGTTTGAAATGTTTTATAAAAAAAATAAATAAAAACTATATTTAAAAATAAAAAAATAAAAGGGTATTGGATGTTAACCAGCCGGAGGCCTGGCTGAAGAGGAACGTTCTTGCCTGGCGCCTATATGAAGGCGCTAGTTATAAAGCAGCAATGTGTATTCCTACTTTTAAAGCAGGAATACACAGAGTCTTTGTCTAGTAGATGTGGCACTGAGTGAACATGCCTGGATAGAGCAGAAGATCTGTACACTCAGAAGCCAAAGGGCAGCAGATGAACGCCGCCTTAGAGTGACAAATCTTTGGAAATGGACTGCCCTCGGGTGTGGTTCCTGACTAAGGCATCCGGCAGCCGTGTCACTTGAAATAAGAGCTTTGCAAAGAAAGCCAGCCCTGCTGTGATTATTTTGTTGGTTGCAGGCATCATCAGGCTTCCCTAACAACAACAACAACAATAATTTATATCCCGCCCATCTGGCTGGTTTTCCCCAGCAACCCTGGGCGGCTTCCAACAGAATATTTAAATACAATAATCTATTACAGTGGCACCTCGGGTTAAGTACTTAATTCGTTCCAGAAGTCCGTTCTTAACCTGAAACTGTTCTTAACCTGAAGCACCACTTTAGCTAATGGGGCCTCCTGCTGCTGCCGTGCCTCTGGAGCACGATTTCTGTTCTCATCCTGAAGCAAAGTTCTTAACCCGAGGTACTATTTATGGGTTAGTGGAGTCTGTAACCTGAAGCGTATGTAACCCAAGGTACCACTGTAAACATTAAAAGCTTCCCTAAACAGGGTTGCCTTCAGATGTCTAGTAAAAGTCTGATAGTTGTTTTTCTCTTTGACATCTGGTGGGAGGGCGCCACCACCGAGAAGGCCCTCTGCCTGGTTCCCTGTAGCTTTGCTTCTCGCAGGGAGGGAACCGCCAGAAGACCCTCGGGGCTGGACCTCAGTGTCCGGGCTGAACGATGGGGATGGAGACGCTCCTTCAGGTATACTGGACCCAGGCCGTTTAAGTAAGTTGATTCCCGAGCCTGCAGCATGTGTGAGGTGGCCGTTCCACAGCTCTCCAGCATTAACTTAATAATAATACTTTATTATATATACCCCGGCCATCTATGGCTGCTTGCCTGTTTGAGAAAGAATCATTTGCTCACCTGCTTGCACCAGCACCCAAAATTGTTAATTGTTTCAGCACCCAAACGTGCGGTTAGAGTTGATGGTTCACGCAGCAGGACGGAGTAGTCTCCTCACTTAGGACAGGGCTTTGGGGGGAGAATAAAATGAAATTGTCTCGCCGTACCGTTATTATATAAAACAGGCAAACCCAACCTTCGGCTCTCCAGATGTTTTGGCCTACAACTCCCATGATCCCTAGCTAACAGGACCAGTGGTCAGGGATGATGGGAATTGTAGTCCAAAACATCTGGAGGGCCGAAGGTTGGGAATGCCTGATATAAAAGCTGGGCATTTTTAGAATAAAGGTGTACAGTTCTGGCCACCCTCTGATCTTGGGACAGGGGCATGGCCCAAAATAAATAAATACCGAAATGAGAAAGAGATTGGAGCACCTTCTGTATGCAGAATGTTTAACACTTCTTTAGTTTAGAGGATATGGGTGATTTGTGCGTTGGGGAAAACAAAGACCAAATAGCTGCGACGCCCGGACATGAATGGTCTTATTTACTTGAAATCACAGAAGTGTAGAATTGGAAGACAACTAGTCCACTCCCAGCAATGCAGGAATCGCAGCTAAATAACCCTTTAACATATGGCTATCCAACCTGGGTTTGAAAACCTCCAGCGAAGGTGAGTCCACCACCTTTCGTCGAATCCTATTTCGTTGTCAAACAGCTTTTTAAAAGGGTGTGGATGATACTGAGAAAGATGGGCTGATAGATACCTTTCCCGCCCGGACCTGGCCACAGTGATCCATGCGACGGTCACCTCCAGGCCTGACTACTGTAATTCGCTCTGCGCAGGGCTGCCCTTAAAACTGTCCCACAAACTCCAGCGGGTGCAGAATGCTGCAGCGAGGCTCGACACGGGGTCCCTGCCATGGGAGCATATTCACCCAGTGCTTTTCCAGCTGCACTGGCTCCCGGTGGAGTACAGGGTCAGGTTCAAGGTGCTGGTCTTGACCTTTAAAGCCCTTTGTGGCTTAGGGCCCTCGTGTCTATGGGACCGCCTCTCCTGGTCTGCCCCGCAGAGGACCTTAAGGTCCATGAATAACCATAGTTTAGAGGTCCCGGGCCCTAAGGAAGTCAGACTATCCTTCACCAGGGCCAGGGCCTTCTCAGTGATGGCTCTGACCTGGTGGAATGCTCTGTCCCATGAAACTAGGGCCCTTCAGGATTTAAGCTCCTTTTGCCGGGCCTGTAAGACAGAGCTATTCCGCCTGGCCTTTAATTTGAATTCAGCCAGGTCTTTTATTTCCCTTCTCTTCCCTCCCCCCCTCCCCTTTTATGAAGATCACCCGCTCTGAGATCCCACAGCTAATTCTCCCCTGGCCTCCTCGCTGACCCAAGTAGGACCAATTCAGCCAGCTAGCCCTGGGGATTATCTAATTGATTTTTGAATTTTGAATTTTATTGTTATTCATGTTTTTATACCGTATTTTATGCTGCTTTTATAATTAAGTGTTTTAAAGCGTTTTAAATTTGTTGTTAGCCGCCCCGAGCCCAGTTTTTGAACCGGGAAGGGCGGGGTATAAATAAAAATGTATTATTATTTATTATTATCAGACAGATTCCGATACACCTACACAAAGGAATGAAAATGTCTCAACCTGCAGCCCAAAGCAATCAAGAATGGGAGCGAGGGATGGAAGGAGGGACTGATTTCTGTTCCGACCTACGTCCATCGCATGTGGCGTTGCTTCTCTTCCACTGCGGTTCAGCTTCCGACAAAAAGAGAGAGCATTATTTTGCTTGCTGTCCAGTGTGGCAGACATTCCACAGCAGTCATTCCAATGCAGAGGAAACACAATGCAAAATGTAGGATAAGTCGTCCATGGCATATCGTTTGTGGATTAAAAACAACAAATAGCAGCAGGGCTGGTTTTCTTTCTGGACAAGCAAGCGACCACTGGCAATTTCCGTCTCTGCGTCGGAATCCTCCAGCATCTACTCCTGGGAGCTTCACTTATCTCGATTCCAAATCCAAGGGGCCACTGCAGAGAAGGCCCTGCTTGCAGTCCCGGTGAAGGCGACTTCCGTTACTGATGGACAGGGCAGGGCGGCACTGGGATTTTGTGAAAAATTTGGAGGAGGGCTGGCTTCTTCGCAAGCTGCCGTGCGTGCGTTCCGGTACTGTCAGGGGAGTCCCGCAACCCCGCCTGCAGGAGAATTTGCACACATGTGGCATGCTGGCCTGAGCATGCCAGGTGCAGGGCTGTGGGAAGAGAAGAAGCAGACTTAAGATTGAAAGGGAAGGGTTTGGTGGCCGGCTGCTCATGGCACAGTTTCCTTCTCGCTTAGCTGCCTGCGTTTAAAGTTGATTAAGTTTCAGTTGATTAAGCTGCATGAGTGTTCAATGGGAACCCAGTTAGGTATTGTGGTTAAAGCACTGAAGAGACCAGGGTTCTCAGCCATGAGAACCACGTGCCCTGCCTTGAGCTCATTGGAAGAAAAGGACACAGGGCGGGATATAAAATGCAATAAATAAATGAAATACAGTGGTACCTCGGGTTATGAACGCTTCAACCTGGAAGTAAGTTGTCCAAGCTCTCGGAGGCCTCGTCGCTGCCTGGAGGCAAACGCGGACATCAGCGGAGCCTACGGGGCTCTCTCAGGCCTCCGTGAATGCCGGGAGCCAAGCTGATTGTGATTGTGGAAGAGGACCCTGAGCCCTCTCCAAACAGTGAGTTTGGAAAAAAAAAATTTTCCCCATCTAAAATACTGTCTTATTTATTTTATAGTACAGTACATTGATTATTGCCTTCATTTTATGGATCAATGGTCTTGTGAAACAGTAAAATTTGTGCTAAATTGCTGTTTTAGGGGGTGTTTTTTCATCATTTGGAAGGGATCAATCCACTTTCCATTACTTTCAAGAACGGACCTCCGGAATGAATTAAGTACTTAACCTGAGGTACCACTGTACTTAATTGGTTCCGGAAGTCTGTACTTAACCTGAAGCATTCTTAACCTGAAGCACCACTTTAGCTAATGGGACCTCATGCTGCCGCCGGAGCACGATTTCTGTTCTCATCCTGAAACAAAGTACTTAACCTGAAGCACTATTTCTGGGTTAGCAGAGTCTGTAACCTGAAGCGTATGTAACCTGAAGCATATGTAACCTGAAGCGTATGTAACCTGAGGTACCACTGTACTTAACCTGAGGTACCACTGTAAGGCAGAAATCACCTTCTTCACCACTGGGACCACTATTGGCCCCAGCCGCCAGAGCCTGTCTTTAAAGGCAGGGGAAGCCCCTAACTCACGGAGGGTTTGAGACCCAGCGGCTACCTTCACTTGGTGTAGCCAGCCAGTGGAAGCCATTTCCCAGGATTGTGGCTGCTGTCGCATGCTGACAGCTTCATTCACACACACACACACACACACACACACACACACAATTTTCTGTTCTACAATCTAGAATACTCATTTAAACATCCTTAAAATATCAATGACTTCCCTTCTTCTCTTTCCCATGGTTCATTTTGCATATCATAAATCCCTGCATATTTTACATAAACTAAACCATTCAATACTCCATTATTACATCCATCAAAACTTATTTACACTGTTGAATTTATCTTAATGCTGCCAACGTTTTCAAGTGTACACAATTCCCCCCCCCATATATTCAATAAACATTTTCCAATCTACTCTAAACGTATGTTCTTCTTGTTCTCTTATTCTATATGTTAAGTCTGCAAGCTACGCATATTCAGTCAGATTCAGTTGCCATTCTTCTTTAGTTGGGACCTCGCTCGTTTTCCATTTTTCAGCTAACAGAACATGGTCTGCAGTAGTGGCGTACATAAATAACCTTTTTTAACACCTGGGAATTTCCGTCTGAATTATCCTCAACAAAGGGGACTCTGTTTTTTTAAACAAGTACTTTTAAACGTTTTTTTCAATTCATTATGCATCATTTCCCAATACTCTTTTGCCCTTTTACAGGTCCACCACATATGAAAGAACGTTCCCTCAACCTCGTTGCATCTCCTCATTGCATGTTGACAGCTTCCAGGAGGCGCAGGTGAGAGCTAAGTGCAAGGTGGGGACCAAAGGTGGACAAACGACCCCAGAAGGAGCCTGTCATGTCCCCCACCAGAGGTATCAAAAAGGTAAAGGGACCCCTGACCATTAGGTCCAGTCACGGACGACTCTGGGGTTGCGGCGCTCATCTCGCTTTGTTGGCTGAGGGAGCCGGCGTACAGCTTCCGGGTCATGTGGCCAGCATGACTAAGCCGCTTCTGGCAAACCAGAGCAGCACACAGAAACGCCATTTACCTTCCCGCCGGAGTGGTACCTATTTATCTACTTGCACTTTGACGTGCTTTCAAACTGCTAGGTGGGCAGGAGCTGGGACCGAGCAACGGGAGCTCACCCCGTCGCGGGGATTCGAACCGCCGACCTTCTGATCAGCAAGTCCTAGGCTCTGTGGTTTAACCCACAGCGCCACCCGCATCCCCAGAGGTATTACCCCTCCCCTAATATTCCATCCACCCCACTGGTAGCCTGTTTGTGCAAATGCTGGACTTAATCCCTATAAGAAGCGTGAAAGGGTCTTACCAGTACGATTTTTCCCATCCTTCGCATTCAGATCAGCACCGAGCAAAAGAAGCGTCTCAATTGTGCCTGCATGTCCTTCCTGCGTTGTTAGAGAAGAGACACAACTGTCACGCTCAGCAAAAACCAGAACCTTTCTCTATCTAGGCCAGGGATCTGGGAACCTGTGGCTGTCCTGATATTATTGGACTCCAGCTTCCATCATCCTTGACCATTGGCCATACAGGCTGTCCCACAACATCCGGATGATCACAGGTCCTCCTCCCTCCCATTTTGGTTCAAATCCCTGCGACGGGGTGAGCTCCTATTGCTCGGTCCCAGCTCCTGCCAACCTAGCAGTTCGAAAGCACGTCAAAGTGCAAGTAGATAAATAGGTACCGCTCCGGCGGGAAGGTAAACGGTCTTTCCGTGCGCTGCTCTGGATCGCCAGAAGCGGCTTAGTCCTGCTGGCCACATGACCCGGAAGCTGTACACCGGCTCCCTCGGCCAATAAAGCGAGATGAGCGCCGCAACCCCGAAGTCAGTCATGACTGGACCTAATGGCCAGGGGTCCCTTTACCATGTGTGTGTGTGTGTGTGTGTGTGTGTGTGTATCAGAGTGGTTTACAACAGTCACACCTAAAACCATACAATCAAAACAATTTTTAAAAAATCAGGAATTAATTATTATGGGCCGTAAGACTGCAGGAAAGGGCCCGTCTTGTATTAATTGATGAAAAGCCCCTCAATATAATGAACAAAAGGACTGGGAACTCCTCTCCCTCTTTGCCACAGACCCTAGAAAGCCACTGCCAGTCAGAGTAGGGAGAATTGTATTTTTATGTTGTGAACCGCCCTGAGATCTATGGATGAAGGGTCATATACCAATTTAAATAATAATAACTATTATTATTATTATTTATACCCCGCCCACCTGGCTGGGTTTCCCCAGCCACTCTGGGCAGCCTCCAACAGAACATTAAAATACAACAACCTATTAAACATTAAAAGCTTCCCTAAACAGGGAATAATAACAATAATAATAATAATAATAATAATAATACCAGACTAGATGGGACCAAGGGTCTGGCTCAGGGATAAGGCAAGCCCAGATGTTCGTACGATGAATTGCACATGTCGGCAATTCAGTTTTAATAGCCCGATTTATCTTCCGCAGGCCATGCGCTGGCAGCTGAAGAGCTGCTGAGAGAATTAAGTCTCGTGAAGATAAAAGGCTGGATTCCTAGCTGTAAATCTAATGCACTTCTGCTTAGCAGGCCAGCATCGCTCTTTATAATGGCAGGATCAGCGGCTGAGTGCTGGGCAGCCAAAAATGGAGCCAGTGACATATAAGAGGCAGGGAATTGGAACGAGCAGAGAATTTCCTAGTTTTAAAGGAGCCAAACAATAGAGCGCTTTTGTGCAGGGAGAGGAGGGCGGCATGGAATAAAGATGGTGTGGAGGAACTTATTATTATTCTTATGTATTACCGTATTTTTCGCTCTACAAGACGCACCAGACCATAAGACGCACCTAGTTTTTGAGGAGGAAAACAAGAAAACAAACATTCTGAATCTCAGAAGCCAGAACAACAAGAGAGATTGCTGTGCAGAGAAAGCAGCAATCCCTCTTGCTCTCCTGGCTTCTGGGATAGCTGCGCAGCCTGCATTCGCTCCATAAGACGCACACACATTTCCCCTTACTTTTTAGGAGGGGAAAAGTGAGTCTTATAGAGCAAAAAATACGGTAAGTTTGTAGGCCACCCTTCATTTGCAGTTCTCAGCCTAAAAATGCATTATTAAAAACACAAGGTAAAGGTAAAGGGACTCCTGACCATTAGGTCCAGTCGCGGACGACTCTGGGGTTGCGGCGCTCATCTCGCTTTATTGGCCGAGGGAGCCAGCGTACAGCTTTCGGGTCATGTGGCCAGCATGACTAAGCCGCTTCTGGCGAACCAGAGCAGCGCACGGAAACGCCATTTACCTTCCCGCCGGAGCGGTACCTATTTATCTACTTGCACTTTGATGTGCTTTCGAACTGCTAGGTTGGCAGGAGCTGGGACCGAGCAACGGGAGCTCACCCCGTCACGGGGATTCGAACCACCAACCTTCCGATCGGCAAGCCCTAGGCTCTGTGGTTTAACCCACAGCGCCACCTGAGTCCCTATTAAAAACACAAAGTACATGATTAAAAACAAGAACAGAAAAATACAAACCCTTAGCCCCCTGCAACCCATTGGCTCTCCAGATGTTGCTAACTACAACTCCCATCATCCCCGCCCATTAACATCTGGAGGGCTCCATCAGTAAAGCATGAGACTCTTGAATCTGAGGGTCGAGGGTTCGAATCTCACGTGGGGCAAAAGAGTCCTTCATTGCAGCAAGGGTTGGACTAGATGATGTTTGGCAACTCTACGATTCTATGCCAGTTCCGTGCACAGATGCGGGACAATGTTTAAGAGAAGAAACAAGGACAAGCGGGACATAAAATGGTATAAAGAGGTGTGGGATATAGCTATGGTAACTGGGAGCAGCCGCCAAGACCATATAACACCAGTCTTGAAAGACCTACACTGGCTCCCAGTACGTTTCCGAGCACAATTCAAAGTGTTGATGCTGACCTTGAAAGCCCTAACGGCCTTGGTCCTGTATACCTGAAGGAGCGTCTCCACCTCCATCGTTCTGCCCGGACCCTGAGGTCCAGCTCCGAGGGCCTTCTGCTGGTTCCCTCCCTGCGAGAAGTGAGGTTACAGGGAACCAGGCAGAGGGCCTTCTCGGTAGTGGCACCCGCCCTGTGGAACGCCCTCCCGTCAGATGTCAAAGAGATAAACAACTACCTGACATTTAGAAGACATCTGAAGGCAGCCCTGTTTAGGGAAACTTTTAATGTGTGACATTTTGATGTATTTTTAATCCTTGTTGGAAGCCGCCCAGAGAGGCTGGAGAAACCCAGCCAGATGGGCGGGGTACAAATAATAAATTATTATTATTACAGTGGTACCTTGGGTTAAGTACTTAATTCGTTCTGGAGGTCCGTTCTTAACCTGAAACTGTTCTTAACCTGAAGCACCACTTTAGCTAATGGGGCCTCCAGCTGCCGCCGCACGATTTTTGTTCTCATCCTGAAGCAAAGTTCTTAACCTGAGGTATTATTTGTGGGTTAGTGGAGTCTGTAACCTGAAGCGTATGTAACCTGAGGTACCACTGTATTAATGATAAATTAACATATGCCATTAAGGTAAGATGGGGAATATGCAGGAAAAATGATTTTGAGGAGATATGGAGGGTGTTTGTAGAATTTGTACTGGTTGTTTTTTAAAAAAAAAATATTAAAGATTTCTTAGTATACAAAAATCCATGAAATGTCTCTTTTAGAATTTGTACTGTTAAAACGGAAAGGGGTCAAACCATCGCAAGAGGTGTTGAAATTTTGGGAGGTTGAATAGTTACAATGGAATGGTCTCAGTGGTGGGGTGCATGTTTTTATTCTTATTTATTTAAGATTATTACTTTGTCAAAATAATTTTTAAAAACTTTAAAAAAATAGAAAGGGGAAGCAGAGGAACAAGAAGTCTTGATTTGTTTTTTAAAAAACACTTTGTGCATCCATGTCTAATTTTGCCCCTTTCTAAAAATTTATTTATTGGTATGTGATTCTCTTTCTGTACATCTACCGAAGAATAAAATAAAATAAAGTAGAAGATTGGCAAAATAAATTACTGAACTATGAAGGGCAAATTATTACCAAAAAAGGCAACCGTTCGCTGCATATGTTTAAAGTGTTGCGTATAGATTCTTACATTAGTACAACTTTTAAAAGTCACTTGGAATAAGATGAAGAAGGTTTTAAAATTGGATTGTTAAGTATATAAGGTTTCATAGACATGCAGGAACAAGTACATTATAATGGAACCTGGAGGGAAACGTACTCCCAAAAATTATGGTTTAATTTGGTTATGATTTTCCCCCCTGTGTTTTTTCTTTTCGTTTTGTCATTTCTGCAAAATCAATAAAATGTTATAAAAAAAGAGAATAAAATAAAATGGGGGGGGGGAGGAGAAACCTCTCTTGCGAGAGCAGCCTTCGAAGGCACAGTAGCCGCTCCCTCAGTGAAAACTCCCAAGGAGAAAAGCAAAGGACCTTGGCAGCGTAATGCAAGGCCGTCAGCTGCAGCGAAGTGGCTCTGGAGTTGACGTCGACACCGAGATCTGAAACTAGGAACCGGAGGGCAGGATCCTGCGCTGTGACCGCGGCTTGGTGCAAAGGCTGAGCGCCGAGAGCATCCCGGGCGGTGTAGCAAGCCTAAGGGTGTGAAAAAGGCAAAGTCTTTGTGTGAGAATCCAGCCCATGGGTAGGCAAATGAAGACCCGGGGGCCGGATCCGGCCCAATCGCCTTCTCAATCCAGCCTGTGGAAGGTCTGGGAATCAGCATGTTTTTACAAGAGTAGAATGTGTCCTTTTATTTAAAATGCATCTCTGGGTTATTGGTGGGGCATAGGAATTGGTTCATTTCCACCCCAGAATTAGAGTCCGGCCCCCCACAAGGTCTGAGGGACAGTGGACCGGCCCCCTGCTTAAAAAGTTTGCTGACCCCTGAGCTAACGCATCACGTCCCTTGGGTTATTTGTGGGGCCTGCCTGGTGTTTTTCCATGAGTAGAATGTGTGCTTTTATTTAAAATGCATCTCTGGGTTATCTGTGGGGCATAGAAATTTGTTCATTTCCCCCTCCAAAATATAGTCCGGCCCCCCACAAGGCCCGAGGGACAGTGTACTGGCCCCCTGCTGAAAAAGTTTGCTGACCTCTGATCCACCCAAACCATCTGGAGTCACAACCTGCCAGAATCACAGGTCATCTCCGCACCAGATGTTTATTGCAGGCGCCAGCAAACTTTTTCAGCAGGGGGCCGGTCCACTCTCCCTCAGACCTTGTGGGGGGCCGGACTATATTTTGAAAATAATAATAATGAACGAATTCCTATGCCCCACAAATAACCCGGAGGTGCATTTTAAATAAAAGGACACATTCTACTCATGGAAAAACACGCTGATTCCCGGACCTTCCGCGGGCCAGATTTAGAAGGTGATTGGGCCGGATCCAGCCCCCGGGCCTTAGTTTGCCTACCCAGGGTTTAAAGCATTGCTCTCCTACTTTAAACAGAAACAACATCGTTTGCACGTACCTTATGTTTCTCTAGAAGCAGCTGCGCGATGCCAAGGTGCCCATGTTGTATCGCATCCATAAAAGGCGTGACACCACATTTGTCCCTGCTATCGGGCTGGTAGCGGCACCTTAGGATTAAGCACAAAAAGGACAAGTTAGAGCAGTGAAGGCATTGTCCCCTGGTGGGGGCCGTGGGATTACCTGGGGGTGGCGTCACACACAAAGGAATGTGCAAATGACTATCAGGCTGTGAAAAGCTGGACCCGTCTACTGCAATTATTAAGTTTGCAGATGACACCACCATAATGGGTTTAATAACAGGTGGAGACGAATCAGCATATAGAGGGGAGGTCCAAAAAATATCTGCATGGTGCCTAGGGAACAACTTGCACCTTAAAATGAGCAAGACAAAGGAGATGGTGTTGGCCTTTTGGAGGAAGAAAGGAGAACTAGCCCCGCTGTACATCGGGGAGGGCTGTGTGGAGAGAGTCTCTTCCTTCAAATTCCTAGGAGTTTATCTCAGTGGAGACCTTACTTGGAAAATCAATACAACCCTGGTGGTTAAGAAAGCCCAACAGAGACTTCATCTCCACAGAGTATTGCAAAAGAACGATGTCAATCAACATCTGATGATCTCCTTCTACTGGTCCCCAATAGAAAGTGTCCTTTCCTACTGCATCACGGTGTGGTATGCTGGTTTGACATCAACTGATAGGAAGTACACAAGATATTATGGGCTGTCCCGCGAATCCGCTGGATGAAATCGCAGAAGAACGTTGACTCAGGAGAGTGAGGAAAATTCTCAGTGATGATTCACACCCTGGCCGGCACTTTCTTGGTCTCCTGCCCTCGGGCAGAAGATATATAGAAGCATGATTAGTCGCACCAACAGGGTAAAGAACAGCTTCTATCCGTGGGCTGTTAGGCTGCTGAAGGAAAAGATAACAACAGGGCAACTGACTTTCGGGTTTGGTGGGTGTGCGTCAGTAAACAAGGGGAATTAAGACTAAGAGAGCTGAGTGGGGGGTGCTTGTGTAATCTCACTGTATACAAGTTGTACAAGTGACAATAAAGTATTTCAATTTCAGTTTCAATCCCTGGACCAGGTTGGTCAAGTTTGTTGAATTAATTCAACTAAATCGTTTCCATTGGGTTTTGAGTAAACGTGCAATTAAGTGTCACTGTTTTGAATTTTATCGTGTTATTATTTTCCTTAGTGGAAGGTAATATATTTTTAAATAGGGTTTTATAGGTTGTTGCTTTTTTAATAGGGTAGGCACTGGGGATGAGTTTGTGGAACTAAGGGGACAGTGGCCTGAAAAAATTTGGGAACTTTGGGGCTAGAGCAAAGTAAAGGAGTACCCCAGAGAATTGGAGGGGCTTTTTGGGGTGGGTGCGATTTATTCTTTAATTTGCTGCACAACCATATGGAAATTTGGTGCAAAACAATAAAAAAAAAATCATAGCCAAGCAGTTAAAAAATAATCAAAGGCAAAACCTAGCTCAAAATTCAGTTTAAAACTGAGAAGTGCTAGCTCTAAAAAATTTTTGGGGGTAGTGGAGGCTCACATTTTTTGGACTTGAGGACCACATACATCCTTGGCCAGCCCCAGCATGCAAGATTCAGTTGTCCTGGTATTTTTTTTCCTACCTTTTAAGCAGCCACTGAAATCCCTCCTGCTAAAAATCGGGTGGTAAACCCATGCTCCCTTCTCGTTTGTTTGTTTGTCACAAGGACCTGAGAAGAGTCTGCTGGGTCAAGCCAAAGAGGCCCCATCTAAGTCCAGGATCCTGTTCTCAAAGTGGCCAACCAGACGCCGAGTTCGAATCCGCACTTGGCCATGAAGGTCACTGGGTGACCTTGTGCCAGTTGCCATCTCTTAGCCTTTTATTATTATTATTATTTTATTAACATATAAAACACATACATATACAGTGGTACCTCAGGTTAAGTACTTAATTCGTTCCGGAGGTCCGTACTTAACCTGAAACTGTTCTTAACCTGAAGCACCACTTTAGCTAATGGGGCCTCCTGCTGCTGCCGCGCCGCAGGAGCACGATTTCTGTTCTCATCCTGAAGCAAAGCACTATTTCTGGGTTAGCAGAGTGTGTAACCTGAAGTGTCTGTAACCTGAAGCGTATGTAACCTGAGGTACCACTGTACATTTACACAATACATGTATACAACACACTACCTAATTTTTCTAACATAAAACAAACCTACATTACTCTATATAATACCTACCTATACTGTACATATCAACATACCTACACACCTACGCCACACGGACGCCTACCAAGTGACTTGACTTCCAGCCGTTCTTGTTACGCTACTTTATTTTTCCAACTAGCTTAAACACATTTCATTATTTCTTTTATCTTATCTTTACTCTCCTTTCACTCTAATCATTTTCTGGATTCACTCAATATCTGTCAGAAATTCTACTTTTTCCACATAAATTTTGATGTATTCCTTAAAGATAGCCCACTCCTTATTCACTATTTGTACCAGATCTCCTCTTACCCTCCCTGTTAGTTCGGCAATATGGAAGTATTCCATCATTTTAGATAACCAGCCTGTTTTAGTTGGGACACTGCTGCTTTTCCAATTTTTGGCAATCAATAACCTTGCTGCTGTAGTTGCATACATAAATATTGGTTTGACCGTTTCTCCTAGGTATCATGTCAGAGGAAATAAAAAGAACAGTTGCCATCTCTTAGCCTAGCCAACTTCGCAGGGTTGCTGAGAGGATGAAATGCGGAGAACCGTCTACACCACCTTGAGCTCCTTGGAAGAAAATGGCCGCTATAGCAATGTAATAAATAAATATTCCTCCTATGGGAAGCCCAAAAGACAGGAAGTCTTGATAAAATGATAAAATGTCAATGATAAAATGGGTGATCGATACTGGGCATAACATCGAATTGGAAGCGTGGAAAGGGCTATGGAAGGAGGGTTTGAGATTTACAGGATGTTTGGATCCAAAGGAAAATTTGTTTAAAATGTTGTATAGATGGCACTTGACGCCAGTAAAGTTAGCTAAAATGTATAGAAAAAGAGAAAGAAAATGTTGGAAATGTAAAAAAGTAAATGGGGATTATTTTCATTTGTGGTGGACCTGTGACAAGGTTAAAAAATTTTGGGAATCAATTTATAATGAACTTAAAAAAATACTTAGGTATACTTTTCCCAAAAGACCGGAAGCGTGTCTATTAGGTTTAATAGGAATGGAAATCAAAATGGGAGACCAAAATCTTATCATGTATGCTACGGCCGCCGCAAGAACCCTCCTGGCCCAAAGATGAAAAACACAAGACATATCAACCATCCAGGAGGGGCAGGTGAAGTTGACAGAATACGCAGAACTTGCCAAATTGTCAGGAAGGACCCGGGACCAGGAAGGCCAAAGATACCAAAATAACTGGTGTAAATTTATTGAATGTTTAAAGGAGAATTGTAAAGAGGTCAAGACACTAGCAGGATTGACATAATACCTTCAATGTATAATAGTACTATTGTGAGAATGACGTGCGCGATAGAAAGGGGTTAAATATACCAATTGCGGGGGGGGGGTCGTGACTCGGCAGAGTAAAAGGAAACGTATGGCATTAATATGGTTTGTTGGAAAAGAATATGTAAGGAAAACAATAAAAATTTACTTGGGGAAAAAAACAGGCAGTCTGCTCACCTTTCAAGGAGCATTTTCACTACCTCCAGACGTCCATGCATTGCTGTGTGACAAAAAGGGGATTTATCAAAGTTGGGTTTGATGACAGATACCAGACTTCCCCAACCTGGTGACTTCCAGATGTTTTTAGACTATGATTCCCATCATCCTTGGCATGTAAATCTTCCCTTACTATTTTTGGTCACAAATTAAAATCCCCATAGTTGATATCTGGGCTTTTTTTTCCAGCCGCAACTTGCCGGAATTCAGTTCCAATCAGGTAGGCGCCTTTGCCATCATAAGAAAACAAGGGAGGTGTTCATGGCGAGTTCTGGCACCTCTTTTTATAGAAAAACAGCAATGGTTGATGTTAGTATCTACAGGGGAGCCTTGGTTCTCGAACTTAATCCCTTCGACTCCCGAAACCATTCAAAAACCAAGGTGCGGCTTCCGATTGGCTGCAAGAGCTTCCTGCAATCAAACGGAAGCCGCATTGGACGTTTGGCTTCCAAAAAACGTTCGAAAACCGGAACACTTAATTCCAGGTTTTTGGTGTTCGGGAGCCGATCTGTTTGTTAACTAAACCATTTGAGAACAAGGTACCACTGTATTTGTCAAGCACCTCTGTATACAGTCAGTTATCTGGAGATAACCTCTGAACTCACCTCCAGCGTCTGATTTTGCTACACACTAAAACATAGCTGTCAACCTTCCCTTTTTTTGTAGGAAATTCCCTTATTCCAGCGCCATTTCCCGCTGCTTCCTGCTGCTATCCCGGATTGTTAGATATCCCGTAGATTGTCCCCAGGACAGGTGAGGCTGCTGATCCCATATTTTCGAGGCTGCTGATCCCTTCTTTTCAAATCTGAAAGTTGACAGCTATGCACTAAAAGGAAAAGCGAGCACCAGATGTCAAAGTGAGCAGAGTCCACAATGCAGTCGTACCTTGGAAGTCGGACATTTTGGCTCCTGAACGTCGCAAACCCGGAAGTGAGTGATCTTTGGAACCTAAACGTCTGTTGCGGCTTCCGCAGCTTCCGATTGGCTGCAGGAGCTTCCTGTAGCCAATCGGAAGCTGCGCCTTGGTTCCCAAACATTTTGGAAGTCAAAAGGACTTCCGGAATGGATTCCATTCGACTTCCATAGTACGACTGTACAGTGGCACCTTGGTTCTCAAATGCCTTGGTACTCAAACAATTTGAAACCCAAACACTGGAGACCCGGAAGTAAGTGTTCCAGTTTGTGGACATTTTTCGGAAGCCGAACGTGCTCCATTTTGTGTGTTACGCTTCCATTTTGAGTGTTACGCTGAGGCCCGACTGTTTTTGCTATTTATTTTGTGGTTTTGTGGCTTTTTTGTTTAGTTTTTGTGACTGGGTGGAACCCAGTTCAGCTACTGATTGATTATGTGACTGCAGTACATTGTTTATTGCTTTCATTTTGTGGATCAACGGTCTCGTTAGATAGTAAAATTCATGATCAATTGCTGTTTTAGGGGTTGTTTTTAAAAGTCTGGAACCGATTAATCCATTTTGCATTACTTTCTATGGGAAGCCACGCCTTGGTTCCCGAAGGTTTTGGAAGTCGAATGGACTTCTGGAACGGATTCCGTTCAACTTCCAAGGTACGACTGAATCTTGCAAGTTCTGGGCTTTCTGGGGACTCCTGATCATCCTCTGCCAGACCTCTTTGGAAGAGGAGTCATCCGGTTGGAGCACAACAGACTCAGAGGTCAGCAGTTCCCTATCACAATCTTCTGAAAATGCAACTAGGGAAGACCTAGGGATTTTGCTATCTTTTGACCTCAAATGGTGGGACTACGGCCCAGTAGACCTGAAGGAGCATCTCCACCCCCATCTTTCTGCCCAGACACTGAGGTCCATTTCCGAGGGTCTTCTGGTGGTTCCCTCCCTGTGAGAAGCAAAGCTACGGGGAACCAGGCAGGGGGCCTTCTCGGTGGTGGCGCCTGCCCTGCGGAACGCCCTCCCACCAGATATCAAAGAGATAAACAACTACCTGACATTTAGAAGACATCTGAAGGCAGCCCTGTTTAGGGAAGTTTTTAATGTGTGACATCTTAATGTATTTTTAATCTTTGTTGGAGGCTGCCCAGAGTGGCTGGGAAACCCAGCCAGATGGGCAGGGTACAAATAATTTATTATTGCTGCTGCTGCTGCTGTTGTTATTACTACTACTACTACTACAGTCCCATGGAAATAGACATCCTCCACTTAGGGCCGAGGTGATGTATCATCTGTATGCCTGCAATCACACACCTTAACTCACCTGCTGTGTGTAGGGGAGTCCTCTTGATTTTGCTTTCCGTGTCCCAAATGGTTGGAGAGACATCCAGGAGGTACCGGATGACCTCAGGATCCCCCTCTCGGCTGGCAATATGGAAACAGCTCCAGCCATCTTTGTTCTTCAATAATGGGTTTGCTCCGTGGTCGATGAGATCCTGAATGACTTCTAGATTCCTTCTGGTACAAGCCATCATAAGAGGAGTCCTAAAAGTCCAGGACAGGGATGGGGGAGACACAATTTATTATCAGAGACAGAAACATTTCCCCCAATTCATAGGAGACAGTATCCAATATTCTAGAGCCAGCCTGGAGGCCAGTCTGAAGAAGATTTCAAATCCTGGAGGCGGTTGGAGGATGGATGGTGGCTAATGGATTGAGGTTGAATCCTGACAAGACAGAAGTACTGTTTTGGGGGGACAGGGGGCAGGCAGGTGTGGAGGACTCCCTGGTCCTGAATGGGGTAACTGTGCGCCTGAAGGACCAGGTGCGCAGCCTGGGAGTCATTTTGGACTCACAGCTGTCCATGGAGGCGCAGGTCAATTCTGTGTCCAGGGCAGCTGTTTATCAGCTCCATCTGGTACGCAGGATGAGACCCCACCTGCCCGCAGACTGTCTCGCCAGAATGGTGCATGCTCTAGTTATCTCTCGCTTGGACTACTGCAATGCGCTCTATGTGGGACTATCTTTGAAGGTGACCCGGAAACAACAACTAATCCAGAATGCGGCAGCCAGACTGGTGACTGGGAGCAACCGCCAAGAAATGAAAGACCTACATTGGCTCCCAGTACGTTTCCGAGCACAATTCAAAGTGTTGGTGCTGACCTTTAAAGCCCTAAATGGCCTCGGCCCAGTATACCTGAAGGAGTGTCTCCACCCCCATCGTCCTGCCCGGACACTGAGGTCCAGCACCGAGGGCCTTCTGGCAGTTCCCTCACTGCGAGAAGTGAGGTTACAGGGAACAGAGGGCCTTCTTGGTGGTGGCACCCACCCTGTGGAACGATGTCTGACTCGGTATAAGGCTGCTTCCTAAGTTCCTTCAGAGTTCCTTGCAACTCTGAGAGCCAGTGTGGTGTAGTGGTTAAGAGCGGTGGACTCATAATCTGGGGAACTGGGTTCGCTTCCCTGCTCCTCCACATGCAGCTGCTGGGTGACCTTGGGCTAGTCACACTTCTCTGAAGTCTCTCAGCCCCACTCACCTCACAGAGTGTTTGTTGTGGGGGAGGAAGGGAAAGGAGAATGTTAGCCGCTTTGAGACTCCTGAAGGGGAGTGATAAAGCGGGATATCAAATCCAAACTCTTCTTCTTCTACGATTTTGTTGCAAATGCTAAATACAACCCAAGTTACAACCAAAGACCCCACCCTCCGCAAAAAAATCTGACGGCAACATACCAGTCTGCTTTCTTCAAGCAATCGACAGTAGCTCCTCTGTCCAGCAGGTACAAGACGCAGTCCCTGTGACCCATGGAGGCTGCCTCATGGAGGGGTCGCTTGTAATCGCTATTAAACACGTCAATGTCCATTTCTAAGGTCTCGACTAAGTAAGTCAGGATCCTCAGCTGACCGTGCCGGGCTGCGTAGTGGAGCAGGGTGTCTCTGGACCTCCCAAAATGCCTCTTTTTCGCATCCCAAACATTTGCAACCTCTTCTTTCAGAAGGATGAGATTCCCTTCCTTCACCAACCTAGGAAGGTTGCCCTCAGCCATTGCTGAAGGTGGATGCAAAAATTACAGCTCCAGGTAAGAATTCGGAGTCAGGAGTGACACGGCAAAGCTTACTCCCTCTAGGTCTCCATGGTGTTTTGGCCCCGTGGCCTAAAAACAGGAAACAAAAAGGGGGGAAATCGTAAGAGAGGCTCCACCTGTTGAGTCAAGTGTTGATGGCATTTTATCATTGTACTGTGGAGAGTGTATTAACTTATGGTCTGTGTGTGTGGTTTGGGAGCTGTATGGTCAGGGAAAAAACAATGTAAAGACTGCAGAGAGAATAATTGGGTGCACTCTTCCCACCTTGGATTAAATCTATGCTTCCAGGTGCCATAAGAAAGCTGCAGAGATAGCGCAGGATAGTGCGCACCCCGGAAATGATCTCTTTCAGCTCCTGCCTTCTGGAAGAAGGTACAGGATTATAAAGACTAGGACTAGCTGCCTTAGAAACAGTTTCTATTCAAATGCGATTTTGGTTTTAAACGCAGTATAAGGTAGTCTCTATGGGAGTATATTGTATTTAATTATGGGGTATCAGAGTTTTTAGGGGGCTAACCAGGTTGGGATAGCAGGCTTGTTGGTTTTTGAATGTCCCCAATTATCCCCTACACCCTCAGCCTAGATTTCTCCAAGGTGACAAGGGGTACTGTTTGGATTCTAGGATTTTGGAAGGGCGTTGCAACTCAGCAACAGAACACGTGCTTTGCAGGATAAAACGTAAAGGGACCCCTGACCTTTAGGTCCAGTCGTGGCCGACTCTGGGGTTGCGGCGCTCATCTCGCTTTACTGGCCGAGGGAGCCAGCGTACAGCTTCCGGGTCATGTGGCCAGCATGACTAAGCCACTTCTGGCGAACCAGAGCAGCGCACGGAAACGGCGTTTACCTTCCCACCAGAGCGGTACCTATTTATCTACTTGCACTTTGACGTGCTTTCGAACTGCTAGGTTGGCAGGAGCAGGGACTGAGCAACGGGAGCTCACCCCGTCGCGGGGATTCGAACCGCCGACCTTCTGATCGGCAAGTCCTAGGCTCTGTGGTTTAACCCACAGCACTAATTCTAGGTTTGTCCCCCATCCCCCTCCCTGCCGCGTTCTGCAAGAGGGGCCCACAAGACAGCTCAGTTGGTCAACTCTGAAGCTCAGGGCTGTGGGTTTGAACCCCAATGCTGGGCAAAAAGTTCCTATACTGAAGAGGGTTGGACTAGATGAACCTTGGTGTCCCCTTTCAACTCTCCAATTCTATGAGTCTATGAATACCAAGGCTATGGAAGGAGCCAGCCAGAGCCACCCTTTGAGCAGGTTGTATGCGAGGAAGGGGCAGTGGGCTGTGTGCCCTAATATGGCAGCATAGGCTGCATCGGGATAAGGGAGACGACAGGGCTCCTGTACCTTTAATAGCTTACTACCCTCTTTTGTATTTAGCTATTAAAGGTGCAGAAGCTCTCTCTTCTCTTCTGCATCTGGCTACCCTCTGAGTTGCACTTCATATTTCTGTACTGCCATCCGTAACAACTACCTGGCTTTTTAAAGACACTCCTCCATCCCAGAATCCTTCTCAGCCGCTAATAGATTGATTTGATTCAGTATTATTTCTATGCTGCCTTTCAGTCAAACGAATCACAAAGGGGTTTACAAACGCTAAATTATCAAATATATCCTTTATTAGGCATAGCAAACCCACATTATCAAACAGACACTGTATACAAATTGTGCAAAATACAAGCTTAACGTAACAAGGTTTGTCCCAGTCAGATCTTTAACTCCAGAGAAAATAAATTTGCATAAATAATACAATACAACCGCTAATTCTCTTTATAATGGCCCAGTCTTTCTACATGGACAGCGCTCAAAAATTCGGCCACTATTAAAGTCATTTGATCATTACTGCCCGAAAGCAGCGTAGAAATCAGCCAATTGAATTGTAAGGCCTCTAATGCTAAATTATAATAACACAATGGCAGAAACAGGCTTATCCAGGGACCGTAAAAAATCAATGACGATCCTGGCAAACGTTACCTGAGTCACAGATTCTTGTGTAGCTAAAACAGCACCACCTGCACACAAGAAAAGGACTTATCAGCAGGTTTTGGGGAACCCATAAAGTTTACAAGAAGACTTGGGGGGCTGCCACAAGTGGCAACCCCACAAAACTGCCCAAGGCGCATGCTCAGTGGACACAAAATGCGCATCAACTGTTGGGTAGCAGAAAACAGAAAGGGGTATCTTGGATGATAAGCAAGAACCCTGAAGAGGAGCAAGGCACAACCTGCCCCATGCTTTTTAACATCTACATGCAGCCGCTGGGAGAGATCATCAGGGGGTTTGGGCTGGGTGTCCATCAATATGCGGATGATACCCAGCTCTACCTCTCTTTAAATCAGAACCAGTGAAGGCGGTGAAGGTCCTGTGTGAGTGTCTGGAGGTGGCTGGAGGATGGATGGCGGCTAATGGATTGAGGTTAAATCCTGACAAGACAGAAGTACTGTTTTGGGGGGACAGGGGGTAGGTGGGTGTGGAGGACTCCCTGGTCCTGAATGGGGTAACTGTGCCCCTGAAGGACCAGGTGTGCAGCCTGGGAGTCATTTTGGACTCACAGCTGTCCATGGAGGTGCAGGTCAATTCTGTGTCCAGGGCAGCTGTCTACCAGCTCCATTGGGGACGCAGGATGAGACCCTCCCTGCCCACGGACTGTCTCACCAGAGTGGTGCATGCTCTAGTTATCTCCCGCTTGGACTACTGCAATGCGCTCTACGTGGGGCTACCTTCGAAGGCGACTCGGAAACTACAACTAATCCAGAATGCGGCAGCTAGACTGGTGACTGGGAGCGGCCGCTGAGACCACATAACACCGGTCTTGAAAGACCTACAGTACGTTTCCGAGCACAATTCAAAGTGCTGGTGCTGACCTTGAAAGCCCTAAACGGCCTCGGTCCTGTATACCTGAAGGAGCGTCTCCACCCCCATGGTTCTGCCTGGACACTGAGGTCCAGCGCCGAGGGCCTTCTGGCGGTTCCCTCACTGCGAGAAGCCAAGTTACAGGGAACCAGGCAGAGGGCCTTCTCGGTGGTGGCACCCGCCCTGTGGAACGCCCTCCCACCAGATGTCAAAGAGAACAACAACTACCAGACTTTTAGAAGACATCTGAAGGCAGCCCTGTTTAGGGAAGTTTTTAATGTGTGACATTTTAATGTATTTTTCATCTTTGTTGGAAGCCGCCCAGAGTGGCTGGGAAACCCAGCCAGATGGGCGTTGTACAAATAATAAATTACTATTACTATTACGTTCGTGTTGCCCTCCTGCCAACAGTATTGGTGTGTGTGTGTGTGTGTGTGTGTGTGATTTATAGAAGGAAAAGGAGGAGGAGGCAGCGGAGAAGAAGTCCAAAGCACAAACATGCAAGTTAAGGACTAAATTAAGACGATATTCAGAATACAGAAGTGCCAGAAGCGATCCACCATTGGGAAAAGAAAACACGACATAATATTTCAAAGCGACAAGGTATTAGAAGCCTGCTTGAATACAAACGCCGCCTGCCTGGGGAAAACTCGGCATACCTGCTTCTTTTAATTCCAATAAAGCCCATTAATGCGCAAGGGATCCCTACGCGCTTCCACCACTCTTGCCCCGCACATGGAGGACTGCCCACGAGAACCGGAAGTGAATGCTACGCCGACCTCTTGGCTGATGCTATTATCTCTTTGATTGGGAGGAAGGCCGGAAGCAAAGAGGAAGTACGTCAGCAAACTCCGGGCAACGTGTCCGCTCGTGCCCTCGGAGCCCTGGCAACGGCTCGGCCGAACCCGGAAGAGCCCGCGGGCCGGCGAGCTCTATGGCTCGCCTGGAGCGTCAATCAGGGGAGGGCGGGGCCTAGGCGCCTAGCTGTGTAGGCTGCGCGAAGCAAAAACCCTGGTGGCGGGTTAGGTGGGCGTGCAAGGGCGACGCCTCTTTCCTGCTTTCAAGTTTCTTCCAAGATGAGAGTGAGAGTCTGGGAAGGGGGAAAGGGAAATTGTTAATCCACACCCTTAATTAACTGCAAATGAGGGCTAATGGCTTTAAAACCCTGGTTTGCATGGGGTGGGGTGTTAGATATATTGGGGCTGTTACTAAATTAGGGTTGAATTGCATGCTTATTTTGGGAGGAAATTTGCTGGAACTTTAAAATGGCAGGAAATCACTTTTTCTGTGCATTTTAATCCATAGGTTTTCTGTTACTATGTGTGCATTTCAGAGCCTGTGTGTAATTTTATAATCTGCTTTTTGCTTTTAAGTTTCTCTTTTTATTTGGGTGAGTGTATGTGTGTCTGGTTTTATGGTTTTAACTATTAAGTCCATTTTTCTCAGGGTCTATTCCTTCCCCTGCCCACCCCCCTAATACTCCTAAGAGGGTCTCTTCTCCAGTCTTCAGAGGCAGAAAAAGGTCCCCCTTTCCTTCCACTCTGCAGTTTTAATCCGAAATCTTAGCCGCAGAACTGCGCCCAGAGCTCAGAACCTCTCGCGCTAATGAAATTCCCTGTCGCAAAATGCGCCTGGAAAAATGGGAGTTTTGAACACTGTTTTCATGTGGTTGTGAACCGCTGTGTGCTTTTTGTGATGTGGCGGCATATAGATTATTTAATAAATCGTTAGTTGGTTTTTAAAAATTTTTTAGCACATTATCCTTAATATTAACTCACCTTCCTTTCCCTGACAGAGACTTGAGGTGGCTTACTGATAAAAACAGGAGCAGCTAACAACACTGAGGAGGAATAATTAATTAAAATAAATAAATAACAGAATTAAAACTGTATTTAAATTTAAAAGTTGTGTTATACGCAAACGGATAATTGTAGTAAAAACAGCAGGGGACCATCCCTTCCAGTAAAATAAATAGTTATAATAGCAATAATAATTTTCATTGTAACAAAAAAAAAAGGTCACCGAGACTGTTGTGGCGACTGTAACCTACATTTTAGGCAATTACCGTATTTTTTGCTCTATAAGACTCACTTTTTCCCTCCTAAAAAGTAAGGGGAAATGTGTGTGCGTCTTATGGAGCGAATGCAGGCTGCGCAGCTATCCCAGAAGCCAGAACAGCAAGAGGGATCGCTGCTTTCACTGCTCAGCGATCCCTCTTGCTGTTCTGGCTTCTGAGATTCAGAATATTTTTTTGTTTGTTTTCCTCCTCCAAAAACTAGGTGCATCTTATGGTCTGGTGCGTCTTATAGAGCGAAAAATACGGTAGCTTATGCACCTTAACATTGCCTCACCTGTTCCAATACTGAATTAACACTCACAAAAGGGTGATTTCTTACCATTTTGTTGAGGACAGTGAGACGACGTAAGCAGCTTCGTCTAACAGCCTTTGAGTGTGAAGCTCTGAACCAGAGCCCGGAAGGGGCCTCATCATTGACGCAGCCTTTGGGTTGGAGACAAGGGAGCCAAGACGTCCACAGAGGTCTATACCCAACTTACCGGACGAAAAAGCATCCCCGAGGTATAGCCGCCTGTGGTGGAGGGCTGGGAGTGTGTGGGCGATCTCTGCTAAATATCAGGTGGTGGGGTTTCAACTCGGGTTTGGGGGAAGCCATGGGCAAAACTCTTGCTTCCGTAAATCGGCGGTGGGCAACCTCAGTTGGCTAAGCTTGGAGCAAATTGCTGGGTCTCAGCTTTTAACCCGCAGGGTTGTTGGGGTGAGGAAATGAGGGAAGGAGATGTTTGCGGCTGAGGGGCAGCCCTGGTAACAGCCTCCAAGATGGGTTAAAACTACAGTGGCGCCTTGGTTCTCAAACGCCTTGGTACTCAAACAACTTGGAACCCAAACACTGTAAACCCGGAAGGAAGTGTTCCAGTTTGTGAACTTTTTTCGGAAGCTGAATATGCTCCAATTCGAGTGCAACACTTCCATTTTCAGTGTTAACGCTGAGGTCTGTCTGTTTTTGCTATTTATTTTGCGCTTTTTGTGGCTTTTTTGTTTGGTTTTTGTGACTGTGGAACCCAGTTCATCTACTGAATGATTGATTGTGTGACTGTAGTGCATTGTTTATTGCTTTCATTTTTGATCCTGAGTAGGCAAACTAAGGCCAGGGGGCTGGATCCAGCCCAATCGCCTTCTCAGCATAGCTGTCAACTTTTCCCTTTTCTTGCGAAGAATCCTATTCGGAAAAAGGGAATTTCCCTTAAAAAAAGGGAAACGTTGACAGCTATGCTTCTCAGTCTGGCCCACGAACGATCCAGGAATCAGCGTGTTTTTACATGATTAGAATGTGTCCTTTTATTTAAAATGCATCTCTGGGTTATTTTGTGAGGCTTGCCTGGTGTTTTTACATGAGTAAAGGGACCCCTGACCATTAGGTCCAGTCGTGGCCGACTCTGGGGTTGCGGCGCTCATCTCGCTTTATTGGCCGAGGGAGCCGGCATACAGCTTCCGGGTCATGTGGCCAGCATGACTAAGCCACTTCTGGCAAACCAGAACAGCGCACGGAACAGCGCCGGAGCGGTACCTATTTATCTACTTGCACTTTGACGTGCTTTCGAACTGCTAGGTTGGCAGGAGCAGAGACCGAGCAACGGGAGCTCACCCCTTCACGGGGATTCAAACCGTCGACCTTCTGATCGGCAAGCCCTAGGCTCTGTGGTTTAAACCACAGCGCCACCCGCTTCCCCTATACATGAGTAGAATGCGCTTTTATTTAAAATGCATCTCTGGGTTATTTGTGGGGCATAGGAATTCGTTCATTATTTTTTCCAAAATATAGTCCGGCCCCCCACAAGGTCAGTGAACCGGCCCCCTGCTGAAAAAGTTTGCTGACCCCTACATTAGATAGTAAAATTCATGTTAAATTGCTGTTTTAGGGGTTCTTTTTAAAAGACTGGAACGGATCAATCCATTTTGCATTACTTTCTATGGGAAAGCTTGCCTTGGTTTTGGAATGCTTTGGTTTTGGAACAGACTTCCAGAACGGATTAAGTTTGAGAACCAAGGTACCACTGTACACCTTAAATGGGCGTTGTCGTTCAAAATGGCCCTACTGGCCAGGACCAGTGTGGTCCAGAACATCTGGAGGGTACCAGATGTTGTGGGGAAGGGTGCTGGAAGACTGGAAACAGATCCTGTGATTCCTTTCCAGTCTCCGTCAGAGGAGTGGGCCACCAAAGCAGCATCACCGACTACTTCAGAAGCAGACCCCAACCGCCTAGATGTGCAGCTGTCGTGGCAAAAGACATTGAGTGCAAACGGGAGGTAGACTTCCTGGAATCCTTTTTCGCTCGCAATGACTTCTTAGACCCGGAGGAGTCCTGCTCTGCAGTCGGGGACGGCGGGGACCCAGCCCTGATGGCTTCCAGGAAACGGCCACGTTTCCCTAAGAGCCCCAACAACCTTGGGGCGGGCAGTGACCAGTGGGACCAGGATGAAAAACCACCACTGGGGCAGCGATCTGAGCAGCCCTGGGCTGATGGAAGCCTCAAGCCGGATGCCAACGACTTTGATATTGATCCTCTGCCAGATGCGTGTTTTGGGCTCTTGGGGACCCCGTGTTGGGATGTTCCCCGGGGAAACATAGAGCAGCTGCCCGACGAGGTTCTCCGCGAGATCTTTGCCCTCGTGCCCGCGGCCCATCTCTTCCAGAGCCTCACCTTGGTGTCTCATCGCTTTCACCGGATCATCTCTGACCCGCAGGTGAGCGATGCTTCCTCATTGGTTGGGTTAGAAATTAGCCAGGTGTGTTTTGCGATTGGCAAGGGCCCAATTGCACCCACGTGGAGATCTCTAGGTGCCAGGTTTAGCGACTGACATCTCCGCCCGACTGGCCCCTCCAGCTTTCTTAAGCAGGGAAGCAGAAAAGCATATTTATTGCTTTAATGTACCATATTTTTCGCTCTATAGGACGCACTTTTCCCCTCCAAAAATTAAGGGGAAATGTTTGTGCGTCCTATGGAGCGAAAGCAGGCTCCTTGGCTTCAGCGAAAGCAACGTGAAGCCTCCAAAGCGCAGAGGGAGCGCAGAGGGAGTGCACCAACCCCTCTCGCTCTCTAGGCTTCACAGATAGCCACCTGAAGCCTTTAGAGTGCAGCGGCAAGACTCTTCTGGCTTCAGCAAAAGGAACACGAAGCCTTTGGAGCGCAGCGCTTGGTCCCTCCAAAGGCTTCGGGGTTAGCGACGCAAAGCCTCCACAGGGCAGCGGGGTGCCTTCATTCCGCTGCCCTCCGGAGGCTTCGCGGGCTGTCCCAGAAGCCTCCGCAGGGCACAGGGATGAAGGCTCCCCGTGCCCTGTGGAGGCTTCGCGCAAAGCTAGACCAGCTATCCCAGCGGCTATCCCAGAAGCCAGAACAGCAAGAGGCTATCCCAGAAGCCTCTTGCTGTTCTGGCTTCTGGGATTCAGAATTCCCCCCCCCCCTTGTTTCCTCCCCCCCAAACTAGGCACGTCCTATCGTCTGGCGCAGCCTATAGAGCGAAAAATACGGTATATCCCACCGTTTTCCTCCCAAGGAGTACATGGGGAGTAGTTTGCCTGGCGCCTTCATTATACACCTTTAGGCGCCAGGCAAAAATGTTCCCTTTTAACCAGGCCTTTGGTTGATTTCACATCCTATGCCCTTTTAAAATGTGGGGGTATTTTTGGTGGGGAGCAAGGAGAGTTATTGGGTGGTTGTTCTTATTTTGATTATATATTTTGATTTTTGTCGCGTGAACGGCCCTGAGACCTCTGGGTATAGGGCAGTACAGTCATACCTCTGGTTACAGACACTTCAGGTTGCGTTTTTTCAGGTTACGGACATGCTGAAACCCGGAAGTACTGGAACGGGTTACTTCCGGGTTTTGGCTGTCCCGCATGTGCAGAAGTGCTAAACTGCGCTTTGCGCATGCACAGAAGTGTCAAATCGCAATCTGCGCGTGCGCAGACACACCACTGCAGGTTGCGAACGCTGCAGGTTGCGAACGTGCATCCCGCATGGATCACGTTCGCAACCCAAGCACCCACTGTATATAAATTCGATAAATAATAAGAATAATACATGCTTCATCCCCCCTCCTCAGTTAATCCCCGCAACGACTTTGTGAGGTAAGGTAAGACAGGGGTCAGCCAACTTTTTCAGCAGGGGGCCGGTCCACTGTCCCTCAGACCTTGTGGGGGGCCAGACTATATTTTAATTCCTATGCCCCACAAATAACCCAGAGATCCGTTTTAAATAAAAGCACACATTCTACTCATGTAAAAACACACTGATTCTCAGACCCATCTGCGGGTCGGATTGAGAAGGCGATTGGGCCAGATCCGGCCCCTGGGCCTTAGTTTGCCTAGCCATGGGTTAAGAGATATTCCTGGCTGAGTGGGGATTTGAACCCTGATCTCCCAGTCCTAGTAGGACACTCTTAACTACGACACCCCGCTGGCTTCCTAGAGAACTTCTCCTATGGGGCAGCTCTATCAATTAAGTAGGAAAGCAAAATGCCATTTAGAATAGGATGTGAAATATTTCCCATTAGTTTGTTTTATCCTGGATTGTTTTACGGGATGTTTTAATGTGTTGTAAACCGCTTTGAGATCTTTTTTCCTTTGAAATCTAAAGCGGTCTAGAAATGAAATGAAGAAGAAATTTCGCTGAGGAGAAAAGGGCACCTAAACCGTCTGTTGCGGCAACCGCAACCTAGGTTTAAGGTGCCGTTTGACGATTAGCTTATATAAAAAATAATAAATAATAAATAATCTATTATTTATACCCTGCCCATCTGGCTGGGTTTCCCCAGCCACTCTGGGCGTCTCCCAACTGAATATTAAAAACACAATACAGCATTAAACATTAAAAACCTCCCTAGACAGGGCTGCCTTCAGATGTCTTCTAAAAGTCAGATAGTTGCTTATTGCCTTGATATCTGATGGGAGGTCACTATATCTGAGTTCTTAACACTGCTTGTTTTACTCTTCTGGGAGGGAAGAATGCATAAATTAAACTTCGTTTGGTTTCCAGAAAGGAGCTGATGTATTGCTTTGGTTTTTTGCAGTTTGTTCCTTGGAAAAAACTGTACTATAAGTATCTGAAGTCTGAGACCCAGGCCCAGCTGATTGTGAAGGCAATCCTTCAACGTTATGACCTGACCCCAAAGCAGAGCTACTTTCCGCTGGGGTTTTTACGGTGAGTGATGCTTCCAGGGTGGATTTGATTTAAATCAAATCGATTTAAATCACTCGTCAGTAAGACTCGGATTTAAATCATCATTATTATTATTTTACAGAAAGACTCATTCCTGCTGGTATACTCTTAACATTTACAACCAGATGAAGCTTCCATTTTTGGAATAATAAATTTTCAGAGTTGTTTTTACAGTTATATCAAAAAAATCACTGATTTGGTTATACTATCAGAAATACATAGACACATAATTACAAAATTATGGTGAGGTTTAATAAGATAATTGTTTCTGTTTGGACAACTTTTCTGCTGTACTTTATTGGAAGGAGATAAATAGCCATTTCCTTAATAACAATTTATTTAACTAAAGCAATAACATTATAGCATATGTATCCACGTTAACTGATGTGGTTAAACTTTTTTTTGTTTTTAAACCCTTAGTCTGAGTTTTGGCGCACATGAAAAACTTAAAACAAATCCTTATTTCCTGATGAATAGCCTTTGGACTATAATGTAACTTAAATAGAAAACTATCTTTGGAAAGATTTTTCCTCCAAAAGAATTTTATTTTAAAAATCCGATTTAAATTTTAAAAATCTGATTTTTTTTTTAAACGGATCCCGTTCACATCCCGAGGTACCACTGTAGATGACAAAAAATAAAATTAAAAAATAAAATTCTTACCTGCACTGATGATAGTCATTGTTTGGATAGGGGGCCTTTATCTATTTCTGCAGTAACATAATCAGTCAACCAGTAGTTGAACTGGGTTCCACACAGTCACAAAAACAAATTAACTGAAAAGGCCTCAAAAACAAAAACGCAAAATAAATAGTAGAAACAAAAGTGCCAAACTTAATGCGTTCCGGAAGTCTGTTTGACTTCTGAAATGTTCAAATACCAAAGCGCAGCTTCTGATTGGTGCAGGCGCCCCAGAAACGATAGCCGACAGCCTCATTGGACATTCAGCTCCCGAAAAACAGTTCGAAAACCGGAACACTTTCTTCTGGGTTTTCGGCGTTTGGGAACTAAGGCGTTTGAGGACCAAGGTACCACTGTCTGTCATTTCCTGTGAAGACAGTCCTGGTGTGTGAGGGCTCCACTAACACCATATATATTTTTTTGCTTTGCCTTCCACACAGATGTGTTGCTTCTGCGAAGAGCCATCGCTGCTGGGACCCCAGAGCGATCCGCCAGTGCTTGACAAAGCACTCTCTCTTTCCCAAGGCCGAAGCCTGCCTTGCCAGCTGGCTGCCTGAGCTGTCCAGCCCCAACGCGGGAGTAAGCGTGGCATGCTTATTCTCTCTGCACTCTGCATGTTCTGCTGCAATAAGGCTGCGATCCCACTGGACATGGCAGTATGTGGCCGTTGAGCCCGGTGGCGCTTACGTCCGAGTAAACGTGCAATGCATTATATCATAGGAGAGTTGACCGTTCCCTGACGCTTTACCTCTTAGCCCTCTTCCCCATTTTTGTGTGTGTATTTAATTTGTGGCTGTCACTAAGGGGGCTTTGAGGTCATTGGAACCCCAATTAAAAGGGTTGCTTGTGACACACTGAGCATGCAAGGTGACTGTTGTTTAGTCGTTTAGTCGTGCCCGACTCTTCGTGACCCCCTGGACCAGAGCACGCCAGGCACTTCTGTCTTCCACTGCCTCCCGCAGTTTGGTCAAACTCATGTTGGTAGCTTCGAGAACCCTGTCCCACCATCTCGTCCTCTGTCGTCCCCTTCTCCTTGTGCCCTCCTTCTTTCCCAACATCAGGGTCTTTTCCAGGGAGTCTTCTCCTCTCATGAGGTGGCCAAAGTCTTGGAGCCTCAGCTTCAGGATCTATCCTTCCAGTGAGCACTCAGGGCTGATTTCCTTCAGAATGGAGAGGTTTGATCTTCTTGCAGTCCATGGGACTCTCAAGAGTCTCCTCCAGCGTCATAATTCAAAAGCATCCATTCTTCGGTGATCAGCCTTCTTTATGGTCCAGCTCTCACTTCCATACATCACTACTGGGAAAAGGTGACAGGAAGGTCTAAATCAGTGGTTCACGAATCAGGGGGTTCCCTAGAGGACACAAAGGGGAGAGAGCCATTGGTGTAAACAGTTATCGTGTTGGAAAGCGGGTGTTGCTGTACTAGGTTCATCAGCTTTGCTTAATTACCATATTTTTCCATGTATAAGAAGACCCCTATTTTTTTTAACCCAAAATTAAGAAATTAAGTTCTTTAAAGCCCTAAACGGACTCGATTCAGTATACCTGAAGGAGCGTCTCCACCCCCATCGTTCTGCCCGGACGCTGAGGTCCAGCTCCGAAGGCCTTCTGGCGGTTCCCTCCCTGCGAGAAGCAAAGCTTTGGGGAACCAGGCAGAGGGCCTTTTCGGTGGTGGCACCCGCCCTGTGGAACGCCCTCCCACCAGGTGTCAAAGAGAAAAACAACTACCTGACATTTAGAAGACATCTGAAGGCAGCCCTGTTCAGGAAAGTTTTTAATGTGTGACATTTTAATGTATTTTTAATCTTTCTTGGAAGCCGCCCAGAGTGGCTGGGGAAACCCAGCCAGATGAGCGGGGTACAAATAAATAATAATAATAATAAAGCTTTTTTGGGGGGTGGGGGAGGTCACTTCCGCCAATCGCGCACTGCCTACCCGCCACTGCCGATCGCTTGCCACAGCCACTGCCGGTCGCGCACCTTGCCGCAGCCGCCGATTGCTTACCCGTCTCGCCACAGCCGCCAACCACCTGCCCAATTGCCACAGCCAACCACCAGCAGGCCTTGCTGCAGCCACCAATCACCTGCCCAATCGCTGCTGCCAATCTCCTGCTTGCTGCTGCCATTAATTGCCTGGTTGTTTCATGATGTTCATGCTGTTCAAGTGCTCAAAATGCATTACATTCCTGGGCCACCATATTTTTCCCTGTATAACACGCCCCCATGTATAAGACGCCCCCTATTTTTGTGGCCTCCAAATTGAGAAAATGGGGAGAGATTGTATCCGTGTATAAGACGACCCACAATTTTGAACCTAATTTTTTAATAAAAAACCCTAGTCTTATACCCTGAAAAGCACGACAAGTTCTGTTATCCTTTGACAGATGGTTCTCTGGTTCCATGTTGGAACTAGGCCTGGTAAATAGCATGTCTAAATCCTAATAATAATACTAAGATTAAATTATTTGTACCATGCCCATCTAACCGGGTTGCCCCAGCCACTCTAGGCGGGTTCCAACATAATAAAACATAAAAATTATCTTTGTGATGAACCTAATTATTCTTGTTTTTTTAAATATCCTTTCCAGCCTCCGTACATTTGGGCCATATTTGCTACCATCGTGCTGATCTCTGGAGGTGTCTCTGACGTCCAGGAGTTGGTGGCTTCTGTAAGGAGACCCAGCTCCAGCCTCTCGCTAGTGGACATCATGGAAGTTCTGTACTGCATGGCCACTTTGCTGTTTGCCATGCGGGATAAAAAGATTCACATCAGCAACAGGTACGTCTGCCAAGGGAGGGGCTTAAAAGGGGGCAGGGCAGTCAAGGATCCCAGCAGCGGCGAAACCCAAGTTGCACCCTTGAACGCAGACGCACGTTTGCCTTGACTCCTTATCTACCAACTATTAAATGCCAGCTGAAAACTTTTCCGTTCCGCCAGGCCTTTGCAGAGGCAGTTAAGGATATAACCTTCCGCAGTAGTTAATTTGATACCTGTCTTTAACTCTTTAAAATGGTTTTATTGTATGGTTTTGAGTGTTCTGTGCAGTGAACCCCTTTGATTTTTTTAAAAATGAAGCAGTGGTATGCAATATATACCATATTTTTCGCTCTATAAGATGCACTTCCCCCCTCCTAAAAAGTAAGGGGAAATGTGTGTGCGTCTTATGGAGCGAATGCAGGCTGCACAGCTTTTGCTGAAGCCAGGAGAGCAAGAGGGATCAGTGCACACCAATCCCTCTTGCTCTCCTGGCTTTGCTTCGCTGGAGAGCTGCTACGCAGCTTTCACTCTCTGCGCAGCGCCCCTTTAGCGAAGCGGGAGGAGAAACGGAGCCCCTTCCGTTTCTCCTCCTGCTTTGCTGGAGATGCGCAGAGCTGAGAGGGAGAGAACATTTTTTTTCTTGTTCTCCTCTAAAACTAGGTGCGTCTTATGGTCGGGTGCGTCTTATAGAGTGAAAAATACGGTGTGAATTATTTTTTTAAAAATTCAATTCATTCTCCCGCTTGGACTACTGCAATGCGCTCTACGTGGGGCTACCTTTGAAGGTGACCTGGAAACTACAATTAATCCAGAATGCGGCAGCTAGACTGGTGACTGGGACTGGCCGCCAAGACCACATAACACCGGTCCTGAGAGATCTGCATTGGCTCCCAGTACATTTCTGAGCACAATTCAAAGTGTTGGTGCTGACCTTGAAAGCCCTAAACGGCCTCAGCCCAGTATACCTGAAGGAGCGTCTCCACCCCCATCATCCAGCCCAGAGACTGAGATCCAGCGCCGAGAGCCTTCTGGCGGTTCCCTCATTGCGAGAAGTGAGGTTACAGAGAACTAGACAGGGGGCCTTCTCGGTAGTAGCGCCCGCCCTGTGGAACGCCCTCTCTTCAGATGTGAAGGAAATAAGCAGCTATCCTATCTTTAAAAGACATCTGAAGGCAGCCCTGTTCAGGGAAGTTTTTAATATTTAATTCTGTATTGTTTTTAACACTTGATTGGGAGCCGCCCAGAGTGGCTGGGGAAACCCAGCCAGATGGGCGGGGTATAAATAATAAATTATTATTATTATTACTATTATTATTATTATTATTATTATTATTTATTATTTATTATATATCATTTCCCATAATTCTTTTATTACTTTACAGTTCCACCACACGTGGCAAAAGGTGCCTTCTTTTTCTTTGCATTTCCAGTGGATTTTTGAACTTGTCCTATACATTTTTGCTAATTTACTCGGGGTTAAATACCAGCGATACATCGTTTTCGCATCGTTTTCTTTTAATGTGTAACATGCTGTGAATCTCAAATCCCCTTTCCATGATTTCCCCCATGCTGACTTCTGTATATTGTTACCTAGGTTTATTCTTTCCATCCTCGCTTATGCTGTTAGGGACCTCTTTCGATTCATACACTCCTTCTCCCTGCGTCCTTGTAGGTTTCACTACAGCATTTTCTACTGTCTCTATCTCCTGGAGAATTCTAGCAACGGCACCACATTCGTCGAGCCGGAATGGGGCAGCTCCGTATACGAAAGATGCCCTCACTGCAGGTACTTCCTGTGTTTACGTCGAAAGCTGAAATGAACAGTGGCCGTTGCCAGCTTGCCTTGCAAGCCCTCCTGAATCTTCCAACGTTTCAGGTTCATTGGATGAGTTCTGGTGTGATGAGAGAGGGAGGAAAATTTCCTGTATCAGCTTTCTCCCTCGCGGGACAGGTTGGGGCTGCCACAGATTCGGAGAACGGGGGCTCATTTGATTGCCATGTTCTGTTGCTGTCGTTTAGTCTTGTCCGACTTTTCGGGACCCCCTGGACCAGAGCACGCCAGGACCAGACCACAAGGGTCATTCAATCTAACCCCCTGCAATGCAGGAATCTTTTGCCCAATGTGGGATTCGAACTCTTGACCCTGATATTAAGAGACACATGCTCCACCAACTAAGCAATCTCTGGGCCTGGAACCCATGGGCAGTCCGATGCAGGAATTGCAAGCTGCCCAATGAAGTGCAAAGCAATTCGTAGGAACTTAGGAAGCAGCCTTCTGCAGAGTCAGACCATTGGCCCATCTAGTATTGCCCACACTGGCTGGCAGCAGCTCTCTGGGGCTTTAGGCAACATCCGCTAAGGGGAGATGCTGGGACCTAAACCTTCTGCATGCAAGTCACGGACCTGCCACTGAGTGTTGTTGTTTAGTCATTTAGTTGTGTCCGACTCTTCGTGACCCCCTGGACCAGAGCACGCCAGGCACTCCTGTCTTCCACTGCCTCCCGCAGTTTGGTCAAACTCATGCTGGTCTCTTAGAGAACACTGTCCCAGCATCTCGTCCTCTGTCGTCCCCGTCTCCTTGTGCCCTCCATCTTTCCCAACATCAGGGTCTTTTCCAGGGAGTCTTCTCTTCTCATGAGGTGGCCAAAGTCTTGAAGCCTCAGCTTCAGGATCTGTCCTTCCAGTGAGCACTCAGGGCTGATTTCCTTCAGAATGGAGAGTTTTGATCTTCTTGCAGTCCATGGGACTCTCAAGAGTCTCCTCCAGCACCAGAATTCAAAAGCATCCATTCTTCTGCGATCAGCCTTCTTTATGGTCCAGCTCTCACTTCCGTACATCACTACTGGGAAAACCATAGCTTTAACTATATGGACCTTTGTTGGCAAGGTGATGTCTCTGCTTTTTAAGATGCTGTCTAGGTTTGTGTTCCATGCCGTGAACACGTGCCGTGTTCTAGCGTTTCATTAATCCATGTTGGTTTTGGTCCTTTTCTTCAGCAACCCTGATACACGACTCACTTATGAACAGCAGACTATCTTAAATCACGCAATTGCACCAGGGGAGGTTATGAAAATCATCGCTTTTGCAGGTAAGGTGGCTTAAGTCGACACAGAATCTTCTTCTTCTTCTTTGGCGATCCCTCGTAGCCGAGTAAGATTGTCTTCCATGGGTACGGTCTTAACAGTGAGTCCGTAAGTGACTGTGGAGGCCAATTCTGGATCCACACGTCCTTCCACAGTGGGGACATTGGTATCCGGGCGGGATTTGATCACGGTGAGGGTTTGCCAAACGTAGCTTCCTCTTAGCACATTTCTCCCTTGCGTCCTGAGTTTGAGTGTCTTCAAAGCCCATGACACCTTTGGCAAAGGCTGTTCTCCAACTGGAGCGCTCGCAGGCCAGTGTTTCCCAGTTGCCGGTGTTTATACTACTTTGTGGCCTTAAGCGTACAGGCCTTAAAATGACCGCTTGATGGCGCATGGCGCCTTTTGAACTCTCCCTACCCTCTGGTGATGGTTGTGGCATTTTCTGTGACAATTCCTTGGTTTATTCAGGCCACGAATAAACTTACTTAGTATATGTAGACCAGATTCATATATCATCATCATCATCATCATTATTTTATTATTATTATGCTGCCCTTCATAACATGATCTCAGGGCAGTTCACAGAATAAAAATACAAGATAAAAGCACAAGTAAATAATTCAGACGAAAACCGCAAACCAGCAGCCCCACTTCCCACAGACACATTTAAAAGGCTGTAGAATATTAATAAGCCAAAGGCCTGGCTGAAGAGTAATGTTTATATATGTTATAGAATATACAGTGGTACCTCAGGTTACATACGCTTCAGGTTACATACGCTTCAGGTTACAGACTCCACTAACCCAGAAATTTTACCTTGGGTTAAGAACTTTGCTTCAGGATGAGAACAGAAATCGTGCTCTGGCGGTGTGGCAGCAGCAGGAGGCCCCATTAGCTAAAGTGGTTAAGAACGGACCTCTGGAACGAATTAAGTACTTAACCTGAGGTACCACTGTATATTTATTCTGTATTTTATAACGTATAGAACACTTTGAGTCCCTGTCAGGGAAAAAGTCAGGGTATAAATAAATACGTAATGAAAAGGATGATAATAATACATCTGAATTGACAGAGTACAGCCAGTTATTGCTTCAATTTCCGTCACTGTAACTAACCAGAACATAGCTCTTTATCTAAATAAGTCTTGTTGGACTTCCCGCTCCCATCAACCCCAGTCCACGTGGTCAGCCGTCCAGCAGCTTTTGGAGGGTTGTTGCTGCTCCAGCCACGATCTACACTACAGTTTTGGAACTGTGGAAAGAGTTTCCGTTTCCTCCTCAGGGACAGGGAAGACTTCCACCCTGATCAGGTACGCCGAGAAATGGTCCCAGCTCCGATTCCTGTACCTGGCGTTCAACAGGACCATTGCGGATCAGGCGGCGCAGAGGTTCCCCCCAAACGTGACGTGCAAGACGGTCCACTCCTTGGCCTTCAAGGAAGTCGGGAAAAAGTAAGTGGCAGCCTTCTCGTGGATGTGCCCTGGTTAAATGCAGGAACACAAGCAGCGCCCTCAATGGCCCATCAGTGGCCAGCATCCTGTTCTTGCATTCGCCGGCCAGATGCATGTGGGGAGGCAGCAAGCAGAGGGCCTTCTCGGTAGTGGCACCCACCCTGTGGAACGCCCTCCCACTAGATGTCAAAGAGAAAAGCAACTACCAGACTTTTAGAAGACATCTGAAAGCAGCCCTGTTTAGGGAAGCTTTTAACGTTCAATAAGTTATTGTATTTTAGTGTTCTATTGGAAGCTGCCCAGAGTGACTGGGAAAACCCAGCCAGATGGGCGGGGTATAAATAATAAATTATTATTATTGTTATTATTATTATCTGAGCACAGGAGCAACCCTCTCTCCTCCTGTGGTTCCTAGCGACTGGTCTTCAGAAGCGTTGCTGCCTCTGACAGTGGAGGGCAGAACTTCTTCTTCTTTGGCGATCACTCGTAGCCAAGTAAGATTCTCTTCCATAAACATGGTTTTAACAATGAGTCCGTAAATGACTGTGGAGGCCAATTCTGGATCCACACACAGCCATCCTAGCTAGTAAGCTTTACAGCTGTCAGATGGCGGTGGTGGTTGCTCGTGAGTAACCAGTCAGGGCTCCGACCTGTCTCTTACAGGTTTTTATTTCGGTGCAAAACTATTTACAGTGCAGCGACGTGGGTGGCGCTGTGGGTTAAACCACTGAGCCTAGGACTTGCCGATCAGAAGGTCAGCGGTTCGAATCCCTGCGACGGGGTGAGCTCCCATTGCTCAGTCCCTGCTCCTGCCAACCTAGCAGTTCGAAAGCACGTCAAAGTGCAAGTAGATAAATAGGTACCGCTCCAGCGGGAAGGTAAATGGCGTTTCTGTGCGCTGCTCTGGTTCGTCTGAAGTGGCTTAGTCATGCTGGCTGCCGGCTCGCTCGGCCAGTAAAGCGAGATGAGCGCCACAACCCCAGAATCGGCCATGACTGGACCTAATGGTCAAGGGTCCCTTTACCTTTACCACAAGTTCATGTCTGCCTCAGTCGCTAGCAGAATCCGGGAGTGGTTGTTTCTGTCGGACTTCCGTTCAACTGAGCTACTCCTCCGGTCGAGTCCTCCGACCTGATTAATGACCTGATGAGGCTCCAGGCCCATTCTCTAATTACGCAGAGTATCCAGCCTGCATGGAAGGGTGAGAAAATATGAGCTACATTGCAAAGAGTTTTATTCCTAACTACGCAGACAGAAAAGAAATAGACATGCTCTCTCTGTGAGAGCAGAGAGCAACTGAACAACAAAGGAACAGGAAACCAGTAACATCACATCCGTCTCCTGTATTGGGTGAGACTTCCAATAGCCTGGAATCTCTGGAATGCAAAACAGAGTCTTGTGACTCCAAGAGCACAGAAATCTAACAGTTTCCGGGTCGTCCCCCGACATAATAGCTTAGTCACCCCCAGGCTTTTCCTTCCTTCTTTGCGTTTTACACCTCTGCGCAGGCTGGGCGATGGAAGAGGCGTGCTTCCCTCTTGGCCAGCTTGTCCAGGAACGGTACTGAGGCTCCCAGCAGCATCCTCTGGTCCCTTCTCCTCTTCCCCACTGGAGGTGGGGCTTTCCCCACCACAGGAAGAGAAACTGCTTCGCAAGATTTTCAGAGTTTCCCTGTAACCCAACTGCCCCTCAGCTTCCCTTCCCTGTTCCGATGGCTGTCACCTGACATCAGCCATTTGTCTAAACCCCTTCCAAGCCCATACGATCCTGGAATCCTAGAATTCCAGCATTAGAAGGGACCCCTGGGGCATCTTGCCACACTCCCTCTGATGCAGCAATTAATTCAGCTAAATAATCTTACTTGGATTTTTAATTGCTACTCTTTCGAATGTGACTGTTGGTATAGTGGAACCTCGGTTCTCGACCGTCTCCATTGACGAACGATTCGGAACCTGGACTCTGAAAACCCGGAAGTAATTGCTTCTGTTTTCGAACGCGCCTTGAAAGTCGAACGGCTTCTGCTGTGTGTTTTTCCATTTCTTTCTAACGGATTTTGCCGACCATTGATCCTCGGATTCCGAACGTTTCGAAAGTCGAGCAATCTTCCAGAATGGATTGCATTCGAAAACCGAGGTTCCACTGTTGCTTTCCTTGGCGAGTTGTGCAAACCACTATTCCGAATGATGCTTTTTGTAGAGTTGGGTCGGGGGCACCAGGGGATTAGGGCTGGGTGATGTCGGGTTTTCAACATCACCATGTGCTGCCAGCCGGACAGTGCAATCTCTGCGATGCGTCGCGATGTTGAAGCTGAGGAGCGAGCTGTTTCGTCCCTGGCACATCGAGGTGGCAGCTTGTTCCTCCAGCTGGGGGAGGAGTGTTGGGATGCGTCCGGGGAGATGGGGGTACCGTATTTTTCACTCTAAAGGACGCACTTTTTCCCCTCCAAAAATTGAGGGGAGATGTGAGATTTTGACCAGCTTTGGCCCATCTGAAGCTGATACAGGCTCGTCTTATCTTGAGCCCAAGCGGAGTGTCATCACACAGCAGAAGGATAAGCAGGTAATGTGCCACATGCTGACTTTATTTACAAGCTATGCTGAGAGCATACAAACATGCGTCCTGTCTCTGTAAGAGCAGAGAAGCAACTGTCTCTCTAACAAAGAAACTGAGAGAACCGTGAAAAACAGGAAACCAGTGTACGTCACATCCAGTCTCCCATTCCTGTGGGAACCCAACAGTAACTTAGACTGTGGAATGCAAAACAATGTCTTGTGACATGCATTCGCTGCTCAGTGAGGAAGCAGAAACCAACATGTGCGTCCTATGGAGCAAATGCAAGCTCCTTGGCTTCAGCGATAGCAACGCTAAGCCTCCAAAGCGCAGAGGGAGCACTCCCTCCGTGCTCCAAAGGCTTCGCGTTGCTTTCGCTGAAGTCTGGAGAGTGAGAGGCGTCGGTGCGCACCGACCCCTCTCGCTCTCCAGGCTTCCGGCAGCCAGCGGGATCCATCCCGCTGGCTGCCTTGGCTTGTGACAGAGCCGCGCGCTACCCCTCTGGCAGGGAGAGGTTGCGCGCATGCTGTACGCTGCTCTTTGGGGCTGGGGGGGAAATAAGATTATTTTTCTTGATTTTCCCCCCTAAAAACTGGGTGTGCCCTATGGTCTGGTATGCCCTATGGAGCGAAAAATACGGTAATTGGCTCCCAGCTGGCTCCAGCCCACCAGCCGGCAGCCGGGCGAACTCCCGTTGTCGGAACAGCATCAAAAACTGTGACTCAGGCCTCAGAAAACTTTAGAGACTGAGCGCGCAAGCCAGCAGAGATAATAACAATAATAATAATAATTTATTATTTATACCCCACCCATCTGGCTGGGCTTCCCCAGCCACTCTGGGCAGCTTCCAAAAAAATACTAAAATACCGTAATACATCAAAAATTAAAAGCTTCCTTAAACAGGGCTGCCTTCAGATGTCGTCTAAAAGTCTGGTAGTTGTTGTTCTCTTTGACATCTGGTGGGAGGGCGTTCCACAGGGCGGGTGCCACCACTGAGAAGGCCCTCTGCCTGGTTCTCTGTAACTTCGCTTTTCGCAGTGAGGGAATCGCCAGAAGGCCCTTGGCGCTGGACCTCAGTGTCCGAGTAGAATGATGGGGGTGGAGACGCTCCTTCAGATTAGAACTCATTTCAGCAGAAGTGGCAGACAGAGGCTGTGTAAAGCGTATTTACAAGCATATTATTCAGCATCAGGACAGAGGAAAAACATGTCTGCTTCCCTTTGTGTCAATGCAAACAGCATAAGCAAAAGCTATACACAACGGAAGTTGCCAGCAAGCTGTGCTGGAAGTAAACAGACATGTGACATACAACAACCCACACATCTGTTTTAAGGTGGAACGGAACATCCGAATCCTAACATGGAGGGCATCCCCTTCGGACTTCACAGTTGTAAAGTCTCTTCCTTCTCTCTCTCTCCCTCCCATTGCCCCACTTCCAACCTGGTGCAGCTACAAGAAGAAGCTCAACGCTGGCTCGCTGAGCTCCTATTGTGTCAGCTTCGTCCTCCGCAACCGCGAGGGCCAGTCGTTGTACACCAGAGCCAAGACAGTGATTGAGACCCTCTCGGCATTCTTTGCCTCCGCCGACGAATCCATTTCTACGGAACACACGCCCCTCTGGTGCAAGAACAACCAGGGGCAGCTCGTTCTTGTCCAGGAAGCAGAAAAGCGAGTGAGTATTCGTGATCAGGAGAAGCTCGGCTCCTTTATTGCTCCGGGTTTGGGCAGGAAGGCGTTGCGGGCGGGCAGCAGGCTTGCTGGTGTCAAAAGCGTCGGAAAGCCCTAGGGGCTGCTGTTGCCTCCTCACGCGTGAAACTCGCTGCCGCTGAAGGAATGGCTTTCCCAAACCCCAAAACTGACTGTGCAGGCAGTTTGAAACTGCACCAAAATCCCTATTTTTCCTTGGTTAAATTGCTTTAACTTGAGCTCTTGAGCCGAAACCCAGCTGTATAAACAAGTGCTCAGAGCCCTCTCCTTTATCAGTTTGTGGCGGCAAGTATGGCCTTGACTGTACCAGTAGAACAGGGAAGACACGTCTGTGCCTTATCTTATATCCTGACCACAAAAGACGCACAGACCTAGTCTGGGAACAGCGCCAGAGGGTGTTCTTGGAGATGGTGACCTCTTGCTCCAAGATAAGAGTAGGAACAGGAAGATCCTTTTATGATCAGAAGTATAGGAAGGAATATCCTTTTAGGGTCAGAAGTATAGGAAGGAATACCCTTTTATGGTTAAGAGTACCGGAGCAGGAACATCTGTGATGTCAACCTGCGTGTACAAGCTGACTGGCTGGATTCCTGGGGAAGTGGGGAGGGGGTGCCTGGAGGATATATACTGCATGTAATCTCTCATTTCTTTGGACTTGTTGTGGACACACCACGCAGGTGCCTTTCTGCTGTTCCGGAGAGCAGAAATAAAGAACTCTTTCTCTGAACCAGCCCTCGGTGTCATTTGACTTCCTTCCTCCTGTCTGGGAGCAACGCAGACCCAATCGGTGAACTCCAATAAGGCTACACCGCAAACGCCTTTCTCCGATTTTGGCATTCTTTGGCCCCTCGTTAGTGAGCGTCCTCCAGGCAGTTCTCGCAAAATTCAAAACAAGGAGATGTGCAACAGTCGAAGCTGAAACTGCAGAATTGCTCCATGCCCTGGTGGTCTCATGGTTTGACTGCTGTAATGCGCAATGCGTGGGGCCACCGTCACACCTGGTTTAGAAGCTGCAGCAAAATGCAGCTGCAAGGGTGCTTTGCGGGACAGCCAGCTTTGCCCATGTTATCCCAGCATTGAAAGGTGCCACTTTGCTACAGAGCAAGGTTCTAGGTTCTGTGGCTGATATTTAAAACCCTAAACAACTTGGGGCCAGGATTCCTTGCAGACTGCTCTCCTGGTACTGACCAAGCCGATGGTTTTTCTCCCCCTTTTCTTAATGACTGATTGGGTTTTGTACGTTTACAAAGCTAAATATGAAAAAAAAGGTAAGGCATAATAACAAATAGAGAAGTCTCTCATAAAACAGGCAGGGACAGCCCTCAGCTTCGATGGCTTTAAAAAAGAACTGGACAAATTCATGAAGGAGAATTGGATAAATTTATGGGGTGGGTGGGAAGGGGGGTAATATAATAATAATAATAATAATAATGGTAAAGGTAAAGGGACCCCTGACCATTAGGTCCAGTCGTGGCCGACTCTGGGGTTGCGGCGCTCATCTCGCTTTACTGGCCGAGGGAGCCAGCGTACAGCTTCTGGGTCATGTGACCAGCATGACTCAGCCGCTTCTGGCGAACCAGAGCAGCGCACGGAAATGCCGTTTATCTTCCTGCTGGAGTGGTGCCTATTTATCTACTTGCACTTTGACGTGCTTTTGAACTGCTAGGTTGGCAGGAGCAGGGACCGAGCAACGGGAGCTCACCCCATTGCAGGGATTCGAACCGCCGACCTTCTGATCAGCAAGTCCTAGGCTCTGTGGTTTAACCCACAGCGCCACCCGCGTCCCTAATAACAATAATAGTAATAATAATAATAATTTATTATTTATACCCTGCCCATCTGGCTGGGTTTCCCCAGCCACTCTGGGCGGCTTCCAACAGAACACTAAAATACAATAACCTACTAAAATGCAATAAAATACAATATTTCATGTAACATAACATTTATGGGGGAAAAATGAAAAGAATACAGTGGTACCTTGGTTGTCAAACGTAACCTGTTCCGGGAGTCCGTTTGACAACCGTAACTGTTTGAAAATCAAGGCGCGGCTTCTGATTGGCCGCAGGAGCTTCCTGCACCCAATCAAAAGCTGCAGAAGCTGCGTTGGACGTTCGGCTTCCGAAAAACGTTTGCAAACCGGAACACTCACTTCCGGGTTTGTGGCGTTTGGGAGCCGATTTGTTTGGGAGCCTAGCGATTTGACAGCCAAGGTACCACTGTATTCCAGCCATGTAAATAATAACATTAACAATACTCAAATAATTACCGTATTTTTCGCTCTATAAGACGCACCAGACCACAAGACGCACCTAGTTGTTGGAGGAGGAAAACAAGAAAAAAAATATTATGAATCTCAGAAGCCAGAACAGCAAGAGGAATCGCTACGCAGTGAAAGCAGCAATCCCTCTTGCTGTTCTGGCTTCTGGGATAGCTGTGCAGCCTGCATTCGCTCCATAAGACGCACACACATTTCCCCTTACTTTTGGGGAGGGAAAAAGTGAGTCTTATAGAGCAAAAAATATGGTAAGCAATTTATTCTGACCCACTAATAAACAAAACCTAAAGTCTACAGATCAACCTTAGTCTACAGATCATTCACATCAAACCAACAATTCCCCCCCACACCTTTAACCTTCCCCCCACACCCAGAAGTCTAGTGTCAGGACCAGCTGTTACCGTATATAATTTATATATAATTTATTACTTCTACCCCGCCCATCTGGCTGGGTTTCCCCAGAACTGCAACTAGATAATGTGTCCGAAGTTCTTTGAGCTCTTGGCGCTGCCCTTGTGCTACACTCTCACTTTGCAGCATGCTAGAAAATCTTCAGGATAATAATAATAATTTTATTATTTGTAGCCCCCCCCCCCATCTGGCTGGGTTTCCCCAGCCACTCTGGGTGGCTCCCAATAGAACACTAAAAACAGAATAAAACTTCAAAGATTAAAAACCTCCGTAAACAGGGCTGCTTTCAGATATCTTCTAAAAGTCAGATACAGTGGTACCTCGGGTTACATACGCTTCAGGTTACAGACTCCGCTAACCCAGAAATAGTACCTCGGGTTAAGAAGTTTGCTTCAGGATGAGAACAGAAATCGTGCAGCAGCGGCGCGGTGGCAGCGGAAGGCCCCATTAGCTAAAGTGGTGCTTCAGGTTAAGAACAGTTTCAGGTTAAGAACGGACCTCCAGAACGAATTAAGTACGTAACCAGAGGTACCACTGTACTTGTTTATTTCCTTGACATCTGATGGGAGGGCGCCACCACCGAGAAGGCCCTTTGCCTGGTTCCCTGTAACCTCACTTCTCGCAGGGAGTGAACCGTCAGAAGGCCCTCGGTGCTGGACCTCAAGTGGACGATGGGAGTGGAGATGCTCCTTCAGGTCTACTGGACCAAGGCCATTTACAAGTCTGGGGTGGGTAGGTCAAGTGTCTTCTAGGGACGGTCCAGCGTTTCTCGTCTCCCTTCGCAGGGGTGGGCTGTGGGGAGCAAGTTCAACCTCCGGCATCTTCAAGTAGGTCTAAAAAAGATCCCAGCCTGAAATTCTGGAGATCTGCTGCCAGCCAGAGCACGCAGTATTGAGCTGCATGGAGCAGTGGGTCTGAATCAGTTTGTAAGGCAGATTCCTCTGTTCCGTCTTCTTAGCCTGATCATTCCAGGCAATTTCCCCCCCCCCCCATCTTGTGCCTTTGTAGATCATCGTCGGCGAAGCAAACCAAATATGGGAAAATATGAAAAAGCTGGGGCCTGTCAGGGAGATGGCTTATAAGATGACTCATGATGGTAAGTGGGTGATCAGAGGTTGGGGAGAAAGGTCATGCTCCCTGCCTTGATTTGTGCCTGCAAATAATAATAATAATAATAATTATAATTATAATTATAATTATACCCCACCCATCTGGCTGTGTTTCCCCAGCCACTCTGGGCAGCTCCCAGCAGAATATTAAAAACACGATAAAACATCAAATATTGAAAACTTTTCTGAACAGGGCTGCCTTCAGATGTCTTCAAAAAGTCAGTTGTTTTTCTCCTTGACTTCTGACGGGAGGGCGTTCCCCAGGGAGGGTGCCGCTACTGAGAAGGCCCTCTGTCTGGTTCCCTGTAACTTGGCTTCTTGCAGTGAGGGAACTACCAGAAGGCCCTCGGAGCTGGACCTCAGCTTTTGGGTGCTTGTAGAAATCCCAAAGTGGTGTTGATGAGTCATGGTTTTGCTGCTATAGGTGTAGACACCTATAGGCTTAAAAAAAACCCATGGATGGCGTTACATTGCACTCCGAATTAATATTTTTTGATGAATGTTGTGTCCTCCTTTCTAGGCTACTTGAAACTCTGGCAGCTCCAAAAGCCTTCTCTTTCTCACTACGATGCAATCTTCGTTGATGAGGCCCAAGACTGCACCCCTGGTGAGTAATATTTTGGGTTGCACTGAAAAGAGTTTGACTTTTTCCAAGCCCCGCTCTCATAAACAGGGTGAAGGTGTTCTCTTCCTTTAAAATCGACGTAGGCAGATTTGTCACTGCGAACATTTGGCTAAAAGGGCAGGAGGGATCTGTCGTTTTGCAGCAAAAGACTTTGCTTCCAGACTGTTTATTATTATTTTCATTTCTATACCGCTTTATATATATATTTTTAAAAATCTCAGAGCAGTTTACAGAATATAAAAACATCAAAAAAAATCAATAAAACAATCTGAAGAAAGCCAAATATAGACTATACAGTGAAAACAACATAATTAACAGAAAACTCAAATATTATCGCAAAGATTTCAAAACAAAACATTACAAAGGAGGTCAGCTACTGAATACATATTTAACACAAACAAACAAATCTTAAACATTAAACAATACGCATTGGAGACCCAGGGTGCATATTTCAGTTTACTCATATGATTCGATAATCTTTATTGTCATTGTCCCATACAGAACAACGAAATTGAAAATCTACATCAGACATTCAGAAACCAACAAGCCTGCTATCCCAGCTATCCCAACCTGGTTAGCCCCCTAAAAACTCTGATACCCCATTTTAAAATACAATATACTCCCATAGAGACTCCTTACACTGAGTTTAAAACCAAAATCGCATTTGGGTAGAAACTGTTTCTCAGGCGGCTAGTCCTAGTCTTGATAACCCTGTACCTTCTTCCAGAAGGCAGAAGCTGAAAGAGATCATTTCCAGGGTGCGCACTATCCTGCGCTATCTCTGCAGCTTTCTTATGACACCTGGAAGCATAGATTTGATCCAAGGTGGGAAGAGTGCACCCAATTATTCTCTCCGCAGTCTTTACAACCCTGGACAGCATTGTTTTTCCCCTGACCGTGCAGCTCCCAAACCACACACACAGACCATAAGTTAATACACTCTCAACACTACAATGGTAAAATGCCATCAACAGGTCCTTTGAGAGACTGTTTTTCCGGAGGATTCTCAGAAAATATAACCTCTGCTATGTTTCAGATGGGATGTGGATGGCGCTGTGGGTTAAACCACAGAGCCTAGGACTTGCCGATCAGAAGGTTGGCGGTTCTAATCCCTGTGACGGGGTGAGCTCCCGTTGCTCGGTCCCTGCTCCTGCCAACCTAGCAGTTCAAAAGCACGTCAAAGTGCAAGTAGATAAATAGGTACTGCTCCAGCGGGAAGGTAAACAGCGTTTCCGTGCGCTGCTCTGGTTCGCCAGAAGCGGCTTAGTCATGCTGGCCACATGACCTGGAAGCTGTACGCCGGCTCCCTCGGCCAATAAAGCGAGATGAGCGCCGCAACCCCAGAGTCGGCCATGACTGGATCTAACGGTCAGGGGTCCCTTTACCTTTACCTTTTTATGTTTCAGATATTAATGGCGGTTGACATTTAGAAAGATAGACTTGTGGAAGCGATGAGTTTTTAGGTGTGGTATTGAGAATGTTGCTGGGCGGCTTCCAACAAAAGAGTAAAAATACATTAAAACATCGATCATGAAAAACTTCCCTAAACAGGGCTGCCTTCAGATCATTGAAGGCAATTCTGCCCGTCTGTACCGCTCTTCCCTGTGAAAAATTCACCACGACCTGCATAAACATAAGTTTTTCAGTGTACGGTTGTGAAGTTTTGCTTCTCTTTCTGAATACGCCATTCCTCTCCCTGCAGCTATCATGGACATTGTCCTCTCCCAGTCGTGTGGGGCCATCTTGGTAGGAGACCCTCACCAGCAAATCTATTCCTTCCGCGGCGCGGTCAATGCGCTGGCCGAAGTTTCTCACACCCACATGTTCTACCTCACAAAGGTGAGCCTCCGCAAACCTTCGCTTGGGCCCAGGTGCTTTATTCCGCATTCCCATTGGGGCAACCCACATTCCAGTGGCGGGCAGTTCCAGAGGCAAAACTGGGCAGGGCGGCAAATGCGAATTAGGGGGCGTCTTATACGCAGGGACAGGGACGCGGGTGGCGCTGTGGGTTAAACCACAGAGCCTAGGACTTGCCAATCAGAAGGTCGGCGGTTCGAATCGCCGCGATGGGGTGAGCTCCTGTTGTTCAGTCCCTGCTCCTGCCAACCTAGCAGTTCGAAAGCACGTCAAAGTGCAAGTAGATAAATAGGTCCCGCTCTGGCGGGAAGGTAAACGGCGTTTCCGTGCGCTTCTCTGGTTCGCCAGAAGCGGCTTAGTCATGCTGGCCACATGACCCGGAAGCTGTACGCCGGCTCCCTTGGCCAGTAAAGTGAGATGAGCGCCGCAACCCCAGAGCCGGTCACGACTGGACCTAACGGTCAGGGGTCCCTTTACCTTTACCTATATGTGGGGACATCTCCCCCCATTTTCTTAAATCTGAGTCCCCCAAAGTAGGGGGCGTCTTATACATGATAGCGTCTTATAGACAGAAAAATACACTACGACTACCTCTAGTAGTAAGGAGCTTGGAAGTCTAAACCCAGGTAGGAGAACGGCGGCCCAGTTTCCAGAGCATCTTTTCCAATCTCTGCTCTGTTTGCTTGCTTCACTTCTACAGAGCTTCCGGTTTGGTTCCGAAATAGCTTACGTCGCCGCTACTCTCCTGGACGTCCTCAAGAAAGTTCGAAAGCAGACGTTGGTCGGAGGCAGCCAGGAAGGTGAGACATTCAGCTCAGCCGTATTCCTTTTTTTATTTTTTTAAGGAAGCACCGAGGTGGATTTGATTTAAATCAAATTGATTTAAATCACTAGTCAGTAAGACTTGATTTAAATCATTTTTTTTTCTTTTGCAGAAAGACCTTCCTGCTGGTATAATCTTAATATTTACAACCAAGTGAAGGTTTCATTTTTGGAATAATAAATTTTCAGAGTAGTTTTTACAGTTATATCAGAAATTACTGATTTGGTTATACTATTAGAAATAGATAGACAGATAATTATGAAGTTATTGTGAGGTTAAGTTAACAGTTTATATTTGGACAACTTTTCTGCTGTACTATATTGGAAGGAGAAACATAATCATTTCCTTAATAATAATTAAAACAATTTATTTAACTAAAACAGTAACATTGTAGCATATGTATCCATGTTTGTTAACGGCTGTGGTTACATTTTTTTTTCATTAAAAGAACAAACTTATACTGAGTTTCAGCACACATGAAAAACTTAAAACAAATCCTTGTTTCCTGATAAATAGCCTTTGGACTATAACATAACAAATAGAAAACTATATTTAGAAAGATTTTTTCCTCCAAAAGCATTTTATTTTAAAAATCCAATTTATTTATTTTTTTAAAAGTCTGATTTGAATTTAAAAAATCCATTTCAAATATATATATATATATATATATTTGAGAAAAAAAATCATGGTTTTTGATCCACCCTGGGAAGCACTGATTCTCTCAGCTCGGTCTGTGACAGATACTTTGCTTCGCTTTTTGGCAGGTGATATCACCGGGGCTGATGTGACGGGGAAAGTAACTCGCTTGTCTCGGTGCAACCAAACCGTCTTCGAGGATGCTGTGAAACTTACAAATGGAGAACCACCGGATAAAATACACATCCTTGGGGTATGGAACTAGCTATACACAGGGTGGGGTGGTGGGGAGGAGGAGAAAAAAGTTATGGGGTTTTGCTTGGAGCCCTGGATTTCAGGGGTGAGAACAGACATCACATTTTTAATGTGCCAGGGCTGTTCTTCAACCACTCTCTCGACATTAAGTTCAAATGGGATCTAGGGGTCTTGTTGTGGTTTAGTCGTTTAGTGGTGTCCGCCTCTTTGTGGCCCCCTGGACCAGAGCATGCCAGACACTCCTGTCTTCCACTGCCTCCCGCAGTTTGGTCAAACTCATGCTGGTAGCTTCAAGAACACTGTCCCACCATCTCGTCCTCTGTCGTCCCCTTCTCCTTGCGCCCTCCATCTTTCCCAACATCAGGGTCTTTTCCAGGGAGTCTTCTCTTCTCCTGAGGTGGCCAAAGTCTTGGAGCCTCAACTTCAGGATCTGTCCTTCCAGTGAGCACTCAGGGCTGATTTCCTTCAGAATGGATAGGTTTGATCTTCTTGCAGTCCATGGGACTCTCAAGAGTCTCCTCCAGCACCAGAATTCAAAAGCATCCATTCTTTGGCGATCAGCCTTCTTTATGGTCCAGCTCTCACTTCCATACATCACTACTGGGAAAACCAGAGCTTGAACTATACGGACCTTTGTTGGCAAGGTCCCTCCAAGTCCAACGTCCTGTCCGCTCCCAGAGTCTATGTGCAATTCACCCTCCTTTTATTTTTTGTTAGGGGCTTAAAGCCTTTGGCCTGGAGAAGATCCATGACATATGGAAGCTCCTCCATCCCGAATGTAAGTACTTTGGCTAGTGTAAACACTCCTGCGGTTTCGTTTCTGGGTCTGTGCCTCAACTGGGGAAAACTGGGCCATTAGAGCATTTTCTGCTCATAATGGCGGACTTTGCTGGCGAGTGCCAACAGGACTGTGACCAAAATGGGGCCATTGGGAAATGAGAGGGAAGTACCTTGGTTGTCGAACGCCCTGGAACTCGTACGTTTTGGCTCCTGAACGCTGCAAACCCGGAAGTGATTGTTCCGGTTTGCGAACGTTCTTTTGGAACCTGAATGTCTGATGGGGCTTCCGCGGCTTCTGATTGGCTGCAGGAGCTTCCCGCAGCCAATCAGAAGCCGCGATTTGGTTTTTGAAAGTTTTGGAAGTCAAACGGATTTCAGGAATGGATTCCGTTCGACTTCCAAGGTCCAACTGTATTGAGTTTGTGGGAGAGCCCCAGGGTCTACAGAAGCACCAGAATCAAATCAAATCAAAAACTACAATAAACCCAATGAAGACTGGCGATTTCAGAAAGCTGTTGAGGGAGAATGGAAAAGTAAAGGAGATTGGGAATGGAGTGGAAGGAAGTAGACACAGCTTGCTGACAGTCGAACACTGAACAGAAGCGTCTCAAACCATAGCATTTTGTTACAAGCCCCGCTTGCGCCACCTAATTCAAATCACACATAATGCAAAGCCATGGTTTATTAAACCACAGCTTAGTGTTGTGGGTGAACCCTGCTTGACTGTGGTTTGTTTCCTCTCAACATACCGTTATATGAAGCTGCAGCTTGTTGGCCCGCAAACTTCGGCTTGCTTTAACAATGGCTTGGTGTTACATGTGAACTCGACACCCTTGTTGGGTGTTGCAAGCCGCTTGTTGGATCACCTGTGGGACAACTTACGGTTATATAATATAATAATAATTTATTATTTGTACCCCACCCATCTGGCTGGGTTTCCCCAGCCTCTCTGGGCGGCTTCCACAGAGACCAAAAATACACTAAAATGTCACGCATTAAAAACTTCCCTGAACAGGGCTGCCTTAAGATGTCTTCTGAATGTCAGGTAGTTGTTTATCGCTTTGACATCTGATGGGAGGGCGTTCCACAGGGCGGGTTAATACATGGGTGGTTAAATAGACCGTGGCTTGCCATCATGTGTGAACCAGGCCACTGGGTCAGGAAACTCCCGATAAGGATGTCCAGAATCTAATGGTAATGCAGACAAGATGGGGGATTTTACTGTGATGGGCCTAGGTTCAGAGGTGAGATGGGAGCAGATCCAGGACTGAGCGATGTATGGACTGGGATCCCTGCAGATGGGCTGAGCGAAAGGTGCAAGGCATGATGAATGGATTTGCTAGTTCAGGCAGAAGAACTCGCTGGCAGAGTTGATCGGTTGATTTACGTGTGAACTGCCCACCAATAGCCTCTTCCTACATCAAGGCAACTGGGAGGAACTCCCCGTTTTCCTTGGAAGCCTTGCCTTCTCTGCATCATTTTGTCCCTGCTTGTGTGTTCCCAGTGAAACTTGAGGTGATGGACCCCTTTATCAAAAAGTGGGTCGATAAGGGCTTTGCAGGCCTCAAGGACTACGCAGCAAAGTCCGAAGATAAGCAGCTGGAGATGAAGATTGCCATTGTGGAGAAATACAAGGACCGCATCCCGGAACTGGTGGAAAGAATAGAGCAGTGCCATGAGTCCATTCCAGAGATCGCAGGTAAGAGGAGCACAAGGCAACTTCTTTGCTTTCAAGGCCAGAAGAGGAAATAAAACTTGACATGTTTTCTCAAGGACTGATTACTTTTACAGTGGTACCTCAGGTTAAGTACTTAATTCGTTCCAGAGGTCCGCACTTAACCTGAAACTGTTCTTAACCTGAAGCACCACTTTAGCTAATGGGGCCTCCTGCTGCCGCCGCCATGTGATTTCTGTTCTTATCCTGAAGCAAAGTTCTTAACCTGAAGCACTGTTTCTGGGTTAGCGGAGTGTATAACCTGAAGAGTATGTAACCTGAAGCGTATGTAACCTGAACCGTATGTAACCCGAAGTACCACTGTAGCTTAAATAATGATAATAATAATAGTTTATTATTTCTCCCCCGCCCATCTGGCTGAGTTTCCCCAGCCACTCTGGGCGGCTTTCAACAGAATATTAAAATACAATAGTCCATTAAACATTAAAAGCTTCCCTAAACTGGGCTGCCTTCAGATGTCTTCTAAAAGTTTGGTAGTTATTTTTCTCTTTGACATCTGGTGGGAGGGCGTTTCACAGGGCGGGTGCCACTACCGAGAAGGCCCTCTGCCCGGTTCCCTGTAACTTGGCTTCTCGCAGGGAGGGAACCGCCAGAAGGCCCTCGGCGCTGGACCTCAGCGTCCAGGCAGAACGATGGAGGTGGCGACACTCCTTCAGGTATACTGGACCGAGGCCGTTTAGGGCTTTCAAGGTCAGCACCAACACTTGATGGCAAGCCGGTTGAAACTGTGGGAGTCGAGTCTGTTTTGGTTTTTGGTTTTGGTTAAAGGGGAAAAGATGCAGTCTCTTAAAAAGAGAATTTCTTAGATGCTAAGGTTTGGGGCAAGTATTCTTTGGTAAGAGAACCCCAGCAGAGAATTAAAATCACAGCAGATATTTAAAATCACTTTTGCAGCAAAGCGAAGCATGGAAATATAGGCTATTCGACCTTTAAAACATCCCCTTCTAAGTTACTTCCAAAGTTCCTACTTCCTGTAGCGTAAAAAGAGACCACACGTTTGGCAAGTTAAAAACGGTTTACTTACAAACTCTTCAAAGTACAGATTCGTGTGCTTTTCCATACGGCAGTAAGAAAACACAGGCAGTAAAACGTAGGTTCCAAAGTGTGGTGAAGGTTTCTAAATTATTTGTATGGAAGCACAATGATGGCTTGCTTAAACCACGTGATCGAAGCTCGGAGCATCCAGCTCGCCCCTCCTTAATGGTAGAGTTCACATGGAGAAATGCGAAGAACAGACGTTGCATAACCCTTCTTTCTAAGGCATGGGGGAGTAGTGACCTAGCTAGGCCCGGCAGGACAGCTTCCTCCGTGGTCTTAACCCCTTTGTGCATTAATTAGACTTAAGCCTGTTGGTTATATGATAGGGTTACCAGACGTCCCCGGTTCCCGGGGACAGTCCCCAGATTTGCAAATCTGTCCCCGGACAAATTCTGTCCCCGGAATTTCCCCAGATTTGCACATCTGTCCCCAGCAAACATGGCAGCGGCAGCCTCAGCAGCCCGGAGCCAGCCTGGTAGCGCAGTTGGCTCTGGCTGGCTCCGGGCTGATGACTGCTGCTGCTGCCACTGCCAAAGGGAAACCGGGGACGTTTGGCGGTACAGATCTCCTGCTCCCTTCCCCCTTTTGACTGATGGGGGAGGCCTGGGAGTTGCAGGCGGGCAGCCGTTGCCCAGGAGGGGCGCAAGGCGTGTGGTTTCTCTGCCAGGCAAGGTGCAAAGCTCTTTCACACCCTGTGAAACATAAATGCGCAGTTTTTTAAAAAAACGGGGCAACGGCGCGCCGCCAGCCCATGACTCCCGAGCCTCCCTGATCTCCTGCCCCCTGCCCCCTTTGTTTTGACAGATCGGGGGAGGCTCAGGAGCCGTGGGCAGGCGCCATTGTCCAGTTTTTTAAAAATACTCTGCACATTTATGTTTCACAGGGTGCGAAAGAAGGGCTTTGCACCTTTCTACAATATGCATGTGTGCTTGGGCCCAGGGTCTTTGGCCTCACCATCCCCACTACTGACTCCCTGTTGCTACTCAGCTTCCAAAAAAAAAAAAAAAAGTGTCCCCGGGTTCATTGAAAAGAATCTGGTAACCATATTATATGAGGCTGGTTATCCCACAAAATCCAAGCAAGTTGGAGAGCCTAAAAACTCTTGTTGTGCCAGGTTCACTTTTATGCTCTCTGCCTTGCCTCGGGGGCAAGGCCCTCTTGGTTCGCAGGTTCTGGGAGTACTGGGAATTCTTTCTCTCTCCCCTCCCTCACCCACTAGCCACGGGGGCTGCTCCAAGGGTTTGGGTATACCCAATTTTCACCCTTGGAACCGACCCCCCCCCAAATAAGATGCCAACTTAATGGGCTTAGGATTTTATTTATGTTAAGTGATGAATTAATACATTAAATTCTATAAGGTGAAGATTTAAGGATGTTAATGTTTAAGTTAAATTTCATAAAAATTGGGATTTGGAAAACCGTTAAAAGGACATGCAATCAAATTCAACCAAGGGGAAGCGAGGAAGTCACTTAACAAAGTTAATAACTGTAATTTTTAATAAGGCTATGATTTATGTTTGTTTGTCTTGTGTGTTTCTTTGTTTGTTTGTTTATAATATTGTGAAAACCTATAAAATGTTTGGAAAAAACCAACAACAAATAAGATGCAATTGCACTGTACTCGAACTGCCCTCTCACTGGAGAAGAGGAGGTTAAGGGGTGATATGATAGCCATGTTCAAATATATAAAAGGATGTCACATAGAGGAGGGAGAAAGGTTGTTTTCTGCTGCTCCAGAGAAGCGGACACGGAGCAATGGATCCAAACTCCAAGAAAGAAGATTCCACCTAAACATTAGGAAGAACTTCCTGACAGTAAGAGCTGTTCGACAGTGGAATTTGCTGCCAAGGAGTGTGGTGGAGTCTCCTTCTTTGGAGGTCTTTAAGCAGAGGCTTGACAACCATATGTCAGGAGTGCTCTGATGGTGTTTCCTGCTTGGCAGGGGGTTGGACTCGATGGCCCTTGTGGTCTCTTCCAGCTCTATGATTCAAAAATTCAAATTCAAATTATCTCACGGTTACAGGATTGTGACTGTCGAAAGGCTTGTTTGCCTCTTTGACGCCGATGGACCATATTGTCTAATATTGTTCATGCAACAGTGATGGACTTTCATTTTCTCTGATTATATTACATACTCTCTGTTTAAGAGTTGCTATGCTTGGAGCTTCTATTACCGCACGATTACAGGATTGGGACTGTTGAAAGGCTTGCTTGCCTCTGTGATATTGATATTGACCTTCTCTCATTTTGTTCATACAATATTGATTTATATTATCATTTGTATCTCCGTCATATATTTTCTGTCTAAGAACTGTGAAATAATACATGTTACATATATTCTGTTAGAACATGATTAGCCACATGTTGCCTGTTATTGTTTAAAGTTTATAATAATAATAATTTTTATTTATACCCCGCCCTCCCCAGCCGAGGCCGGGCTCAGGGCGGCTAACAAACAATAATAAAAACAACTTGAATGAATACAACTTAAAAACAAGATTAAAATACAACATTAAAATATTGAAGCATTAAAATATTAAAATGCAGCCTCATCACAGGAGGAGAAAGGAAAAAGAAAAAAGAAAGAGGGAGAGGGAATCAAATTGGTTCCAAGCCAAAGGCCAGGCGGAACAACTCTGTCCTACAGGCCCTGCGGAAAGAAATCAGATCCTGCAGGGCCCTGGTCTCATGAGGCAGAGTGTTCCACCAGGCCGGGGCCAGTGTTGAAAAGGCCCTGGCTCTGGTTGAAGCTAATCTAACTTCCCTATGGGCTGGGACCGCTAAGGTGTTGCTGTATATGGACCTTGAGGCTTTCCGTGGGGCATACTGGGAGAGGTGGTCCCATAGGTATGAGGGTCTTAGGCCGTGAAGGCCAAAACCAGCACCTTAAATCTGACCCTGTACTCCACTGGGAGCCAGTGCAGCTGGAAAAGCACTGGGTGAATATGCTCCCATGGCAGAGACCCTGTGAGGAGCCTCGCTGCAGCATTCTGCACCCGCTGGAGTTTCTGGGACAGCTTCAAGGGCAGCCCCACATAGAGCAAATTACAGTAGTCAAGCCTGGAGGTGACCATTGTATGGATCACTGTGGCCAGGTTGGGTTTTTGCAACACAGGGGATTTCCTTTGTTAATCTCACAAGCCCAACATGTTGATTTTTCACTTTGCCTCCTTCAGATCATGTCTTGGGGACCGTCCATAAGGCCAAAGGCTTGGAATTCGACACTGTCCAAGTGGCCGACGACTTCACGAGCAGCATCAGCCTAACTGTCATGCAGCAAGCCTTCGAGAGGATACCCATTTTACGCACCAGTAAGGAAGACTTTCTCCCTTGACCTCCTCTCCTCCATTTTATTTTAGCGCTGCTGTTTAAAATGTAGCGTTCCCAAAGCAAGGAAAAATTGGACCCTGATTAATAGAATACACACATGGCTTGACCAGCAAGACTCTGGGAGGAGGTGCCAATAATAATTCCTCTCTACCCCTTGGTCCAAGGGACGCGGGTGGCGCTGTGGGTTAAACCACAGAGCCTAGGGCTTGCCGATCAGAAGGTCGGTGGTTCGACTCCCCGTGACGGGGTGAGCTACCGTTGCTCGGTCCCTGCTCCTGCCAACCTAGCAGTTCGAAAGCACACCAGCGCAAGTAGATGAGTAGGTACCGCTCCAGCAGGAAGGTAAACTACATTTCCGTGTGCTGCTCTGGTTCGCCAGAAGCGGCTTAGTCATGCTGGCCACATGACCTGGAAGCTGTATGCTGGCTCCCTCGGCCAATAAAACGAGATGAACGCCGCAACCCCAGAGTCGGCCACGACTGGACCTAATGGTCAGGGGTCCCTTTACCTTACCCCTCAGTCCAGGTCATTTTATTCACAAAAGAACTTTTTACACAGTGTTCGTAAGAACCAATCAGATTTCCTCTGAGCATTTCAAAAAAACCCACGTGGGACAAAGTCAGATCAGAAGAAATTCTTTTAACTACAAAGACTACTTGGAACATTCATACGTAACTGAGAGTAAATAAAACAGGACTAGAGGAATGCATTCAGCAAACCTGGAGATCATAAATCTCTTCCTGAACTCTCTTCCTGGCCCTAAGATTAACAAAACTAATAATAGCTACACCAAAGAAGCTACCTACTATCTTTATGACCCAGGATGCCTGGTGAGCAACCAGTCTGTATTTAGAATGCTTATACGTGCCTGTCAGGCGTAGAGAAAGCAAATGGCAGAGGTGCAGAGGCTTGTGGGATTGGATCAGAAATTATTGCCAATGAATCAAACCCAGTCAAAGCCATGCTTTCATCGTGGACACAGTGGCTTGGTGCATATTTTATAATTCCTCACAGCAATCCCATCTGATCACTACAAAAATGTTTCAACATTCAGCTTCAATGGATAACGCTGGGTTACCCCCCCATGCCTCCCTTTACTTTTCTTCCAGCGATAAAGCCCGCAGTGCTGTTACCTTTCCTCGTAGCTGTCAAGGGCGCACCCCAGCAGATAGGGAACGCTTTCTCATCTAGCTGAATGCCCAGTTGTGCTGGTCCCGGGGGGGGGGGGGGTACCGTGTGGTGTGGTCTGAGTCCGGTCCTAGGTTGAGGGTCTGGAGGCTGTCCGTCAAGGGCGAAGCGGGGTCCAAGGCAAGAAGCCGGGCGTGGTCAGGAACTCTGGAAGAGCAGGACAGGGTGCTGGCAGGAACAGGTTACCAATGATGTTGCTCCCGCAACCTGGGACCGGGCTGACTGGCCTTTATCTTCTCTGAGGCCAGGGGCGGTCCCAGCCCACAGGTGACCCGCCTCTCCTCCTGAGAGAACCCAGTTCCCTCCGCCTCTCTGCCCTGAGCCTCTGCAGCTCAGGAGAGGCTGGAGGGTTACTGGACCCAGAGGCAACCTCACCTTCCCCTGACAGGGCTGGGAGAGGAGCACCTGCAGGCAATGGGTCCTCCATCACCTCCGGAGCCAGAGTGGATTCATCTGGTGTCTGCTCCTGAGGATCCGGCACAGGTGAGGACCCTTCAGGTTCAAGCCCCTGCCCCGGCTCAGCCGGCACTGGAGGCGGGGACTCCTGTGCAGGCTAGGATTCCTCAGGTTCAGCCTCTGAATTGGATTCCCAGGCCATCACACCAGTTTAGTGCCTCGGCATTGTGATTTTATGTACTGTATTTTTCGCTCTATAAGACGCACCTAGTTTTTGGAGGAGGAAAACAAGGAAAAAAATATTCTGAATCCCAGAAGCCAGAACAGCAAGTGGGATCACAGCGCAGCGATCCCGCTTGCTGTCCTGGCTTCTGGAATAGCCGCGTGCAGCCTCTCCCTGGCAGCGGGATGAAGGCTCCTGTTGCCCACGAGGGGCTGCACGCGGCTAAGGCTCCCCCAAGAGCCGTACTCCCTTTAAAGTGTGCGTGGAGCGACTTCCGGGGGGCGGCGCGAACGGCAATGGCGGTCTTCTCCCGACGGGAGAAGAAGCTCCGCTGAAATCGGGTCGTCCGCTACGGCGAAGCGGAGACCCAACGAGAAAAACCCCAGGCAGCAAGAGCCTGGGGTCCTGAGGCTCGGCGGGCGCCAAGAGCAGCCCTCCAACTGCAGAAGGAGCCTCGTAAGGGGCTCCGGAGCGTGGAGGGGTTGCGGCGCTGTGAGCCGCTTCACAGTCAGCGGAGTGAAGCCGCGCTGCCGCTGCCGGTGAGCGCTGATCCCTTTTCCTGTTAAAATTCGGACCTGGAAGAAAACAACTTACTCGTGAGTAAAGACTGAATCACTTGGAATTACAAATTTTAAATGAGAAGGTTTAATTTGGCTTGAATTTGGCTGAAAGCGGAGAGACGTGGAAACAGGAAGTCCGTCTTCCGCTGCCATTGAACTTGGAAAAAAAAGCAACTAAGGCGGAGGAGTGGAGGCTGAAAGAAAGAGACTTTAAACTCTACACAGCCAAGCATCTATGGAACTTACAATTTAAAGTAAAACTAGTAAGTTAAAGATTTGGATCTTTTATTTGTACTTGACTTTCCCCCTTTTATTGGATTATAAATTGGAAGGTGAAACCCAGAGTCAGGATTGCTTGAGCACTGTAAGAGCGAGCTGTCAGTGTTGATTTGGATACTGTATATTAGAAGTTGCAACAATCTGAGGGTATTGAGACCTTTCAAATTTGAAACATTCTTTTTGGAGACAAATAAGCACTGTCTGCAACAAAGTGAATACTTTTAAACTCTGCTTAATACTTATATTGGAAGGTTCTGGGACATTAAATCAGACTCTGAAAGACATCTTAAGCTCCCCTAGAGGATTGGATTAAAACAGTGACTTTACAAATACATTTACTTTCGATTCCCTTGTTGTTTGCTTGCTCTGGGCCTCTCTATTCCTGTGGGAAAAACTCAGTGTGACCTTGACTGATAGATAACATTGGAATGAGTGGTACAAGAAGAAGAGGAAGAGGCAGACAAACAACTTTAACAACTCTAACCACAGCCTCGCAGACACGTAGATCATCTGTGCCTACTTTGCCCTCAGAAGTACAACTTGAAGAAGCTGACTTGCCACAGGCAAAAGAGGGAGAGGGTGAAGCAGAGCAGTTACAATTGGAAGATATGGCCTCAGGATCATCTGTTTCTGTGCTAGAAAAAATCTTTGAAAAATTGGAAGCTTTGGACAAGAAAGTAGATGCGCAATCAGCAAAGATTGATAAAAATACAGACTGTCTAAACAAATTAACTACACAGGTGGGACAGAATACACAAGCAATTGGACAGTTGACGGAGGCCTCAGTAGAAAACCGAAAATTGGCTGAGGATACCAGACAAAAATTGGAAAATTTAGAGCAAGAGGTAAGACCACTCACTAAACAAGTTGGGGAACATCAGACTTATCTTTCTATGATAGAACTGCGAAATCGTGAGAATAATTTGAGGATTAGATCATTACAAGAGGCAGAAGAAGGAAATCTAACTGAGTTTTTGACTAAAGAACTTTCCAAGTTCTGGAATTTGGAAGAAAAGGATTTTAAAATTGTGTCAGCTTTCAGACTTGGAAGATTTATAAAGAAGGAGAGGCCCAGGGATTGTTTGATTACATTGAGATCGAAGGAGGAAAGGGATAAGATTTTGGGTCTACATTACGAAAAGTCACTGGAGGTTTTGGATAGAAGAATTGAGATATATAAAGATATCCCAAGACAACTGTTGGACCTTAGAGCCGCCTACTCTGAACTTGCTAAACTACTAAGGAGCAACGCAATTCCATTTAGGTGGGAATTTCCCCAAGGATTATCTTTTACCTTTAGAGCGAGAAAGGTCAAAATTAGAACATTGGAAGAGAGAGATAAATTTCTGGCTACATACGGAGAGGACCTACATAAAGGAATTGAACTACCTTCCGGGCCTGGGGCAAAGCCAGCGTCAATACCTCCACCTGGGGAGCTTGAAGACCCAGAGAAGACACCACCCCGGGAGAAATAACCAGACAGATCCAGGATGTCTCTGCAACTGTTGAGCTGGAACATTAATGGTTGCAATATTCCGGAGAAAAGGAAGAAAATATTTCATATATTAAAAAGAACAATTGGACATTATTTGCTTACAAGAAACACATGTGACGAGGCTCCACAGAAAAGTGTTAATAAATAAAAGATTGGGCCAGGAATTTATTTCGTCGGACAAAGTGAAGAAGAGAGGAGTGGTGATATATGCAAAAGAGAGCCTGTCACCTAAATTTCTATTTAAAGATGAACATGGAAGGATTTTGGCTATTGAGATACAATATCAAGGAGAGAAACTGCTGATATTAGGAATCTATGCGCCCAATGAAGGGAAATCGGAATTTTACAAGAAGTTGCAGGGGACAATGCTGGATCATCTGGATTACAACAACATCATAATGATGGGAGACATGAACGGGGTCGTGTCAACTAACATGGACAAGTCGCAAAGTCAAAATGTCACAAAAGATGGCAGACTACCTAAAACCTTTTTGAAATGACTGACAATATGGACTTGATTGACATTTGGAGAACAAAGAACCCACTAGGTAGAGAAGGAACATTCTTTTCTGAAGCCCAACTGACCTGGACAAGAATCGACCAAATATGGATCTCTAGAGGCCTGGCACCTAGGGTTAGAAAAGTGGAAATCTGCCCAAAGACCTGCTCTGACCACAACGCAGTAAAGATGGATATGACACTACTACCAACTGGATCCTTTAGATGGAAGATGAATGACAATTTGTTTAGAGATCAGGAAATTACCAAGAAGGCCCAAAAGTTTTGAAAGACTATTTCGAGATAAACATGAACAATTCGGTGGAAAAAAGAATCGTCTGGGACGCAAGCAAAGCTGTCATGAGGGGATTCCTGATACAACAGAATGTAGTAAAGAAAAAAACACAAAATGAGAAAGACAAGATTTTGGATAAAATAAAAGAATTAGAGAAGAAATTAAGAGTGAATCCAAAGTCACAGCCAACTCTGAGAGAAATTAAACTGTATCAAACACAATACTCTAAATTGATAAATCAGGAAATTGAATGGAAGATTAAATTAATGAAACAAAAAACGTTTGAGTCGGCGAATAAATGTGGAAAACTGCTATCTTGGCAGTTGAAGAGAAGACAAAGATTAAATACGGTTACAAATTTAGAGGTCGATGGAAGAAACATTCAGAATCCAGTGGACATTAGAAAGTGTTTCCAGAGATATTTTAAAAACTATATACCCAAGGGCCGCAAGACGAAGTCGAGATTAAACAATTTTTGCCAAAAATGGATTATCTAAACTGTCACAAGAAAATAGGACAACTCTGAACTCTAAAATAACACGACAGGAGATTGAACAAGCTATTCAGAACATGCAACTTGGCAAATCTCCAGGGCCAGACGGGCTGACCTCCAAGTATTATAAGACACTAAAAGACTATTTGATACAACCCTTGATGGAGGTTAGCAATGAACTTATGGAGGTGAATAGGGCACCGGATTCGTGGAAGGAAGCGTTTATCACATTGATACCAAAGTCAGAAGCTGAAAAGACACAACTGAAGAACTACCGTCCCATCTCCCTTTTAAATGTGGATTACAAAATATTTGCAGATATTTTGGCAAGTAGATTTAAAAAGTTTTAAATGAAGTAATTCATAAGGACCAGGCCGGTTTTCTCCCAGGTAGACATCTGTTTGCTAACACAAGGAACATTATTGATATCTTGGAACTTCTCCAAACTGACATAAATACAAAAGCAGTTTTAATTTTTATAGATGCGGAGAAGGCCTTTGATAATATTTCTTGGAAATTTATGATGGGAAACTTAAAAGAGATGGGAGTGGGACGGGGTTTTGAGAATGGGATTGAGGCGATATATTCAGAACAGAAAGCTAAACTGATAGTTAATAATGTGGTTACAGAAGAGTTCAAAATTGAAAAGGGACACGACAAGGCTGCCCTATCTCCCCTTTGTTATTTATTTCGGTTCTGGAAGTGCTATTGAACATGATTAGAGGGGACCAGTTGGTGGAAGGAATTCAGGTTGGTCAGAAACAATATAAACTAAAAGCTTTTGCAGATGACCTGGTTTTGACCTTGCAGAAGCCAGAGCCTAGTACGAAAAGAGTATTACAATTGATTAATGACTTTGGTCGGGTGGCGGGATTTAAATTAAATAAACAGAAAACCAAGGTTTTGGGAAAAAATTTGACTGAGACAGAGTCAGAACGGTTTCAGAATGAGACGGAACTTAATGTGGTTAAAAAGTAAAATACCTAGGGGTAAACATAACAGCAAAAATCTAAGTCTATTTAAGGATAACTATGAAAAATGTTGGACAGAAATTAAGAGAGACTTAGACAGTTGGTCAAAATTGAAACTTTCTTTGTTAGGCCGAATTGCTGCGATTAAGATGAATGTATTGCCAAGAATGTTGTTTTTATTTCAAACACTTCAGGTTTTGGACAAAATGGAGTGCTTTCAGAAGTGGCAGAGAGACATTTCGAAGTTTGTCTGGCAGGGCAAAAGGCCCAGAATTAAGTTTAAGATACTAACTGAGGCACAACAAAGAGGGGCTTTGCCCTGCCGGACTTAAAGTTGTATTACGAAGCCGCAGCGTTCTGCTGGCTAAAAGATTGGCTACTTCTTGAAGACACTGATGTGTTAGATTTGGAAGGGTTTAACAATGTTTTTGGATGGCATGCATATTTATGGTATGACAAAGTTAAAGCAAATAAGGCCTTTAAGAACCATATTGTTAGAAAATCACTGTTTAATGTCTGGACAAAATATAAAGACTTGCTGGAAAATAAAACACCAAGGTGGCTTTCACCTTTGGAAGCTAAGGCCCGAAAAGACCCAATATGGAGGCCAAATGGCCAAAATATTGGGAAATACTAGAAAAGATGGAGACAATTGGAAATTGCAGAGTTTGGAGAAAATGAAAGACAAAGTGCGAGATTGGTTACATTATGCTCAGATTAAAGAAGTTTTTAAAAATGATAAGAAACTAGGGTTCCAGGTGGAGAAATCGAAATTAGAAACAGAATTGTTAGAACCAAAGACTAAGATACTTTCAAGGATGTATAACTTGCTGTTGGAATGGAATACACAAGATGAAATGGTTAAATCGGCTATGATAAGGTGGGCACAGGATATTGGGCATAATATTATGTTTGAGGACTGGGAAAGGCTGTGGAGTAATGGATTGAAATTTACTGCATGTAATGCTTTGAAAGAAAATGTAATGAAAATGATTTATAGATGGTATATGACCCCAGTCAAACTCGCAAAAATTTACCACCTGTCTGATAACAAGTGCTGGAAATGTAAAGAGTGTGAAGGAACGTTCTTTCACCTCTGGTGGACCTGCCCTAAAGTGAAGGCGTTCTGGGAAATGATTTATAATGAATTGAAAAAGGTATTTAAATATACTTTCACTAAGAAACCAGAGGCTTTCCTTTTGGGTATTGTCAGCCAAGGGGTGGCAAAGAAGGACCAAACATTTTTATGTATGCAACAACAGCAGCAAGGATACTACTCGCAAAACATTGGAAAACTCAAGATCTACCCACACTGGAAGAATGGCAGATGCAACTGATAGACTATATGCAACTGGCTGAAATGACTGGCAGAATCCGTGACCTGGGAGAAGAGAGAATCGAGGAGGATTGGAAGAAATTTAAGAACTACCTACAAAAACATTGTGATTTGACTGAATGCTGAATAAGATGCTTGACTAAATAACTGAGCACCACTTAACTTAGAAGTTTTTAAGAAAATAAGAAAAACTGTGAAAGTTTAACTCTTTATGAGAACTATAAGATCATGAAATATCGAAGAGATATAAGAATTTAAATAAGATGATAAATTGCTGACAAAATGTTATAATGATGAAGGTGGGAGCGGGAGATGTGAGGAAGTCCAAAGAAAATGTGAAATTATGTTAAGACGAATGTTATATTGTTTATTACATTTATTCCTATTGTAAAATCCAATAAATTGCTTTAAAAAAAAATAAAGTGTGCGTGGAGCATGTGTGCGGCTCTTGGGGAATTTTCAGCGAGGTGGGAGAAGGGACTGAGGGGCTGCCCTTCTCCCTCCTCGGGGAAAAGCCCCCAAGAGCCGCACACACGCTCCACGCGGCTCTTTAAAGGGAGCGCTGAGCAGAGCCTCCCGCCTGCATTCGCTCCATAAGACGCACACACACATTTCCCCTTACTTTTTAGGAGGGGGAAAGTGCGTCTTATAGAGCGAAAAATACGGTCAATTGATTGTGATTTTATGTAAACTGTGTTACTTTTACTGTTGTTAGCTGCTCTGAGCCCGGCTTCGGCTGGGGAGGGCGGGATAGAAATAAAATATTATTATTAATATTAATATTATTATTATTGGCAGCTCTTCCCAGGTCTGCACCCTATGGAGCCGTTGCAGCAAAAGGGGGCCCCTCCCCACCCCTAGCTTATGTACCGCTCCCCGACAGGCTGTGTTCATGCAGCCAGAGACTGCGCCGGCTTAGAAGCTGCCTCTGCTCTCCCCTCTTCAGTCCCCTCCTTCAGATGTCTTTTAAAGATAGGATAGCTGCTTATTTCCTTCATATCTGAAGGGAGGGCGCCACCACCAAGAAGGCCCTCTGCCTGGTTCCCTGTAACCTCACTTCTCACAATGAGGGAACTGCCAGAAGGCCCTCGGCGCTGGATCTCAGTGTCCAGGCTGGATGATGGGGGTGGAGATGCTCCTTCAGGTATACTGGGCCGAGGCCGTTTAGGGCTTTCAAGGTCAGCACCAACACTTTGAATTGTGCTCGGAAACGTACTGGGAGCCAATGCAGATCTCTCAGAACCGGTGTTATGTGGTCCCGGTGGCCACTCCCAGTCCCCAGTCTGGCTGCCGCATTCTGGATTAATTGCAGCTTCTGGGTCACCTTCAAAGGTAGCCCCACGTAGAGCGCGTTGCAGTAGTCCAAGTGGGAGATAACCAGAGCATGCACCACTCTGGCGAGACAGTCCGTGGGCAGATAGGGTCTCAGCCTGCGTACCAGATGGAGCTGGTAAACAGCTGCCCTGGACACAGAATTGACCTGCGCCTCCATGGACAGCTGTGAGTCCAGAATGACTCCCAGGCTGCGCACCTGGTCCTTCACACAGGGGCACAGTTACCCCATTCAGGACCAGGGAGTCCTCCACACCTGCCCGCCTCCTGTCCCCCCAAAACAGTACTTCTGTCTTCCAACCCATCCTGTTCTCCACCCTCCAGCTTTGAAGCATCCCCTGCCTCCGACTTCCGCTTCCTGGCTGGTACAGCCCCCCACAAGTCACCGACCCCTCCCCTCCAGCGTCGGACTCCTGCCCCGCTTCCCAGCTTCCTGCCAATAGGGTAGTCGCTCCATCCCCTTGATAATTTTGGTTGCCTTCTCTTGTTTTGAGGTGGGGCGATCAGAACTGCGCACAGTATTCCAGGCATAGTGGTATAGCTCAGTTTTCCTCCCCCTATTTTAACGATCCTTAGGGCGATGGCAGAAAGAACACCCATTTGAGAGATATTTGCTGAGCTTTGCACCCATTCCATTTCTCACCCTGACCTCGCCACTGTGATCCATGCGACAGTCACCTCCAGGCTTGATTATTGTAACTCGCTCTATGTGGGGCTGCCCTTGAGACTCACCCAGAAACTCCAGCGGGTGCAGAATGCCATGGCGAGACTCCTTACGGGGTCCTTACTGCGGGATCACACTCATCCAGTGCTTTACCAACTGCACTGGCTCCTGGGGTCGTACAAGGTCAGGTTTAAGGTGCTGGTTTTGACCTTTAAAGCCCTATGCGGCCTAGGACCTACGTACCTACGGGACCGCCTCGCCTGGTATGCCCCATGGAGAACCTTAAGGTCCACAAATGACAACACTTTGGAGGTCCCAGGTCGCAAGGTGGTTAGATTGGTCTCAACTAGGGCCAGGGCCTTTTCAGTACTGGCCCCGACTCAGTGGAACGCTCTGTCACAAGAGACTAGGGCCCTGCGGGACTTGACATCTTTCCACAGGGCCTGCAAGATGGAGCTGTTCCGCCTGGCCTTTGCTTTGGACTCAGTCTGACCCTTATGTTTCCCTCCCCTTATGGTTTTGATCTATGGGCTACTATTAAAATGAGGTTGCATTTTAAATTGCAGTTTAACCTGTATTTTAAATTGTTCCCCTCCCCCTATTATGTTTCTACTGTAATTTTTACTGTTGTTAGCTGCACTGAGCCCGGCTCTGGCTGGGGAGGGTGGGATATAAATAAAAATTATTATTATTATTATTATTTCCCGTCTGCCTCTTGCCTTTGTCCCGTTCCAGGTGCAACCTCCGAGGATGAATGGAACTTGCTGTACGTGGCTGTCACCCGCGCCAAGAGGCGCCTCATCGTTCCGAAGTTACTGACCCAGATTTTGACATTGGCCGGGGTGAGTTGGCAGGGAAGAGTTTGAGGAAGGGTTGTTGCTCAGCCGTAGAACATCTGCTTAATAATTAATAATAATAATAATAATTTATTATTTATACCCGGCCCATCTGGCTGGGTTTCCCCAGCCACTCTGGGCGGCTTCCAACAAAGTACAGTAGTCTGTTAAACATTAAAAGCTTGTTCTCTTTGACATCTGGTGTCAAAGCAGGACTTTGGCACCTGCCCACACTGCCAAAAGTACCAAAACCTGGTTCAATGCCCATGGGATTACTGTGCTTGATTGGCCAGCAAACTCGCCTGACCTGAACCCCATAGAGAGTCTAAGGGGCATTGCCAAGAGAAAGATGAGAGACATGAGACCGAGCAATGCAGAAGAGCTGAAGGCTGCTATTGAAGCGTCCTGGTCTTCCATAACACCTCAGCAGTGCCACAAGCTGATAGCATCCATGCCACGCGACATTGAGGCAGTAATTGATGCAAAAGGGGCCCAAACCAAGCACTGAGTACATATGCATGCTTCTACTTCCCAGAGGTCCAATATTGTCCTATTTGCAGTCCTTGTTTTGCTGATTTCATTTAATATTCTAATTTTCTGAGATGGTTCATTTGGGGTTTTCATCAGCTGTACGCCATGATCATCACAATTATAACAAATAAAGGCTTGACATATCTCACTTTGCATGTCATGAGTCTATCTCATATATTAGTTTCACCTTTTAAATTGATTTACTGAAATAAATGAACTTTTCCACGATATTCTAATTTTCCGAGTTTCACCTGTATTCAATGTACCATTTCCATTCTTTCATAAAAAGTTTGTTATCTTGATTTCTTACTCTTCTGGTAAGTTTTGCCATTTCTGCATATTCCGTAAATTTTTGTATCCATTCTTCCTTTGCTGGGACTTCTGCTTCTTTCCATTTTGAGGCAAGTAGCATTCTTGCTGCTGTAGTCACATATATAAATAAATTTCTATACAGTTTAGGTAGTTCTGTCCCTAGAATTCCCAAAAGAAAAGAAAAGCTTCTGGTTTGTTTTTTTTAAAAAATAAAACTTATTTTGAACATCTTTTTCAATTCATTGTATATCATTTCCCAGTGCATCACAAAAATAAGGACCAAAAAATTGCTGCTGGATCAGGGCGATAGCCCACCCAGTCCAGCATTCTGCTCTCAACAGCAGCCAACAGGCACCAGCTGATGCTGAATGTTTGGCTCCTTACACTGTTCTTGTTGTTTAGTCGTTTAGTTGTGTCCGACTCTTCGTGACCCCATGGACCAGAGCATGCCAAGCACTCCTGTCTTCCACTGCCTCCTGCAGTTTGGTCAGACTCATGTTTGTAGCTTCGAGAACACTGTCCCACCATCTCGTCCTCTGTCGTCCCCTTCTCCTTGTGCCCTCCGTCTTCCCCAACATCAGGGTCTTTTCCAGGGAGTCTTCTCTTCTCATGAGGTGGTCAAAGTATTGGAGTCTCAGCTTCAGGATCTGTCCTTCCAGTGAGCACTCAGGGCTGATTTCCTTCAGAATCGAGAGGTTGGATCATCTTGCAGTCCATGGGACTCTCCAGAGTCTCCTCCAGAATTCAAAAGCACCCATTCTTCGGCGATCAGGCTTCTTTATGGTCCAGCTCTCACTTCCATACATCACTACTGGGAAAACCAGAGCTTTAACTATACGGACCTTTGTTGGCAAGGTGATGTCTCTGCTTTTGAAGATGCTGTCTAGGGTGGTCATTGCTTTTCTCCCAAGAAGCAGGCGTCTTTTAATTTCGTGGCTGCTGTCACCATCTGCAGTGATCACGGAGCCCAAGGAAGTAAAGTCTCTCACTGCCTCCATTTCTTCCCCTTCTATTTGCCAGGAGGTGGTGGGACCAGTGCACTACCAAAGGCAAAAGCTGGCAAACGGGTGCAAATCATGCACCTTTGCAAGCTAGAGTAGCTTCTACATTTGTGTACACAAACACATCCCTCTCTGTCTTCCATCTAGGCCAGCGTTTCCCAAACTTGGGTCTCCAGCTGTTTTTGGACTACACTTCCCATCATCCCTGACCACTGGTCATGCTAGCTAGGGATGATGGGAGTTGTAGTCCATAAACAGATGGAGTTTGGGAAACCCTGTTCTAGGCAAACAGGAGGCATTATCAGAGTTCAAAGACACATTTAGCCTGGCAGATAAATACTTGAAGGCACGGATACTTAAAGGCTGGTGCAGGGTTGTGCCTGAGGCAGAGGAATGTCCTGGGGGCCAGATAGAGAGACCTGGAGGGCCACATTTGGTCCCTACTCCTGGCTTAAAATTGTCTCACCTGTCTGCACTAAATTTTTTCTTCTTTTTCTTTTCCAGGAGCACTATTTTCAGCCCGTATTAACTAGTGAAGTGTGCAAGGAGGCAGAAATCCGGTGTTCTGGGCAGGGCTGCCACAATGTCATTTCCAAAGACACTGTCCTAACCATGAAGAAAATGCCTTTTGTTTACGTACGTGTCTCTTCTTACGGAACTGGGCACTTGGGGCAGACGAATATAATTTCTCTCCATCCTATTTTGATCTGTGTGTTGCTAGTGCAAAATGTTTTACTGGTCCTACAGTTTGTTCCACCCATTTACCTGTTCTGGAGTTTTGCTTTGCTCTGTTAAGTCCCTCTGTCCCGTGATGGCTGTTGCTTGGATAGCCTCTCACTTGATGGCCCTGTTTGCTTCACAGTTCGCTTAGAAACAGGAATTGGCTCGATATTAATAATAATTTTAATATTTATACCCTGTCCATCTGGCTGGGTTTCCCGAGCCATTCTGGGCGGCTCCCAACAGAATTATAAAAACACAATAAAACATCAGACATAAAAAAATTCCCGATACAGGGTTGCCTCTGACGGGAGGGCATTCCATAGGGTGGGTGCCACCACCGAGAAGGCCCTCTGCCTGGTTCCCTGTAACCTCACTTCTTGTAGTGAGGGAACCGCCAGAAGGCCTTCAGAGCTGGACCTCAGTGTCTGGGCTGATCAATGGGGGTGGAGACGCTTCTTCAGGTATACTGGGCCAAGGCCGTTTAGGACTTTAAAGGTCAGCACCAATACTTTGAATTGTCCCCAGAAACATACTGGGAGCCAATGGAGGTCTTTCAGGACCGGTGTTATGTGGTCTTGGCGGCCGCTCCCAGTCACCAGTCTACCTGCCGCATTTTGGATTAGTTATAGTTTCCAAGTCACCTTCAATGGTACCCCACATAGAGTGCATTGCAGTAGTCCAAGCGGAAGGTAACCAGAGCATGCACCACTCTGGCGAGAAAGTCCGTGGGCAGGGAGGGTCTCATCCTGCGTACCAGATGGAGCTGATAGACAGCTGCCCTGGACACAGAACTGACCTGCGCCTCCATGGACAGCTGTGAGTCCAAAATGACTCCCAGGCTGCGCACCTGGTTCTTCAGGGGCAGTTACCCCATTCAGGACCAGGGAGTCCTCCACACCCGCCTGCCTCCTGTACCCCCAAAACAGTACTTCTGTCTTGTCAGGATTCAACCTCAATCTGCTAGGGGCAGAGCCAGCAAGCTCTCCGCCTTCCGCCCTCCTCTTCCTCGCATGCATTCTGCAGACGCAGAAGCAGGATAATAATAATAATAATAATAATAATAATAATAATAATAATGATAATAATTTATACCCCGCCCATCTGGCTGGGCTTCCTCTGCCACTCTGGACAGCTTCCAACAAAATATTAAAATACCGTAAAACATCAAACATTGAACGCTTCCCTAAGCAGGGCTGCCTTCAGATGTCTTTTAAAAGCGTGGTGGTTGTTTTTCTCTCTGGCATCTGGTGGGAGGGAGTTCCACAGGGCGGGTGCCACTACCGAGAAGGCCCTCTGCCTGGTTCCCTGTAACTTGACTTCTCGCAGTGAGGGAACCGCCAGAAGGCCCTCGGCACTGGACCTCAGCACGATGGGGGTGGAGACGCTCCTTCAGATACACACTTCGTTTCGCAGAGCCCCGCAAAACTCACACGAGTCCCTCTGACTTTTCCCGGCAGAGCGACGGAACCAGAGAGCCCGACGGTTTCCTCTGCGACACTTGTGTGCAACACCGCCTGGCCCTGACATGGCCGACCACGGCCTTTCGTGCAGCCCAAGCCGCGGACGGCGACGCCGAAATCTCCGAGGTCCCAGAGACCATCAACATCCTCTTCGAACGTTTCTGAACGGGAGAGAGGCCTCGCCGGGAATCACGCTCTGTCGGGAGACGGCGGATAAGAAAGCAGTTTTTTATTAGGACAGGTGGAGCTGTCCTGCTCCTAGGGTTGGCGTGAATCCGAGAAAGGCAACTGAGGGGGGGAGAGGAGACACAGTCTGCAGAAACACAATTCAGAGGGCGGTCGCACATCTCTGCCGTGTTTTGGGGGGCGAGAGGAAAGCTTGCCTTGCCTTCTGTGTGCCCCCAAAGTTTTTTGACCTAAAATACCACTGGGCCTGTGGTCTGGATGGTATGGCTTGATGGGGAAAATGGGTAGAATTTTAGCACAATAGTCAATATATTGCTCCTCTTGCACTGGTAGGGACTGGGGTGTCACAGGGTGTAGAGGTTCATGGGCCAAAAAGTCTGCGCACCTGTGTGGCAGAAGGTCTTTCCGGGTGTGCCAGCAGCATCTTCTGGTGCCCATGGTGCCCTGCAGATGTCGATTCGCCACCTGCTTTCCGCTTGCTAAGCTTTTGCTATAAACTGCATTAAAACTCTTGTCTATTTCAAGTGACGAGGCGTATGCGTGTCGTTTACATTTTTATTCCTTTCCCAAAGCCACCTTAGGAATACTTTTTGAAAGTGCCAATACATGCAGCGGCATGTGAATAAATAACATGGAAGGTTGCAATCCTGACCCACAAACTTTTTTTTATTCATTTTATAACACAACTAAACAACACAAACAGAAAAAACAAACAATACAAACAAATTCTTGTCTTATCCTTATTTTTTCTAAACATTGTTAGGTGGGCTTCCCCAAGTCCCCCCCATCTGATTTTCATTTTACCTCATCTTTAGCAGTTTACATATATCATAATTTTTAACCTTTTTTAATCACACTTTTACCATTAAAAATCTTCACATTTTATCACCTACAAATAATACTATTTTAAAATACACTATCTTCTACTTCTAACCCTTCAGCCTATATCCACTTTCAAAGCTATTCTAAGATTTAAATATTCACATATTTTTTCAAATATTCTTTAAGCTTCTTCCAATCTTCTTCCACCGTCTCTTCTCTCTGGTCTCGGAGTCTCCCGGTCAGTTCGGCAAGTTCCATATAGTCCATCATCTTCATCTGCCATTCTTCTATAGTTGGTAAATCTTGTTTCTTCCAATTCTTCACTAGTAATATTCTCGCAGCTGTTGTGGCATACAGACCCACAAACTTAACTGGGCAGCAAGCCTCATTTGAACTCCATGGGGCATACTTATGAGTAAACGGGCTCATTGGATCGTTCCTCACACTTAATAGTAGGGCTTGGAGGCACAAGAGGAGCAGTGATAAAAATTGGGTGGGTGTGTTTTTTTAAAAAACAACCTTCCTATTTAAATGTGAACATGTGGTTTGCAGGGACTTCTTTTAAAAAAATAATAACCCCAAAGAAATATATCTATATTCCACCCAACCTACATTTCCCCCCCTAAACTGATTTAGGTTGCTATCTTTTTTTTATCTGTGCTGTTCTGCTTTGTCTCTGCAACCGCCATATCTGTGGCAGCAGGAGGAGGAGATTTGAGGAGGTCTACCATTTTGCAGAGAGCTAGTTCTTACTGGGGCGGTCAACCTATGTCTGGGCTACACTGGGCTTCAAAATGTGGGCAGAGGCTCACACTGATCACATGACATCCCAAACCAAACACAGTCTTTCCACATGCAAAATTAGGCACCTTGAGAGTGGCTCATGCTTTCGCCTGGCATCAAAACAAAATAAATTAGGTAAAGGTAAAGGGACCCCTGACCGTTAGGTCCAGTCATGACTGACTCTGAGGTTGCGGCGCTCATCTCGCTTTATTGGCCGAGGGAGCCCGAGTACAGCTTCCGGGTCATGTGGCCAGCAGGACTAAGCCGCTTCTGGCGAACTAGAGCAGCGCACGGAAACGCCGTTTACCTTCCCGCTGGAGCGGTACCTATTTATCTACTTGCACTTTTGACGTGCTTTCGAACTGCTAGGTTGGCAGGAGCTGGGACCGAGCAACAGGAGCTCACCCCCTAGCTGGGATTGGAACCGCTGACCTTCCACCTGGCAAGCCCTAGGCTCTGTGGTTTAACCCACAGCGCCACCCGCGTCCCCTTAGCACCTTAGAGACCAACTTTGTTATTGGTATGAGCTTTCGTGTGCATGCACACTTCTTCAGATACCTTCAGATTTCCCCTGGCATGCTAGCTTTTTAACTGCAAGGGAATATTCAGCCAGGCTGAGCACACCACCCCCTTGAAGTCTGAACTCATCCAGTCCAGACTGCACTTTTGCCCATATTGGTAAGAATATCTGATACATGCCTATAGCCTTATCTCTTTTGCTCTCCATCTTCTGTGTTTTTCCTGTGTGCAGGTATTTCTTCCTCTTGAGATACGATTAAAGCATTGTTAAATAAATAAATAAAAATAAAGTTTGTAATCAAAAACGGTTGTTTTATGGCCAAATTTTGCAATACCTGTATTTTACAATAAACAAGTTTGGTTTATAATGCTGCCGACGAATCTTTTGTATGAACAAAGCAATTTGGCATATTGAATTAACAAATAATATTAATAAGGAATCAGCAGACTGGAGTATATCCTAGAGAGACGAGATTTGTTTCCATGCCACAGAAATCCATTATGCAGTTGGGTGTGTGAATATTGACTTCTAAGCAAAATGCTTCCCTTGTGGAAAGGAAAGTTTATATAAAATGGAAGAGAGCCGATTCTTTTTAATCCCTCTGGATTGTCAAGAGTATCCCAAGTGGCTCATCGTTTATTTTGTATTGTGGTTTACCAATATTGTGGGATTTGTATGTTGCAGAGTTGCAGGGCTTTATTTGGGCAACCTCCTAGCATTTAAATATTTAGGCATAGATGGGGAGTCCGAGCACAAGGGAATGTCATAAAAAATTTTTGTAAGCCACTCTTTGGCTAAAGGGCAGGATATAAATAAATGGAAGAGGAGAGAGCTTCCTGCCCTGAGGAGATTTAGGAGTCTCTTCTTCTTTGGCTATCCCTTGTAGCCAAAAAAGATTGTCTTCCATAAACACGGTTTTAACAGTGAGTCCGTAAGTGACTGTGGAGGCCAATTCTGGATCCACACGTCCTTCCACAGTGGAGACATTGGTTTCCGGGCAGGAGTTGATCACAGTGAGGGTTTGCCAAGTGTGCCTTCCTCTTAGCACGTTTCTCCCTTGCGTCCTGAGTTCGAGTGTCTTCAAAGCCCATGACACCTTTGGTAAAGGCTGTTCTGCAACTGGAGCACTCGCAGGCCAGTGTTTCCCAGTTGTTGGTGTGTATACTGCATTTTTAAAGATTTGCCTTGAGAGAGTCTTTGAACCTCTTTTGTTGACCACCAGCATTACGCTTTCCATTTTTAAGTTCGGAATAGAGTAGTTGCTTTGGAAGACGATCGTCAGGCATCCGCACAACACGACCAGTCCAGCGAAGTTGATGTTGAAGAATCATTGCTTCCACACTGGTGATCTTTGCTTCTTCCAGTACACTGGCATTAGTTCGCTTGTCTTCCCAAGTTATGAGTAGACATGCAGAGGATTGTGTTGCTGGTTTGCAGAAGTTCCTTTCTATATTATTGTATAATTGTTTCGACCTGCTATTGAGTTTTTCCCCTTTGTGATGGGAATTTTGAGATCTTAGATATATGTTATATGTTCATAAGTGTACCAACGAAGCACGTACATAGATCAGCACAGGAAGGCCGACCTGAAACCATTTTGATTCCCAAACTGCCCCAAACTGACCAAATGTTTGCAAGGTCAAAGGAAAATGGAAAAGCCTCCCCATTGTCTTTTCCTTCACAAATCTTGTCTTAAGGGTATGTCTGTCTGTCTATGAATAGGGTGAGCCTGTGACCTGGCTCAGGAACTAAGTACCGTATTTTTTGCTCTATAAGACTCACTTTTTCCCTCCTAAAAAGTAAGGGGAAATGTGTGTGCGTCTTATGGAGCGAATGCAGGCTGTGCAGCTATCCCAGAAGCCAGAACAGCAAGAGGGATTGCCGCTTTCACTGCACAGCGATCCCTCTTGCTGTTCTGGCTTCTGAGATTCAGAATATTTTTTTTCTTGTTTTCCTCCTCCAAAAACTAGGTGCGTCTTGTGGTCTGGTGCGTCTTATAGAGCGAAAAATACGGTATTTATTAGTACAAAAGACTGGCCAGGCTCCCCAGGCAATCCAATCTAGTAAGCAGGATATCCAATCAAGTAACCTGCCAGACAGGAGATAAACAATGACAGGAGAAAAACAACATTCAAATTTCTGTTTTAGACCGCCTTTTCTGTGATGTAGGTATGACGTTTCTGGGGGTGTTCTTAATCTACAGGGTGGCAATTTCAAAAGTCCATATAAGGCCTTGCACGCTGTTGTTCTGGGTTCCTCCTCTCTCCTGCAAGTGAGGGGAGCACCCTGTTGCAACAGATAATAAAGATTAGGCTTACTAGCTGCTTTGCTTCTCAATATTCTCTGGTTGGCCTCTGTTATTCTCTCCTACCAATCTGGGAACCTATGTAAGGACTCTATATGGGCTCTTGGATACCCCATAAGGGAAAAGGGCAAATTTTTTGTTTACAATACCTTGCATCATCGTCAGCAAGCCCTATCCTGCAGCTCTGATCTCCCCATGCTGGGATTTGGAGACCAACAACATCTGGGGGGGGCGCTGCAGAATTTCTCCATCTCTCTTCCAAAATTACCATCCTTGTGCATTTTATTTAAACGGCTGCATGTGTGGAACGAGTCTTCTGTTGCCACGGGGTGGCAGCACAGCTGATGTGGGGAAAAGCCAAGAAGCTGAGCAATGTTTCTATACGCAACAGCAGCCGCAAGAATATTGGTAGCCAGCTATTGGAAAGGAAATAATATTCCAACAAAAAGACAATGGCTGAGTAAACTATGTGAGTATCTGGAGTAAACTGACGGATTTAATAAGGCATGAACCCAAAACTATGGTACAGAAACAGTGGGATTGTTTAAATGAATATTTACACAAACAGGGCTCAAATACGAAAATTTGGTTGTGCTTAGACTAACCTTGTTAAGACTATAAAGTATATAAAGATTTAATGGATTGTGAAAGAACTTAAGGAAGTGACTGAAGAACAGATGTAAAGGTGAACTAGAAATTAAGAGACGTGCGGTGAATGCGGTGGAAGTCTTTTATAATATTTTAACTAGGCTTTTTATATGGTAATGTTTAAAGTATAAATTTGGTATTATTGTTTACGAAAAGTATTTCTTTTTCCTTTTTGGCTTTTTCCTTCTTTTTCCTTTCTTTTCTTTTCTTTTTTTCCTTCTGTAGCCTTCAATTGGTAAATATGTAGATAATCATGTTTATATTGATAGGTATGAATTCTGTTTTGCTTTTGCTTTTTTTATTTATCTTCTTGTAATATTTAAGAAAATTAATAATAAAATAAAATAAAAAAGAAGCTCACCAATGATCTCCTGAGTCCCACTGTGGTCGCACGTTTTATTCTGGCACAACGCCTGTGCCAGTCACTCTCAGCTTAGCATCCCTCACAAGGTTGTTCTTGAGCATCATACTGGCTCTCCGGCTGAATATCCAACCCATAATATTTTCAACAGGAGTCATTTCCCGGGAAGTGTGCAGGCCTTCAGCACCAGCTGCAAAATCTGTGCAGGAAAGCTGGTTCAATTTACTTATTTGGGGGTGTGCAAGTTCCTCCTTCTCCTTGCATTATTCCACCTCTTAAATTCTAGACCATGGGTAGGTAAACTAAGGCCCGGGGGCCGAATCCGGCCCATTCACCTCCTCAATCCGGCCCCCAGACAGTCCGGGAATCCGTGTGTTTTTACATGAGTAGAATATGTCCTTTTATTTAAAATGCATCTCTGGGTTATTTGTGGGGCATAGGAATTCATACATTTTTTTCCTCCAAAATATAGTCCGGCCCCCACAAGGTATTAGGGACAGTGAACCAGCCCCCTGCTGGAAAAGTTTGCTGACCCCTGAGCTAGACTTCCCATCCTCATTCTCATCACGGGTGGCAAGGATTTTTGAACTCACAGCTGTCCACGGAGGCACAGGTCAAATCTGTGTCCAGGGCAGCTGTTTACCAGCTCCATCTGGTACGTAGGCTGAGACCCTCCCTGGCCGCGGACTGTCTCGCCAGAGTGGTGCATGCTCTGGTTATCTCCCGCAATGCGCTCTACATGGGGCTACCTTTGAAGGTGACCTGGAAACTGCAATCAATCCAGAATGTAGCAGCTAGACTGGTGACTGGGAGTGGCCACTGGGACCACATAACACTGGTCCTGAGAGATCTGTATTGGCTCCGAGTACGTTTCCGAGCACAATTCAAAGTGTTGGTGCTGACCTTGAAAGCCCTAAATGGCCTTGGTCCTGTATACCTGAAGGAGCGTCTCCACCTCCGTCGTTCTGCCCGGACACTGAGGTCCAGCTCCGAGGGCCTTCTGGCGGTTCCCTTGCTGCGAGAAGTGAGGTTACAGGGAACCAGACAGAGGGCCTTCTCGGTAGTGGCGCCCGCCCTGTGGAACGCCCTCCCATCAGATGTCAAAGAAATAAACAGCGATCTTATTTTTAAAAGTCATCTGAAGGCAGCCCTGTTTAGGGAAGTTTTTTTAATATTTAATGCTGAATTGTTTTTAACACTTGATTGGGAGCCGCCCAGAGTGGCTGGGGAAACTCAGCCAGATGAGCGGGGTATAAATAATAATAATAATAATAATAATAATTAATAATAATTGGCATCTTGAATCCCGATCCTGTCTTCTGCAGCATTAGCTATTCCTCCCAGTTTGAAGTAAGCTTCAAATTTCATTCTAGATTGCACGAGCCATTGGCCTGATGTGATGCAGACGTACTCATGACAGTCTGGACAGTCACTGCTTGCAGAAACCTGATATAATCCCAGGACATTCCAACTCGCTGGACAGAAACTGCTCTCTTCTGACAACCTGGAGAGTGCTTTTGTTAGAGGCCTCTTTCATGGCAGGAGGGGTCTAGTTCCCAGAGAAACCTACCGTATTTTTCGCTCCATAAGACGCACCTGACCATAAGACGCTCCTAGTTTTTAGAGGAGGAAAACAAGAAAAAAAAATATTCTGAACCAAACAGTGGATGTATGATTTTTGTGGTTCACGCTGTGGCCACAGGCATGTGATTTGACGGTGAGTTTGGGGTAGCCCAGTGCAAAAATCCTGAGGATCCATGTGGATCCGTGCTTTGTAACCACGTTTTTGCGCCATCGCGGCCCGGCGAAACAGTGGGTGTGTGATTTTTTTTGGTGCAGGCTGTAGCCATGGACATGCTATGTGATGTGATGGTGAATTTGGGGTGACCCAATGCAAAAATCCTGAGGATCCATGGGCTTTTACCTCACCCCTCCCAGGCAGCCTCCTTTATTGTTAGCCCCTTATCTCCCTCCTGATCGCTTGCTGATCAGCTGCTTCCTTTCAATACGCCCTTCCCTCTTTAAAAAAAAAAAAAAAAAGCATGATCTGCTTTTCTCCCCTGGGCAATTCGGCTCCAGGGACCACACATTCGCTCCATAAGACACACAGACATTTCTGTTATGTACTGAAGTTCTCACCCTGGGCCAGCAGGGGGATACTGTAGATAGTTTTCACTCAGGTCCACATATGCAAATAAGGGATTGAAAGTGACGTTCAGTGATTGGATAGTTACAGAAAATGGTTACTGTTGCATTGTAGTGGAGCTCTATATAAGCAGGCTGGCTGAACCCTTCAGTTCAGTTCAGTTCTGTTCTGGCTTGTGAATAAACAAGAGCTGTTTGAAGAATCGCTGTGTCGTCTGATATGTTCACCCACAACTTAACAATTTCCCCTTCCCCCAAGTGCGTCTTATGGAGCGAAAAATACAGTAATTATTTGCTGCTGCTCAGCACAGTACCTGCTATGCATGCTGTCCTGTTCTCTGCTCCAGGCATGAGAAAGGATTTCCTGCAGGGCCTAGGGCTGACTGTGTTTACCTGCAACCACTGTCTGCTCTTAGGCTGCACATCAGACCTTCCTTCCACGGCATAGGAGGCAACGTTTATTCCGTTCCTGAGCTTGTCAGCAAAGGCTTTCCCTTCCTGCACCTCACGCAGACGCCACAAAGCTCATAGAGACTCAAGAGCTTTGCCCTCGAGGGCAAAGGGCAGCTGCTAGTGAGACTGCAACTGTTTCTTAAAAAAAATATATTTCCTGACAGTTGTGCATACCATACGTCCTCTGGGGAAACAGTCTGTGTTAAGGCTACGCTCTTTTTTTGCTATTCCCTGCCCACCCACCTCCAAATTCAGTTGCAACGAGAAACACGTATGGACCTGTTGCAGGAATTTATGTATAGGTTGGGGGGGGGGGTTGCCCCTCCAGCAGATATCATGCACATGCAGCCCACTACCAAAATCAGCAGAATCACTTTTGTGACTTTTTGTGATTTGTCCCCACAAAACACTTCATCACAGTTTCCTCCTATCTATTCAAAGGGCCGTTGCTGCACAATACCAAATTTCAGAATTCACTGATAAATGTATGTATGTACTGGCTCACTGGGAAAAGGTCAGAAATTCATATAGACATGTGAGCTCAGCTGCTCAGCAGCCCCTCTGCCTGAGTGATAATCCCTGGCATCCTGATACCTGAGTGCCAGACAGGTAGCCATTCCAGAAAGAACAAACCCAGATGAAGACAAAAAAGTGGGATTAATTTGGCTAGGAAACAGGGAAATGTAAATGTCTCTTTTGTTACACTTGATGGGTGTTTGGTGGAGGGCAAGGGGAACCATGGGGCAGGGTCCAGGATGCTCAGATTACTGCCACCAGACCTCCCCTTCCATGATGAAACCATGATGTATTAGTGATGCAGTTTTGGGGGGGTGTAACATGGGGATTAGCAGCTAATAAAAGCTTGGGATCTCTTTTGTTTGGGGCTTCCATCTTGTTCCACCTTGTGGCAGGTGGGAGTCCTGTCGCGACAGTCTTCAATAAAGACCAAGCCTACTGGCTGCTGTTTTGCTCTGGTATTCCTGGCTGGTGTCCTTGTTTTTTGTCCAAGGGAGCCCTCAGATTTCTCTGTTAACAGACCCACAAATTCCTTGCAGCTGTGCCACTTTAAAATGTATCTTGTGGTTTCCCCCCCCCCATCTTGCATTTTTATGTTGTGAACCGCCCTGATTCCATTTTTCCAATTAGCTTCTCTCTAAAAAGAACAGGTGGCTTCTCTTTTGCTTTCTCTGTCCTTCTGGCTGTTTTAAGAGCTGCCAGCAAACAAAAGGGGCATCATTAATAATAATAATAATAATAATAATAATAGTAATAATCATTTGTATACTGCCCTATTCCTGCAGGTCTCAGGGTAGTTACAACGTAAAATCACGAAATGAAAACACAAAACACATAATTAAAATAAAAACGACAACAACCCAATAACACACACCCCAAACACGTTTTAAAAGGGCACTGGACACTGCTTGGTTCAAGTCAATTTTAAAGTAATATACAGATGGGTCTTGAACTTGTTTTGTAAAGTCGTTTAGGTGCTGGAGAAGCAGCCCCCACACCCCGAAATCTCAAATACAATTTGATGAAAGCAAAGTTATTAAAAGGTGGCTTTGGAAGAGAGATACACTTTACAGAAACTGAACACCCCCTCTCCCCACGTTCAGAAAGGGTCTATGAGAGACACACATAAATGAGTAATTTAAATGCTAGACGGTTCATTGGTTTTGTTGTTGTTGTTTAGTCGTTTAGTCGTGTCCGCCTCTTCGTGACCCCCTGGACCAGAGCACGCCAGGCACCCCTGTCTTCCGCTGCCTCCTGCAGTTTGGTCAAACTCATGTTCGTAGCTTCAAGAACACCATCCAACCATCTCATCCTCTGCTGTCCTCTTCTCCTTTTCATTGGTTTTAGAAGTCTTTAATTGGTTGGCAGTTCTTGGGGGGAAAACCACAACCCACAAGATTTTCACAGAGGCATTGAGACCCCACCATGTCATCTCCCCCCTCAGAGAAATAGTTTGGTTTCTCCTCCTAAGGGCTGGCTCTGTGTATCGATCTACCTCTCTTAACCATGAAATACGCTTTAATGCAACTCATTCTGTGCTTTTAAATACCAACTTGTTTTATCGAGAGTATGAGGTTTCCTGGCTAAGAGTTGGGATGCATGGGAGCGAGGGGCAGTTTTAGAACTGTAACATTGGACGGGGGACCCCCAAGAATCATCTAGTACCACCCCCTGCAAGGCCCCACGACACCTTTTCTTGTATGCCCCCCCGAAGCATAGCTGTCAACCGTCCCTTATTTGGCAGGAAACTCCCTTATCCCAGCGCCGTGTCCCGCTGCTGTCCCTTATTGATGGATGTCCCTTAAATTTCCCGGGTTTCAAAGGAAGCAGCTCCTCTCCCTCCCTCCCTGCCGGCCAGGGAGGAGGGAGGCTCCAACTGTGTTGCTTGGCTGCCCGGCCCACCCCCCTCCGGCCTCTCACCAGCCTCAGCCCCCGGGAGCCCCTCCCCGCCGGGACTGAGGAGCCTTGAGAGGAGAGCGAGGGCAACCATAGAGAAAGCAGTTCAGAGAGAGGAGGAGGAGGAGGCATGGGCAGGTGTTCCAAGGGCTAACCATAGAGGGGGAAAGCGGAGGAAGGACCGCAAGCGCTTCTCCCATAGATTTGTAGTGGTAGACTAGCATAGATGGTCTGATCTGCGGGTTTATTTGGGCACTATTTCCCCCCCCTTCCTCCCGCCCCGCCTGATGGAACTGAGAGCTGCAGATGGAGCACGAGAAAAGATACAGAACTGCAGCAGCATCTTCGTAGCTTGGACTTCGTTTTGCGCGAAAAATGGTTGTGCTTGTAGTTATTTAATTGCAGTGTTTCATTTATTTAATTGCAGTGTTTCATCGGCTGGTGTCTTGAGCAGCAACCTCTGGAAACAAAGGGCTAAAAACCGGCACTGCTCTCCCAAATTATCTGGTCCCTTTTAACTGGTTGACTAAAACCCCTTATTTTGGCTGCTGGTCCCTTATTTTTGAGGCTGCTGGTCCCTTATTTTCAAATCTGTAAGTTGACAGCTATGCCCCGAAGCAAAGGGCTCATTTGGGTATGTGCCCATTGGGTTGTTGGGCTTTCTTGACCCTTATGAAGAACATGAGAAGAACTCCACTGGACCAGAAGAATGACCTACCTAAATTAGCACCCTATTAAACAACTAGACACCTATTGGGAGCCCATAAACAACAGGACGTGAGCACAACACTGCTCTCTCCATATCTGAACCCCAAATGCTTTGGTATTCGGAGGCGAGCTGCCCCTGATCCTGGAGGTAAGCGTACAACCAGCCATGACTAGTAGTCACTGATAGCATCATCCTCTACGGACCTGTCTATTCCCTTGAAAATCTGCCCCCTTAGAATAAATGGGGCATCAACGTCAATTGCACCCTTAGCCGGAATGACCCAAGATGTCGCAGCTGCCTCGACTTCTTCCGTTGTCTCTCCAGCTTCAAATCTGAGCCCAGCCACGTCTTCCCAAGGCCGTCGAATGTTTTCTTCCAGCTGAGGAATCTTCCTTTCTCTCTCGACATCTCTGGCGCACTCATCCCACCTGAAAGAGGGAACGGTCGTCAAAGCAAGCCGCGAGGAAATCCGCCGCCGTTTCTCCTGCCCTTCCGTTTCCTTTAAAATGATTCATTAACCAGAAAAAGGTGCAACCGTAACAAAAACAAAGAAAATGAACAATAAAATCTAAACCGTAAAAGCGTCATGGCTGGGAAGGGCAAAAATACAAAGCGACAACGCAGCCCAAAAAGGGACGGTGAAGTATTAACTCATACGAAGATTCCCTCAAACTTTTAGAGTATCCTCCACTGTATCCACAATTGCAGACCAACCTGTTTCTCCAAAGCCTGATTTAGCCCTAACTCTGGACATACTGTAGGGATGCGGGTGGCGCTGTGGGTTAAACCCCAGAGCCTAGGACTTGCCGATCAGAAGGTTGGCGGTTCGAATCCCCTCGACGGGGTGAGCTCCCGTTACTCGGTCCCGCTCTGGGGGGAAGGTAAATGGCGTTTCTGTGTGCTGCTCTGGTTCACCAGAAGCGGCTTAGTCATGCTGGCCACATGACCCCGAAGCTGTACGCCGGCTCCCTCGGCCAATAAAGGGAGGAGCCAATAAAGCGAGATGAGCGCCGCAATCCCAGAGTCGGTCACAACTGGACCTAATGGTCAGGGGTCCCTTTACCTTTAACTTTTAACATGTGTATGGGTTTGACCTTTCAGATCCTGAGTGACTAAAATATTTTTCTACGGATTGCTGGTCATTGCCACCTGTTTTGTATTCATTCATGGAACGGCCTCCTGGCATCCGATGTCAAGGAAATAAACAACTACAGTGGTACCTCTGGTTACAGACGCTTCAGGTTGCAGACTCTCCTAACCCAGAAATAGTACCTCTGGTTAAGAAATTTGCTTCAGGATGAGAACAGAAATCGCACGGCGGCAGCGGGAGGCCCCTTTAGCTAAAGTGGTACCTCAGGTTAAGAACAGTTTCAGGTTAAGAACGGACCTCTGGAACGAATTAAGTTCGTATCCAGAGGTACCACTGTATCTGACTTTTAGAAGACATCTGAAGGCAGCCTTGTTTAGGGAAGTTTTTAATGTTTGATGTTTTATCGCTCGATGATGATGATAATTTATTCTGTTGGGAGCCACCCAGGGTGGCTGGGGAAACCCAGCTAGATGAGTGGGGTATAAATAATAATAATGATAATTATTATTATTATTATTATTATTATTAGTGTTCTTAATGTTGTACACCGCCCTGGTGGAATAATAATAATAATAACAACAGTAACAGTAACGACAACAATAATAATTCCTTTAAAGCCTTCTAAGCTGGTGGCTGGGCACTCCTGATGCCATCGTGCCAGTGTCCCAAATAATAGGAGGCCTGGACTTTGTGTGTTTTGAGAAGACACACACATACCCTCAGCCAAGGCCCTTGGGACACGCCTGGCACGTACATCTGCTCCTGCACATCTGTTCAATGTTCCGCCATCCATCTTGTTGCGTAATTTTTCTAACATTTATATATATCAAGGGCTTTTCGAGAGCTGCCTTCGGGGTGTTGCCTAAGTTTTCCCCACTTAGCAAGTGATTAATCTGGAGGTTCCAGATGTTCACCCATGAGATTGTACAGCAGTCACTGTCAGCTCTTCGGCTCAGGCAAAATGGAAAGTTTAAGATGTAGACAGGCATCTGTCTAGGCTCAGAGCGAGGCCTCCTTAGAGGAGAGCTGTAGTATTTGTAGGAATGGATTTAGACACGAGGAGAGCCTACTATGGTGCAGAATGGAGCCTAAGTATGTCCAGGTAAAGGTAAAGGGACCCCTGACCATTAGGTCCAGTCGCAGACAACTCTGGGGTTGCGGCACTCATCTCGCTTTATTGGCCGAGGGAGCTGGCGTACAGCTTCCGGGTCATGTGGCCAGCAGGACTAAGCCGCTTCTGGCAAACCAGAGCAGCGCACGGAAACCCCGTTTACCTTCCCACCAGAGTGGTACCGATTTATCTACTTGCACTTTGACATGCTTTCGAACTGCTAGGTTGGCAGGAGCTGGGACCGAGCAACGGGAGCTCACCCCGTCGTGGGGATTCAAACCACCGACCTTCTGATCGGCAAGTCCTAGGCTCTGTGGTTTGACCCACAGCGCCACCCACGTCCCATTTCCGCCACCTCTAACAGCAGCCAAATAAAACATGGAAAAGTGTTATATTTCAGCTCACCTTTCTTTCTCAGAGCCCCCAGCGGGATCCAGGTGAAGCTTCCATCCATCTTCAGTTCCTCCTCCTCAGCCTCCTTTGAATCTTCTGATCATCGGGGGACGTTGTTCTCCAGTTTTTCTGACTTCTTAGTTTTCCTTTTCTCTCTCTCTCCGCCTCTGGCCAGCTCTGGGAGACAGACCGGGACAGGTTGCAGTCCTTGTACGGACACATCCACTTTGTTTGCAACCCAGGTACAGAAAATGTCAGCACCCAGCCGCAGCAGAATTCCTAGGGATGAATTCCTAGGAAACGCTTTGCAATGAGGGATTGGCTCCATCCCCAGTCCGACTACATGCACCAAGGATTTCGAAACTTGCTTCTCAGTGAGTCTGCCAGTCTCCCAAGACTGCTTCCCCCTCTCCAAGTTCTTAGGGCGGCGTGGTTTTGGGCTCAGCCGCTGGAGGGAGAACAGTGAGGCGGCAACATCCGAACCCCTTCGTCGGTGGGTCTCAGGTCATCGGGGCGGCCGGCAGCCGGGGGCGCCTGGTCTCCTGGTTCTGACCTCTCGGCAGCCATGGGGATTTGCTCTTCCAGTGGAATATCCGCCTGTCCCTGAACAGGGCTGCAGAATGGGGGGGGGGAAACAAAACAGGAATGAGGACTGATGCAAAACTTGGGGGCTATTAGGGAACCAGGCGGAGGGCCTTCTCGGTGGTGGCGCCCGCTCTGTGGAACGCCCTCCCATCAGATGGCAAGGAAAGAAACAACTATCTGACTTTTAGAAGACATCTGAAGGCAGCCTTGTTTAGGGAAGTTTTCAATGTTTGATGTTTTACTGTGTTTTTAATATTCTGTTGGGAGCCACCCAGAGTGGCTGGGGAAACCCAGTCAGATGGGTGGGGTATAAATAGTAAGTTGTTGTTGTTGTTGTTGTTATAAATCAACCCCCTGAGAAAATCCGCCGTATTCCTCAAAGGAGTAGAGACTGCATTTTTAAAAACCATGTATTTCTAATGCAAAAACCAAAGGCCTATTTATTTATTTTTAATCTCCTGTATTTATTTATTTTTAATCTCCAGAGCCTGGCGTGCTCTAGTCCATGGGGTCACGAAGAGTCGGACATGACTAAACGACTAAACAGCAAATCTCCTGTTGGAAGCCGCCCAGAGTGGCTGGAGAAACTCAGCCAGATTGATGGGGTATAAGTAGTAAATTATTATTATTTGTTATTATTTATTATTATTATTCATTGCATTTGCATTCATCCTTTTTTCTCCTACGTGCTGCACAAGGTTCGAACCTTCCTCAACCAAACCGCACAACCGTGAGGCTGAAAGACGGTGCCTGTCGCAGTGTGCTCCGTAGATAAGTGGGGACTTTAACCCTGGTCTCCCAATCCGACACTCGATAACCACTGTACTCCTGAGCTTCTAATTCACTCCCTTTCCTTGATGCGTATTTCCGCACTGTTCTTGTCCCACTATCTATTCCAGCTATGAAATCACTCGTCTTAGATGCCAATACAAGCTACAAGAAAGGAGATTTCGACTCAACATCAGGAAGAACATTCTGACAGGAAGAGATGTGTGACATTGGAACAGATTCCCTCGGGAGGTTGTGGACTCTGCTTCCTTGGAGGTTTTTAAGCAGAGGTTGGATGGCATATATAATAATAATAATAATAATAATAATAATAATAATAATAATAATAATTTATTATTTATACCCCGTCCATCTGGCTGGGTTTCCCCAGCCACTCTGGGCGGCTTTCAACAAAGTATTAAAATACAGTAGTCCATCAAACATTAAAAGCTTCCCTAAACAGGGCTGCCTTCAGATGTCTTCTAAAAGTCAGATAGTTGTTTATTTCCTTGACATCGTTCCACAGGGTGGGTGCCACCACCGACAAGGCCCTCTGCCTGGTTCCTGGTAACCTCACTTCTCGCAGGGAGGGAGCCGCCAGAAGGCCTTCGGAGCTGGACCTCAGTGTCTGGCCTGAACAATGGGGGTGGAGACGCTCCTTCAGGTATATTGGACCGAGGCCGTTTAGGGCTTTAAAGGTCAGCACCAACACTTTGAATTGTGCTTGGAAACGTACTGGGAGCCAATGTGGGTCTTTCAGGACCAGTGTTATGTGGTCTCAGCGGCCGCTCCCAGTCACCAGTCTAGCTGCCGCATTCTGGATTAATTGCAGTTTCCGAGTCACCTTCAAAGGTGGCCCCACGTAGAGCGCATTGCAGTAGCCTAAGTGGGACATAATCTGCCATGGAAGCTTTAGCTGAGATTCCTGCATTGCAGGGGGTTAGAGTAGATGACGGGGTCCCTTCCAATTTTAGGATTCTATCCGTTGTGCTCAGCACTGTTGTTAGAAAAGTGGAATGCAACTATCAAGTCAAAATCGAAACAGATTTCCCTGGAGGGAGTGAAGGAGGAGTTTAAGAGGCGCTACTCAGTGAGAGCTGGACCATAAAGAAGGCTGATCGCCGAAGAATGGATGCTTTTGAATTCTGGTGCTGGAGGAGACTCTTGAGAGTCCCATGGACTGCAAGAAGATCAAACCTCTCCATTCTGAAGGAAATCAGCCCTGAGTGCTCACTGGAAGGACAGATTCTGAAGCTGAGGCTCCAAGACTTTGGCCACCTCATGAGAAGAGAAGACTCCCTGGAAAAGACCCTGATGTTGGGAAAGATGGAGGGCACAAGGAGAAGGGGACGGCAGAGGACAGGATGGTGGACAGTGTTCTCGAAGCTATCAGCATGAGTTTGACCAAACTGCGGGAGGCAGTGGAAGACAGGAGTGCCTGGCGTGCTCTGGTCCAGGGGGTCACGAAGTGTCGGACACAACTAAATGACTAAACAACAACACTCAGTGGCAGGTCCGTGACTTGCATGCAGAAGGTTTAGGTCCCAGCATCTCCCCTTAGCGGATGTTGCCTAAAGCCCCAGAGAGCTGCTGCCAGCCAGTGTGGGCAATACTAGATGGGCCAATGGTCTGACTCTGCAGAAGGCTGCTTCCTAAGTTCCTACGAATTGCTTTGCACTTCATTGGGCAGCTTGCAATTCCTGCATCGGACTGCCCATGGGTTCCAGGCCCAGGGATTGCTCAGTTGGTGGAGCATGTGTCTCTTAATATCAGGGTCAAGAGTTCGAATCCCACATTGGGCAAAAGATTCCTGCATTGCAGGGGGTTAGACTGAATGACCCTTGTGGTCTCTTCCAACTCCACAATTCCATTATTCCATGAAATTTCCATGTCTGAACTTGACCTTGCCAATAGTTGCCCCTCGCTTGCAACCACTATGGGGAGGAGCCACACAACGAACTTACCACCATCTTCTACGGTACCAGAATGCAAGACATCCTATAAGGAGCACCCCTAAAACTAAAGAAGAAAGACAAATTAATAGTTAGCAATATGATAACCTAAAGGCCTTGGCCTTCGTCCCAGCTTGCTTGTCTCTGAGCCGGCCTTAGGTAAAGGTAAAGGTAAAGGGACCCCTGACCATTAGGTCCAGTTGTGGCTGACTCTGGGGTTGCGGCGCTCGTCTCGCTTTACTGGCTGAGGGAGCTGGTGTACAGCTTCCGGGTCATGTGGCCAGCATGACTAAGCCGCTTCTGGCGAACCAGAGCAGCGCACGGAAACACCGTTTACCTTCCCGCCGGAGCGGTACCTATTTATCTACTTGCACTTTGACGTGCTTTCGAACTGCTAGGTTGGCAGGAGCAGGGACCGAGCAAGGGGAGCTCACCCCGTCATGGGGATTCGAACCGCCGACCTTCTGATCGGCAAGCCTAGGCTCAGTGGCCTTGGCCTGCTTGCTTGTCTCTGAGTCGGCCCTAGTTATCGGCTAATGCAATGCCATGGAACGACGATGTCCCAGTTGTCAGGAGATGATCAAAGATCAGCCATGGAATGCTCACAATTAAGGCAGCTTTTAGGGAGGAAGTGAAAGGTCACTCTGGGAAACGCCTAACGCAGGGTTTGTGGGGAATTTTGAGGGGCAGAAAGTGGCAGGGGGGGGAGTAAGCATTTGACCAATAGTTTTGGGACAAAGGAAGCATGGAGTGGAAGAAGGCAGAGACCAACGAGTCAATGGAACAGAAGACAGACTTCACCATGATAATAATACAGTGGTACCTTGGTTTTTTGGGATGCGGGTGGCGCTGTGGGTTAAACCACAGAGCCTAGGACTTGCCGATCAGAAGGTCGGCAGTTCTAATCCCTGCGACGGGGTGAGCTCCCATTGCTTGGTCCCTGCTCCTGCCAACCTAGCAGTTCGAAAGCATGTCAAGGTGCAAGTAGATAAATAGGTACCGCTCCGGCGGGAAGGTAAACGGCGTTTCCGTGCTCTGCTCTGGTTGGCCAGAAGCGGCTTAGTCATGCTGGCCACATGACCTGGAAGCTGTATGCCGGCTCCCTCGGCCAGTAAAGCGAGATGAGCGCCGCAACCCCAGAGTCGTCTGCGACTGGACCTAATGGTCAGGGGTCCCTTTACCTTGGTTTACGAACTTAATCTGTTCTGGAAGTCCGTTCTTAAACCAAGGCATTCTTAAACCAAGGCGTGTTTTCTCATAGCAGCGGGGGACTCAATTTACAAATGGAACACACTCAACATGTTCTGCTTCCAAGGCAAAGTTCACAAACCAAAACACCTACTTCTGGGTTTGCAGTTTTCTTAATCCAAGTTGTTCATAAACTAAGCTGTTCTTAAACCAAGGTACCACTGTAATAATAATAATAATCAGTGATTTTTTTTTCTAAACAAAATGTTTAGGGGTACCCTCATTTTGACTCAAGAACACCACCATTTTATAGGCCACCATCAGGGGCAGGAACAGAATAGACGATTCCCTGTCCTAGTGAAGAAACTAATTTTTTTTTTAGTTTCTTCTCCCGTTAGATTCACAAAATGTTTAGGGGTATGCGTACCCCCAGAACAAAGCACTAATAATAATAATAATTTCTTTTATTTATACACCGCCCATCTGGGTGGGACAGAATTGTATTTATTGATCTATTCATTTAATCTGCATACCGCCCTATACCCGTAGGTCTCAGGGTGGTTCACTACATAAAACTACAATATATATACAAAAAACACAAAATACATAATAAAAATAAGAAAAGAGACCACCCTATAGCCCTTGGAGCAAGGGGTGTGTGTGTCTGCGCCTCCTCTATTAGTTTGAACTAGGAAGACAAAACTAGAATTCTAATTTAAGAATTTAAATCCATCTTGTATGGTCAGATGACTGCTAACAATCCATAAACGCCAAACTATTCCTCACCTAGGAAAGGTACTCCGATCCTCAAGGGGAGAGAACCTGCAAAAAGGAAGAATAAAGAACATTACATGCAAAAATGGCTGGCTCTTTCCTTGCAGTCCCACTAAAATGTATTTTGTAATTCTGAGCAAGTGCAAAGATTTGTGACAGAACACAGAAGTAGGTATCCTGGTGTAACAGTTTGATTTTTTTTTTTAAGTTTCTAGTCTTTAAGGTTGGGAAACAGGTCTGAGTTTATGTGGTGTTATGTACTGACTTGAATAGGATCCAAAATGCAGCAGTCTGATTGGTCCTAGAATAGGATTCAGAATGCATCAGTCTGATTGGTCCACAGGAGCCACCCAATCCAGCTCCAGGTGGAAGTGAATCTGCAACCTGATTGGCCTACAGGAGAATCCTGGAATTAGCCAATCACGTGGGGCCCATTGTGTAAATAATGTATATAAAGCAGACATTCTGGGGGAACTTCCATTCCTCCTCACCACTATGAGCTGAATAAAGAGCATGAAATCCACTCTTGACTCCCGAGTATATTTCAGGTGGGATATAAAATCCTCAAAACCACAGTGAGTCCACAGTGTGATGCAGCAGCAAAAAAAGTGAATGCTATTCTAGGTTGCATCAACAGAAGTCTAGTGTCCAGATCAAGGGAAGTCATAGTCCCACTCTGTTCTGCCTTGGTAAGATCCCACCTGGAATACGGTGTCCAATTCTGGGCACCACAATTTAAGAAGGATGTTGACAAGCTGAAAGGTGTGCAGAGGAGGGCGACCAAGATGATCAAGGGTCTGGAAACTAAGCCTGATGAGGAACGTTTGAAGGATCTGGGTATGTTTAGCCTGGATAAGAGGCGACAGGAGAGTCATCTTCAAATATTTCAAGGGCTGTCCCATGGAAGAAGAAGAGTTTGGATTTGATATCCCGCTTTATCACTACCCGAAGAAGTCTCAAAGCGGCTAACATTCTCCTTTCCCTTCCTCCCCCACAACAAACACTCTGTGAGGTGAGTGGGGCTGAGAGACTTCAGAGAAGTGTGACTGGCCCAAGGTCACCCAGCAGCTGCATGTGGAGGAGCGGAGACGCGAACCCGGTTCACCAGATTACGAGTCTACTGCTCTTAACCACTACACCACACTGGCTCTCACACTGGAAGATGGAGGAAGCTTGTGTTCCGCTGCTCCAGAGGGTGAACCCAAACAAATGGATTCAAATTATAAGGAAGGAGATTCCGACTCAACATCAGGAAGAACTTCCTAGTAGTAAGAGCTGTCCAGCAGGGGAATGGATTCCCTCAGGAGGTTATGGACTCTCCTTCCTTGGGGGTTTTAAAGCAGAAGTTTGGATGGCTATCTGTCATGGATGCTTGAGCTGAGATTCCTGCCTTGCATGGGGTTTGACTACTGTATTTTTGCTCTATAAGACGCACCAGACCATAAGATGCACCTAGTTTTTGGAAGAGGAAAACAAGAAAAAAAATATTCTGAATCCCAGAAGCCCTGAAGTCCCGCTGCCCTGAAGAGGCTTTGTGTTGCTTTCGTTGAAGCCAGAGCAGCAAGGAGGGAAAAAGTGTGTCGTATAGAGCGAAAAATACGGTAGATGACTCTTGGAATTCCTTCCAGTTCTGTAATTCTATAATAATAATAATAATAATAATAATTTATTTATACCCCGCCCATCTGGCTGGGCTTCCCCAGCCACTCTGGGCGGCTTCCAACAGAATATTAAAATACAATAGTCTATTAAACATTAAAAGCTTCCCTAAACAGGGCTGCCTTCAGATGCCTTCTAAAAGTCTGGTAGTTGTTGTTCTCTTTGACATCTGGTGGAAGGGCGTTTCACAGGGCAGGTGCCACCACCGAGAAGGCCCTCTGCCTGGTTCCCTGTAACTTGGCTTCTCGCAGGGAGGGAACCGCCAGAAGGCCCTTGGCGCTGGACCTCAGTGTCCGGGCAGAACGATGGGGGTGGAGACGCTCTTTCAGATATGCACATGTTCCATATGCAAATGCTTTTGTGTGGGGTTGTTTTACCAGGCAAACCCACCTGCATACAACTCCCACCTGCTGTATGCAGTGGTTCAGCCCAGACCCAGGCTAACACCCCAAATTCCCCTCTCAAAGAAATCCGCCTTACTGGGAATTAAATCCCACTGGAATGAACAGGGCTGACATCTGAGGGAACCCTTTTACGATCAAGCTGCAGGTGTTGCAGACTTCTGTTGGGTTTCCTCGCCCGCCCCCTGGGCCTGAAGATGGAACGGGTTCAAAAGGGAGGGGCAAAAATGCTAAACGAGTTTGAAATAATTGTGTGCTCCCTTCCCGCCCCAACAAAATGCTTTGCTTACAGGAATCTTAGCAGGGTTGCATGGCAACTGCTGGAGACAGCTGTGCCATAGCGGTCAACTGTCCCTTATTTGGCGGGAAACTCCCTTATCCCAACTCCGTGTCCCGCTGCTGTCCCAGATTGATGATGTCGCTTAAATTTCCCGGGTTCCAGAGGAAGCAGCTCCTCTCCCTCCCTCCCTGCCGGCCAGGGAGGAGGGAGGCTCCAAGTGTGTTACTTGGCAGCGTTGTGCACCCAATAAGGAGTCTAAGAATGACTGGGGGGGTGGAGCTTGCATGCCTTGTGCCGATCAAATCGGCCGCGTTGCCTGGGGACTCGCCTTTGCTCAGCGCTTCCCAGCGGAGAGGTGACGGTGGTTTTCCTTGCTGCATCCCCTTTGCCGGGATTTTAAAATACTGTAATACATCAAACATTAAAAGCTTCCCTAAACAGGGCTGCCTTCAGCTGTCTTCTAAAAGTCTGGTAGTTGTTCTCTTTGACATCTGGTGGGAGGGCATTCCACAGGGAGGGCGCCACTACCGAGAAGGCCCTCTGCCTGGTTCCCTGTAACTTGGCTTCTCGCAATGAGGGAACCGCCAGAAGGCCCTCGGCGCTGGACCTCAGTGTCCGGGCAGAACGATGGGGGTTGGAGACGCTCCTTCAGGTCTACTGGACCAAGGCCATTTAGGGCTTTCAAGGTCAGCACCAACACTTTGAATTGTGCTCAGAAACGGACTGGGAGCCAGTGTAGGTCTCCCTCTGCAAAGCCCCTAAAATAGTTCAGGGCCCGGATCCAAGTCAGCTTTACCCCAGAACATTTGGGGACACATGCAAATCCCAACTCTCAAGCAGAGAGCCTCATCTGTAATTCCTGTTGTATGGGTATTTATTCAGTTGCTAACTAAGTCCTAAATATTTGATAGGAAATATTGTATGTTTATTACATGAATGCATGAATGTCCTATAAACCAATTTTCTCGTCTGCTAGCAGAAGCTTAATAACTTCACCCAGTCGCCACTGCTCCCTCTCCAGGTTTCCTCCTCCTCCTCTGATTCTGATTCTTCTTTTATAATAATAATAATAATTTTTTATTTATACCCCGCCCATCTGGCTGAGTTTCCCCAGCCACTCTGGGCGGCTCGCAATCAAGTGTTAAAAACAATACAGCATTAAACATTAAAAACTTCCCTAAACAGGGCTGCCTTCAGATGTCTTTTAAAAATAGGATAGTTGCTTATTTCCTTCACATCTGAAGGGAGGGTGTTCCACAGGGTGGGCGCCACCACCAAGAAGGCCCTCTGCCTGGTTCCCTGTAACCTCACTTCTCGCAATGAGGGAACCGCCAGAAGGCCCTCAGCGCTGGACCTCAGTGTCCGGGCAGAACGATGGGGGTGGAGACGCTCCTTCAGGTATACAGGACCGAGGCCGTTTAGGGCTTTCAAGCTCAGCACCAACACTTTGAATTGTGCTCGGAAACATACTGGGAAATTTCAAATTCAGAGGTGGCTACAAAAACCTGGGTGCAAAAGGAACTACTGTTCAGGTCTCGCAACAAAATGTTGCAGCACGCCATCAGTCCCCAACAGAAGTGCTCTTGTTCTGGGTTCCAGCCAGCCAGTCGCGTCTTCCTTGAGGATATAGCAAGCGGTGAGGGTCTCAAGCAAGTCATCGCACCCCCTTTCCCTGTTTTTCTTTTCCAGCTGACACTGTGACTCTTGGGTTCCAATCCCGTCTCCTTGCAGGAAGTGAGTCCATCCCACGCACATTTAAAGCATGTGATTTCACCCAAAGAATCCTGGGAACTGTAGTTTGATAAGAATGCCGGGGATTGCAGAAATGGAGGTATGGTGTAGATCTGCCTTGGGGGTCTCCTTTCAGAGAAATTGGATTCAGTTCTCATTTAAAGGCAAATCGACCAAATCTACACTTTCCGAAGCAATATGTGAACTGAAAGACAGCTGTCCGTCAAAATTTGCACTTTCCTGAATTTTGCAATGCAGTTCTGCATTTTACCAACGTGAACGTATTATGGGGAAATGTGCGTAAAATCAATATATTATTGAGAAGTGAATTATATTAGAGGAAACTGCTTACAAGGATATGATTACCAGGCGAAATTCACACCCAAAATGATGATGAATTTTCATGAGGGCTATATATTTTTTTTTTTGAAAAATTGTGAATTGCTGTAGAAATGCGGAGAACTGACTCTAAGATTGGAAAAATGAGAAGCTGAGTAAATGGAAAAATCCTTCCACCCCTAGCGGCGAGTTCAGCATTAAAGGGAGCTGGTGGATGGGGGAGCAAGATCTCCGAACTCTATGGATGCTTCCAGACCACCCACTACTGAGCATTCGCCCTGATTTCAGCGAGGTTAGATGAGATTGCATCATAGCAAGCTCAATGACTTTCCTTATTCTGGGGCAGGGAGAGTCCAAATTGGGGGGGGGGGGGTAAATGGAGAAAGCTAGAGAGTTCCAGAAAGACATCTACTTCTGCTTCATTGACTATGCAAAAGCCTTTGACTGTGTCGACCACAGCAAACTATGGCAAGTTCTTAAAGAAATGGGAGTGCCTGATCACCTCATCTGTCTCCTGAGAAGTCTCTATGTGGGACAAGAAGCTACAGTTAGAACTGGATATGGAACAACTGATTGGTTCAAAATTGGGAAAGGAGTACGACAAGGCTGTATATTGTCTCCCTGCTTATTTAACTTATATGCAGAATTCATCATGCAAAAGGCTGGGCTGGATGAATCTCAAGCCGGAATTAAGATTGCCGGAAGAAATATCAACAACCTCAGATATGCAGATGACACAACCTTCATGGCAGAAAGTGAGGAGGAATTAAAGAACCTTTTAATGAGGGTGAAAGAGGAGAGCACAAAATATGGTCTGAAGCTCAACATCAAAAAACAAAGATCATGGCCACTGGTCCCATCACCTCCTGGCAAATAGAAGGGGAAGAAATGGAGGCAGTGAGAGATTTTACTTTCTTGGGCTCCATGATTACTGCAGATGGTGACAGCAGTCATGAAATTAAAAGACGCCTGCTCCTTGGGAGAAAGGCGATGGCAAACCTAGACAGTATCTTAAAAAGCAGAGACATCACCTTGCCAACAAAGGTCCGTATAGTTAAAGCCATGGTTTTCCCAGTAGTGATGTATGGAAGTGAGAGCTGGACCATAAGGAAGGTTGATCGCTGAAGAATGGATGCTTTTGAATTCTGGTGCTGGAGGAGACTCTTGAGAGTCCCATGGACTGCAAGAAGATCAAACGTATCCATTCTTCAGGAAATCAGCCCTGAGTGCTCACTGGAAGGACAGATCGTGAAGCTGAGGCTCCAAGACTTTGGCCACCTCATGAGAAGAGAAGACTCCCTGGAAAAGACCCTGATGTTGGGAAAGATTGAGGGCACAAGGAGAAGGGGACGACAGAGGACGAGATGGTTGGACAGTGTTCTCGAAGCCACAAACATGAGTCTGACCAAACTGCGGGAGGCAGTGGAAGACAGGAGTGCCTGGTGTGCTCTGGTCCAGGGGGTCACGAAGAGTCGGACACGACTAAGCGACTAAACAACAACAACAATGCATTTGTTGCACAAGGTCTCCCAATCGACCAGAATTATGTCACCCGAATTTGCCAACTAGCAATACAGTGGTACCTTGGTTCCCAAATGCCTTGGTTCCCAAACGTCGAAAACCCGGAAGTAAGTGTTCCAGTTTTTGAACATTTTTCGGAAACCGAACGTCCGATGCGGCTGTTGGCTATTGTTTCTGGGGCGCTTGCACCAATCAGAAGCTGCGCCTTGGTTTCTGAACATTTCGGAAGTCAAATGGACTTCCAGAACGGATTAAGTTTGGCGCATTTGTTTTTGCTATTTATTTTGCGTTTTTGTTTTTGAGGCTTTCTCGGTTCATTTGTTTTTGTGACTGTGTGGAAACCAGTTCAGCTACCGATTGATTGATGATTGTGTGACTGCAAAAATGTTAAATTGCTGTTTCAGGGGTTGTTTTTAAAAAGTCTGGAACGGATTAATCCATTTTGCATTGCAGTCATACCTTGGGTTCCAGTACCTTCGGCGACCCGGAAGTAATGGAATGTGTTACTTCCAGGTTTTGCCGCTCGTGCATGCGCAGACACTCAAAATGACGTCACGCGCATGCGCGGAAGCGGTGAATCACCACCCGCGAAGACGCAGGTTGTGTTAGCTTCAGGATGCGAATGGGGCTCCAGAATGGATCCCCTTCTCATCCAAAGGTACCACTGTACTTTCTATGGGAACACGTGCCTTGGTTTTGGAACGCTTTGGTTTTGGAACGGAATTCTGGAACGGGTTAAGTTTGAGAACCCGGGTACCACTGTAGTCTGGATGCACCCAAAGAGTCCGGGAGACAGATAGCAGCCATAGATATGGGATAAACGCAAGAATATTAGTATATTAACTTGGGAAGAACATGAAACGAAGGAGGACGTGGAAAGGATGGTTAATGCAGAGGCTGCAACAATGAGATGAACTACTTCAGCTGCCGGTGACAAACCTGCTTGTCTCTCGATCGGAGGCACCGGGACGCTTGGCTCTGGGGTGACCCCAGAGACTCTCCCTGGCGTCACAGCTGTCGTTCTGTTTCCTGCTGAGATGCGCTTGCTGGTCGTGGGCTGCGAGGCTTTCGCGGTGGCGCTTTCGCATTTCGCCGAGCTTTCGCTGACCGTGCCAGGAGTGTGTCTGCCAACCTCTGGGGCGCTGGTGGTTGCCGTTGTCCTGCCAGGCCTAGTTGGTTTAGCAGTCCTGAGCAGTGTGGCGATCGAGTCTGATGGCGAGGGGGTCTCGCTGCCATATGGGGCTGCGGCGGAGGCCACCGAAGTGTTAACACCAGCAGCCTGCGGAGTCGCTGGGGTGGAAGTTTCTGCCTCTACAACATGGGGTAAGTAAAGTTTCATATGTATGTTTCTGGGACAGGCCATGAAGCTGTGTTAACACGAGCGCGTCTCCACAATTCCTCTCGCCCCACTGCTTCCCCCTGGGGAGAACCACTTTTTAGCGCTTACTCGGAGCAAACGGCTGGTCTGTGGGTCGCCGTTTGTTCCTAAATACCTACTTTCCCATTTCCATTACTTGTGAATTAAGTCAGCATTTTTATTTTCTTAATTTTATTTTCGTCGGGAGAGGGCACTTGCCTAATTTGTGTCCCAGGCCTGAAATCTGTTAGAAGAAGATGAAGAAGAAGAAGAAGAAGAAGAAGAAGAAGAAGAAGAAGAAGAAGAGGAGTTTGGATTTGCTATCCCGCTTTATCACTACCCTAGGGAGTCTCAAAGCGTCTAACATTCTCCTTTCCCTTCCACCCCCACAACAAACACTATGTGAGGTGAGTGGGGCTGAGAGACTTCAGAGAAGTGTGAGTGGCCCAAGGTCACCCAGCAGCTGCATGTGGAGGAGCAGGGAAGCGAACCCGGTTCCCCAGATTACAAGACTACCGCTCTTAACCACTACACCATACTGGTTTTACTCCAAAAACACGTTTGTCACCCAGTGGTGACGAGCAGAGACAGCAAAGCAATTGGTCCTACCTCTTCTGGGATCTTCTGTTGTGGTGGCAGGCAGGGAAGGATCTCCTTGTTGAGAAAGAGAAGAGGAATTGAGAAGAGGAAAAGCCAAAATTAGCTTGTCATCAGGATTGCATTTACAGCAGTGCAGAACCTATTCTCCTTGAAGTTTCAGTGAGAAATTTCACCGGCTCAACTATAAACCCAAATAATGACCCATAAGATCAGATCCCGTTTTCATCTGTATGAACGTCCTGAATTTCTGCTTTATAACTATTGTCAGGAGTTCAGCCTACACTCAAGTAGGACCCTGGCAGAGACACATGCCCAACTGGCATGTTCTCTCCCTCCTGTTCGATCGTTCGGGAGCTTCAAAAGCTTTCTTCAGCCCGAACATCACAGCGACCGATGCCAACCAACACCGGCACACTTAGGGATCCGCAGAGTTTGCGCAGCTTGCGTGACAGACCTCAGCAACTCAGCATTTTGGCTAATCTACTTTATTTACATATAAACACACACAGAGCACTGCAACATGGCTCCCTCTCTCTCTAGCATCAGACAGCAAAGGGAAAAGGAACAAAGGACAATAGTCCCACTTCACGGAACACAGTAACACAAACATCCTGTCTCCGTCACTTCCCACTCTGTGGAGTCAAAACACATACTGTCATGTGAAAGACAACAATCCCATGACTGCAATCACGGAGCAGGAATTCTAACAGTTTTACATGCTTTTATATTGCTGTTTTGCTAGTCTTATTTTATTTAACCGTGCAACTTATATATCACTTGATTGTAAAATAAAAAACAAAAATACCCAAACAACTTCTAAGGTGTCTTCACATTGGCATACAAATTCCTATGTGGGAATTCCAATTTAGGCCTCTCTCTTTTTGGCTTAGCAAAAGGTGTTGCGTAAGCAGGGACTTGATGGAGGGATATAAACCATGCATGCGAAGTGTGAGTGCCCGATTATTGATGAGATATCATGTGGTGTGATCTCCATGCAAAGAAATCAGGATGTGAAAAGGCATCATTTTTTGGCCTGCTCTATATCTGCCACACGCAGCGCCGCTTCTATTCTGCTGCAGTTCAGGTTCCGCAAAAAAAGTTGGTGTTTCCTGTGGTCACGTTTAATAATATAATTAACTATCGTTATGTTTATTTCCAAGGGGAGGGAAGCAATAATGTACTGTTTTGCATGCCGAAAAATCAACAGCAACGAGTTTGGGTTAGGGGAGGGGCAGGAAATGAGGTCAGCGAATGTTGATCACTTCCTTGATTTTTGTTCCTGCTTGCAGATGGACACACGGACCAGGGTGGATAAAAATCAATGATTTTTTTTTAAAGGATACTTTTTATTTAAATCAGATTTTTAAAATTTAAATTGGATTTTTAAAATTTAAATTGGATTTTTTTAAAAAACCAAACAGATTTTTAAAATAAAATGCTTTTGGAGGAAAAATATTTCTAAAGATAGTTTTCTGTTCAAGTTACATTATAGTCCAAAGGCTATTCATCAGGAGATAAGGATTTGAGTTTTTCATGTGTGCTAAAACTCCGTATAAGTTGTGTTATTTGTTTTTTAAACTGCTTAACTTCACCTGTTAACAAACATGGATACATATGCTATAATGTTATTGCTTTAGTTAAATAATTTTTTAATAAATTGTTATTAAGGAAATGATTATTTTTCTCCTTCCAATACAGTACAGCAGAAATGTTGCCCAAATATAAACAACAATTTCATAATTACCTGTCTTTGTATTTCTAACCAAATCAGAAATTTTTCTAAAGATAGTTTTCTATTTAGGTTACAATATAGTCTAAAGGCTATTCATCAGGAAATAAGGATTTGTTTTAAGTTTTTCTTGTGTGCCAAAACTCAGTTTAAGGGTTTAAGGGTTTAAAAACAAACAAACAAAAAAGTTTAACCACATTAGTTAACAAACGTGCATACATATGCTATAATGTTATTGTTTTAGTTAAATAAATTGTTATTAAGGAAATGGCTATTTTTCTCCTTCCAATAAAGTACAGCAGAAAAGTTGTCCAAATAGAAACAGTTAACTTATTAAACCTCACCATAATTTCATAATTATGTGTCTATGTATTTCTGATAGTATAACCAACTCAGTAATTTTTGATAGAACTGTAAAAAACTGCTCTGAAAATTTATCCTTCCAAAAAGGAAACCTTCATCTGGTTGTAAATGTTAAGATTATACCAGCAAGAATGAGCCTTTCTGTAAAAATAAATAAATAAATAAAATTTAAATCAAGTCTTGCTGACTAGTGATTTAAATCAAGTCTTACTGACTAATGATTTAAATCGATTTGATTTAAATCAAATCCACCAAGACGCGGACTGCTGCCATTTCCAGATTTGCTACCCATTCTGACAGAATTCTGGGACACCTCTACCTGGACGCGGCTGCAGTCAGCCATGACTTTGAGAGACCAATGGGGGGGGGGCTTTGTGGATCTTAATACAGGAACAGGTTTACAGGTATGAAGGTGAGCCTAGGTAAGCCCTGAGCTCACCATGGAGGCACAGATCAGTTCTGTGTCCAGGGCAGCTGTTTATCAGCTCCATCTGGTATGCAGTCAGAGACCCTCCCTGCCCGCAGACTGTCTCGCCAGAGTGGTGCATGCTCTAGTTATCCCCCGCTGGGACTACTGCAATGCGCTCTACGTGGGGCTGCCTTTGAAGGTGACCCAGAAACTATAACTAATCCAGAATGCGGCAGCTAGACTGGTGACTGGGGGCGGCCGCCGAGACCACATAACACCGGTCTTGAAAGACCTACTTTGGCTCCCTGTACATTTCCGGGCACAATTCAAAGTGTTGGTGCTGACCTTGAAAGCCCTAAATGGCCTCGGCCCAGTATACCTGAAGGAGCATCTCCACCCCCATCGCTCAGCCCAGACACTGAGGTCCAGGTCCGTGGGCCTTCTGGCGGTTCCCTCACTATAAGAAGTGAGGTTACAGGGAACCAGGCAGAGGGCCTTCTCTGTGGTGGCACCCACCCTATGGAACGCCCTCCCGCCAGAGGCAACCCTGTATCGGGAATTTTTTTATGTCTGATGTTTTATTGTGTTTTTATAATTCTGTTGGGAGCATATAACACCGGTCCTGAAAGACCTACACTGGCTCTCAGTACATTTCCGAGCACAATTCAAAGTGTTGGTGCTGAAAGTGTTGGTGTCTTGAAAGTCCTAAACGGCCTTGGTCCTGTATACCTGAAGGAGCGTCTCCACCTCCATCGTTCTGCCCGGACACTGAGGTCCAGCACTGAGGGCCTTCTGGCGGTTCCCTCCCTGCGAGAAGTGAGGTTACAGGGAACCAGGCAGAGGGCCTTCTCGGTGGTGGCACCCGCCCTGTGGAACGCCCTCCCACCAGATGTCAAAGAGAAAAATAACTACCAGACTTTTAGAAGACATCTTAAGGCAGCCCTCTTTAGGGAAGCTTTTAATGTTTAATAGGTTATTGTATTTTAGTGTTTTGTTGGAAGCCGCCCAGAGTTGGCTGGGGAAACCCAGCCAGATGGGCGGGGTATAAATAATAAATTATTATTATTATTATGAGCCCCATCACGCAGGTACTACTTACGGATGCAGCTCAGGCGCACCTCCCATTGAAACTTTTTCGTTGTGTCATTCTGCCTGCACATTGCCAGGCTGGACGTTCCTGCTTTCCTCTTGTAATTCTTGACGCACGAGTACCGCAGTTTGTTGCCGTCGCCGCTCCCTTTAGGAACCTCTGCATTTTGTACCTGAGGGGGATCACCGCAGTTACCTGGGGCTAAAGGCAAGGGCACAAGAAGAGCGAGTTGTTAATAGATTTAGGTGTGTGTGGGGGGGAACACCCTTAACCCCTAGAAATTAATAAATGGCAGGATGTTGATTATTTGGGATGCGGTGGGAGAAAGACAAGCTGCAGAGAAATTCCTTTTCTGTAAACTCAGGGGAGCGTTTCAGCCCTGTTCTTGAGTTTGTTTAAAATCTAAAACAGCTTATCTTGTATTCCTTTCTTTGAATTTGTGCCATTTAGGTTTTTTAAACCTTTGTGTAAAGGCAATACAAAAATTTTCACAGCTGAGTCCTCAACTCTTTGTTACTGTGCTTGGCTTTCTTCAAGTTGGGCTGTGTCTAAAACTTGCCATTTAGGTTTTCAAACCTTTTTTGTAAACTCAGTTTTAGAAACTGTACCTTTGAGTCCTTAATCCTTTATTACAGGTTACATACGCTTCAGGTTACAGACTCCGCTAACCCAGAAATAGTGCTTCAGGTTAAGAACTTTGCTTCAGGATGAGAACAGAAATCGTGCTCCGGCGGCGCGGCAGCAGCAGGAGGCCTCATTAGCTAAAGTGGTGCTTCAGGTTAAGAACAGTTTCAGGTTAAGAACGAATTAAGTACTTAACCCGAGGTACCACTGTACTGCGCTTTGCTTCACCTAGGCCGAGCTAGGATTATAATACTTCAGAATTTTTGGAAGTTTTACCCCCTTTCTTTGAATTTGGTCATTTAAGGTTTAAGATTTCTCTATTTCCTTCTGAGCAAACGGAATAGTTCAGTGAAACGAGGTTTGTAGCCGGCATCCCATTAAGGCTTTGTTCAATTCTAGGTTTTTCTAAGCTTTCTCTTAAACTTTTTGTTTTGTATTTAGTTTATTTCCATAAGATAATATTTCTAGTCGATTACTTCTCGTTTCAGGGATTTTCACAGTACAGTGGTATCTCGGGATACGAACAGGATCCGTTCTGGAGCCCTGTTCACATCCTGAACGCAACATAAGCCGTGATGGCACGCGTGCGCGGGGCGCATTTTGCCGCTTCCGCGCATGACGTCCTTTTGAGTGTCTGCGCATGCGTGAGCGGCGAAACCCGGAAGTAACGCGATCCATTACTTCTGGGTTGCTGCGGAGCGCAACTCGAACGCGCTCAACCCAAAGCACATTCAAGCCGAGGTATGACCTCCTTCTTTGGAGGTCTTTAAGCAGAGGCTTGACAACCACATGTCAGGAGTGCTCTGATGGTGTTTCCTGCTTGGCAGGGAGCTGGACTCGATGGCCCTTGTGGTCTCTTCCAACTCTATGATTCTATGATTCTATGATTCATTTGTTTTGTGTATTTTCTCGGTTCCGTGACTTGTTTTTTTTCTACTGGCAGAGGAATTCCTGGGCAGGCCTATGCAAAACGACTTGGCCAAGCTAGGACCATTAATAAACAATTCAGGGCCATTGAGGGCCTTGGGCAATGAAAGAAAACTGTCCTTTCCCCCTTGCCCTGAGGTGTGAACAGAGACTGGGGGGGTTGGAAGGTTGCCGGGGTAACCGAGTGTGAGGTGACAGGAAAAGAGAGTCTTTAACAAGGTGTGCTGGGAAGAGGAAAGGGAGAGAAGAAAGACTGGGATCCATCTTGGGCAGACTGGCTGAAGGCTGTCTGGGAGAGATGCCTTGGACTGCTGTGGGGGACAAGCCCCTCTTGAAGATCTGGACTCCCTGCATGCAGACTGAAGGTGTAAATAGGGGAATAAACTGTGTTTCTTAAAGCTACAACAGTCTCCACCATGTTTAGAGGGCCATAGGTACTAGCCAGCCCAGATATATGCCATTTTCATCCTCAGCTCATGGCTAAAAAGAACCCACAGCTAAGGAGGCAAAAGCCTTTGCGTTCTCCCATAAAAATCATTTTTAAAGGCAGCTAGCATACAAAGACAGGGACGTGGGTGGCGCTGTGGCTTAAACCACAGAGCCTAGGACTTGCCGATCAGAAGGTCGGCGGTTCAAATCCCCGCGACGGGGTGAGCTCCTGTTGCTCAGTCCCTGCTCCTGCCAACCTAGCAGTTCGAAAGCATGCCGGTACAAGTAGATAAATAGGTGGCGGGAAGGTAAACGCGGGAAGGTAAACGCCGTTTCCGCTGGGAGAAATACCTTGGACTCCAGGGCTACACTGTTGTGGAGGACAAGCCCCTCTTGAAATGACCGTGCTGTAAGATCTGAACTCGCTCCAGGCAAACTGAAGGTGTAAATAGTTGAATAAACCGTATTTCTTAAAGTTTTAACAGCCTCCACTGTGTCTCAATTCTCCAAAGGAGGATCCCTGCCTCGTATTGGAAGGATAACAATGCTGGTGTCCAGCTGGGCACCCTGGGGAGGGAATTCCTGAGGCTTGGAGCCATAACTAAGGAGGCCCCGTCTTCTCTTTTTGCCCACTTTGCGGGGGCACCTTGAGCGTAACCTCTGAAAATGACTAAAATATACAGACTGGTTGGTACCAGGATTTTTTTTTGGGGGGGGGCAGGGGTGGAATAGCAGAGAGACCAGAGGGCAGAGAACCCCTTTCTTCTGCAAAACAGAAGGAAAGACTTCCTTTCAAAGTAATACAGTGGACGCTCGGGTTGCAAACATGATCCATGTGGGATGCACGTCTGCGCACGCGTGGGTTGCGATTCGGCACTTCTGTGCATGCGCAAAGCATGATTCGGTGCTTCTGCGCATGCACGGCTGCCGAAACCCTGAAGTAACCTGTTCCGGTACTTCCGGGTTTTGGTGGTCCGTAACCCGAAAAAACACAACCTGAAGTGGCTATAACCCGAGGTATGACTGCATAGTGTATTACAGAACACATTGTAGAGGTTAGCACATTTTTTGTAAGAAGGCAAGCGAGCACTGCGACAAAATGTCGCAGTGCGGAGTCTATTTCATGCTATTCCTCCTCCCACCCAGTTTTCTGTTATTACACACACACACACACACACACACACACACACACTGAGCACACTCAGTTCCCACGGGTCTGTTTTTGGCATTCCTGTAGATTTGTACTTCTCCAAACACTGGGCTTCCGGAGTGGTACCTATTTATCTACCTGCACTTTGACGTGCTTTCGAACTGCTAGGTTGGCAGGAGCAGGGACCGAGCAACGGGAGCTCACCCCGTCGCAGGAACTCAAACCACCAACCTTCTGATCAGCAAGCCCAAGAGGCTTAGTGGTTTAGACCACAGCGCCACCCGCATTCCTAATGCAGCTGCAGGAAGAGCAAAGGGACATAAACTTCCAGCACTTGTTTTACGCATGAGTAACACACAATCTGTGCTCGATCAAATAAATCCTAGCATGAGAAAGGGCCATTAATTCCTCGGCTGGTATATTTGATCGGCGGTTCAAATCTGCACGATGGGGTGAGCTCCCATTGCTTTGTCCCATCTCCTACCAACCTAGCAGTTTGAAAGCACACCAGTGCAAGTAGATAAATAGGTACCACTACGGCGGGACGATAAACGGTATTTCTGTGCACTCTGGTTTCCATCACGGTGTCCCGTTACGCCAGAAGCGGTTTAGTCCTGCTGGCCACATGACCCGGAAAGCTGTCTGTGGACAAACGCCGGCTCCCTCGGCCTGAAAGCGAGATGAGCGCAGCACCCCATAGTCGAATTCGACTGGACTTAACCGTCCAGGGGCCCTTAAACTTAATACGTGCTAGTTTTAGTTTTAGATCCAGAACAGTGAAGGTAATCTGAAATGATTACCTTTCGTTCATTTACGCATTGCGCAAAGATACGCTTGCTGTGTTTTGGTCCTGTGTCATTTTATTATAAATAATAATATACCATATTTTTCGCTCTATAACACGCACCAGACCATAACACGCACGTAGTTTTTAGAGGAGGAAAACAAGAAAAAAAATATTCTAAACGAAACAGTGGATGTATGATTTTTGTGGTTCATGCTGTGGCCACAGACATGTGATCTGACAGTGAGTTTGGAGTAGCCCAATGCAAAAATCCTGAGGATCCATGTGGATCCATGCTTTGTAACCACGTTTTAAGTGGGGAAGGAAGGAAAAGCACTCAAGGGACAAGGAGCACATGTGGGGTGTGTGGAGAAGGATGCTGCTAATAATGCAGGAGAGGGGTTTAAGGGGAGAAGAAGCACGCGTGGGGTGGGTGGAGAAGGATGTGGCTAATAATGAAGAAGAGGGGTATAAGGGGAGAAGGCTCCTCTCCCCTCCCGCTTTGCTCCTTTAAAGAAGCAGGCTCTCTGTCCCTCTCTCCTCCCCACTCAGCGGCTCTTCTCCCGCTTTGCTGTTTCAAAGCGAGCCACAGAGGAGGGAAGGAAGGGGAACCATGGATCCTCTGCTCACAACTGCAGCAGATCCCCCCCGCCACCCGCAGGCATTTGCTCCATAACATTTCCCCTTACTTTCTAGGAGGAAAAAAGTGAGTGTTATGGTGCAAAAAATACGGCAAATAAATAATTTTTATTTATATCCCACCCTCCCCAGCCAAAGCCGGGCTCAGGGCAGCTAACAACAATAAAATAATACAACAGTCTAAAATCATTTCATTATAAAATTAATTCAAATCAAATTAATGGCAACCATTGGGCTAGAGTTCTGTGAAGATTGCCAAAGGAGGGAGTCAGGCTGTGCCCTGGCCAAAGAATAATTATCATTATTCTTTAAGAGGATTTCTTTACCATTGAATCATCAAAACCTCTAAGCCTGCCTTTTCTAACATTGGCTTCAGCCAGTGTGAGTTGTAGCCTAGCCATTTCTGGAGGGCCTCAGATATTGGCGAAAGCTGCTCTAAGCCGGTAAACGGCGTTTCCATGCGCTGCTCTGGTTTCACCAGAAGTGGCTTAGTCATACTGGCCACATGACCCGGAAAAATTGTCTGCGGACAAACGTCAGCTCCCTCAGCCGGTAAAGTGAGATGAGCACCTCAGCCCCAGAGTTGTTTGTGAGTGGACTTAACTGTCAGGGGTCCTTTACCTTTATTCTGCAGAAAACTGGGCAACTTATTTTTATTTTTTTACTATTTCAATTTATTAGGCTGCTGACACATGTGGCGCTCCCAAACTTTTAAATGCATAAAATAGCACAAAATCAGCAGGGGGAAAAGGAGGAAGCCCAACGATATCTTATAAAACAAACCCAACAAAACAGCAGCAAAATCAACAAAAAGCAAAATAATCCTAATCCATTAAGTGCCTGGAAGAAGCCACTAAGTTTCCACCCGGCGCTGAGAGAATGTTTATGGTGGCTCAAGGTGGGGAGAGGACTGTACCATATCTGATCAGGGGCATTGGGTTAGAAGAGAGACAAAGGGCTTGCTATACAGTGGTACCTCGGGTTAAGAACTTAATTCGTTCTGGAGGTCCATTCTTAACCTGAAACTGTTCTTAACCTGAGGTACCACTTTAGCTAATGGCGCCTCCCGCTGCTGCCGGAGCACGATTTCTGTTCTCATCCTGAAGCAAAGTTCTTAACCTGAGGTACTATTTCTGGGTTAGCGGAGTCTGTAACCTGAAGCGTCTGTCACCCAAGGCACCACTGTATTGCAAATGGAAGCCATCTGGTTCAGCAACTCCAGCTGCTTGCATCTGGGTGATAACCTTAATGGTTTTCCTTTACTACTTTCAGGAAAAGGTCAGACAGCTGTTTCAGGAAAGGTTAAAGGAAAGCATTGGGGGGAAATAAATCTGGGATCTCTCAAAGGCAGAAACATCTTGGAATGAAACAGAGTGAAATTGTGACATCCCCCTTTTGATTAGAGGTCATGCACAATGTAGAGGCTGCCCCTGAAAATAAATAGAAGAAAAAGAAGAAGATGAATTTTAACAGGGAGAAATGTAAAGTATTGCACTTGGGCAAAAAAAAATGAGAGGCACAAATACAAGATGGGTGACACCTGGCTTGAGAGCAGTACATGTGAAAAGGATCTCGGAGTCTTGGTTGACCACAAACTTGACATGAGCCAACAGTGTGACGCGGCAGCTAAAAAGCCAATGCAATTCTGGGCTGCATCAATAGGAGTATAGCATCTAGATCAAGGGAAGTAATAGTGCCACTGTATTCTGCTCTGGTCAGACCTCACCTGGAGTACTGTGTCCAGTTCTGGGCACCACAGTTCAAGAAGGACACTGACAAACTGGAACGTGTCCAGAGGAGGGCAACCAAAATGGTCAAAGGCCTGGAAACGATGCCTTATGAGGAACGGCTAAGGGAGCTGGGCAGGTTTAGCCTGGAGAAGAGGAGGTTAAGGGGTGATATGATAGCCATGTTCAAATATAGAAAAGGATGTCACATAGAGGAGGGAGAAAGGTTGTTTTCTGCTGCTCCAGAGAAGCGGACACGGAGCAATGGATCCAAACTACAAGAAAGAAGATTCCACCTAAACATTAGGAAGAACTTCCTGACAGTAAGAGCTGTTTGACAGTGGAATTTGCTGCCAAGGAGTGTGGTGGAGTCTCCTTCTTTGGAGGTCTTTAAGCAGAGGCTTGACAACCATATGTCAGGAGTGCTCTGATGGTGTTTCCTGCTTGGCAGGGGGTTGGACTCGATGGCCCTTGTGGTCTCTTCCAACTCGATGATTCTATGATTCGAAGAAGAAGAAGAAGAAGAAGAAGAAGAAGAAGAAGAAGAAGAAGAAGAAGAAGAAGAAGAAGAAGAGGAGGAGGAGGAGGAGGAGGAGGAGGAGGAGGAGGAGGAGGAGGAGGAGGAAAATCAGCACTGGCCATCTGGCTTTCGCCTACCTCATAGCAATCGTCACAACTTTGTGAGGTTTGGCATTGGGGAAGTCTAGGTTTTGGCTGGAGGGGAGATTATAGCCTCTGCCTGCCCCTCCTGCATAAAGGATATTCCGTTAAAAATATCTGGGAGGAGAGCTCCAATGTCCAGGCAGGGTTTGGGCCATAGCACTCCTCCAATGGGAACCCCTTGGGGTGTTCCCCTATTTGATATGGGTCAAGTGCACCCCTTCCATAGATGGTTTGATACACTTCCAGCTGATGGAATAGTGCTGGCTTCCCCCAGTGTGTATGCCAAACAGTTCACATCTTCAACCGATAAAGTTGTGGCCTGTTTGAACCCAAAAACCAATACAGTGGTACCTTGGTTCTCAAACTTAATCCGTTCCGGAGGTCCGTTCCAAAACCAAAGCATTCCAACACCAAGGCGCACTTTCCCATAGAAAGCAATGTGAAACGGATTAATCCCTCCCAGACTTTTAAAAACAACCCCTAAAACAGCAATTTAACATGGATTTTACTATCTAACAAGACCATTGATCCATAAAATGAAAGCAATAAGCAATGTACAGTGGTACAGTGGTACCTGAAACTGTTCTTAACCTGAGGTATCACTTTAGCTAATGGGGTCTCCTGCTGCTGCCGCACGATTTCTGTTCTCATCCTGAAGCAAAGTTCTTAACCTGAAGTACTACTTCTGGGTTAGTAGAGTCTGTAACCTGAAGCGTATGTAACCTGAAGTGTATGTAACCCGAAGGTACCACTGTACTGCAATTACACAATCAATCAATCAATCAATCAATCAACCAGGAGCTGAACTGGGTTCCACAGTGTCACAAAAATAAAACAAAAAGAGCCGCAAAAACAAAAACACAAAATAAACAGCAAAAACAGACAGACCTCAGCGTAACACTCAAAACAGAAGCATAACACTCAAAGCGGAGCACGTTCGACTTTCAGAAAAAATTCGCAAACCGGAACACTTACTTCCAGGTTTGCAATGTTTGGGTTCCAAATTGTTTGAGTTCCAAGGCATTTGAGAACCAAGGCACCACTGTATGCTGCTGCCGTGTCTGGTTATTCACTCCCTAGGGAACTGTGGGGTCACAGGGTCTCGACACGCGGTTATTTTTAACCTTATCGCTCCTTACACAGCTGCCTTATCCTGTCGCAAACTGCTCTGCAAGCATTTTTGGGTGAAGCGAGAAATATCTTAATGAACCAATATGCAATGGCTAAACTACGGAATTTACTCCTGCTGCTAGATATAGCGATAGCAACCCACCTGGCTTTAAAAAAGACAATTTCATTGAGGATACGGCAGTATTCATCCAGATATCAGTTTCTAGTGCAATGCAAATTACATTTTCAAACTCCTTCCCAGAAATTCCTACGGCTCGGTACGCCTTTTCCACAGCTGCTACTCCCGGTGAAACATGCCTCCCTCTGACAATGATTTCCCATTGTACTTTAAGGAATTTCCTAACATCGGGCCACTGGTTTTTACTTTTGCTTCTGTTTTATTCTTACATTTCCCCCCCATTGTTACAGTGTGTTCTTTCTTCCTTTTTTTTATTTCAGTGAATGGAAAACCTCATTGCACAATTTCCTTCAACAAAAGTAGGCCAAAAGTAAGAGCCGTTTCATTCTGGCTGGTCATCTCAATACTACTACTAACAACAACTGTGATAATTTTTTTTTAAAAAAAGCTAAAGGAACATGGTATAAGAAACTGCCTCAAACCGAGTCGCTATAGCTCAGTACTGAGTACTGTTTGCACTGTAGACTTAAAGCAGTTTCATGCCACTTTAAACAGCCACGGCTTCCCCCCCGCTCTCACACAAAGAATCCTAGGTATTATGGTTTGTTAAGGTTGCTGAGAGTTATAAGGAAACCCCTGGTCCCCTCCCAGAGCTACAAACCATGCTGAAAAATCAACCCCTTTTCCCAGGGAATTCTGGGAACTGTAGTTCTGGGTCTCACATCCACACTGGAATTCAGTGAGGATTTGAAGCTGCTTGTGTCTCTCTTTGTGTGTGTGTGGATGTGTGCATCTCTGGCATCCACAAGACAACCTTCTCATCCAAGAGGCGGCCTGCATCACCCCCTACTTTTTTGTGCAAATCTGGTATATCAGAAAAACACCTGTTTTCTTGGAAGGAAATACTTCTGTACGTACCCAGATGAGACCTCAGGTTTCTTGGCTGAGAGCGACACGCCCTTTTAAAAAACTGCTGTTTAGTGCAAATTGGAATTGTTACACGGTTTCCCCCCACTTTAAAATGTTATTAAGCAGTCAAATTATTTTACGAAACAAAAGCAAGCGTCAGGTGGTGACTTTCTATTCTAGATCCACATGGTTGGATATGACATCGGAAAACACAGAGAGGTTTAATCTGAAGTCAGACTAGAAAGCAAGATTCTTCTTCTCAGTAATAGTGGACTGCGGTATATAACCAGTACAGTGGTGCCCCGCAAGACGAATGCCTCGTAAGACGAAAAACTCGCTAGACGAAAGGGTTTTGCGTTTTTTGAGTCGTTCCACAAGACAAATTTCCCTATGGGCTTGCTTTGCAAGACGAAACGTATTGCGAGTTCTTGCGAGTTTGTTTCCTTTTTCTTAAAGCCGCTAAGCCGTTAATAGCCGCTAAGCCACTAATAGCCGCTAAGCCGCTAATAGCCGTGCTTCGCAAGACGAAAAAACCGCAAGACGAAGAGACTCGTGGAACGGATTAATTTCGTCTTGCGAGGCACCACTGTACCAATAAAGTTAAATCTGGTGGGAATGAGTTTGGTTGTTAATATACTCCAAAAACACCAGCCAAAAGGTCAAATGAGTCAACTCTTCTGAAGATATGAAGGCGAAAGTGTGAAATCCTATTCCGTCCTTCAGCAACAGTCAATCAACAAATATAATGTAAGAGTTTTGAAAATTAAGTTCTGCCTTGGCACTTTCAAGTAGATATGGCACGTACACAGGTTAAACAAATTCCTGCTGGTTTGAGAAGTATTTTTGTTAGAGATTGTAGGACAAAACCTGCCAAGGAAAACAAAGAATTTATTTATGTATGCTATAAGAGCGGCACGAAAGAACAATGTCAATAGAAATTGATGAATTATGCAGAACTGGCCAAACTGACTTACAGATTGCGAGACAAGAACAATTGTGACTTCAGCGAGGAATGGGAACTATTTAAAAAGACAACAAAATGAACCAGACTCCTTGGCAGGTTTTGAATAAATATACACAAATTAATTGGTTGATAACATGATGGATAGATATGTAAGGATATGTTGTTGTTGTTTAGTCGTTTAGTCGTGTCCGACTCTTTGTGACCCCCTGGACCTGAGCACGCCAGGCACTCCTGTCTTCCACTGCCTCCCGCAGTTTGGTCAAACTCATGTTGGTAGCTTCGAGAACACTGTCCAACCATCTCGTCCTCTGTCGTCCCCTTCTCCTTGTGCCCTCCATCTTTCCCAACATCAAGGTCTTTTCCAGGGAGTCTTCTCTTCTCATGAGGCGGCCAAAGTATTGGAGCCTCAGCTTCAGGATCTGTCCTTCCAGTGAGCACTCAGGGCTGATTTCCTTCAGAATGGAGAGGTTTGATCTTCTTGCAGTCCACAGGACTCTCAAGAGTCTCCTCCAGCACCAGAATTCAAAAGCATCATATTCTTCAGCGATCAGCCTTCTTTATGGTCCAGCTCTCACTTCCATATATCACTAATGGGAAAACCATAGCTTGAACTATACGGACCTTTGTTGGCAAGGTGATGTCTTTGCTTTTTAAGATGCTGTCTAGGTTTGTCATTGCTATGACATTGTAAGGATATGTACAATTTTATAATATGCAGAGAAAATATGTGAAGAGAAATCAGGGAGAGGAACTGAGAGAAGTCCTTGGTGGGGGGAGAAAAGGGGGGGGGAATAATGTATGTGATTATAAGGTTTGATAATTTGTTATGTGGAAATTGATCAATAAAAAATATTTAAAAAACAAACAAATTCCTGCTGGTTTGCAGAAGTTATGGTGGACGGGGAAGTTCTACTTGAGAGGAAGGGACAAAAAGGGGAAACCGCGACCCATGTACACAATGTGTGGACACAACTTTGGAGGGGGGAACCCATAGGCAGTTGGGGGTGAACAGGGGTGATGACGGGAAAGGGGGGGAAGAGTCTAAATAATTTGGGAAGAGGAAGGAAGTTTCTGAAGAACAGAGGCTTGCATTCGTTCGAGGAAATGAACAAGCTTCGGGGGAAACGAGAAAACAGCAATGTGCAACTTTTTTCTGAGCAGCCCTTCCAACCCAGGAAGGGATGTAAAATCTTTATGCTGGAGATGCAACAATTAAGCCATCTTCAGATATCGGAAGGGCTGTTGTGTAGATGATGGAGGGTGTTTGTTTTCTGTGCTCCAGAGGGCAGGACGAGGGATTCCCCCGTGAATCTAAGCCACATTTCAAGAAAGCTAGTATGTTAAGAATATAGGGGTAACCTCGGTTCTCAAACACCTTGGTACTCAAACAACTTGGAACCCAAACGCTGCAAACCCGGAAGTAAGTGTTCTGGTTTGCGAACTTTTTTTGGAAGCTGAACATGCTCCGTTTTGGGTGTTCAAAGTGTTGGTGCTGACATTTAAAAGCCCTAAACCAGGGGTCAGCAAACTTTTTCAGCAGGGGGCCGGTCCACTGTCCCTCAGACCTTGTGGGGGGCCGAACTATATTTTGGGGGGAAAATATGAACAAATTCCTATGCCCCATAAATAACCCAGAGATGCATTTTAAATAAAAGCACACATTCTACTCATGTAAAAACACCAGACAGGCCCCACCAATCACCCAGAGATGCATTTTAAAGAAAAGGACACATTCTACTCATGTAAAAACACGCTGATTCCCGGACCGTCCGCAGGCCGGATTTAGAAGGTGATTGAGCAGGATCCGGCCACCGGGACTTAGTTTGCCTACCCATGCCCTAAACGACCTCAGTCCAGTAGACCTGAAGGAGCGTCTCCACCCCCATAGTTCAGCCTGGACACTGAGGTCCAGCTCCAAGGGCCTTCTGGCGGTTCCCTCTCTGCGAGAAGTGAGGTTACAGGGAACCAGGCAGAGGGCCTTCTCAGTAGTGGCGCCCTCCCATCAGATGTCAAGGAAAGAAACAACTACTGTGGTACCTCGGGTTAAGAACTTAATTCGTTCTGGAGGTCCGTTCTTAACCTGAAACTGTTCTTAACCTGAAGCACCACTTTAGCTAATGGGGTCTCCTGCTGCCACCGCTCCGCTGGAGCACAATTTCTGTTCTCATCCTGTAGCAAACTTCTTAACCCGAGGTACTATTTCTGGGTTAGCGGAGTCTGTAACCTGAAGCGTCTGTAACCCGAGGTATCACTGTATCTGACTTCTATAGGACACCTGAAGGCAGCCCTGTTTAGGGAAGTTTTTAAAATTTGACGAATTATTGTATTTTAATATTTTGCTGGAAGCTGCCCAGATTGGCTGGGGAAACCCAGCCAGATGGGCGGGGTATAAATAATAACTTTATTATGATGATTATTATTTCCTTATTTATTAAGTTTGTGTAGAAGCATAGAACCGTATACAGTGGTACCTCGGGTTACAGACGCTTCAGGTTACAGACTGGGGTTAAGAACTTTGCTTCAGGATGAGAACATAAATTGTGCTCCGGTGGCGCGGCAGCAGCAGGAGGCTCCCTTAGCTAAAGTGGTGCTTCAGGTTAAGAACAGTTTCAGGTTGGGACAAGGATAACTGTGACTTTAAAGATGAATGGGAACCCTTTACGAGGTATTTGAAGACACAACAAAGCGAACTGGGCTCCTTGGCTGGTTTTGAATAAACATTCAGAAACTTTTTATTGATAATAATCAGCTAAATAGTATACACAGTATACAACTGTGTAACATGCAGAAAACAGCATTTTTAGAGAAATCAAAGACTGGAACTGAGGGAAATCGGGGGGTGGGGGTGGGTGGGTTCTGTGGGGGGAGGGAGGGGGAGGGAGGAAAAATGGGGGGGAAATAAGGATGATATGTTTCTGGATAATATGTTTTGTTTTAATTTTGAATAAAAAAAGTTATTAAAAAAAAAAGAACAGTTTCAGGTTAAGAACGGACCTCCGGAACGAATTAAGTACTTAACCCGAGGTACCACTGTAGTTGGAAGGAGATTAATCTAGTCCAACTCTCTGCAAGGCAGGAATCGCAGCTCAGGAATTCCAGACTGACAGCAGTCCAGACTCTGTCTAGAAGCCATAAATAAAGGGGAAATCCACTCCCTTTGGAATCCAACACTCTGAAACAGCTGGGCTCCCCAAGGAGCCCAACGTCGTCTGACAACAACCAATAAGCATCTTTTAAAATATTAACCCCAGATGAAGACTGGAGTGAGGCACAAAGAGGAAGATATTCAGCCGGCACCCAAAGGACGCCTGTCTAATGTTTAACAGGAAAAACATCCCACGGTGAGGCATTCCGTTCTGACATAGTGTGGAAAAGACTCCCTGGAAGACCTCACCTGCAGAGCGCAGGGGTCTGCTGAGTATATAAGGGGGGAGAGATGATCTTTGGGGTTATTCCAAGGCTTTATGCACCAAAAACAGCACCTGGAACTTTGCCCTGATTGGCGGCTGGCGGAATTCTCCCAACCTCAGAGTGTTGGAATGCAAATAGATCTCTTAGGTCTGTCTGCTTTACGGTATTGATTTTGTGGTGAAATATGTAGGACGGGCCAGAGTAATGTCTGTGAACCTCCTTAGTCAATTTCTGAACAATCATATGTTTCCCTGCAATTGCTCAGCATCCTCCTTGCTTGTGTATTACCTGAAGACCAGGCTTATAAATACCGTATTTTTTGCTCTATAAGACTCACTTTTTCCCTCCTAAAAAGACAGGGGAAATGTGTGTGCGTCTTATGGAGCGAATACAGGCTGCACAGCTATCCCAGAAGCCAGAACAGCAAGAGGGATCGCTGCTTTCACTGCGCAGCGATCCCTCTTGCTGTTCTGGCTTCTGAGATTCAGAATATTTTTTTTCTTGTTTACCTCCTCCAAAAACTAGGTGCGTCTTGTGGTCTGGTGCGTCTTATAGAGCGAAAAATACGGTACGTAGCTTATCCTTGACTTGAAGCATCTTGTTTTCCAGTTCAATTTATTCTTGGCAAACTTCTACTGCTTCTAGAAGACTGGGCCTATTTGTAGATTAGGGTTGGAAAATACGCCTCATGCTAGAATGTGCTTTCTTTGTGGTAATGGATGATATGTTTTGCTAGGGGAGAGCCAAAGACGTGGCATGGAGTGCCCTCCCATGCAACAGAACAGCTGGAGGAAGTAATGCGAGAGCTTGCTCCGGAACTATTTGAGAATCAACCTGACCTTCTGCACCAGCTAGTAACCATCATGAACCCCAGTGTGCTAATGGAGCTAATGGTGTGCCTGTAAGTTCTGCAGAACCTTTACCTGCCTATAGGTTACTTGTCTTGTGTCACACAGAATGACTTGGAATAGCATTTTAAACACTCTGTAGATTCATTTCAATCCAGCTTCAGGCCTGATTATGGAACTGAGATTGCTTTGGTAGGTCTGAAAAACCTGTGCCAGGAACTGGACTGTGAAGGTTTCCCAGTGGAATCTTAAGTAGCTTTCAACACCATCAACCCCGACATCCTTCTAGCTACTGTGTATAGATTGTGTTCTAAACGCTTTTAACCCTTATCTAGGCAACTAGTGATTTCACTTGTAGATAGTGGAAAGATGCTCCTTTGGCGATATGCCCCAAGAGCCTTATGTACAAAGATTGAGGTTTAAAAACCAGTTTCCTTGCAGCCTGCATCAGTTGGTAGATTCTATAAAGTGGTTGAGAAGGGAAAAGGTGATAGCATAGTTCATGCATGAATTAGTAGTTACTACCAGCCATGTTAATCTCCGTTTCTGAAAGATGAATATGATAATGATGCTTTCTTTCCAAAATCTCTCACTTCTCACTAGGTGTACTAGGTGTTCTCTAGGTGTACCGGACCAATCAGTGTGCTGGCAAATTTGTTGTGACTTTTCCACGTGCCTATCACTCTGGATTTAATCAAGGATACAATTTTGCTGAAGCTGTGAACTTCTGCACTGCTGACTGGGTCTGTATACATCTGGCATAACCTAGCTTTTCTCTTATCTGGGCACTGTCTGGTGCTATATATTAAAAGGCATCCACGTAGTACCCATCTGAAAAGGATTACTGTTTTGGTTACAGCTCAAGGTGCAGTTTTCTCTACATTGGGCAAAATACAGTTGTGGCTATTTAGCTTTTTGCTGGTAAGGTTTGGCAGCTCTCCAGTTTGCTTCTTGCCATTAGTATGGAACAAGCAACTTACTATAATAACTCTATGGTGGTTTAGTATCCAAATCCTAATATGCTGTTTACATTAGACAGGCATGTATTAAGACACCTCGTTAAAACTTTATTAAACCAGCATATCCAGATACATTGCTAAAGGTTTGCTTTTAAATTTTCTCATATTGTCTGTGTATTTTTTTTTTATTGAGCAAAAGACACAACACTATTGTTACCTCTGTGTCCACTCGTATAAGCCCCTTGAATAATTTATGCATATCATACTGTATTACACCATGCTATGATGATAAGTTACATAAGGCTGAATGGTCAAAATACCTTGCATCAAACCAATTTTAAGCACAACCCTTGTTGCAGTCCAAAGCCTGGGTATTTTATCTAGCTTAGATGCAAGCTGAAACCTTGCAGAATTTCCAGAGGCTGTGACATGCTCTGTGTAGTAATCGTCTTTTTCGAAATTAAATCTCACATATTGGGGAAATTGAAACTTGTTCAATACAGTCATACCTTGGGCTATAGCCACTTCAGGTTGCGTTTTTCAGGTTGTGGACCGCCGAAACCTGGAAGTACTGGAACGGGTTACTTCCGGGTTTCGGCGGTTGCGCATGAGCAGAAGTGCTAAATCGCGCTTTGCACATGCACAGAAGCGCTGAATCGCAACCCACGCATCCCGCACGGATCACGTTCGCAACCTGAGCATCCACTGTACTGACTTACAAAGTCAAACCTTTATTCACCACTCTGAAGAACATGAAATGGATATACTATATATTTTGGAAAGTCCTTTTGTCTGTTTGCTCCGCATTTGGACACCTTCTCTTTTAATAGAACCAGAGCTTTAAAATTAAAATTGGTATAATGCAATGTTGCAATATAATGCAAAGTTGATCATTCTGAAAGAACCTTTGTATTTTCTACTTTTTTCATATTCAAGTGAGGCAAAATTTCCCTTTTTTGGATATCTGATCTTTAAGGTTGCCTCACTTGTTTTTTGGCTGAAATAATTACTGTTGGCAGGAGACTAGGTGATATACTTCAAGTCTTGCAATGTAAGTCTAACTCTTACTCTGTTACTATGTTGACATAATTTTCCTCTGTTAAAATGTGTTGGCTCTTGCAGCTTCTTTGGTTTCTCAGATATTATGAGGAGATGGTATCCCCTTGAGAGACTTTCAAGTCTCACTCCTCTTGTTTTTTGCTTCTCATCCCAATTGCTGTTTATCTTTTTTTGTTCCCAGCTAATTATATGGTTGGCTTGGAGTTTCTGGGGGAGAGGCTGATTTCAGACAGGCTATTTGAGTCTCTTTTGGCTTCATGTGAAATGAAGCCCTTGGGTTCGAGACCTCACACAAGCAATTCCCTCATATCCCCTCCAAGTTGACTCCAAAGAGCTTGGCTTACCCAAGGCCCCTGGAGACCCTACTCCTGGATAGTGTGACACACTTGATGCTCATTATAATTGCCTATATCATTTAATGAGACCATTTTAACGTGTTTTTCTCATGAACTCCAGTATGGAAGCCCAAGATGAGCTGGGGATAGTTCTAAACCAGATATCTCGCTTCTCGCATCTCTAGCTTCCAATAGGTCGGCAGTGTGTCAGCCATTATCGGCGACTGAGGCGTCACTGTGTGTTCTCTCATGAGGAGCTAATTTTCAAGATGGCTGCCGACCCAGAGTGCTTGGATGTGGGGCTGGCTGCCATGGTCTGCAAAGAAATGACTCTCATGACAGAAGGGTGGGCGGTTGGGGGATGTGCCAAAGACAGTTTGGCCGTGAAGGGGGGAGAAATTGGAAAGTGTTTAGAGAAGTCAAATCAGAAGGATTCTACCCCCTAGAGAATGCTTGTAGAAAACTTTTGCAATGGCGAGAGAATTAGGGAACTGGTGAAACATTTCAAATTGGAAATAATGTGTTCAAAAATGACCAAACTGGTGTTGATCGTATTTTGCTCACGCTGAAGGAATTTTGCTGCTTCTGGGTGCAGCTAGAAAGACCTAATTTATATTTACATGGGTATCCTGAAGGACTTCCTTCTCCTCCATGTGAACTTGCAAGTTAATAAAAATCACTGATGGAGGCCCTGCTCTGGTTACTTCACCTTCAAAAGTTAGGTTGATGGTGACAGAATTGAGCAATGTTGTCCCCAAATATTTGTGCTTGTTGTGAGGTGGAGATTTTGGCAAGCTTTAACTTTGTATCTTTACATGAAAATCTACACTACTATTAATTTTGATAAAATATTGGGCTGAACAGCTTTTAAATTATTACATAGTTAACATCTGAACTCTGTTTTTCAGAGTGTGTGATGGTAAGGCCTCAAACTCCCCTACAGCCTCGATTTTATGTAACAGATTTGTTTACATAACCGGAGGAAATTTACTATGTGTTGCTGTTGTTAATTTATTAATCACATTTGCCTTTGTCTCAATGGCCTCAAGGCGATGTTCAATAAAAGAGTAAAAAACAGTTAAACACAAAAACACCCAATACAGTACATTTAAAACAAAACTAAAATGATACAAAATAGACACTCATGGCAATGACATATTTATCCAGCTGGGAAAACCTGTTGGAACAACAGCAACAAAAAAAGTTGCTAAAAAGTGTGGATAGTGACACCTGTTGCATCTTGACAGGAATGCTGTTCCACAGAATGGGCAGCCACACTAAAAGCCCTGCTCCAAATTACTGCGGAATGGGCTTCTGAGATGTTTGGAATTTGCAGGAGAAACTTCCCCAGAGAACAACTGGTCCTGGTCAGTATAGGGTTTTACATGCTAGTACCAACACCTTGAACTTGGCCTGTTTGTTGACTCTGTTGCCCTCCAGGAACTGTGTATGTGATTTACAAGGTTCTTTTCTTTCCCCATAGTAGACTGACCCCAGAGAGCGGAAGGACACGGACCAAGCTGACTGTGGAAGATCTGAAAGCTTTTCTGCAGCAGCTGTTTAGCCTTCCCTGTGTCATCAGTCAGGCCCGGCAAGTAAAGGTGGGTTTTTAGAGAAGGCTGTACAGTGGTACCTCGGGTTACATATGCTTCAGGTTACATACGCTTCAGGTTACAGACTCCGCTAACCCAGAAATAGTGCTTCAGGTTAAGAACTTTGCTTCAGGATGAGAACAGAAATTGTGCTCCAGTGGCGCGGTGGCAGCAGGAGGCCCCATTAGCTAAAGTGGTGCTTCAGGTTAAGAACAGTTTCAGGTTAAGAATGGCCCTCCGGAACGAATTAAGTACTTAACCCGAGGTACCACTGTACTGCAGTCACACAATCAATCAAACAGTAGCCAAACTGGGTTCCACACAGTCACAAAAACGAAACGAAAAAGAGCCACAAAACCAAAAATGCACAGATCTCAGTAACACTCAAATTGGAAGTGTGGGACTCAAAACAGAAGCATCACACTCAAAACAGAGCATGTTCGGCTTCCAAAAAAAGTTCAAGTTTTTTGAGTGCCAAGGCGTTTGAGAACCAAGGTACCACTGTAGATCTTCACCTGCCAGCCCCTTCCCTTAGGTCTGTGTGCTTTATGGTATTGATTTTGTGGTGAAATCAAACACAGCCAAAGTTGTTAGGTAAGCGCCTTAAACAATATCATAGATAATACACGCATATTTCCTGCTACTGAGTCTACGAAGTCCAAACCCCTGCAATACACGAAGAGTGGCAGAAAGAGAAAAGGAATCGTTTCCACCCATTTTTTGCTCTGGCTCCATCCTTCAAGAGAGGCTGAAACCTCTGGGATTTTGGCAAACACTTAGAGATAGCCTGGTATTAAAGGTAAAGGTAAAGGGACCCCTGACCATCAGGTCCAGTCGTGGCCGACTCTGGGGTTGTGGCGCTCATCTCGCTTTATTGGCCGAGGGAGCAGACATACAGCTTCCGGGTCATGTGGCCAGCACGACTAAGCCGCTTCTGGCAAACCAGAGCAGTGCACGGAAACGCCGTTTACCTTCCCGCTGGAAGGTATTTTTACTACTTGCACCTATTTATTTACTTGCACTTTGACATGCTTTTGAACTGCTAGGTGGGCAGGAGCTGGGACTGAACAACAGGAGCTCACCCCGTCGCAGGGATTCGAACCGCCGACCTTCTGATCGGCAAGTCTGATCTTGCCGATCCTTCTGATCTGTGGTTTAACCCACAGCGCCAGCCTGGTATTAGCATAACTAAATTGCAAGCAGAAGGGGCAGAGGAGACTGAGAAACAGCGGCTGACGATGACCTTGCAGTGTAGTCCAACGCTGCTTTGGTCAGGTCACTGAAAGGACACAAAAATTGGTGCTGAAGCAAATGCAGCAAAGCCAGTCTTATTTGTTTGTTTGCTTGCTTGTTTCATAAAAACTTATACACCACTTGATTGTAACACATAAAGCAGGGGTCAGCAAACTTTTTCAGCAGGGGGCCGGTCTACTGTCCCTCAGACTTTGTGGGGGGCTGGACTATACAGTATTTTGAAAATAATAATAATGAACGAATTCCTATGCCCCACAAATAACCCAGAGATGCACTTTAAATAAAAGCACACATTCTGCTCATGTAAAAACACCAGGCAGGCCCCACAAATTACCCAGAGATGCATGAATGACTTTTATTATTTCGGTCACAGACCAGTTCCAGCCCACACACAATATCAAGGAAGTCATAAAACACGATAGGGATACATTTGAATTTGCAATTAGGTATTGCAGGGACAGTACAGATATAGCAACAGTTTAAAAATATATAAATTAAAACTTAGGCCCAGAGATGCATTTTAAAGAAAAGGACACATTCTACTCATGTAAAAACACGCTGATTCCCAGACTGTCCGCAGGCCGGATTTAGAAGGCGATTGGGCCGGATCTGGCCCCCGGGCCTTAGTTTGCCTACCCATGACATAAAGGAACCTCGAAGCAGTTTACCGAAAGAAAGATAAAAAGATCAACAAGCAAAATTAGCAGCAATGATTTAAGACTCTTGAACACTTAAAAACAGCAGTAGACTAAAAAATCGAAGTATTTGAGTGAGGCGTTTGTAGGGCAAGAAGATTATGCTTTCCAGGGAAAATTCAGAAAGTAAAACTTTCAAAAAACCACAACCGAACTGCAGCCAACAACCCACCTGCAATATGTCGGCAAGGCCCGCTTGCAAAGTGAATTATGATAATATGACTTGGCATAATTTTATCAATGGCTGCTGAGTGTGCCAGTTTGACTGCAAACTGATTGCAAACCCGTGTTTTTAAATGCCGTTTTCCACGACAAGCTGAGAACGGGGCGCAGGCCAATAAATAAATAAATTCAAATATATTTTGCTGCACTGCACCCGAACACAGTGTCTGTTATAGCCACGTTTCAGGGCCAGGGAGGGGGTAAAGTGAGGGGGGGGGAGAGAGGAATGCTACTGAGAAAAGGTTTGATAGCTGAGAAAAACCGCCGTGCCCTGCAATCCGCTGGGCAGAGTTAATTATTATTATTATTTCTGGGGCTGCAAGCTTCGCCGGGCTGTGGTTGGTGGTCAAAAGAGCCTTATTAGCGACAACCCTGCAATATAGCCCACGCCTCTTTGCGTCAAGAAGGTCTATTAGACGTAGCTGCTGCAACCATCCTTCCCCCCCTGTGCAATGTATTCCACGGCTCACACACCTGGCGGCAAGGTGACGCCCTGAGCCTCAGAGAGGGGGTCTGCCGACACCCCTGCGAGGTAGTCCACTGCGACCATCCCTCCCTTGATTGACAGGTGCCATGGGCAAGCCAGGAGGGCGGCGGAAACAGAACAATTTACAACAACCCTGAAATGCAGGTCCACATCACAGCTGTCAACTTTCCCCTTTTCTTGCGGGGAATCCTATTCGGAATAAGGGAATTTCCCTTAAAAAAAGGGGAAAGTTGACAGCTATGCCCCACATCTGTACATATAAAGCAGTGCAGATGTGGTCCCCTCCTCGCCAGGTGTTACCTGCAGGTAGGCACACCTGTCCGTCGCGCCCTGCTGGGAGGGGTGACCCCGCAGCTGGGAGCAAAGGCCCACGACACCCCCGCGAGGTAGTCCGCTCTCACCGCTCCCTCCCTTTTGCCGCGATCTGCAAGGCGCAGGGGCTCGGGAGCGCCAGGCGGCTCTGGGTTCAAGTGCTGCGCGGAAAGGGAGCAACAGGAGGAGGAGCCAGCGCTAGGTACCTTTCTGGAGCTCGGTGGGGTCACGTCTTGCAGCGGCGGGAGGCGAGAGCGGCCCCCAGGCGCCCAGCAGCCACGCCAGCAGCAGGAGCAGCAACCTGCGTGGGGCCATGGAGCGGCGGGGGGCGCACGGAGGATCCGCGCTTCTCGGCGCCCGCCGCCTTTATGCGCCCGGCGGCCGGCCGAAGGAAGGGCGATGCAGATAGAGACCCATGTTGGCGTGGAATGCGCCGCAGCGGGAGCAACTTTCCCTTTCGCTTTCCCTTTCCGCGGAATTGCCAGCTGCCGGGTTGCGCGCTTTCTCGCCCTGGGGAGGGGGCTGGGCCCGGAAAGGTTTCAAGGCCCGGGGGAGCGGGGTGAGGAGGAGGAGGAGGAGGAGGGCTGCTTCCCCAGGGGAAAGGGGCCTGCCCGGTCCGCTCCCCTCGCCGATGTGTACCCCCTAAGCACGTGCAGAGTGCCCGGGAGGAAAGGCATTTAATTCAGGGATGGGGCGGGGAAGAGATCGTGTGCAGTATGGCGCCGCTGCAGGAACCGAGAGTTGAGGAGACAGGATGGAGATCGGCATTCCCTTCCTGCCAAGGAGATAGGAGTTCCTGAGCACGTGCAGAGTGCCCAGTAGGAAAGGCAGTCCTAGGACAGGGCTCAGAAGATAGATGGAGAGATAAAATGGCCACCTGTCATGTCTGCTTTAGTTGAGACTAGATGACCCCTCGGTGTCCCGTTCCAACTCTACAGTGCTTTGGTTCTCTAATATCAAGGGGTTCCTGAGCAGATGCAGAGTGCTCAGGAGGAACTATATGCGGTATAGCACTCCTGCGGGAGTGGAGATCAGCTGTGTGCGTTTCTTCCTGCCAAGGTGAAGGGGTTCCTGAGCATGAGCAGAGTGCCTGTGGGAGGGAAAGCTGATGATTGCATGGGGCTTGGGAGACGGAGAGGATGGATGAACTAATTGAGATTCCAGCATTGCAGGGGATTTGACAAGATGACCTTCGGGGTTCCTTCCAACTCTATAATATCAAGGGTTTCTGAGCACGTGCAGAGTGCCCAGGAAGCAAACCAACCCTGGGAGAACTGCAGGACTTTGTGTCCCAACCATTCAGAATAGACCTATTGAAATTAATGGGCCTAAGTTAGTTGGGGTTTTTTTTTAAAAAAAATCAGTGGATCTACTCTGAGTAGGGCTAACATAGAATACAACCCTAGGTGTGGTGTAGTGGGTGGTCAGAGAACCTGGGAGATAAATTTTCTTTTAAAAAAAATAATTATTAGAACTTTCAACATAAGACTTTATCAAAAACACATCATCCTCATCCCCCCCCATTTTTCCCTCCCCCTTCCCCCCAAAAGGAAAAACCCACCGTCCCACCCCAAGACTTCCCTCAGCTGCTCTCTCTGGTTTTTCAGCACATGTTATTCTCTGCTTATTATAAAATTGTAAAAATCCTTAATTTATCTATCTATATATTAGCAATAAAAAGTTTGTGTATGTTTCTTCAAAACCTGCCAAGGAGTCCAGTTCATTTTGTTGTTTCTTTAAAGGTAAAGGGACCCCTGACCATTAGGTCCAGTTGCGGCCAACTCTGGTTGTTGCGGCGCTCATCTCGCTTTATTGGCCAAGGGAGCCGGCGTACAGCTTCCGGGCCATGTGGCCAGCATGACTAAAGCGCTTCTGGCGAACTAGAGCAGCGCGCGGAAACGCCGTTTACCTTCCTGCTGGAGCCGTAGCTATTCATCTACTTGCACTTTGACGTGCTTTCGAACTGCTAGGTTGGCAGCAGCAGGGACCGGGCAACGGGAGCTCACACCGTCACAGGGATTCGAACCGCCGACCTTCTGATCAGCAAGTCTTAGGCTCTGTGGTTCTGTTGTTTCTTAAATAACTCTGTAAAAGGTTCCGATTCTTCTTTAAAGTCACAGTTGTCCTTATCACATAGCCTGTGTGTCTGGGAGATAAATTTTCAAAGACAATGGAGTACACTTCTGGGGGTGACCAAAGTGACCTTCCTGGGGTGCAAGCCTGGGCAGTGTGTCTGGAGGTCCTGGGCTGCCCAGACAACAAGACCCCCCTCTCGGCCTCGCTGATGTGGTCCAAAGGAAAGCAGAGCAAGACGTTTGGCACCAGCTGGGCAGCAGGAGTTGCTGGAAGGAGGTGTGCAAGGAGCCATCCAACCATTTTAGGATTTGTGGAGGGTTCCATGGCACATTCCAGTCCGGTCAAGAAATACTCCGCGATGGTGGAAAGCAGGGACATAGTATGGCTGAGATGGGTCAGATAAGTCAAGTCTTCCTGAAGGACCTGAAGGACACTGAGGTCCAGCTCCAAGGGCCTTCTGGCGGTTCCCTCGCTGCGAGAAGCCAAGTTACAGGGAACCAGGCAGAGGGCCTTCTCGGTAGTGGCGCCCGCCCTGTGGAATGCCCTCCCACCAGATGTCAAAGAGAAGAACAACTACCAGACTTTTAGAAGACATCTGAAGGCAGCCCTGTTTAGGGAAGCTTTTAATGTTTAACGGACCACTGTATTTTAATACTTTGTTGGAAGCCGCCCAGAGTGGCTGGGGAAACCCAGCCAGATACGCGGGGTATAAATAAATTATTATTATTATTATTATTATTCCCTTTTAGATAGCCACCTGTCTTGGTTGCTTTAGTTGAGATTCCTGCATTGCAAAGGGTTGGAGTAGATGAGCCTTGGAGGTCCCTTCCAACTTCCACAGTTCTATTTTTTAAAAAAATAATATTTTTTATTAGTTTTACAAGATAAACCTCACATTTAACACATTAAAATTTCAAAACCAAACAAGATTCTTCCGAATCTTAGTTCTTCCCTCCTCCCCTCCATGGGTCCTTTAGATATCTTAATCAACTGCATATGTTCATCCAAATTTTAGTCGTCCAATATGTCCAAAGTCTTTGTAACTTTGCAAGAGTTATTCAAAGCCTGCCAAAGAGATTCAAGTGTTTATAGTGTTCTTTTAAATACAATCTGTATCTGTATTTGTCTCATTCTCTGTTGAAGCTTTGATCCTCCAGGTTTTGGATTTTCCCAGTCAATCTGGCCTCCTCTACGTAGTCCAGTCGTTTCATCTGCCAGTCGGCCTTTGTCGGCCCCTTAGCCTATTTCCATCACTAGGCAAGCAGCATCCTTGCAGCTCTAGTCGTGTACAGGAACAGTCTTCTCAAATCCTTTGGTAGATCTGCACCAAAAATTCCTAAGAGAAAGGCTTCTGGTCTTTTTGCAAAGGTTATTTGATTCTAAGAGAGGATTTGCAGGTTGCATTTGGTACCTCGGCCTCAGGTTTAAGTTTTCTTTCTTTGTAGGACCCTCGTACCTACGGGACCGCCTCTCCTGGTACGCCCCGCGGAGGACCTTAAGTTCCATAAATAGCAACACCCTAGAGGTCCCGGGCCCTAAGGAAGTCAGATTAGTCTCAACCAGAGCCAGGGCCTTTTCAACACTGGCCCCGACTTGGTGGAACTCTCTGTCTTATGAGACCAGGGCCCTGCAGGGCCTGTAAGACAGAGTTGTTCTGCCTGGCCTTTGGCTTGGAATCAACTTGATCCCCTTCCCCTCTATCCTTTTCCCTTTCTCCTTCTGCGATGGAACCCCTATTTGGGGACTTCCCTTGGGGTTTTTTTTGGCCCACGTAGGACCAGTCTGGATAGTTAGCCTTGGTGAAGATTTGACGTTTTCACCCCCAAAAAGCTTTTGATTTGAGTTTCTACTGAAATGAGGCTGCATTTTAATGTTGTACTTTAATCTTGTTTTTAAGTTGTATTTTAATCAATTGTTTTTATACCTGGTGTTAGCCGCCCTGAGCCCCGTCTTGGCTGGGGACGGCAGGGTATAAATTAAATTTGTTAATATTATTATTATTATTATTATTATTATTATTAAGCCCAAAATGTACTTATATGGAAAAGCACTTTGGTTGTCGTTTCTGGGTCACCTTCAAAGGTAGCCCCACACAGAGCGCATTGCAGTAGTCCAAGTGGGAGATAACCAGAGCAAACCACAGATCTAAAGCTTTTTGCCAGACCGGGAGAGCTTTGCCTTTTCTCTGATGGATCGCCAGCTCTGGCCAGCTATGGTGGACTGCTAGGGACCTCCATCTCTGTCCTCCATCCCAACCATTTATCTGGGAGATGGTTTCGAACTGGGAAGGAGAGGCCTCCCTGGATATTGTGCCGTGTGTGGTCTTCTGGACCACACAATATTAGAGTGGGCTTCTGGACCACACAATATCAGAGTGGGCTTCTGGACCACACGATATCAGTCAGTCTTCTCCAGGAGAGCTTCATTGCAATGGGAAATGGGGACCAATGGGAGAAGAGAAGCATTCTAGAAATTCCAGCAGTGGCGTAGCGTGGGTTGTCAGCACCCGGGGCAAGGCAAGTAATTTGCACCCCCTAACCCGTGGATTTGCGCCCCCTAACCCTAACCCCCAGATGTTGCGCCCGGTGCGGCCGGCCCCCCCCGCACCCCCCACGCTACGCCACTGAATTCCAGTGTCCTGAGTGAGTGGGGAACTCCCTGGAATCATGTTTGACGATGCTTGCGAATAGGCCTGTTGAGATCTGGCGAGTTTTGCTCAGGGCAGCTGATTTCTGGGAAAACAGCAGCTTTTGAGAATTCAGATTTTGGTTGCAATGGAACCTCCCTGAGATTCTTCGTATGAAAGCACATTGGGGACTTTTTAAGGAAACAAGCTAACGCGCCTGCTCTTTGGCTTAAAGTAGCCTTTGCAAACGTTATATCCTCCAGATGTTTTGTCCTACAACTCCAATATCTCCCAGCCGGAACAGCCATTGACCAAATTGGGAGAAGACTGGCTTTAAAACTCTGCTTGCAAATGGAGTGACATTACTGGTGGGGAAAGGGGAAACAGCAGCAGCTGTGCTCCAATGTATTTTGTGCTGACATGAAAAGCCGTGCCAGTTCCTGAAATAAATCATAAACATTTTATGCAAGCGTAAAGGCTCAGTTATGATGATCGATGGTACTTTAGCTCTCCCTAACTCCAGGTTCCTGCAAGCCAGTTTGAACTGAAAAAGAACCATAGAAGCTACCCCCAAAAGCATAAATCGCAGCTAAAGTATCCCTGAGAGGTGGCT